GTTGACGCCGGGGGGATGAGGGGGGAGGGACAGGCTTTGGTTGGGGGGAAGGTGGTGAGGGAGAGGGGGTTTCGGTATATGTTGTGAGAGGGTGTATTTTGTGTATGTGTGTGGACCTTTGCGTTTTGGTAGGTAGTTGGCATGGCAGATGGAATTGTATTTGAGCGAGCAGGCAAGCGCCGTTTACATCGGTATATATGGTATATATAATCTTTGATATTCGGAGCGAGTCAATTTACTAAGAGTATAACGGATTCAAGATTTCTTTCTCTTCGTTAATAAAATACGTCGATATATCCGGCCCTCTTCATCAGCAACCTTGTTCTGATCTGTACGCAGAAAGCATTCATTCAGCACAAGATGCCGGCCCTAGAACCCCTTTCCCCGAGACACGAGCATCAGGCTGGTCCTCTAGCAATCTCAGCTGTCCTTGCATGCGGTCAACACACCTCCATAGCTGGGCGGACGGTTTTCCATAGAAACATGTCGTTTGCGTGGTGTGGCACATTCATGTCCAATGGTATCTCTCATGTTAAGCCTGGGGAGCTTCTTTTTCTTGAAGCTTCTTTTTCTTGAAGCTTCTTTTTCTTGAAGCTTCTTTTTCTTGAAGCGTATTGTCCTTCTTTCTTCCCCATCCTGAGCTTCGAGCTTGATTGAGACCAGATGGGTATGGCCAAGTCAACTCCGCAGTTGAGATCACCGACTGCTACTCGTCGGGGTGTATATAGGGAAAAGAGTAGCGTACGAGCGGGGGATGCAGTCTAACTGACGAACCACGCTGGCGCACGAGCATCGCTGGTCGGTAGATGAGGAGGAGTTGTATGGTAACCACGGCAGGAAGTCCATCATAAACTCCAAGCCCCTCTCCTACCGCTATATATTGAGGTTGCACGCTACTTCAGCGAGGGGCAATGCTTGTTGGTGCGTTGGTGTCTCGTAAAATGATTCTCGGGCCGTACATTCTCTCGTAAAATCCAGATCGCCCTTATTCGTTCGGATAACCGCCCCATGGGCAGGCATCCCTACTCAGTGGACTTTTCCGCCTTTAGCGTTGGGGTGCTTTAACGGGTACCCACCCGCTCTGATCGTGGAGCGCCGAATTTCATGTTCGGAATGTCGTGGGATGTTCTTATTCGGCTTGCACCTCAATGCCCCAACTTCACCCCCCCCAACTAAGGCTCAGCCATCTTCATCCTAACCATCGCCATCTCCGTGCTCTTCGCCCACGCCCCATCCGGCTTCTGGCGATAACAAATCAACTTCCCCTCATCCCCCACACTCCCCAAGATCTGCCCGTCATCATCAAACCCGACACGCCATACCGGCGTGCGATGGCAGTCGAGTTTCGAGATCTCCGTGATGGTGTGTCGGACTTGGCCGGGGAGGAGGGACGGTTGTCGTGGTTTTCTTGTTGTTGTTGTTGTTGTTCTTGTTGTTGTTCGGTCGGTTGGATTGGTGGGGTTTGTTCCGGCTCCGGCTCCGGCTCCTCCTCCTCCTCCTCGGGTCTGATCGAGGCCGGCGCGGATGCCGGAGGATGAGTTGGCTGCGGCGGTGGTGGTGGTAGTGGCGTCGTCTGCTGAGTCGGTGGTGCCTGTGGGTAGTGTCCGTCGTGGTGCGCCGTGTTTTTTGATTCGTGCTGCGGACCATGGTCCAGGTTTACGGGTACGACTTCTGTTACCACCACCGGCCTTGGATATACCATCCCCATTCTCCAACTCCCCGTCTTCATCCTCATCCTCCTCATCCCCCTCCTCATCCTCTTCATAATCCTGTCCCCCCCCCTCCTGCTCAGGAAGCACCACATCCAACCTAAAAACCCTCACAAACCCATCCTGACACGCCGTCGCAACAACATCATACCCGCGAATATTCCCCGGCGCCCACGCCACATCCCTTACCAAACCGCGATGCAACCCCGCCCGCACCTCCGCCGCCAGGTAAAACCCCTTCCACGCCGCCGCCACGCCCAGGGCGGTGCGCACCGTATCGCGCGTCCGGTACACGCGTACCCGGTCCATGGCCGCGACCACCAGGCCCAGCGCATCGGAGGGGACACCGGCGCGCAGCGCGGTGTAGCAGACTTCGGGGTTAGGGTCGAAGCGCACGCGGAAACTGGTCTCTTCGCCGCGTGTTGCGGGCGGGCGGCGGCCCGGTCCGGTGCCCGCGCCGGCGCTGCCTGTTGTTCCGCCTGCTCCGCCTCCTACTGTTGCGGCACCACCACCCCTTGTGTCGTCTGTGCCTGCGGGTGTGGCGGTAGTTGTGTTATCCTCCGTGGTGGACAGTTCGTCGAGGAGTGTGAAGGCAGCCAGGTTCTCGACACGGTCGTTCTCGTAGACCGTCAGGCCGCCGTCAGCGGAGAGAAGAGCTAAGTACGTTATGCGGGAGTCGTCGAGGTGTTTGAGGGAGAAGGAGCGGTAAGGGGATCGTGCGTTGCGGGTCTCGAAGGCGGGTTTCGCGGAGGGTGCGGTTGTCGCGGAGGGTGTGTTGATGATTGTGGTGTCTGCGTAGCCGATGGCTGGGGTAGTTCCGGTGGCGTGGATGACCGGTGGTGCTGAGCTGCCGAGGCCGAGGTTGGATGCACTGGCGCCGGCGCCGGCGCCGGCGCCCGGTGTGGAAGTGCCGTTGGCGTGGAGGTGGGGAGATCGCGAGGGGATGGTGATGAGGGGCCCGTTGCGGGTTGATTCGGAGAAGCGGCGGCCGGGCGCGGCGGAGGGGTCTTCGGCCCAGAGCTTGAAGCGGCCTTCGATGCCGAGGGAGGCGAGGAGGTTGGGATATATGGTTGTCGGGAGCCATTGGAGCTGGGCGGTGTGTCAATTCGGTTCAACCCAATCCAAGGAAACCAACCCAATGCATTGAATCGATAGGAGAAAGAAAGCAATCCCAATTGAACCCAATCCGATCCTCCGCAAGTAAAACTCAATCAAACCCACCTCTAGAATCTCACTCGCATGCGCCCCCCAAGTATCGCACAAGCGCCAGGAACCATCCTTATGCCGATTAAAGACTCGAATCTTGCCATCGACAGATCCCGTCGCGCACCGATCGCCGTGGCCATTGAATGCGACGGCCTGCACCAGGTCCTGGTGGCCGTGCTTGTGGATGGTGTCGAAGCTGGGACGGTCGTCGGCGGCCGGCGGGTCGACCAGGAATGTGGCCGCTTTGGACATGGTGGTTGTATTTGTTGAGGGTGAGGTACGTACGGTATGTACATACAAGCTTGTCGATGGGGAGGTGTGGTGTTGTGTTCTAGGCCCTCGTGCTTCGGCAGGTGGGGCGATAAGAGCTACTTGGGCCGGAGCTTCAGGCGTGACGGTACGTACCTTACCGATGGTAAGGGACCTTACATGACACATGTAGGATCAGGGTTCACGTTATCACATACTGGTTACGGCCATCCTCTACCGGAGTTTACATTGACCTTTGAGTCCTCGGGTTGGACCATTTGTTTCTTGCATTTTTAACCCACAAATTGGAGTACTAGGGGGGTTCACGATATGGGTTATGTCCCCTTTCTCTAACAAGTCCGTAATCGCGAATCCATCGTTCTATTGAATAGCCCCCCTCTAATAACTCTATACCATCCATACACGGTCCCCTCACCTAGTGTATACCCCAATTATCCTCCCTAAACACCAACCCCGCCATGGAATGCCTCACAAACAACCCCAACGCCCCCACCACCGCCTGCGCAGCCGTAATCTCCACCATCAACCGATCCTCCCTCAACGGCCCCCTCCAAACCAACCACAAATTCAACACCGTCAAATTACTCGTCTCCACAAACCTTTCCCCCCTTTCCTCCGTCTCCTCCACCACCACCTTCAACAACCCAACCCACCCCAACACCTTCAACCCCCACGCCACCAGCGCCCGCGGCTGCCGCGCCTCGCTCCACACCGTCATGCTCGGCTCCAGCAGCCCCGTGCGGGCGTTGAACCGCGGCAGACGGTGCCGCGGACAGGGGATCAGCCCAAACAGCTGCGGGGTCGAGTAGAGGAAGTTGAACGCCTGCGGTAGCAGCAGTAGTAGAAGGGTCTTGCTGAAGTGGCCGAGGATGCTGACCACCACGAAAACCATGCCCGCAAAGTAGCAGTACGTGTCGCCGACGAAAACACGGGCCGGGTAGCGGTTGTGGCAGAGCAGCGCGAGCGAGACAGCCAGAAACGGCAGCAGGAACGACAGCGAAAACAAATGGGAGTCCGTCGCCGGGTGCGGGTGCGGGTACCCCGATGCCGAAGTCGGCGAGAACAACAGGTACAACGCGTCGTTGACCGCCAGCAGCGCGGCAATCACCAGCGACTGGCTCACCTCGATGCCGTTGATGCCAGCCAGGATGTTGATGCTGTTGGGCGAGAAGATGGCCACGGCCGCCATGTAGACGTAGTACAGCCCGCCGAGGTCGATGAGCGGGCCCAGGAAGGGCTGGAGCTGCAGCGGGACGACGATCGAGGTCACGCCAAAGTCTACGCGGTAGACGACGAGCAGGGGGATGGCGGCGAAGGCGGGGATGAAGAATTTGTGCCGCCAGCGGATGTCGAAGAGGTCGTCGGCTAGGCCTAGTGAGGCGACTGTTTGGAGTGAGACGATGGCTGAGAGGTACGATGAAAGCTGCTCCCGTTAGCCACTCACCCAATACCACAACCCCAGCCAGCCATGGGCAAAAAAAAAAAAAAAAGAAACAAGATAAAACTCACCTTGCTATGCGGAAACCGATGCAAAAACCGTCCCTGCACCTCCTGCCCAATCCCATCCCCCATCCCCCCCGCCGTCCTCACCGCACTAACCACCACATCCCGATTCCCCCCCCCACTCGTAGCCGCCACAACATCCTTATAAAACACAAACGGAATAAACACAATAATCGCCAACAAATACACCGCCGCACACACCGCACCCATACACTCCGGAATCTCCCTCCTATTCACCTTGGCCATATCCACCCCCTTAAACCCAACGCGCATAAACGTCGGCCCTAACCAGCGGATCAAAGCATACGTCGCGCTGAAGGCGAGGCCGCTGAGGGCGAGCGAGACGATGAGCGGTTTGCTGGTGTCATCGTCTTCGTAGAGGAAGGCGTTGGTTAGGATGGTGAGGCAGGCGCCGGTTAGTGAGAGGAGGGTGAGGGATTCGGTGCGGGAGAGGGTGCTGCTGGGTGAGGAGGATCTTGATGGGGAGGTCATGGTGGGCTCATTTTCCTTGTGTAGTTCTCTCTGTTTTGTTTTGAAAAGAAATGAAAAAAAAAAAAAGGCTGGGCTTCAAAAAAGCAAAGAGACAAGAACACTCCCCAATTCAAATGTCGAACCCGTCCTGCGTGGAGAGTAGAGAGAGTACCGTCGTCTCAAAATGACTTCCTCATACAGTCAACAACACTCAACATGCGTGCCATCTGTTGTTTTGAGTGGAAGCCACATTTCAAGATGACAGATGACGGAATGCTCCAAGGCGCAAGCCAAGCCAAGCACTGCGGCAGCGGCAAACGGCTGTGCTGCAGGGGTCAAGCGGGCCACTGCCACGCTGGTTGAGCCGCCCTATTGGGTGCTTGTTTCAGGGCCGAGGGCCGCCAAATGTTGCTACAGAATAGCCGGGCAGCCCGGCGGGGCCAATGGCCGAGCCGCTTCGAAACCTCGTGTCGTGTTCTTTATAACTAACTGTATGGAGGTATGTACAGAGTAGCCAGGTACGAAGTAGGCTTTACAGCTTGGAGAATGCCGTCAACGTCAGCTTAGTAAATCCCGAGAAGAAAAAAAAAAGACAGAAAACCAACGAAATTCCTTCCGGTGTCAAGCACCCATGGCCCCAGAAAAAAACACAAAAAAGTGACTCGGATACCGGGAGTCGAACCCGGGGCTGTTGAGAGAGAGCAGTCACTCCTGAGAAGTGAGAGTCAACGATGTTACCGCTACACCATACCCGACTGAAATCGTGCGTGGTTCCGATTTGGTTGCAGAGCAGTGCCACAGCGGCAGCCTAGATGCAGCGGTCCGCGGTCCGCAGTCCGCAGTCTGCATTGCCCGTCGGGTCTTTCGACCGATTCTTTCAACCTACACTACACGGGACCTCCGACCTTAGGTAAGGCTACACTACAAATCTCAACAGGCCTCTCCTCTGTATGCACGTCAAATCAACCAACCTTAACAAGATTATCTCCGAATTCCGCGGCGGTCGGTTTCTAAAATAACTAATTCCCGATCTCCCCGACCCTGAGGCCGTGAGCCCCCCTTGCAACGGACTTTGACTGGGTGTTGCCTCGCGAACTTTGGAACATCGAAGTCGTTCGTTAGACGTTCGTCCACTCGACACTTCGTATTCCCATCGTACACACCACTTTAATTTGGGAGGGGAAATGATTTGTGATGATTTGGGACGAAACCCACGCTTACACTAGTTATTTCAAATCAAGATGAACCGGCCAACAGACCTTTCCAGAGAACCAAAGAGTCGGGACCCGTCCGTCCTCGTCTCACCCTCATCTCAACCCCACCGCGCTCAGAAACCACTCCAGAGCGAAAGGGGGAAAGACAGAGAGAAAAGCAACACTGTCGATGATGACAGCCGGCTCGGCATGGGCGATTGCCGGCCGTGACCGCTGGTCAGCTCAAAGTTCCTGACCACTCGCCATTGACCAGTAGCATAGCGACAGTGGCAGTTTTTGAATGGTGCTGCCTGTTATTCCGATCCGATGATCTGATCTGAGATAAACACCAGGCCGGCGCTAGCAAGAAGCCGCTTGTTTGCCAGGCCCTTTTGAGGTTTTGTCGAAGAGGGGCACAGGCCGGGGCGAAACGGAGAGAAGAGAACCAAAGACAGGGGGTGTTTCTTGTCAGAACTTTAATTCTTGAGGCTGTTTCCTGGGGCTCGAGACAGGAACTTTTTGGGTGGACTTGCCTTATACGGAAAGGGGTTGAAAATTGGGTTTGTGGAGTGAATCCCGAGGAAACCCACGCAGTCCCTATTAGCCCAGCGTAAGAAGTGCCTTGCAAACCTGATTGATGATCCAAGCAGGCGGTGATGGAGATTTTTCCCCTGAGCCGAGGTTGCATCGTCGGGGGTTTTCGAGTCGCACTCGGTTCGAAACCTTTCTCGCCATCACGAGGTTGAGTTCGCGAAGTGCTCCGCGGCGCAGGTAAGGCAGGCGAGTTCTGCTCGTCCTGGATGCCGAGCGGGAAACTCGGCTGAGAGAGCTGAGTGCGCTGCAATGCAGCGGTTTTCTAGGCGAGAGGCTTCATTGGCTGCTTTGCGCGTGTAAGTCAAACAAATGGGGGGCCGTCGAATTCGTCAACCCGATTTGGTCGACCGGGGCTTCGCCGTTGACGTCAAACCCACACAAAACCGATTGCCGATGTCTGTTATTCAGCGCGCGCCGTCAGATCAGGCCGCTGGCTTCCATTACCTACGGAAAGTCCACAAATTCCACAAAAGTGTGGTCGCGCATGCTGCAGAGAAGGTCAGATCCAGAGACGGGAGCTGGCTTGGCTTGGGGGTTCCGGGGCCCAGGCAGCGACATTTTAGCACGCTAAAATTAGCGGGGAAAGCACCCGGAGTCGGGCTACGCTTAGTCAAGACTGTGCAAGCAGAGAAGGCAACCTCTCAAGCAGCCCAAGGGGTCCAGCGGTCCAGCAAATCTACCCAGCCAGCGCGTCGGCTGATTTCCAGGCCTTTTACCGCCGGCACGCTATCGCCTTTCTGGTGTCATAGTAATGGGAAAGGGTGAGCGTGAGGAAGCCGGATGTGGAAGGTCGAGGGAGCAGGCGTAACCGGAGCAAAGCAGCCAGGCAAGGCGCTCATGCACCCTTGGCCTGCATTTTCGGGCATTCCCAGACCTTTTCCGGCCCCCCTTTTTCCACCCGGCGCACATGGCAACATGGACATGCCGCATACAAGGCAGCCAGGTGAGCGCCCGCCCGCTGCTGAGTGTCGTTCGTTTCCAATGCCGGGAGAAACTTCGGCAGCCCAACCAGTCAGGAGCACCCCAGGGCGAGGAGACAAGACACGCTGGGACCCAGGTATGATGATGACAACATCTCATCGTCTCTCAAGGGTCCTCCCGCCGTAACCTGATACCCCTAGCCAGTTAGGTGGCCCTTCCCAGGGCTGCCTTCAGGCCCAAACTTTTTAAGGTTATTACGGGCTTAGGAAAAGTGAAGGGCAAGGGGCTCGAAAGGGTGCGGATGCGGCCCAGGCCGGAGAACAACCCACCCCCCTTACACAATTCTGTCCGATGAAAATAGTCGGGAGTTAGGTTGCCCTATTCGGCCCCCCGGCGGCGGGGAAGGAGGAGGTGGTGGTGGTGGTGGCCTCTGGGGCCCTGTATTGTGTCGTGTGTTGTGTCTCGACTACCAGGGGGGAGTAGAATGGCGTCTAGTGCCCACTTCGCGCCCTGTTGCGAAGCGGTCTCGAGCTGTTAAACGATGTGAGTGGAAATATTATAACCGGGCCGAGAGTCTCTCCCTTCACCCCCATCGTTAATCATTCGTACTGGTATACGAATGGTCTTGAGCCCCCCACGCGTATCCCTTTCCATCACCCGTTGTGCTCGACATCCCAAGCGGTCAACTTCTCGTGTGCAGCTCCCCAACTGGTCGACGACACATACCATGTCCGATCCGTCCCACTCAAACCGGTCGAGTGCCGAGCCGAGCAGCAACCCAACAAGTCCATCGCCATCACCAGCTCCCTCTCCTCCAGACCCGCCCAAGAAGCGGACGAGGGCGAGCAAGCCCAAAGTACGGACCGGATGCATCACCTGGTGAGTCTATATCATGTCTTTCGATGTTGGTTTGGGGCCCGGACGGTAGCTAACAGTGTTATGTCTGATCCAGCAAGTGAGTAGGAGTCGCGAACCAAACATGGCATGCAAGCAGAAACGAAAAAGGAGAGCGAAACGAACTAACCGATCCTAGAATCCGTAGGGTAAAATGCGACGAGGGCAAGCCGGCCTGCCTCCGATGCTCGTCTACCGGGCGAACATGCGACGGCTATGACAAATCTGCCCTCGCGAGGTATCGTTCGCCCGATCCGAATCACTCTGCCGAACTGGCTAGGGCCGAGTTCGTCCGGGCATGCCAATGGAACGAGACATTGCGTTCCATGAGGCGCATCGAAGCCGACATCGACGGCACCGACACCGAAAAGCGCCTGTTTGCCCGCTTCCGGGCGGCTACGGCTGATGGAACGGCCGCGCATCTGTGCAACTTTGCCGCCTTCTGGAGGAGGTTGAACCCGTCGACGGGCTGTCAGGACGAGGCTGTTAAGCACGCAGTGGTGGCGTTAGCCGCGGCTTATCAGCTGTTCCAGTATCCAAACGAACCCATCATCGAGGGCTTCGCCCGCCGTGACCTGGAGGTCATCACGATCCAACAATATAACCGATCCATTGAGAACCTGCAGAGCCACGCCGGCTCGTCCGCTGCTGAAAGCATCCGCCTGACGCTCGTCTGCTGCCTTGCTTTTATTTCGCTCGAGACCCTACGCGGGAACCACGAGGTAGCGGTGACCCATCTCCGGAACGGCCTCCGTATCCTGCAATCGCTGCCGGAGCCCGCGTTCGACTTTTGCGCAGCCGACAGCTCCTTGCCCATAACACCACCGGCCACCCGGGACTCCCTCATGATGCCCGACATCATCCAGCTTTTTGCTCGCTTCGAGCTGTCCGCCTGCTTCTACACACACGGCCTCCAGCCCGTAGTCTCAGAGCGTGGCTACCGCATGCGAAACTTCGACGATGGCTCCCACGACGGCCTCTTCCCGGATGTGGCCCACGCCCGGGTGGTCATGGCCCGCTTCCAGCACGATGTGATCGCCCGTCTCCACGAGATCGCTTCCGTGACTGCCGCAGGAGACGATGCCACAGCCATCTTCTGGGCAGACACGGTTCAGCAGCGCCAACAAGCTTGCCTCCTTGCTCGTAGTGCCCGTCTCGGGGCCCTGGTGGCCGACTTCTTTTCTCCAGCCCGTCTAGGAGTGCAGGATCCAGCCGCAAACCCGGAACTCGCCAGCCTGTTCCTCGACCTCCTCCACTTCCGTTGTGCCCAGTTCCTCATTGGCAAGACGGCCGGTACGGCCGGTACCCCGGGGTTAAGGACCCAGCACCAACAATCATACGCCAACCCTTTCAATGCCGAACAGAGCCTCCTCACCACCATCCTCCACCTCGCTTCCCGCCTCGCCACTTTACACCCATCACCACTACCACAATATTCCCAACCGCAGCACCACATGGGCCCCCGTACCCCCACGAACCTCCACACCCACCTCTTGGGGCCGCTCTACCTCGTCGCCACTCACCCAACCGACAACGAAACCCGCACCAGCGCAGTTCATCTGCTGCTGCACCTGCTCCAATCGTCCTCCGCCTCCGGCTCGCCCATCTCGCCGCTGACATCCCCTGCCTTCTTCTTCTCACCATCACCGTCACCTTCATCCACTGCGTCCTCCCAATCTTCGACGCCGCATCCGCAGTACTCGCCTCCCATATACTCTTCCTCCCCGCCGATTCCGTCTTATTCTCAACACCCATACCTCCCAACCCTGCAAACCCCGTCCTCCTCGTCCTCGTCAAACGCGGCGGTAGCGGCAGCGGCAGCTGCAGCCAGACATCAAGTCGCGGTGGTAGTCGGACAAGTGCTGGACCGGGAACGGGCCGCGTTGTTGCAGACCCATGGTGGTGGAGGGGGCGGGCTATCGACGAGTATGCCGCGGGCGTTGTGTGGCGTGGGATGTCTTCCACCGGTATGGGATGCTTTGGTGAGCGTTGGTAGTCTTGGTGGGGTTAATATTGGTGGTGTTTGATGCTTCGAGTAATCCTTTTTTTCTTTTTTTGAAAGTTCTCTTTTCGGTTTGCGAGTCAGTGGGTTTGTGAGACGGGAATTGGTGCATTATTAGGTCAAGTCATATCGTGTGGAGTTTTTAGCTTGGGGATAGAGGCCAGACGAGATAGATGTTTTTTTGTCTTCTGGGTTTACAAATAGTCAGCATTGGGAAAGTGCATAGCAGAAACGGGCATAAGGGAAGGCGCATATCGAAATACGTAAAGTAGGTTAACATACCTTAAAAGAGACATTTGCATTTCGCCAATTGATTACACCGGAACAAGTCCAAGGTGCCAAGTGAAATATTCCGAACAAACTGACGGGAAGAATGCGCTCTATAACAATCCTTCCCAAAGATCGAGATCCAAAGGATCAAACCGCAATTTATCCCACGCCTCGCACTTGCCCTCGGTCTCAATCAAGCGCCCCCACCGCCGGAATTGAAACGCATTGCGCCCACCTTCCTTCGCGCCAAACCGGACTTAACTCAACCCCATTTCGGCCCCGAAACTGCTAATACAGGGGTGGTCTCGGCCAAGAAACAGAGGGGTGCGCTACCCGAACAAATGGAAGCACAGCACATGGGCACTCACTACTGCACAGCCTCAACTCCTCTCCAACTCGAAACAACGTTAGACGATAACTACCAACTAAAAGCAAACAGGAGACATTTGAAGATCAGAAGGTTAGGCAGCTACTAAACTTCATAAATAGTTGTAAATAATCGTCGTGTGGCGGAGTTCTTCGCATCCAGCTAACACTTATCATCATCTTGCGACTTCAACGATTTTACTCACTTTGGCTCCTGTTATAAAACCCATCCACGTTCACCACTGCACTCATGTTAAAACCACACATATACCCTCAACTCTTCCCACCAACCTGGAACACAACAACCACAAGTTCAACAACGCTCTCAATTAAGATAATGAATCAATGATACCAAAAAGGGGTATGGGGTACCATACACGCAACACGCTACTTGCCCAACCACCACCCCCGACGCCTTCTGTTTCTCTCGCTACCTCCATATGGCCCTCCCAAGATTAGCTCGAACGCCAACCCTTCCCCCTCTTATCTGTCTGTATCCACGCCTACTGAGGATATCAATATTTAGCCTTAATGATGATACAACCCGCCCACCTGCCCCTGTTTGCTAGCAAAAATACCGCACCGGAGAAAGTCTGTGAAAAGTATAAAAAAGAATGGAATCTGATAAAGATTCACGACTCGCTGCGTAAATTCATGGCTCTGTGCATATCTCATAAAGATGAAAAGCGGAGGGGAAATATGGGGGAAAATGAGAAAAAAGAGAAAAAAAAAAGAGAAAAGAAAGCCCATAGTCCGAGACTACCCCCTCACAACCGCCCTGAAACAATCTCCTTCTCGAAAATCTTGACCCCCTCCGCTTCACAATACCGGAGTCCATCCACAATCTCAATCTTCTGCCCCCAAAATTCATCATCTTCATCCTCTTCCTCGCTCTCCACGTCATTCTCATCCATCCCATCCATATCCTCCTCCTCGCCAGCACTGCTGTTCCCACTGCTGCTGCCCTCGTCTAGCCCAGCTGCAGCCAGAATGGCCGCGATATCCAGGTCTCCGCTACCATCCAGCGGATCCGATGTGCCGCCGGCTTTGCCTTTGCCCTTCGCTTTCTTCCCACTCTTCCCCGTACCGGTCGATCCCTTGCTCTTCCCCTTACCCTTCCCAACACCAGTGCTGCTACTGGTACTCCCGGTAGCATCATTCCCTTTAGTATCCCCCTGCTCGTTTTCATCCGTCCACCGGGTCGACCACACCAGTTTGTCGACAGAGTCAGGCTCATCTATAGACAACCACCGGAGCTTGAGGTGCGAATAATGGGAGACAGCGTCTACCAGGAACCGTTTTGTCTCGCGCATGACCCACACGCACGTATCGTCATTGCGGAGGCGGACAACATGCAGCGCACGTAGGGCGGTGAGGCCGGAGACGTGTTGCATGAAGCAGTGCTGCGGAGTGGCATATCGATGTTAGTAATTTGATCCGGCTGAAAAAGGGGCGTTGGTTAAGGGGAGGGACCGGACATACCAAGGCTCTGATACTCATATTGCATGCTAGCTCCTCCAGCCGTTTCCCCTGCCGGCAGAGTAGGAGTATGGCGCTTTGATCCATGTCCCAATTCTTATCGGCCAAATTTTTAATCATCAAACGCCGTAGACTTCCCATGTGCTTCTTCAGAACCATCGAGCGGATAGTGTCGATGGTCGCCTGCGTCCGCGGCGCAAAGCTCTCAGGCTTGGCACTAGTTTCGCGTTCGAGCATGAAAAGCTCGTGAACCTCCTTGAGTGAGCCGACGAATCTCAAAAACACCGTTGAGACGTTGTCGGTGAAGATACTGCGCAGGGGCAGCGGCGCTTCCTTGTTCTCCTTGTACAACAGCGACCAAACTGGGGCCTGAACGCCGACGTTGAGGAGCGACAAGTGGCGTAGGGCCCGCAAGTCAACCGCCTTGGACAAGACCGATGCCTTCACTGGGATCAGATAGATGCTCAGGGACTTTAGAGCAAGACCCCGCGTTTCCCGCACGTAGTCACGCATCTGGCGGACCTGCTCCTTGCGCGACTCTAGCTCGTTTGGTGGTACGGTCTCGGCGCTATCGATGGCGATCTGGCACGCACTGATCTCTTTCTGCATATCGCGGATGCTCCTAGTGAGACTCAGCAGTTGCGACTCGGCACCACCAAGGTTGTTGATATCGCTAGACGATTCATTAGAACGCCAGCGCCGTATCTCCTTGCTCAAGGTGGTGGCCTGCAATTCAAACGCTTCCAGTTCCTCAGCGAGAGCCTGATACTCCGCCTTCCGGGACTTCAAACTGGCCAAGACCTTTCCATACTCGGCCCGGGCTTCAGAAAGGGTGTGGTTTGGGATTGCCGGGAGTTCCACGGGAATTTCCGCCACCGCCTCGCTCAGCTGCGAGTCAGTGTTCTGCAACTCGCCAGCGGTTGGTTCCTCGGAGTCAATCGTGAGCTGCTCCTCGGGCTCCTCAATGTCGATATCATCCGGGTCCGCACCCCTGTTGTCGTCCTTCTTTTTCGGCGAGGTCGGGGTGTCACTAAAGAGACTAATTTCCGGTACAGCGGGTTCGGCGGGCTCCTCAACGACACCGTCACCTGCAGTTTTGCTCGTGCCCGGGGACGAAGAAGAGGCGCTGGGGTCGTCGGTCTTGGTGTTTTCTTGCTCCTTGCGCAACTTGGCCTCATCCACATAGCTTTGGGCGGCGGTATTAATGATGTCGACAAGCTCTTGCGACACGGTGGGTTCCTTGGTGCCATCGACTGCTTCCAAGACCTTGGACGCCAATGCTTTTACGAGGTCGATGAGTTCCTGGTTGGATTTCTCTTTGCTTTTCTTATTTTTGTCCTTCTTCCCCGAGTCGTTAATCACTTCCTGCAGCTTCTCAGAGGCTGTCGACTCGACGCCGAAAATTTTGCCAAGAACAGTCTCCTGGGTCTTTCTCAACTCCTGTGCCTGCAGAACGCTCCCCATATCCTCGACCTGGGAGTGCGGGTGAACAGGTATGGGCATGATGTCATCTTCGTCCTCTGAATCTTCGGGCTCCGGATCATTCGAGGGTTTCCGAGCGAACTTGGCGTACCTCTCCGAGAAGGAAAGTTTGAGTTCCGTGAGTGTTCCAGCTGAGTTGCGCACACAGGTTTGCAACTCCGAAATGGCGTCGATGTCATCAATGTCCAACACCGCAAGGCTCTTCAAGTCCTTGAACCCGGACAGGGTCGGTGGCTCTTTCACCCCAGGTGGCCGCTTGGCGGTTCGATGACGAATCTTAGGCGCTTGGTGTGTGGGTAGCGGGTTTGACACGGGTAGGTAGAAACCCTGGGTGGGTGGTGGGGGGGGTATGATCCCAAATGCAGACGGAGGTGGTGGGAGAGTGGAAACTGGGGTGATATCAATAGGCGGTGGTGAAGAGGGCGGCTGAGATGGGTCATAAGGGAGAGGAGGCGGGGTCAAATATTGCGAAGCGCCGGCATGAAGTCGAATGTGAAGGTGCGAGAGCGTGCCTAGCTGGTGCAGCTCTTTGTACACTGGGCGGCTGGGCTCGATGCGGACATTCCACCTAGGTAGAAAACGCTATTAGTCGCTGCAGGTAGATTGGGGGTGTGAAATAAACTCACTTGAAAGACTCCAGACAACGTGCTTTTCGCAGCGTAAGTTGCAAAAGCGTGTTCAAGAACTTGCCGCACGTCTGGTAGGCGAGATAGGGCCGGCAGCAGAGCTCAGCCTTGTCACCCAGGTAAAGGGTATCGAGGCTGATACTTCTCAAGTATTGCGCATAGTTGTGATCGCTCGTAACGAAAGTATTGAAGCCAATAGCAAGCGGATCAACTTCATCAGAAACGTAGGGACTGCTGGTATCGGGGAGGACGAGCGTGAAGTGTCGGTAGAGTTCGGAGGCGGCTAGGTCGCGGAAGTGTCTCGACACCAACGCCAGGCAAACTAGATCATCTCGTTTGCAATGCCCAACGATTTCTCTCTGAACCTCTCGCGGCAAGTCGACGAAGCTGCGAGACCCGTTTGAGGAGGGGCCGGCTAGGGCTGGCTGGGCCGCCGGTGAACTCATGGTGGGAGCTATTGGCGCTTCAACGAGGAGGGTGACTAGGTAGCAGGACTGGAAGGATGTTTCTCAGAGAGCGCTGCCTGTACAGAGCTAGGGACAGCAAGTAGGTGCTTCCAATGCTACAGCGCGAAGAAAACTGGCCGTTTGTTGCTATGGGAGTCCAGCTCTGTCGTTTCTGTGCCTGATTCAAGGCTCGGTTCAGTTTGTCGCCGGCGACCGAGCACGCGCGAGGTCGGAACGGGGGACGGAAATTGATGGCTTAGCCGTGCAAGAGGAAGAGGAAGGCGGGGCTTTGGAGAGCGCGATGTGGGATTTGGAGCGTTCAGGATGCCTGCTCGCGCGCTGCTGATGTTCTTAAATTGCTGATACTGTTGAAAAAAAACAGCAGGGATTCTTCGAGTTTCGGAGGGATTCAAAAGGTTGAAGCGGCAGTGCAAGATGCAGATGCGAAAACGTGAAGCCTCTAGGCCCCTTGTGTGTGCACGATATCCGGGGGAGCTGCGGTGGGCAAGTGCCGGGGTAGCTTTAGCGCCTTGAAGCGGGGGACAGGGCCGCAACTGAAAGGCTGATAGGTGGCCAGGGTTCGTGGGGGGCCGCGGAATGGAAGGGGCCATTGGCAGCCCCACTCTTGCCGCCTTGAATTCGATGTCAACCTTGAACCGCCTGCAAGGCGGCTTGGAGCACAATGGTCATGTATGATTTCCGTCCAGTGTTTCTTGACTGCACGGCCCTGGAACTTTCATTATGGGTTTCCACAAGGGGTGCATTCCTAGCCTTTGTTCCTTTGTGCCTTGTATACTTGTAAATTAAACTACGAGGGTCAATTTCAAAGGCTGTGGGTAACCAAGCAATGGCTGAACTGACAGGAGCTAGACTAGCAACGTAGGCTCAAGGCAAGGAGGAACCTGTAAGTACTTTTCTTGTCAATTCGACGAATTTTGGCTTTGTCATAAACAACGTCCCAGGGTGGTTCAGAGGCTGTCAGTACTAAAGAGCAAAGGGGGGTTACGGTCCTTCAATGGGCTACGATTCTCTCATTACTTGGGCAATACTAGTCTCTGCTGCTGGAGCCTTTCGTCTGGTCTCATAAACTTAGTGGGGTAGAAGAGTTAGGGACCGACCTGACATGGTCAAAGTGGCAACCTCCCCTGTCTCAGGTACGAGGTCGTCCTTAAATGAGTAAATCAAGACGACTAGCTTGAGGCGAACTATTCTTTTGTTCCCTTTACTATGTATTATCTTGCATTTTTTGCACCCTGACTTCTTGAATTGGCGATGCCCAGTCTTTGCTGGGTACAGCTTTTCTTAAGACGACACACACATCGGGAGTCCCCACATCTGCAGCATTCACTCAGGTGCAGGCAGCAGCAGCCCTTGTGCGCCCCGCCTAGGCCTCGATCCTTCCTTGATCCTCCGTCCTCTCTCCCTCGATCTAAGGGAGCTGGTGTTGTAGCCGGTTGATGTATACCTTGGCGGCCAATGAATCGATATCAACTCCGAGCTGCCCCAGTGTCTATGCTTTTCGTCGGTTGAAGCGGCACAGCCAAGGCCGGGTTCTATAACTTTGTCTGTCTCGTGCGCCCCGCACTGCCTCTTATCTTCAACTTTGTTTCTTCCTGGCAAATAAAATAAAGGCCACGGGAACAACAAAACGACAATGGCCGACACAGAGGAGCCGCGTTTCAACACGCTTGCTGAGCGCATTGCAGCGCTTAATCAACAAAAGAATTTCCAGTCCAACCCGTCAAACCCTTCCGTCCCGTCCACTGCTGGCAAACGACCTCCCCCTCCACCTCCTCCGGGACGCTCCTTAACCGAGGGCTCTCTCGCAAAAAGCCCATCGCTTCCACCGAGGCCGGTCCGGTCTTCTACGGACAAACTCCCCCCGCCACTTCCGCGCCGAACCACCGGACAGGAAGATGGAGACCCGACAGCGGCTTCTTCGCCCGGAGATCGTCCGGGACCGCCCCCGTTACCCACGCGGAACTCTGAGTCGACCACGCCAAAGCTACCCACACGTAGACCCTCAGCGCAGACTCTTTCCGTCAGGAGGAATTCAAATGCTTCCGACGTGTCCCAATTGTCCACTATATCCAGTCTGTCGTTGAGCCAAACCAAATCTGCAGCCTCTAACGGAACACCGGAAGGCCAAGTACCGAGACGACTTCCGCCAACCCTCGAACAGGCCAAGCTGCCCCCCTTGCCCCCGACCCGGCGCGAACTAGAAGCTAAGGCAAAAGAAGCCGCAGCGGCCAACGAGTCACCTTCTCTCCCTCCACGACGCATTGCCGATCCACCGCAGCCATCTTCGCGACCTTCCTTGCCACCTCGGCTCCCGTCAAGGCCCGGGTCTAATGCTGCTCAACCGGGGGTTCCTGAGGAGCCGTCCCCCGCTCTGCCTGCCCGGCGGCTACCCCCTCCCGCGAACAGCAACCGGGCTAGGTCAGCTTTGGAGTCTGGCTTCGGCGCTGGAAAGAGCAGAACGGTTGCGCCCCCGGAAGCACCACCACCCATCCCGCTCAGTTCCCGGCCCACTATCGCCCAAATCGATGCTGCCACAAGCCGGGGAGCCTCAGCAGCAGCCGCCCAGCAAAACCAGTCGTGCCTTGCATGCCGTGATTTCTCCGGCCCGGATACGCTCGCAGCCCAGCACCCTACGGCTTCGCTCCCGCGCGGCGTTGACGTGATAGCTCACCTGGCTCACGTTCTATGCGCCTCGTTTTCCTCACCCACGGACAAAGCTCGTGCTATCTTTACCTGGATGCACCACAACGTTGTCTACGACGTACACGGCCTCTTTAACAACTGTATTCCGCGTGGCCAGACCCCAACCGAGACCATTTTCTCCGGCAAAGCCGTGTGCGAAGGGTATGCACGTGTGTACGAGGCCATCTCCACACGGGCCGGTCTCCAGTGCGTCGTAGTGACGGGCCACGGGAAAGGGTTCGGGTTCAACGCCGTGCGGAAAGGCCAGCGGCCACCACCGCCTGATCCGACGGGCCACGCATGGAACTCAGTACGCATCGATGCCGGGGAATGGAAGTTGATCGATGCCTGCTGGGGCGCCGGCGCGCTATGCGACGGTGCCTACTCACAACGCTTCGAACCGGAGTGCTTCACCATGTCCAACGAGCGCTTCGGCACCCGCCATTTCCCGGCCGACTCGCGGCACTGGTACCGCCAAGACGGCCGCGCCTTGTCCTGGGAAGAGTACATTCTCAGCCCTGCCGGTGACGAGCCCGCGCAGTGGACGGGTGACGCCACGCGAGAGGGCCTCGACGAGGGTAATTTTGCTCCCATGCAGCTCCGTATCAACGTCCATGGGGGCGATCCGGTGGTGCGTTTCCAGTTCGGTAAGGTCTGCGAACATTGGACGAGCGAGAAGAATGGGGAGGGCAAGCCGATGCTCATGGCGCTCAAGATCGGCGGGCCGGATGGGCGCAAGGAGGATCTTGTGCCGCTAGAGACGGACGGCAAGTTCTGGCACTACCTGGATGTGAACGCCCGCGACCTGGGTGCTCCTGGCCAACATGTGGCGTTGATCGCATTTCAGACGGTGGACGGGCAGAGCGCGAGGGGCATGACGAAGGAGGAATGGCTGAGGAAGAAGGGCCGGTGTGGGTTTAGTTATGCCTACCTTGTGCGGTGGGAGCTGGTTTGAGAGCTAGGGAGGGTTATCAAGAAAAATATCGCCGCAAGCACAACTATGGCCGCAACAAGGGGGAATGGCGTTGAATATCAGACGATTAGTCTAAGATTTAGTTCCTAGTCTGCGTCATATCGCCGCTGGATCATACTCGCTCTTCAACACCCCCAGATGCACCACGAACCCCGAATTCGACCTCAACTGAGGCACCAACAACTCATCCGGTACGCGCCACGTATGAAACGACTCCGCAAACCGCTTCACCCATGCCTCGAACACGTCTGGAGCCCGAAGCTGCTGCGCAACGACGCACACACTCGGCTCCGGCTCTTCCTCCTTTCCACTCCGACTACGATCCCGGCTTTGGCTCCTTTCTGCCGCGCGCAGCTGGCACACATCCACACATGTCGACACGAACGGCTCCACGAGCGCCTCGTTGTAGATACAGTCGCACGCCACGACAGCGTCGAAACTCCCTGCGCCTCCTCCACCTGTCAACGCCGACGTGACTTCGTCCGTCTCCCAGTCCATCGTCATGAAACGGACCTTATCCCCCGTCCCTGCCCAGCCCCCGGTTCCGATATCCCTCTTCCCCCCCTTTCCGGCCGGTGACCCCCTTCTTGGAGTCTGGATCGGCGTTCCGCGTGGCGATTTGACAGACCGTCCGGATCGGCCAGCCTTACCACTGGACGCAGGTCCTGAGGCAAACCCTGAGGGCTGGGTTGGAGACGCCGACGCAGCGCGCCAGTTTTCAGCAACGTTTTGCTCGACTAGTTTGGCCACGTAGGCTTGGTCGGTCAGGACATAGCGGGAGACTTGTGGGGCTGCGAGTAGGGCGACGAGGCCGGAGGTACCGCTGCCGAGTTCGATGAGGTAGGAGGAGGGTGTGAGGAGGGCGTGAGTGAAGAGGGGGTTAGTTGAGGGCGAGGAGAGCCAGTCTGCAAATAATGGGGTGATTTTCCACACGACTGTTGACTCAGTGACTTGGTTAGTGGTGTCTTTGGGAGTACAAAGAAAAGGGAAAGTGGTTTATTTGTTTGTCTGGGGGATGGATAGGTTCCAGTAGCATGTGTCCCGACACAGCCCAGGGCGGGAAAGGAACATACGGAGGTACACCACCCTATGAAGTAAATATAAAACGTATAGACTACAACGAAGACAACAACCACCGGGGCTCAAAAGTGAAAAACTCACCCGCGCCCGTCGTCCCCCCCGCCCGATTCGATGACAACACCCCTGGTGACTGGTGAATGGCAAGGTCTCTCCCACCGACGGTTAATTCGAGCGTGGCTATCCGCGAGTCGATGAAACCGAGGTTTTGTGAGGGAAGATCCTGCGCGAAGAGCTCGAAGGTCTCTGTAAAAGATAACCACCCCGGAAAGACCGGGGGGCATCGGGGGTTAATGAGGTCTGCTATGGCAAGGAGGATACAGATACACGGAGTACAAGGTCATTTCAATTCATGGGGTCAGTTGGGTTGTGGACTGCAGTGCAAAGGGGGGGCAATGATATATCTGAATGTCCTGTTTTGGTGGTGATCGTCGGTCTGGGCTCTGTTACACGAAACGGATCGCGGATATGGATATGTATGTACATAGTTCTCCGTTCTGGCCGAATAGACGGAGGGCAGGGTGAACATTGTACAACAACAGCGGAAGCATGGGCTTTTGGATTTATGGGATTGTTTTGTTCCTACCTTCTTCGGGGTCCTCAATGGGCGCACCGAGCGCTGATATGAGAGAGGCGAGCGTCATGAGCGGTTTCTCGGCAGTCGTGTCTTGGATTCTGGACTAGTTAGGGGGTTACGTCGAAAATTGGTTGAGTGATGTGATATCGGACGCCGAAGAAAAGAAATCGGAACGTCGAGACTAGAAAGAGTCAGGGATTATCCGTATCATGCTGTGTTCAACTCCTTGGCAAGACTTGATGTTTGGTTGGTCTCGAAACAGTCAAGCAGTGGCGTGGTGGTTTCGATAATTTGAGGGCCGAAAAAGTCTCGCTGCAGTCACATCGGGTCTGGGCCCGCAAAATCTGGTTCCAGGCTCCTTCGCAAAGACACACCCGACCCGGACGGGACGGACAAGAAGAACAGAATGGAAGAGCCCCCTGTTGCTGAGCCGGCGTCGCGGGTGGGGCTGGGGACTGCTAACCGCATGCGACGTCGCAATGAAGGTGTTGGCGAGGTGTACCGCGCAATCTGGATGAGATGAAGGTTTGTATCAACAGATTGCTGACGTCGGTACCAAACGGCCAGGTTTGTGGTAAACCTAGGTATGGAAGGTTTCTCGAGAGGCAACCTGGGCTAAAGCACTCTTCCCCTGAATTACGAATATGGGCACACCATATCTTGAGAAGCGGAGCTGGGTGGCCCCTTCTCCAAATTTTAAAGGGCCAAGCAACAAGATGCTAGGATATTCATGGGCGAATGCGGGGAAAGCTTCGATCAACAAGAGGAAGAGGGTGGAGAGCTGTCCCTCTGCTGGCTTGGCTGAATGACAGCCCCCCAGTCAACCATCGATCAGCCTGCAGCGGCAAACGTTGGCACGTTGCGCAGCTGCAGCAATTCATGGCGGCTCAACAATTGGACGGGTGTGTGCCAAGACTGCCAGGGGAAGGGCTGAGAGGGCGGGAGAGACCCTCCTTTGTGGTTGGAGATCGAGAATGAGTCCCAACATGATGTGCGGGTGCACCGGGTGGTGGTCTTTCTTGCGGTTTGTCGACCAACCTGTGAGTGAGGGGGGCCAGCTGGAAACGTCTGTGTTTCATGTAGAAAGAGATGCGATGCGCTCGATCCGGTCCCGTTGCCCGTTGGTGTTCCACAAAACCTCTCAGGTTTTTGGTGGTTGAGGTCTCGAGAATTAACTCCACGCACAGTCTGGTGCATGTTGCCGGTTGGCTGGGATCCCTTCGGTTTCTACGGGTCTTCTGATTTGACCTTGGCGGGTTCGGATGACTCGCCGCGGGACAACAGAATGCAGATGCACCTTCTTGGTCTCGTGTCCTTTGCTTGGGAATCCAGTGCGAGGAAAGAGCAACCAGCTCTGCAGCAGATCGTTGGGCGTTTCTCCCTGCCAACGCACGCCCAAGTCATCGTCAACTTCCTTGGAGACTAGCTCAGTGTGACCAAAGCCACCCATCCTCTGGGCATGGATGTCTGGGACGTCGAGAAGTGGGACGCCGCGCTCTCCAGGACGCGGCCGAGCCCCAGCTCCAGAAGACAGGCTCGACAGGGAAGGAATGGGGTGGCGTGAGATCGGCAGCTGGCTCCTACAGTGCGAACTCGACTATGATGAAAGTCTTTGACCTCAGAGGAAGGTGCTGTCTTTGAGCTTGACTCGATGGTTTTGCTGTTCTCTTTCCATTCCTCGGATGGTTCTAGTTCTACCTAGCGCTTATGATTCATGTCATTCACCACAGCTACCAACAAGATGAATATCGATATTAAATCAACTACATAACTAGTAGACTGATAGGTTTTCCTCCAACACAGTCTTTGTCCAAGAGCCTCTTTTGCGTGTTCGCACTGGCCTGCGAAATCCCCAGCAACTGTGGAACCAGGCACTGAGCTTCCCCAGGCACCCCGGAGCTTGCGCTTTGTTGCTGGGGTGTTGGCAAGACAAGACTTTGGCCCTTGCCTCTCCCATCCTTTCCGCCTCCAAGACGGTCACGGCCCTGAACTTTTCTCTGCCGCTCTCAACCTCAAGATACCCCCATCTATTTCTCTTCACTTCCGAGTTCTGTCGCTGGCCCTTCGACAACGCGATCACGAGCGCACGATATATATACCCACGCACCGACGCAACCCCGACGTATACCTTCGCCGCAATACCGAGACCCAGCACGTTTCGATAGCTTAACCATCTTGTCGCGGCTCGGGGAGAAATCCCATCATTAGCCTCACCACCAGCGAGTTAGTTAGTCTTCGAGGTTGCCATAGCCAACTACCCAATCGAGAACCCCTATATCGCATTCCACGATGGACACCATGGAGAAGCAAGTACACCTAATCCCGCGCATGAGCGCGAGGGGGCCTTTTTCCGTTGAGGTCCCTGGCCAGCAGCCAGTCGAGGGCGAGACACCTGTTCGCAGGCATCCCCTCGCCGTTGACGGCCTAATCACCAAGCCCAACGACGACATCACGACCGTTCACGAGCTCGTCCGCGCCAGCGTCGCCAAGTTTGGTAATGCCAAGTGCATGGGTTCGCGCAAACTGGTGCGCACCCACCAGGACAAGAAGAAGATCAAGAAGGTCGTCAACGGCGAGGAGCGTGAGGTCGAGAAGTCGTGGACCTTTTTCGAAATGAGCCCCTACGAGTACATCACCTACACCGACTACGAGCGCTTGACTCACCAGCTTGGTGCCGGTCTGCGCAAGCTGGGCTTGGTCAAGAATGATCGTGTCCATGTCTACGCCGCGACCAGCCAGAACTGGCTCGCCATCGCCCATGGCGCCGGCTCCCAAAGTTTGCCTATTGTGACTGCCTACGACACCCTGGGCGAGGAGGGTCTCCGGTATTCGATGGTGGCCACTAAGGCCAAAGTCATCTTCCTGGACCCCCACCTCCTACCTACCTTGACCAACGTCCTCGCTGCCGCGACCGAGGTACAGACCGTGGTCTGGAACGACCAGCACCAACTCAACCAAGCGCACGCCGACAAGCTCAAGGCTTCGTACCCCCATATCAACATCCTCAGCTTTGACGAACTTCGGAAACTCGGCGAGGAAAACCCCGTCGATCTCGTTCCGCCTACTCCCGATGACTTGTGCTGCATCATGTACACGTCTGGTTCCACCGGTACTCCCAAGGGCGTACCCGTAAAGCATTCCGCCGTTATTGCCGCTGGTAAGTCATATCTGGTTCTGTGATCATACGCCCTTTCTAACTAAAGTAACCTTAGTTGCGGGTGCGAGCGTCGTTGTCGAGCAGTTTATTGGACCTGGCGACGGTCTCTTGACATACCTGCCCCTGGCCCATATCCTCGAATTTGTTTTCGAGCATGCCGCCATCTACTGGGGCGCTACCCTCGGTTACGGTAACCCAAAGACCCTGTCCGATGCCTCGGTGCGCAACTGCAACGGCGACATCCGGGAGTTCAAGCCGACCGTCCTCATCGGCGTGCCCGCCGTGTGGGAGACCGTCAAGAAGGGCATCCTTGCCAAGGTGGCCGCTGGCAGCCCCGTTGTGCGTGGCCTCTTCTGGGGAGCGCTTGCTCTCAAGGAGCGCCTGATGGCCAACGGCCTGCCAGGTAGCGGTATCTTGGATGCCGTGGTTTTCAAGAAGATCAAGGAGGCCACGGGTGGGCGTATGAAGCTATGCCTGAGCGCCGGTGGCCCGGTGTCCAAGGACACGCAAAAGTTCCTCAGCATGGCCATCTGCCCCATGATCATCGGCTACGGCCTCACCGAGACCGCGGCCATGGGTACCCTCCAGAACCCGCTCGAGTGGACATCGGAATCCATCGGCGCCATGACGGCCTCGATCGAGGCAAAGCTGGTCGACTTTGCCGACGCCGGCTACTTCGCCACCAACAAGCCCAACCCTCAGGGCGAGATCTGGCTCCGCGGCCCTACCGTGCTGACTGGCTACTACGAGAATGAGCAGGAGACCGCCGAAGCCCTGACGGAGGACGGCTGGTTCAAGACGGGCGATATCGGCGAGTGGGACAAGAACGGCCACCTTAACATTATCGACCGCAAGAAGAATCTGGTCAAGACCCTCAACGGCGAGTACATTGCTCTCGAGAAGCTCGAGGCGATCTACCGCTCCGCTCCCGTCGTCGCCAACATCTGCGTCTACGCCGATGTTTCGCAGGCCAAGCCCATCGCCATCATCTTGCCGGCGGAAGCCGCTCTCAAGAGGCTGGCTGCCACAGCTGGCATTGAAGGCGAGAACCTCGAGACACTTGTTCACGACAAGAAGCTTCAGGGCGTTGTCCTGCGCGAGCTTCAAGGCGCTGGTCGTGCTGGCGGTCTGTCAGGTATCGAGATTATCGATGGCGTTGTGGTTGTTGATGACGAGTGGACCCCCCAGAATGTAAGCAAACTTAACTCACCCTGTAAATTTCTCCTTTTTTTTGATGATGTGAGACTAATAAGAATTACAGGGGTTGGTCACCGCCGCGCAAAAGCTCAACCGCAAGGGCATCCTCGAAAAGTACAGGAAGGAAGTCACCGAGGCTTACGGTTCCTCGAGCTAGACGCTTGACGTGGCCGATTTGTTTGTAGTCAGCGTTAACAGTTGCGGATGGTGGTGATGGAGAAGGGGGGGTGGTAATGATGGATGGGTTGAATTGGGCCCTTGAAAGCGGACGTCGATTACAGTGGATGTCGTGATGAGGAAGGACCTGGACAGCGAGGGTGTGTGCAGAGAATGTTGCGCTGGATGGAGTGGTGTGCGTCGACGGGGGTCGAGCAGCGTATCTTGGATTTTGGAGGGGTTTTTTTTTAGTCATCCATGTGACTACTACGTGTGCTACTACTATTCCCCCTCTTTAGCTTTTGGTTTATGGAAACTGTTTTTACAAGGCTTGATTGTTGTTTTATTTTGTTGATGGTCTGCTCTTTGCACGGCTAATTGGCATGTCCTGTTGTGCTAAAGGCAGACCATAGGAGCTTAGCTCAGTATCTGTCGTCACCAGGTCCTTTGATATCTACCCCTACCTTACAAGGGCGAGCGGGTCATGATCACCAGGGTCCATAGGATCCTCACCGTGTATGTCAAGTACCAAATGTGATTATATAACTTTGTTGAATCAAAAACAGAATATCACTTGCCCGGGCATTACGTCCGGGCTGAAGTTTTCAAAGCAAAAGCCCGGAAGAACGATATGAACGATATAATCATAAATGCAGAAAAACAACGCAGATTGATTTGCTTAATAACATCGAACATTGAGCGCCCGGGGCCTAATCTATCCCCATCCCATCTCTTCCCTTCTCAACCCCCGCTCGCCGCCGGCGGCAGCAGCCAGCCAAGATGCTGCTGCGCCGCCTCCTGTACCCCCCTTTTCATCCACGTGCCTTGCCCGTCCCCCCCTTCCGCATCGCTCAGACGCAATGCACATGTGAAAAGGAAACAGAAAAATAATCTCTTCCGTGATTGACCGATCGACTGTGGTGTATTGCTCGAGGTTGCGTGTTGCAAAAAAAGTAACCTGAGTCTCGGTCTTGGGGGTATGCAATCCGTTTCAAGTGCTTCCTTTCCACCTCTCCCCTTCCTCATGTATTCGGAAATTGTGGTTGCTCGTTCCAAGCGTGCGCAGCCTTAGGCCAGACCCGAGACTGTACCATCCTGGGTTATGTAGTGAGACTGTCCCTTCCAAAATATTCCCCATTACACCCACCTGTGTCGGCCAGGTGTATGCTCACTCTCCCTGCGTAACTCCCTCCGCCCCCAGTCCTCCGCTCAGCAAATGTGAGAGCCCGGAAAATCCGACCTGTCGACGGCGGGGGTGTTGGCGGTGGTACCGCCAGGGAGGCAGCCCACAGAAGCGGTCACACAAGTCCGTCATACAGTGAGAGGGCGGTGACGATGGTGGCGTCCCGCTGGCTGCCCTCCTTGAACTCGTTGATGTCGAGGCTGCCGTTGTCGTCCTTATCCATCATGCGGAAGATCTTCTTCACACGCTTCTCTGGCGTGTCCTCGTCCTCGGGGAGATTGACCATTGAGCCGACCTGTGAATGGATCACATGTGAGTAATTGATTGTTAGGGGTGTTTTTTGTTAGACAGGTTGGAGGGAACGCACCATCTTGTAGATGGCTGCGACAATCTCAAGCATCTCCTTATATGTGATCTTGCCGTCGCCATCAATGTCGTAGAGCTTGAAGGCCCAGTCCAGCTTGTCCTCCATATTTCCGCGGCTGGTCACGCTCAGGGCGCAGATGAACTCCTTAAACTCAATGGTGCCCGATTTGTCTGTGTCGAAGACATTGAAAACGAAGTCTGCAAACGTTGACGGGTCGCCAAAGGGGAAGAACTGGGCGTAGATCTTTTGGAACTCGGTCTTGGTAAGCATCCCCGAGGGGCAGTCTTTGAGGAAGCCTTGAAAGAGGTGCGCATGTTAGAATCCTCGAGCGCCCTGCAAAGCGCACAGGTGTGCAGGAAGAGACATACCCCTATACCATTGTTGCAACTCCTTCTTGTCAAAATTGGTCGACTTCTGCAGCTCTTTTAGCTGGTCCTCTGGCAACTTCTTCGACTGTCTGTGTTCGGACTGTTAGCGCATTCACACGCTCGAGCGCATTAAGGAGGGTCGCTGGTCCCCGACGGGAATTGCGCACTCACAAATTGCCCATGTTTGAAAATCCAGCCGGGAAAATATTGCCGCCGTGGCCAGGTCGATTATGTTGACTATCGCTTGCGGCGCACACACTGAGTGGGAATGAGGGGTTGTTGTTGCGACAAGGGTTCGCTGGTCCGAGGCTGAGTGATTGATCGGTCGGGCTTTTGCGTTATTGGTCGCCAAGTTGCTGGGGAATGAATGAGAGCGAAAAGGGGACAAGTGTTCGAGGTTTGTTGAAAATCGTCAGGGTGCTCGTTGTGTGATATTTGTAAGGGAGAATGTGTTGTGGTGGAACGAATGGGAGCAAGCGCTTGGAGGGTAGAAGTGAAGGAAGCAATGCCGGGGCGTGGGATGGGGGAGTTTTGAGTGTGACGATTGAGGCGCCAGGGCAGTCCCGCCGAGACAGGATGGGGGAGCCGATGCATCCAGCTTGACACACAGCTCCTTTAAACTACAATATATCCCGATTGGGAAAGTTCACATCGTCTTTATAACGACCAGATTTGTGGATAGAAACTGCCTTGACAGGCAGAGAAAGCTTCACTTGAGATCTCTCCAGCCCTGAGATCCCTTATATCTCACCTACTATGTATTTTTTGAGCAATAGTTGTAGCTCTTGGAACCGCAAAATGCCGGAATTGACCCTGCCAACTAATAGCCGATGGGGCATTTTATGTAGCATACAGCGGACCTGCACTGTCTTGTTAAACCGCGCGGCTCCCACGGCCCCGCTTCCATCTCTTTAAGCGCCAAGTCCTCGGCCAAACTGCAATCCACTGCGCCGGGCTCTTCTTTGCTTTGTACTGTGGCGGGCTGAGAGCGCATGACGGCTCATTGGTGTGTTCGGTTTGTTTCACCTTCCTGGTTTGACCACACACAACCCTTTGCTTTTCTTGTCTACCACTGCAACTTAAGAGCCAACTCCCACATGGACAAGATGTACACAGAGGCAACCCGAAATTCGCGAACATGCCGATCCGCGGGCCTGCCAATGGATGGGGCTTGCTGCGGGAAGAGGCGAGGGGCAATGAGGGGCATTGAAGCGCCGTCCAGGAAGAACCCAGCTCGCCCCGTGCTGCGACGGTTCTGGATGCGGCCGGAACCCATCTTTCCAGAAGCCGCCTGGAAGTTATTTGCCATCAGGTAAAGAGGGGATTGGTTGGTCCTCGCATCTGCAGTCCCGAGGACTTCCCGCGCCAACCAACAATCAACACTGACTTGGATTAGTTAGTTACCTGCCTAGTTGAGGAAGCACAAGAACCTGCCCCTCCCTCTCAAAAAACAAACGAAGAAGAAAAGTCGCACCATGCAAGTGACACCGTCTCATGGTCACGGCCCTTGTCAGCGTGGCTGTGCAAGAAGCGCCAAGATTTCAACACTTGCCCTCCAGGACAAAGCCTTCGATGATGCTTGGATGCGACACGCGATCTCTTCTGCCGAACCTGCCCATCATATTATAGACCGGCTCGACGTCGTCTCGGGCTTGCGTCACAGGAATGCCGGGTAATGGTAATGGAAGGAATTGCCGCCGTAGCCTCGGGTCCGAAAATGGGGAAAGAGAGAGGACGTACATACCTGTAACCCGTACGAAGTATGTACTTCGTAGCGAGCTTTCAAGGCCTACCACCAGTATCGACGCCGCTCACAGCCACCATCCAATGCTGAGACAACCTCAAAATACACTAAAAGAGCTACCGTTGTATTGTGTATATACGTACATGCATGCTACCTTTTTGACCCTTTCCCAAACAACCCACCGAGTTCATTCATTACCTTAACCCATCCCAACCGCCCATGCCATCCTTCCTCTCCTCCTACCCATGCCATCAAGATGTTAACCGCCACACAAACAGGAAAATGTTATCAGGCAAGGGGCAAGGGAGATAGAGACCAATATCAAGACAAAAGAGAGAAAGACAGAGAGAGCAACAAGTTGGGGGATATGATGATGACGGCCGTGCTTGCGATAAGAAAGACAAACCAAAATGCCAGTAGCAACGACAAAACACGAAAGGGAAGAAAGAGAAACCATGTCCTTGCTGTGCCCAACCTGACTTGACTTGACTTGACCTGACCTGACCTGACCAACCGACTGGCCGAACTCACCATCCCCAGACCGCCAGTTCCCCATCTACACCGCCTGCCTCGGTCCAAATAGCCAGACAGAAAGCGAGATAGAGAGAGAGAGAGAGCGAGCGAGATAAAAAGCCAGACCCGAGCGACATACACCCCTCGAGCTCACCCCACAACAACCTTCATACTCAAGCTCTCCAAAAACCCGCCTAAGTCCTCCTTCTTGACCTCCACGACACAGTGCTCAAAGCTGTCGATGCGTACACGTGCATTCGTCTCCCCCACCACGTCCTGGAACGCAGTCCCAAACCGGTTCAGCCCATACCCCCTATCCCGCGTAGCATCAGCCTCGTGATCGTCATCGTCTGCATCGCTATCATCGTCACTATCGTCCTCACTCTCCGTGTCGTCTTCCTCCTCCTCTTCATCTTCCTCGTCCGGTCCCCCCCCATTCTCCTCCCGCAACCGCCTCCTTGCCTCGCGTTTCTCCTCCTTCAGTTTCTCCTTGACCCGCTTCGCCTCCTCTTTCTGCTTCGTTTTCTCTTCCTTCTCCTTCGTCCGCCTTTTCGCCGCTTCCCGGTCCCCAAACGCCGTATCCGGCCCACCACCGCCTCCCGTGCCAACGACGACGTACACCCCGCGCTTTTCGTCCAGACTAGCCACGACGAGGGGCGTGCCGCGTCCGCCCTGGGCCAACCGGCCACCGGCCGCTTCACGTTCCTGTTCGGCGAGCGCTTCGCCGATCCACAGCGCCAGTTTGGTCAGCGCGCCAGGGTGGTGGAACAGCGTCGAATCGGGAGCATCCTTGACGACACACATGCGGAATGCGCGCAAATGGGAGATTTGCTTCTTCTTGAGGATTGTGGTGCCGGTGGTGAAAATGGCCTTGTGGAGGAACTGCGCGGTCGGGAGGCCGGCTTTGAGCGCTTCGATGTCTTCCAGTGCATCGTAGGCTTCCCAGAAGCGCGGGAGCCATTCCTCGCTCATGGGTTCAACGGACGCTGCGGCGGCGGCGAAGTCTTGGGATTGAGTAGAGGGGCCGTTGGGGTCAGAGGAAGAGGCAGTCGTGTTCTTGCCGACTTCGAGGAGGGCGCCGATGACGACACCTACGTCCTGTGCGCTGAGTGTGGCGCGCCAGCCCCAGCTGCGGACAAAGCCCCATCCATCTTTGGCTCCCCCGCGGTCCTTGCCGTCTGTGTCGATGGTGGGAACAAGCTCGTCGAGGTTGTACAGGGAGGCGTATTTGAGAAGCTTGGTGCGTAATTCCCGCTTGAGCATCATGTCCATATGCGCATAGCTCTGCTTGCATTGGACGAGGCTGACGCCCATCTTGGCGAGCAGTTTGTGTAGTCGCTTGAGGCCGGTCTCACTCCACGTCTTGAGGCGGGAGAACAGGTAAGGCGAGTGAAGCATGCTGTCGTAGAGACTCCAGTGTCTGATAAGAAGGAACTTCGGCTCCGGCGATAGGCGGATGCTCGTGTCTTCGGGGCTACGTGCTGTGGTTGGGATGATGCCTGAGTTCTCTGGCAAAACCCGGCCGTTCCCGACTTCTGGTGGGTTCAGACGCCTCACTTCATCACGCAGGAGCTGTCGTATCCTGGCACCACGCATCCCCATCCACCCGGTAGGTGCGCGTGTTTCTGAGCCGCGGACCGGGACTGCGACACCAGCCGAGGAACGGCCGTATAGCTCCATGGATGTAACACCGACGATGGCCATCCAAAGCAAATCGTTGTCTTCGCGACCGAGTTCGGAGGCAAGAGAGTACATCATGGAAGAAACGGGTTCCGAGTATGACGCGCCCAAACGGTAGTAGTCCCGCAACACGGCTTCGTGCTTGCGTCGTAGACGGAGGAGTTTTCGTCGGAGTGTCCGTGCTGACGGTGCCCGCAAGGGTTGAGCGGCGCTTGGGGGCTCCAAGCCGTCACTAGAAAAAACCGCATCATCCCTCAGTGAAATAAGGCCGCGCTGGGCAGGTCGTTGAGGTGATTCCGGGATGGGAGTAGACTATCAAGGTTAGCAGGTCACGCAAAAAAGCAGACGCCGGTTAGTGGTACAAACCGAATTGCTGCGTCGCTTCTGCTTCGGACGGTCATCTTCCTCTTCGCTGTCCTCGTCCAGGAAATCCCACGATTTTCGCTTCTGTCCAGCCCGTGGTTTCGCAACCGGCGGCTCCTGAATGTCACTTTCGTCGTCATCGTCGTCGTCGTCCTCGCTGTCCCCCAAATCTTCACCGTCATCCTCGACGTCTGGCATATCCACCAGCGCCAAATACGCCTCCTTCTCTTTCTCAAGCTCGTCCTCAATGTCACCGTCGTCAAAGACCACAATTCCACCTTTTCCCGGCCGGTATGCCCTCTCGATACGTCCCCCGGTAATACCTGCTGGCGTTCTGGCCACTAACGTTGTGGCGACCTCTGTTTCCTGTTCTAAAGGAAACCCAGCAAACACATTCCCCAAATTCCACGGCCGATGCGCATCCACCACCCATACCTCGACCCCGCCAAAGCTGTTATGATTTACCCCGGCCACGGCATTTTCCTCCTCATCCTCACTCTCCAGTCCAAACAGCGTCCCGATGTCTGCCATCCCCCCAACCCCAAGACAGACCACCACGCCTCCCGGGCCGCCGCGGGACTCGGTCATCGGCCCGACCAATTCCCGCCCGGCACGCTCGAGGTCGGCGTAGCCTGCGACCGGCTGGATTTTATGCGGGATGTAGTCATGCTTGAAGAGGCGGGTCAGGATGCGGCAGGCACATAGCGCGTCAGGCTCGAGAGCAACGAGTACGAGTACCGGTGGCGAGAGCGGATGGCGGGTGCTTTGGAGGTGGAGGTAGAGCTTGGAGAGGAGGGAGCGCGGAAGAAACATGGCGCGTGTCGGTCGGCACGGGAGACGAGGAAACAAAGCTTTGCGTGCGTTCGTTTGTTGTTCCTTTCTCACGCAACTCTCGTTATACGTGAGTATGTGTCGACGGGGCGTGCATGAGAGGCGGCTCAAGGATTTGGGGTGTGGTCGTGCTGTGTCACTGGGAATGTGATGCCTTTGAAAATAGAGGATCGTCGAATGAAGTTGGTGAGAACGCGTTGCCTCGGCCTGTGTTCGTAGTTCTCTGAGACAAGTGAATTGAGGTCGCGTGAGGGCATAAAAGTCTGGCCAATTCGGTTCTTATGCCCTACAAGGACAAGAAGGTAGATCCTGGGCAAAAAATCGAATGTTCAACAACGAACAAAATCGGCCGTTTAGGGTGGTTCTAGTCGATCCGAGTTGTTTGCGGAAATGGAGACTAACACCCAAGACACGCCATGGCTGTAAAGACGCGCTTTCGAGACGCGACGTGGGGCGGAACACACCGTCAGCAATCACGCTGGGCACTGTGAAATCAACGCGGTGTGGGGCCATTGTCCACTCCTGTCGCACGGACCAACTCAGAATGCCCTTGAGCGCTTCGCGTCTGGCTCCTCCCGGCTCTTCTTTCCACCATGACTGACACCTCCATGAACCGACCCCTTCCACAAGCCAACGCACTCATACAAGCCACAAAATTTCCTGATTCTGTCCCTAGTTGCTCGGCTACACGGCCAGATTCACTCGCCTGACCGCTCTTCCTGCGGTCTCTGGTTGGGTGATACTGGCGCTGAACCAGAGTTGTATCCGCAGGCGCAACCCGGAGCTGGGTCTGCCGCTGCAAGCCCACCTCCCAATTCTGACACGAGCAACGCAGCACTGGGACGCTGGACTGAATCATTCAAAGCCAGACTCCGGTTGCCAGTCTCCCGTCCAAGCATCGCCCTCCTCGGGCCCGACGCCTTCGTCTCCCACTGCTTTCCCTCGCTTTCAGTGGCCGAATTTGGCCTTCTTTCTCGTCTTGTCCCTGGACCGTCGCTTCAATGGAATGGCACCATCTTGTCTGGAGACAACGCCAGGTGGGCTTTACCCGATGCTGGGGTGGTTATTCTCGCATTGAAAGGCATGAAGGCACACCCGTGCAGCGTTGCATCCAAGCTCACCAAGCCCACCAAACCCTCTCTCCTCACCCCGGCTAGAACGGGAAGACCAAGTCATGGAAATCCAACTTCCATTCCAATATCTCCATCTTTAGCGCGGTTCACGAAAAAGCATCCAAGTCAGCGACTATGAACCACGGAGTGCGTTAAACCAATGCGAGAACGTATCAAGGCCTGCCTTGTGTCACTTGGACCCAACAGTCAAGACCGGATCCCGACGGTCTGGTTCCGGCGACAACCGACCTCAAGCTTGTTGGTCGGAACTCGGAATCAACTCCGCGTCCCGGCGCTGTGGTCGAGCTTCCCACTCATCCACATTCACCGAACGCCTTCCCCCACAAAACCCGCTTCCGAGTGAGAACTGAGGCGGTGTCCTGCCTTGGACCTGCATTCATCCGTTTGGCCGGGTCACTGCCATGGTGTTTGTTTTGCTGCAGCCCAAGATGCTTTTCCCAACTCTGCACAGTTTTCGCTGACCACTGAGCCCACCGTCCCAGTGGTCCTTGATTACTATGTACGATCCATTCCGCAGGTGGCCATGCTTGATTGGCTGTTTGCCCCCCCAAGACCGCCGAGCTGGGATATCCACTGCTCCACCTCCACTTCCCCAACAGTTGCGGTTCGTTCCATGAAGCTTCGCAAAGGTGTGTGCCAGGGAATCGGGTGCGTGAGTTGCGTGAGAGCCCTTCTCGATCCCATATCCCTCCCCCGTCTTACGCGAGGTTGGGGGTAACCCAGCATGCCCAGTACTTTCTTTAGCTTGTTTCCGATCTCTGGATTTGCCGGCCCACTCCCTCTTACCATGACTTGGCACGAACTCATCCATCCGCCTCTGGACTTAGAGGCCCTGGGGCTCCCCCGTCTTGGATCCCGCTTCTGTGCTTTATGCCAGTCCAACGGGCATATAACTAAACGCGGCATCCCTTGTTGCCAGTCGTTCTGCCAGTTGTTGTTGACTTTCCCGTCAGTCCCGTTAGATAGACCTATCTATCTCCACGTGGAACCTGCTCAGTTCTTTCTCTCGTTCCTCGTATTCGCCACCTAGACAACTTGATACCCAGCGACTTGACTGCGGCCCGCTTGTCGACTTTCACTTTGTTGGACTTGGTTCTGATCACTCACTATATTTCACCTCCTTCGTTCACCTGCCACTCATCTCTTTGCACCAACACTCCGAAGCTAAAACTCACTAACCCATCGTGTCGTCAACACCCCGCTATTTAATTGGCCCAGCCTTGGTGGAAATGCTTCCGGCAATAACTTCCGGCACCCGCCCGAGTCACCAACTCTCTTGAAGGAACCGCCAAGACCGAAAGCCGATACTAGTCAGTCCAGGGCCACAAGTAAAACCCTTCTAGCCGCCGGGAGTCACGACGAATTACCAAGATCATTCGACCGCAGATGCCGGAGGACAACGACGGCGCCTCACCCGGGATGGAGGAAAACTATATCATCGAACCTCTTGAGGAAGATGACGAGCTGGTAGCCGGTGGCACATCGGACTACGCCTCCAGCGACGGTGAGACCACCTTCGGCTCGCTCACTTCGAGTGTGAGCGGACATGTATGGGAATATGGGCGGTATGCTTCCCCGGGCGCTGCGCCGTCCCGTCTTGTTGTTATCTGAAGCAAAAAAAAAAAATATGCTAAACCATGCTCCAGACGATATCATGCGTACCGCTACGGGAGATACCCCGTTCCCAACGATGAGGAAGAGTACAAGCGTGAAGCGTTGCGACACAACATGCTCAAGGAGCTTTTGGGCGGCAAGTTGTTCATGACACCCATCAGAGACAACCCCCAGAAGATTATCGACTTAGGGACGGGCTTCGGCGAGTGGGCCATCGAAGGTGGGTGATCGGAGCGGATAAGGAAAGAGAAACCGTTTGGAACCCGGCAGATGGCTGACTTGGAGTACTAGTTGCGGAAAAGTTCCCAAGTGCTCGCGTGACGGGAGTAGACCTCTCTCCCATTCAACCACATTGGCTTCCGCCCAACGTGGATTTCATCGTCGACGACATTGAGGACGAGTGGATGCACGCCAACGACTTTGACTTTGCCCATCTTCGATTTGTCAGCACTTTCTTGAAGGACAACACCGCGCTTATGAAGAGAATCTTTAGGTGAGTCCCCCTCCCTCACATATGAAGTTCTATGGAGTGCCTGCTCAGCTTCTAATCTGTCATGATAAAGCAACCTCAAACCAGGCGGATGGGTTGAAATCCAGGATCTCTACCCTGACCTGCGCTCCGACGACGACACGATCCCCCCAGACCATCCTATGATTAGGTTCCACCAAATGGTACAGCCCGTTTTGCTCGAAAAGTACGGGTTCGACTTATTTGTACCGACTCGCCTACCCGCTCTTCTCGAGGAGCTCGGATTCGTCAACATCCAGCGCAAAGTATTTCACATGCCCTTCGGGGAATGGGCGCGAGACCCGCACCTCCGCGTCATCGGTGGCTACTGCCGAGAAATCCTACTCGACTTTGTTGCCGCTATGGCCGCGCGACCTCTCGTGGAAGCTGGCTTCGATAGGGAGGACATCGCCGACCTCGTCCGGGACGCTACGCAGTCGGCCTCTAACCGACGTATCCATGCTTACTACCCGATTCACATTGTCTGGGCCCAAAAACCGCCGGCTTGAAAAGCAATACAAAAAAAAGGAGTGGTCCTCTACTCAACTTAGCCCCAACACCGGTTGAGTGACCTCCACGAACCAAGAACACCCAGTGTAAAAACACACGCAAACAAAGCGCACCCGAGGAAGCGGTTATCCAACGGCCCGGAAACGCCTCGAACCGTCACCCCGGATCCGTCCCCCAGGCTCGGTTCGTTCCCCCCAAGCAAGCCACAAATCCTCCCGAACCTACACAGCCAACCACTTCAAGACCCCGAAAGTCCCCGGGACCAAACCACACCCACCACTCACGCATGCGCAAACCATGCAGACCAAGATGCACGTTTGCATACAACACACGAACGAACCCTGGAATCAAATATCGCGATGCAATGCGTCTGTCGGCTCAGAACTCAGCGTTGCAGTGCAGCAGCGGCGCAGTGTAAGTTAGCTCGAGCAGGTTCTCTGCGTTCGCTGCTGTGGCTGCCTGGAGAGGCGGGATGCGCATTCTCTACGGATACGCTGCATTGCAGGACGACCACACCGCGCTGATTTGATTATATGGCGCCTTGGGGTTTCATATGCCTCATATACCTGCGATGAGAACAAGCGGTTGCCCAGAGCCGGACAGCTGAATGGGCAAAGCGGAATCAGTGATAAGAGGGGAATGGGAAAGGGGCACCTGGGGCGCATCATTGGTTTACACCACTTTCGAATCAACACAGCAGCAGTTATGATTGACATATCTTGATCTGCTCCGCCCGCGCTGTCTGGGAGGGGGAATAAGCGAATGCAAGGGATAATAGAAGACAAGCATGCCCAGCCCACCCGTCCGCCGCGGCCCGAAGGATTGGAAAGGTTTGCTCGGGTTCGCTTCCATGTCGCCTAATTACATGCATGCATGACGCCGGCCGGGGGAAATGGGCCGATAGTTCTGCCGCCTGCGAACGGGATACCTATGTATGTTATCGCCGGAGGGGTTCATGACGTGGGCTTTTGGACTGCGCATGACTCTTGATACCTACATTACCAACCCCAATCACGGAAGACATCCGCTACGGAGATGAGCAGATTTAGTTGCATACATTCATGGAGTGGAGAGCTCAGACGGGTGCGAAAGGTAGTGTACTGTCCCATCGATGTCACCAATTGAATGGAATCATTTAAAAGACATTATGCCGGTTTCATTGCTGCGTTGTGACGAGCTTTTTGGGAGATTTGGAGGCCCCCCCCCATGGTGGACGGCTGGGCCGATGTTGTTCGGGCTGACGGGACGGTAATGTTGGGCTTTGACCAAGACAGATTCCTCTGTCGCCCGGCTTCGGGGGCTGCAGAGGAGCCATCTCAGGTGCTGAAAAGTCACTGAGCGAGGTAGGTTTCCTAGATAGGTGGGTGAGGGGAGAGAGTGCCGGTGGCGTTATATTTGACCGTAAAGAAAGAGTACGCGAGCGAGGGAAATAAAGCCCATCAAGATGGTGTTGAAATCAGCTAGGTCGCAGCGGCAAGGTCGGCCAGTTATGTAAGTCGCAGTGGAAGTTCGAGGCCTGTACGCATCCGTAAATATCCCGCTGTCGTGGGTAGCCCCACAAAATTTTCAACTCCACCTCTATGAGGTTGCCTGTGGCATCATGGGTTACACTAGCTTTGAGGCCCCCTAACGAAGTTTTCATCCAACCGGAGAACTTTCCTTCATTGCCTCCTTCTACCCTGCAAGTGGCCACCAGGAGCAGGTTTCGGCTAGACTTGTTGGATTTGCTGCTGCTCGTGCGTGGCGTAACCATCCATGTGCTAGATTGCCAAACCATGGCGTCGATTGCATCAAGGTCAGCGGAGTCTCCATCGCTTTCAGCTTCCCTGGCGTCTACCAGGCCTACTTCGGTAGACTCAAAACAAGATGACGATCTCCCGACAATCCACTTCACAAACGTGCAAGATCTTTTCGGCACGATCGATTGCGCTACTGGGGATTTCCTTGCCGTTACACGTATAGTATTACCCTCTTAATTCTATATAACTAGTTAGTAGCTACACTAATTATTTAGACGTCTCTCCTAGCAATTTTACCGAAATCGAGCGTGAGCGAGAGAAGCAACGCCGCAAGTTCCGTTTCCGTCGCTACCATAGCAATCGCCAGCTCCTTCTTATCACAATCCCGACCGACGTCCACGACACACTTCATCTCGGGATTTATATGAGGTTTTATGCACAACTTGTCAGAAGTGGTAGAGAACACGATTGGAAAACAATTGGTCCCGCTACACGTCCAGCACAGCAAGACCATCCTAGAGGAGATGGCGGTGAGGGTGACTCGACTGGCGGTCCAAAACCGGACCGTGCTACCAAAGGTGCCTGGCCAACCCTTGTCATTGACGCGGGTTTCTCTGAGTCTTTAAACGGGCTGCGTAACGATATGCGGTAGTGGTTCGCAACGTCAGATCACCAAGTTAAAATCATTCTTCTTGCCAAGTTCGAGCATGCTCGCCGCACTATTATCCTGGAGAAGTGGGAGGAGGAAGCAAGGAGTACTCGTCCTGGAGCCATGACGACGCGATACGCTGCGGCCGTTCAGCCTATCCTGCAGCAGATCATCACGATCACAAAGGATCTCACTACCGACCCGGTATCGTACAATGTCACTAGCGGTGCATTGGTATTGGGGTTTAGGCTCTTGTTCCTTCGAGATCCAGGCCCTGGAGAGGGAGACTTTGTCTTGAGTGTTCAAGAGCTGGAGGGTTACGCAGAAGATGTTTGGGCCTCATTGTAAGCTAGATTAGGAGCTAATAAGAAACGGCATAGCCGACCCCAACACACGAATTACAGAGGGTTTCCATGGTGGACGCCAGGCGGGGAGGGGAGTTGGGGAATGGGGAGTGATGCGATTCCGGTCGCTAATAGAGGTGGGGGCCTAAGTTTCAAGGCCAATGGGCAGAGGCAACCACGGCTGGCTCGCAGCTCAGGTCTCACCGAAAGCCACTGCCGTTGGAGGTGGAGCTACCCCCAATTTTCCCGTCCTTGGGCTATCTGGAGTTCCTAAGTTTATCAATTTCGAGTTCCATTGAAGGTACGCTTTGATGAGACGAAGGCTACAATGCTTGGAGCTTCTCGAACAAAAATACATGGGAAGTCGAAACTCGGATTCTACCCAGGATAACTTCATGCAGGTTCTGTTTCTTTGATTCAGTACCATCCCTACCGCAAAAATGATACAACCCCACGAGCAACTCAGGGCACAATGTCTCTCAGCCGCGGAACAGATTGTCGCCGAGTGTGCCACGCTCTCAAGAACCCATGACGACGCCTCATCACAATCGTCATCCCCAAGCTTAGCAGGCTGTAGTGAGCCTCTTATTCAGCTCCTCCATTGGCAAGCCTCCCAACTATTGAAGCTGTATCAAACCAACCCCTCTCAACAAGAATCTCCCGGGACTAGTAACCCTGACCGGGAGAAAACAAGAACGCTGTTGCTCAAACGTCTGGACGATCTCATCTCAGAATCCTACGCCAAGTTCTACGCTTATCTATTTAGCGAACTGCCGGTGTGCTGGCGACAGTTGTATACCGATGCGAGCATTCTCAAGTTTGGATTGCTCTATTTATCATGGCCGGCTCTGGACGTTTCCGAAACTGGGTCGGAAACGGGGAAACACCTAGATGAGATGGTCAAGACGCTAGACCTGGCTATCATACTCGCCGGGGCAGCCGGCGAAGCACGAGGCAGGAGGTGGATCGATAGAGCTTTTGCTTTACTCGAGGAGATCTGGTTGAACTCGCCACCAACATCCCACACCACAACAACAACACCAACCTCAACCGAACGAGAACCAAAACGAATCAAAATCTCACCCACCAGCAATCAACCAGTACCCCCCATCCAAAACGAACCCACCCCCTCCTTTTCCACCCACGAACCCTTCACACCCCCCGTCACCCGCCCCATCCGCCGCGTCCACGACATCTCCTTCGAAGACTTCCAAACCTACCTCGACACGCGAGAGCCCGGCCCACTCGGCCCACTCCCGCTCATCATCACCGGCCTACTCACCGACTGGCCGGCCCTAACCACCCGCCCGTGGCGAAAACCAGCGTACCTCCTCTCACGCACGTTTGGCGGCCGCCGGCTCGTGCCTATTGAGCTGGGCCGGAGTTATGTGGATGATGGGTGGGGGCAGCAGATTGTCCCGTTTGGAGAGTTTTTGGAGAGATATGTGGTTGGTGAGGAGGCCGCCGCCGGGGGAGGGGGGTCGGGAGGCATCAGGTCCGGTGATTTGAAGGAAGGTGGCAGGGGTGGGAATGGTGGGAATAATAGCAAGACGGGTTACCTCGCGCAGCACCCTCTCCTTTCCCATCTCCCTGCCCTCGCGCGGGATATCCTCATCCCAGAGCTCTGCTATACCAGCCCACTACCACTTCCTCTTCCCTCATCATCATCATCATCATCATCATCAACCGCACTTCTTCCCCAAACCGCCCATGACTACAACGGCAAAGAAGAAGACGACGAAGGGAGCTTCCCCCACCTCAACGCCTGGCTCGGTCCCGCCGGCACCATCACCCCGCTGCACACCGACCCCTTCCACAACCTGCTCGCTCAAGTTGTCGGACGCAAGTATGTGCGGCTGTACGCGCCCTGGGCTGGCACAGACACCACCCATCCCAACAACAACAGCAGCAGCAGCAGCAGCGTTGCCGGGACCGCAAACGCGAGTGATGAGAAGAAGAACAAGCCGGCCGAATCATGGCTAGAAACTGCTGCAAAAACGATGCGAGCACGCGGCAAAGAAGGCGGGGTGGAGATGGGGAATACGAGCGCGTGGGATGTTGGGGTGGTGGAGGGTTGGGATGTGCCGCCCGTTGGGGATGATGATGATGATGACGACGACGACGATCATGATCGCGGTGGCTTGGGGGGTAATAGGAACGGGGAGGAAGATAAACATGGGAGTGACAAGACTTCAAATGAGGAGGAGGAATTCAAGAAGGTTGAGTTTTGGGACTGTATCCTGGACGAAGGGGAGGTTTTGTACATACCGGTTGGATGGTGGCATTATGTCAGGGGGTTGCGTGTGAGTTTTAGTGTGAGCTTTTGGTGGGAATGAGAAAAGGGCTTACATGGGATGGGGTATCTGCTCATCTATGACCCAGCCCGCATGGTGAACCAGGGGTAATAGAATCTTGAAAGTTGTGTACATCTAGGCGAATGTTGCTGTCTAAAGGGCCTTCAATACTTTTACAGCGTCCTCAAGGATTTTGAAACTAACGAAATAAGTCACAAGCACGGTATTTACTAGCCAAAGGGATATGGCGATGTATCTCTATGTCTTAACTTCTTTCTTTCCGTTCCTTTTGGTCGCGCAGTGGTCAGTGGATACACTACATACACTTTGTATTTGCATTGGTTGTTGGGGTAATTAGGTGAAGAGTAGATAGAATACGAGTTATCAGTAGGTCATGGAACAAGGATATGTTGAAGGGGTGATAATGTGCTTTATTGAGCCACTATCTTCGTCATGCATCGTTCTCCGCAAGATAGCAGGAGATTAAAACCTCCATCGATTCTGCAACTATGCAGGTGCAAAACAACTCATCGCAAAATACAGGCATGGCCATCCTAGGTATCGTAGCAGGTCTCTCCCACCCTGCAACCTGTCACCTGCCACCATCATCACGTATATATCCCTTTCCTAAACCAGATTACCACTCCAGCGGTTCCGTCTTGACGTCCCCACGGTTCGTCTTGGGCACCGGCGCGGCCTTGACAGCCAGCTTGCCGCCCACACCCTTACGCTTGAGATAGCCAGAACCATCCAGCCATGGGGTCTCGCGCGACATCTTTTGCTCAAAGTCGGAAATCTTGTCTTCCAGTTGCATCGTCAGGCCGATGTCGTCGAGCCCGTTGACTAGGCAGTGCTTGCGGAATTCTTCGACGTCAAAGGAGCACAGCGTGTTGCCATCGGCATCCTTGATCAGCTGATTTGGCAAATCGATCTCAACCTCCCGCCCGGCAACTGCCTCGGCGTGGACGCGCTCGATGTCCTCCTTGCTCTGAATGGGAATCATGAGCATGCCGTTCTTGAAGGAGTTGTTGAAAAAAATGTCGGCAAATGACGGCGCGATGACGCTCTTGACACCGAAGTCGTTGAGCGCCCACGGTGCGTGCTCGCGCGAGGAACCGCAACCAAAGTTAGCCCCCGTGCAGACAATGATCTTGGCGGACCGGAATGGCTCGCGGTTAAGAACGAAATCTGGGTTCTCCACGCCCGGCGCGCTGTAACGCATCTCATAGAAGAGAGCTGAGCCAAGACCTGTGCGCTTGATGGTCTTGAGGAACTGCTTGGGGATGATTGCATCGGTGTCGATGTTGGCCTTTTCCATCGGCGCTGCGATCCCCTTGAGCACAGTAAACTTGGGAAGACCCGCGGAGACACCACCGCCGCTACGAGTGACCGAAGTATTGACCTGTGGGGACGAGTCTTCAGGCTGGTCGGCCAAAGCTTCCTTCTCGTGATCGTCGGACTCAATGCGCTCATCGGGGTGAGCCTTCCCGGAAGCTGTAGGTGTGGGTTCTACCGAGGCTTCGATGTGCGGGCTGCCGTTGAACTGCGAGATCTTCCGGACATCGGCAAGCTTGCCGACGATGGCGGCCGCGGCGGCCATGACGGGAGACATGAGATGTGTACGGCCTTGAGCACCCTGGCGACCCTCAAAGTTGCGGTTGCTCGTGCTGGCGCACCTCTCCTTGGGCGCGAGGATATCGGGATTCATACCCAGGCACATGCTGCACCCAGCCTCTCTCCACTCGAATCCGGCATCAGTAAAGACCTTGTCGAGGCCTTCCGCTTCCGCCTGGTCCTTGACGAGACCGGACCCGGGCACGATCAAGGCTCGCTTGATATTGGAAGCTATCCTCTTGCCCTTGACCACCGCGGCAGCGGCACGCAGGTCCTCAATTCTCGAGTTTGTGCACGAACCAATGAAAACCTTGTCAACCACTACCTCCTCCAAGGGGGTCCCGGGCACCAGGCCCATGTATTCCAACATGCGGCGGCCCGCGGCCTTCTTGCCCTCGGTGGCAAACGTGTCGGGGTCCGGTACAACGCCAGTGATGGGTACGACGTCCTCGGGGCTGGTGCCCCAGGTAACGGTGGGGATGATATCCTTGGCATCAATGAAGACGTCGATATCGTACTTGGCGTCCGGGTCAGAGCGCAGTGACTTCCAGTAGGCAACGGCGCGATTCCACTCCTCACTTCCGTATTTTGGAGCTAACGGCTTGCCCTTGAGGTACTCGAAGGTGATATCGTCGGGGGCAACCATACCAGCACGGGCACCGCCCTCAATGGACATGTTGCAGATGGACATGCGGGCCTCGATGCTAAGGGAACGAATGACGGAACCGCAGAACTCGATAACAGCGCCAGTACCACCGGCGGTGCCGATCTTGCCAATGGCGTGGAGGACCACATCCTTAGAGCTGACACCGGGGGCGAGCTCGCCGTCGACTTGTATCCTCATATTCTTGCTGCGCTTGGTGATGAGGCACTGGGTGGCAAGCACGTGCTCAACCTCACTGGTACCTATACCAAAGGCAAGAGCACCGAACGCTCCATGGGTGGAAGTGTGGCTGTCACCACAGACCACGGTGGTGCCGGGAAGAGTGAAACCTTGCTCAGGACCAATAACGTGTACGATGCCCTGGCGCTTGTCACTGAGACCAAAGTATGTGATGCCGAACTTCTTCACGTTCTCCTCAAGGGTCACACATTGTGTCCTCGAATCGTCTTCTTGGATGAAGCTCGCGATGTCCTTGAGAGCTTTTCTCGACGTCGTGGGTACATTCTAGGTAGAGAGCGTCAGCAAAACATCACACCATGCTTCAAAAGGTAAAAAGGATTAGGTGCCACTTACGTGGTCGGTAGTGGCTAGGGTGCAGTCCGGTCGCCTAACCTTCCGGCCGGCGACTTCGAGACCCTCGAAGGCTTGCTTTGTTGGGTTAGCGATGTTAATATTTGCAAAAAGTTACAGATAGTGTACGCACTGGTGACGTGACTTCGTGCACTAAATGGCGGTCGATGTAAAGAAGGATGGTGCCGTCGAGCTTCTCGTCGACAATATGGGCCTGAAAGACCTTATCGTAGAGGGTTTGGGGTGCCTTCTCGGCGGCCGGCATTTTGACAAGTGCACTGGAAGGCAAACAACAAATCACCTCGTTTCGGTATGAATTTGGCTGGTATTTCAAGCCTCAACAACTTGAAAGCCCCTTCGACACGTTACGTGAGGAGTGAAAAAAAATTTAGTAGACGGCTAGATTGAGCTCTAGAAAGTAAGCGAAGAAATATGAGATAGCGGCGTTGATTTTCAGTGGCTTCGGCGTTCTTTCCATGCAGTTGAGGCTGTGGCAAAGAAACGCGCGGGGAGGATTGAAATAGGAAGAAAAGCCTGAGGAATGACGGGAGTCCACTCAGAAGCCGTCCGATGATGCGGTAGCTCTTTCCACTTATAACAGATAAAGGGCCTCGAATGGGCGCGCGCTCTCCAACTCGGTGATGTTGGAGAACGCCGATATTCGGAGCACTGCACCGGGCTCCGGTTCACGGAATGCGGGGTGGCACCTGTGATTGTCAAATGGTCAGCTTCCATTGGCTAGCTTCTGTGTTCGGAGCCGGGAGGCCAGGGTTTTGTGGGGCCGGGAGCCAAGAACATGCCCCGCGGTGGGCTCGCTTCTTCGCCCACCGGTTGCATGGATTTCTCCCTTCTGCATTGCACCAACCAATGTGTCCTGGGCGCTTTTGGTGCAACCCTTCTTTTCTAATTTTACCCCCCTCCCCACCAACTCAACACCAGAACCACACTATCACCACACGGAACCGATTAGAGCCTACACTCCTATGTAAGCTTGGCGCAATTAGAAGATTTCTTTTGAAACAGCGCTCCGGTTTCTTCATTGCACGCGCATTTGACATGTCATTCTTATGGGATGACAATCCACTGGCGGGGTTACCAGAAATCACGCCGTACCCGGGCCAATCTGAATCGTCGTCATCCTCGGCTCTTTCATCTCTGCCTGCAAGTCCGATCGTCCAGAAAACTACCACTGATGTCGTCAACGATATCCTCAACGATTACCAGCCAATCCATGCTAGCGACGATACTGCCAAAGTACTAAGGGCATTTGTCGATAATCTATCGGGCCAAGGTCTAGCAACGTTACAATCCGAGATCTACATCTTTGCCACGGACCCCCGTCAGCTGCGCCAACTACGCAATTTCCTCACTGACGCGCTTCTAAAGCCTAGTATGTTAACACTATATAAGCCTGCTTACTATATACTAACGCTTTATTATAGTGGCTGCTGCTGGTGGTAAACAGCCCCCAGTTACACCTTCACCCAACAAGTCGGCAGCGTTCGAAATCGAATTGGCCATGACCCAGATTGAAGGGTCGAGCCGAACAGGGCAGAGGTCCCTTAAGAAAGAGTGCCTTAGTAGGGACGCAAATCGATGCGTCATCTCGGGACTCATTGACGAGGAAGCCTTTTCCAGCATGTCTCCGGAAAAACGTAAAGGCACGAGCGTTACAACCGAATGTGCACATATCCTCCCGTTCGCGCTTAGCAATCTCGACGGTAGGAATGCAACGCAAACTAAGAACCGTTCAACGGTATGGTGGGCACTATACCGTTACTTCCCAGCCCTAAAGAACAAGATCGGGGCCGATACAATCAACCAGCCGGGCAATGCAATAACACTAGCCTCGGCACTTCACGAACAGTTTGGTCGGTTTGCATTTGTATTCAAGGCTACAAACGAGGTATGTTATTTTTATATAATTCAAAAGATACCGTTAATATATTTGAATAGGAACATAAATACCATATGGAGATCTTGAATGATTCTTCATTCTATGTGGTACATATGGTGCCCGGTTCTGTCGTCCTTCCCCAGGAAGATGCTAAGGTCCAACGGCCTGACTCGGACATACTTGATGTCCATATGCGTATTGGCCGTATTCTTCAAGTAAGTGGTATTAGTTCTGCCATTTACCAGAGCTTCGTAAGGGGGAGATCTTGTATATATAATATTGCTTCGGATGGATCAACCGACTTAGAGCGCATCTTGAGCGACAAGATGCTTATGCGCATCTAGGAGGTTAGTCACCGTCACAATTGTCTGGTCAAGGAGCTCGGCTCTGAAGAAGAGTAGAACGAGGAGGCTCCTGGGTAGGGATGCCTTGTGCAACGGCGATTCAAGCTTACATAGCACTTCATCACCACCTTTTGTTCTCTACCTTGCACGGTACAACCACCATCTCCTTCGGCTTAACCCAGTACTGTCACGTCTGACCGTCTGACCCGGTGAGCCCCTGGCCCCTCCCCCGGCAAAGAGAAATTCGCGCGCGTTGTTCAAGATCTCGGCGCGACCGCCAATCGAAGAAGTCCTTAGCTTTGGCGCCTGTCTTGAACACACCGGATTCGGAATCTTGGATTCACGCCACTTCTCACACTGGAGGTGCCAAGCCATGGGGGTGAGGACGATCAATGTTTCGGGTTGTGTGTGAGAGCAAGCCGCTCCCACCCGAAGAACCAACTGCCACCGGCTTCAACAACCGTTGTTGCATCGAGAGCTATTCCTTTCGAAAGGTCCAACGTCGATTGGGATTCTAGTTGAGGGCCATTGGACGACCGGTACATGAAATTGATATCGCCATCGGCCCGATGAAACCTCGGGTTCGCTCCTCCAGCTCCCTTCCAGCTCCGTATTTTAGGATCGGTGGGCAGGGACTTCGCACTTACATTTATTTCTGGGCTTCATGTACTTTTTCACAATTTTGCTGGTTGGCCGTCGCGGGGCCCGGCATTTGGTGGAGAGGGCCGATATCGATAATTAGATCCCGGCCGATCAGAAGTTTCACTGATCCGCTGCGACCCATCAGGAAATGGGTTCTGTTTCTGGTCGTCTCCGCATCAACACGTAACAACATGAGCTTCCATTCGACCAAATTTGACATGAAAAGATACATTCGGGGATTGAGGTCCAAGAAAAACAGAGTCCAAGAAGAACAGAATGGAGGATAAACGAAAAAACAAAGACATTTGCATAAAATTTGCCCCAATTAACAACTACATTATGTTTACTTTCGCCGCTACGGTCTGCTAACATTTCCTCTCAACCTTGACCGCAAGTTGGTGGAGTTTCAGTTAGTAGCAGCACACGATAGCTGCGATACATCCCTCCTCACTCGTGTCACTCTAGCTTCCATATTGGTGACGTTAACACTTGATGTATCATCAGGATTCAGGCTTATAACCTCCAGGCTTTCAAAATTTCTTAGAGCTACGTCCTCCTCGTATTTTGTCCTTGGTATGGCGGCCGGCAGTAGTATATAGAGTCGGCTGATTATCACTTCACACGTCCACCATGACTGGGACAATAACAAACACGGGAAGCCCCTGACAACAACCTAAGCCATGGCCTTGGCACTACACGTCTCTAGAGTGAAGAGGTTCTTTGCACCACCTTACCATTTGGTTTCTAGCTTTGGCCAGGGGTATGCGTATGCGTAACGGTTTCAACACAATCTAAAAAACAGAAAACGTTCATGATGGTGTGGCTCAGCGCTTGTTTAAGAGGTACGTGTGGTCTAATTATCAATGTGTTAGTTTCAATGAGTGTTCGTAGTTCAAAGTCCAAAAACTTTAGAACGCGACGCGTTGCGGAAAGGGGGACTGTATCTACCGTAACCAGCTTTTACTTTTCTCCTCGGCATAATGATACAACCGAAGCCAAGAATAAAGTGATCGACCTTCGTCTTCCACGGCCCATAACGACTCTTGCTGAAGCCCTAGTAACATGCTTACAGGGAGAGACAACTTTGGACCTCATTCCACCCCATTTCATAAACCCACCACGACACCCAACACCCACCCAACATTCCTCAGCACTCCTACAGTCCAAACAACCGCCCTAAGCACCCAAATCACAACTACAGCCGCCAGAAAAGCAAAAGCGATTGCTAACACACATCTCAAGATATCGCTAAGGGATGCCGTCCGGACTCCCCTATCCAGCCGTTTCCGGATTTCCGAGGTACTGTCAAACACTGGCCTGACCATCTGCCAGTAGGCGCTTGTTATCCTTGTCAGCGCCACCAGCACGTTCCGGATCCACTGGCTGATGGGCAAGTCCCGAAGGTTGTTCAGGGTGTTGCTGTTGCCCATGGGAGGAAGTAACTTGCTCTGCTTTCCTTTCCCCCGGCTCATTTCCACTCCCGTCGTCAACTCCATCTGGCTGCCCTTCTCGCTCTGTTTCCCCTCCGGGCTCAGCCCCCACCCAACCCGACTTTCTTCGTTTGGTTTCACAAACCGCCTGACCGACACTCCCTGTCTCCGGTTCGCTCCCTATGGTCTCGTACCCGCTGCCTGGGGATGGCGACCTGGCTTGTTGTGGTTGAACGCCGATATCGGCCCTTTCATTCGGGCTATTGTTGTTGCCATCAACAGTGGCCCCTGAGAGGCATCGCCGTGCTGTACAAAGGCTGCCCTCGCGGCGCCGCATGCCGCTTTGGTCACATCTTCGTGCTCGCTTGGTGGCATCATTGTCATCGCCAAAGGAGATTGGGATTGGTGAGATCGGGTCGCAGGGAGTTTGGAGCTGCGTGGGGGTGTGGGTGGTGCGTTGTGTAGGCCGGCCTCGCTCTCCTGACGCATGGTCTTTTTCATCGTCCAATCTTGATTTTGTGCTGGCAACTGATTTTCGTCGCCCGACACTGCCGATGGGTGTGGCTGGTCTATCTTTGGGGTTGGTCTCCCATGGTCTGGCGGCCGAGAAGTAGTATCGCTGTGTGGTCCATGCCCGAGATGCAGAAGGGGGGTAGGACTTTCCTGCGGGCCGCGTTTCTTCATCTCGTTCTGACCTGAGGTTGGTATCGTCGTCTGCGGACCCTAGCTGCTCGACCTCCGCAAGCCGCTCTGTCTGGTCATGCTGGGGGAAACCAACTGGTCTGAATAACCGTGTTTGGTCGTCATGGCCGAGAATCGGGGTAATATTGTCGGTGAGACTATCCTCGGAATCAAGGCTTCCGGATTCAGACGACCTTCTGACTCGTCTAGAATCGCGCCGAAGGGATGGGCGGCGTCGTGGCGGCGAGACTGACCGAGTTCGGATCCAGTAGTGATGATGGTGTGTGTGTAAGCATATGGGAACTCCGGGTCCTGGCCACAGACGGCCCTCTTCGAGTCTGCTGCCGGTACCATATCTCTCAGATCGTCCAGGGTGGCTAATTCGCTGGGTTGACTGTCCTTCCATACCTCCCCTGGTTCCGGGTCGTCCAACATTTGCACTCGGTCGTGAGACACTTGCTGGAACTTGGGATGACCTGGTATTTTCTGATCGTCCATATGGATATTCATGAGGTTGCTTGAGGTCCATTGCAGCGTATGTATTGAGGGGCGACCCACTTCCTGGTGAAGGGAGACCGCGCGGTTGGGAATAAATGGGGGAAGATAGAGCATGGCTGTCAATTTTCTGAAAGGAGACTGATCTCTTTCTGCCACTCTGTTCTCCTTTCTTGCCCTCATGTACTCCGGCCGTGCATATTTCTGTATCTGTATGACCAGGAAGTTGGTCTTGCTCTTCACTTCTCCATATCGGCGGCGGCGGCAACGGCCGTTCACCGTTTCTGCCACCGCCGCCAGTCCTAAAAAAGACTCGTGTCTCTTGGGATCCGGGGATAATGCGTCACTTTGAGCTGATGACTTTCCGCTTCCTAGTGGGGATTGGATTATTGGACTTAAGCTTGGTTCAACCACTGAGCTCCATCCGCCTTCTTCCTTTCGCCATCGTACCCCTCTCTTCGCTAGAACATCGCGTATCTCATTCTTTCTTTGTTCGGCCCGATACATTCGTTCTTCTTCTCTCATCAGCCGCCTCTGGTTCTTATCTGCCGTACCGCGCGAACGATCGCCTATCTGCCACGCACGATCAAGACTGCGGTCGTGGCTTTCCTGGCGTGGCCGGGCGAGCGCAGGCTGAGCGGAACTGCGTGAGCTAGACGACGTAACGACAGCATCATCCGAACTAGTGGGTGGCGTGATGATATCGGGCGTCCCGGTATAGGGGTTCACGCCGGTAACGCCGAGGAAATCACCACTGGAAATAAGCGTGTGTCGCTCCCGGCGGATAGCGAGCTTTTCATGAAACGGGCTGCGCTCCGCACTGCCGGGTCCAGGTTTCCGGAGACTCGGTACACGGTTCCCAGAAGGACTATTGTCATCCTTGTGGGAGCTGGGTCGAAAAGGGAGATAGTCTTCGTCTGAGCTTGAGTAATGCGAAGGACGGTTGACATCCACAAGGAATGGGCGCCGGCAAGACGGAGAGCCCTGACTTCTGCGTGGAGAGCTGGGCTGCAATCTGGTTTGGGTCTTCGCTGGCGTTCTACTCCGAGCCTTAACGGAATCTGCCCTTCGAGGCGGCGTGAGGGGCGTGTTCCAGAGATTTGGGGGTATGCTGTCCGGGTCAAACCGATTCAGCGAGTTTGACCTTTTCTCTCGGAAGGTTTGTTTCTGCCCTGGTACGGTTTCCGGTGACTGGTCCTCCCAAGCATCGTCTAAAGTCGGCCGAGCCGTCCCGCCCCGCTCTGGGCGCATGCTGGGTCGTAGCTTGGTAAAGAACTCGGTTACAGACTTTGAAAGATTCTTTCGCTTGGTACCTTCCAAGGCTGTAGACGCCCTCTCAAGGCGGCGAGCCGATGACCTTGACGGGTTGCTTGGGGTGCGATTCTGCCGCCGAGGGGAAAGAGGTACAGCCTCCCCCTGCCTCGGGCTCCGGAGAGGTGAGGGGGCCATGCTGTACGGGCGTCCTTAGCCCTTTTCATGGGATGGGTGTGAGTTGTGGGGGTTTGGCGGAGGCAACGAGGGATCAAAGATCGGGATCCATCGAAAAGAAGTACAGTAGCATGGCGCTTAGACAATCAATCTGACCGCCTCTAGACAGGCCAGGCACCTAAGTAAGCTAGGTAGGTAAGCTAGGCACCTGGGCTGCCGGGTGTTGAGTAGGTACATATGGACCTGACCTTCGTTGGAAAAGGAACCGCATTCGGACGAGGAAGGCACTACCTAGCCGGGCTGTAAGTTGAGGACGCCCACGACCTCTATCTTAGATGGAAGGAACCATGGGCCACCCCTAAGCTATCTGGCACAAGATGCTCCTGGGGAAGTGTCAGCGAGCACAATTTCTGCAAGGAAGTTGACCTAATCGTATTGTGTCCATCGCCTTGGTGTCCTACCTCGTACCTTATTTCCAAAGTCACCAGAGCACCACCCCAAGTATCAGATTTCCAGTAGCTGGGCCATGCGGCCCGAGGACGAAGTGGGTGTTGAAACATGCGCTAGAAAGAGAAAATGTCAAGAATAACGATGAGCTTGAAAGAGAATAAATTAAATTGCTTAACGCCCAGCCCCTCTTTGCCCCAAAACGCCCGGGAATGATAAAACACGAAAACAATACCGCCTGTCCAACGGCCATTGCCAGCCCCATCCTCTAAACGTACAAAGTATCACATTCCGCAACCGAGGGTATTTCACAACCTCCTCGTGGGGAACCGTTCCTGTGTCCATCTACTCGCCCTCGCCCTGGCTAACTTCTCGGGAGAATGAAGATATGCTGCTGAGCTCAGTGGCCGTGTCGGGTTTTGGTCCAGGTCTCGATCCGGCGATGGAGCACCCGTTGCAACACGGTGATAGTCTTTGAGCGGACTACTCTGGCGCACCATGTGCCCGGCCAACTCGCGTTGCTCAAGCGCAGCCATTTCACGATTGTTTCGTGGTGACTGATACCCGCCATTCATATCACCAAGACTGATCGCCTTCTTCAGCGGTGAGTTCATATGGCTGTACGCACCGAGGCTACCGCCGTAACCGGGGCCAGATAGCTGGTTGTGGTTTGTGCCGGTAGACGTACCCGTTGAAACGGTAGTGGGTCTGGAGAGGGAGGAAGGTGTCGATGGTGATCCATTTACGCCTAGAGACGCGCCTGGGGGAAGGCTCCTGCGAACCGGTGACTGTCGTTGCTGCTGTACCTGAGCAGCAAACGACGGTGGCACCGAGGTCCTAGGTTTGGCCAAAGGGGTAAATGGGTTGACAGGCATCGACGACTGGATCTGCGGCGACATGGAGTTACTGGACCGATCCCCATCTGGATCGACATATCGCGCATAGCTTGGGTTCGGGTGTGTTTGGAAAGACCTTTGAATCAGCGTTGCTGGTGTGCCGACTCTGACCTCCTCCTCATCAATCCTCCCATCATTGATCGACACCTGCGTCGAAACTTCGCGAACTACGGGGTGCAGCCGAGGTTGTACGTATTTGACGTCGTATTCATGCATGACTTCCTTCTGGATAAGAGCTGTGTCTTTGCTCTGCTGGGAAAAGCGGGAGTGCATGACCAGAAGCTGCACCGACAGTATAATTTGTAGGAGGAAACACTTGAACACCGTGACGCTCGGGCGGGGGTCGAGGTTTGGCAGGGGGAGGAAGAGCATGTGGATGAGGACATGACCCGGGCTGAAGAGGCAGAACAGGCGCAACGTCGCCGGGTAAGGGTCCCATATCTTCACCTCCCACACATCCCGGGTCCTGTCGGGGTGTGCTCGTTGCTCGGCGGTTTCGGGCATCAAGACCTCACGAATGAGTCGCAAGGGCGTTGATGAGGCGGGGGGTACGTCGACGCGAACGCGCTGCGCCGAAGGGGTGCCGAGTTCGTCCCCTTCCACATTCCGTTCGAACAGTCGGTAGTGTCGTGTCCGCGTTATAGTGAAAAATGCGTTCAAAATTGAGAACGAAATCAGTACCCATTGGAGGAAGTTGGCCTGTGGGGATTGTTCGCTTGGTCAGTGGTGTCTTTCGGTGACGATCCTAAGGAAAAAAAGTGAAGAATCTCGGGAGCTCAGGCTTACCACAAGAGTGAACCAGCCGCTGGCAGGCGCGTCACCAAACACATCATCCACCGCATTGTGTGTCGTGCCGGCGTTTGCTCTCGCGATTAGGAAAACAAAGTTAGCTGCCAATCCAAAACGAGTGCCGAACGTTTTGGAGTCCCAGTCGAAGGTTTGTATTTCTTCAGACAGCCAGAGGTAGAAGTCCATAGGGTTCAACAGCGTGCGAATCCTCTCCGAGAGAGGCCGGCGCCTCACGAGCCGTTGCGGCCGCGATGCCATGGCTACGCAGTAACTTGAGCTGATCGTGGATGGTGGTGTGTAGAGTTGATGTTGATGCTCGCGGATTCAGCAGAGCGCGTGGGCTTTGACAAAAAGACGTGCCGGGAGGGCCAAGCAGTTGCCGGAAGCGGCAAGCAGGGATTAGCAAACATGGGATTCGACAAGGGCGGAAGATGTGGGTGGGGCCGAAATGCCCCATTATTTCCGGTGGGTCTCGCCGTGCCTCTGGCCAAGCCCGCCTGTTGGTCGCAGCTCGGTCGGAAGACCGCACGCCGCTTGCTACTCGTTGGCGGTTCACTTGCTCTCAGTCCCAGACGGTTGCTGTGACCTTGCGGACCCTCAGAACTATCACAAACCAAGCGGCGACGCTCTACGCCGAACAGTTAACGGTGCCCAGGCCGGTTAGTCCCAAAGCGCTGGATAAATAGCAGGGTCCTTCGGTGTTCTCTCTATTTACTGGATATTCGTCAATCGCCTTGCCAACCACCCAACCCCGCCAGCCAACATGGCGTCACAAGCAGACTTCCGTGACAGACAGTTTCTGGCCGTCATCGGGGACGAAGTAAGTTACTGCTCCAGCGATGTGGGCGTGACGACTTATGCTAATGTGTTTTGATTAGGACTCTGTCACCGGGCTTCTCCTAGCAGGCATTGGCGTACGTCGCAGCGGCTTCACTCCTCCACACTCTCTTCCCTGGACTAACACCTGTGTTCACAGCACGTCACGGCGCCCCCAGACAACCAAAAGAACTTTCTCGTGGTAGATGCCAAGACGGACAATTCGGCGATCGAGGCAGCCTTTGAAAACTTTACAACGGAAAGGAAAGACATTGGGATAGTCTTGATCAACCAACATGTCAGTCTATCCTCATATGGACGCTTGTCTCTGGATATTGTGCGGCTGTCCGGTCTGGCTGAGAGTTGATACTGACACTGAGACTCGCGCTGTGCAGGTTGCCGATAGGATACGGAACCGGATCGATACCTACACTCAAGCGTTTCCCACAGTCCTCGAGATCCCGAGTAAAGATCACCCTTACGACCCCGAGAAGGATAGCGTGCTACGGAGAGTTCGTCGGTTATTTGGCGAATAGCCGGACGTTTTATGTCGAACAATACGGAGAAGCTGGCATACAGGGTGGAAATGTCGTGGTAGATCCGAAGCCGTGCGAGTTGAACACAATGGTGGCAATGATTTGGACAGATATGAATGCGCTGTTGCTTCCATTACTGTGGGACTCGGTATCCCGGGGGAGTTTTCTAACTATCTGGAGATGTGGCCGCAGAACAAGCGCGCTAGGAGATGTGAAATAAAACGCCATTGTGACTCCGAATCGACGGAATGAATTAACCCAACATGCTCATCAAAGATCCATGGATATACGCCTGCTAACGGCCCAATATTTGACCGTGCTTGCACCAGACACTACTAGTAAAAGGAAAGAACCAGTGCTCGTGTCCCCAATGGTTAGAGATCGAGAATATCGCTAAGCGATTTCTTTCCACCAAACACTACTGAGGCAGTCAAGCAGGTGATGTGATCGTCATCGGCACTGTAGACATCGGCGCGGACAGTGTATTTTCCCTGGATGACCTCCGTTAGTATCATTTCACTGCCCTTGGGGAGAGGCCATGAGAGAAAACGTACTGGCGGGATTTGAGAGGGCAAGTCGACAGACTTGGTGATCTTGAGCTGGCCCTTTTCGATTGGGCATTCAAGGTCGACGTTCTTGATTTCTTTGCACAAGTCGGCCGTGGTACTGACCAAGCGGATGTAGCCGTATTTGACCTCAATGAGGACATAGGCGCCCTCAAGGATTCGCTCGTTCACCGTGCCGGTGGCGATGATGTCGAGGGTCGCACCACTGTAAATAAGCGAACAGTCAGTCGAACATGCATCAAATTTCAGCTCGCCTTTGTCTTCACCTAGGCCTCTTGAAGATACTGGAATAGCGGGTGTTTGATGCACATACGCTTCAGGCGGGTTTGGCGACAGGTTCACCTCCTCAATGACGATCAAGTCGTCCTCACGGTTGGCATCGCAAAAGCTCAGCGGGTTGTCGCCGGGGACGGAGAGATCGGGTTCATCGCCACGCTTGATTAGAGCTGACGAGCTTCCTTCGTGCCGGAAGACGTTGCGCGCACTGGCGGTCGCCGCGAGGGCGAAGGTAAGGGCAGAGAGCCTCATAACTGACTAGACTCCTTGTCGCCCTGCAATTCGATTATGAGAGAAAGTGGAAGGGGAGGCGCGCTAGGTTGGGGTCAATTACACGAGTTCGTCGGTTCCAAGACAAAGGAATGAATCCGGATTTCTCCCAAAGTTCGAAGAGAGATAGATGAAGTTCAGCAGTTGAGGGTTGGTTTTTGATGTGATGATGTTGTCCAAGATGGCGAAACCACACAAGGCGGCCGTGCTGACTGGTTAAACCCGCCACGCCGCCTGCTGGCATCCCCAACCGCACGTCATGGGGAAGGAGCAGGGGCCACAGTTGTTCGGCCCCCTGCCCGCGCTTGACTCTATCCGGCTTATCATGTGAGCCAAGGTGGGGCTATCGGCAAAGCCCTGCCATCCATGACCTTCGGAGGCCGCAACCGAAACAGGGGCGTGCTGCACACGCGAACACTGTGGGGCTGTTGACTTGCAAAAGCCAACGAAGAGCAGGAACCAGGCTGTCAGCTTTTCGTCGGCAACGTCGACAGCATATATAACCTACTTGATACCCATACAATTTCTCATTTCGTCCTTTTCTCCCGCAGAATGCGTACGTCTCCACCGAGCCCGATGCGAGAGTTTCCGGCCCCTAAGCTCAACCCGGAAAGAAGGCGGGAAGGGAGTTCTCGGCAAAACGAAAGGAAACGGATAAACAGAGATGGAAGAAGGAGATGAAGTAAAAAACGTGCGAGCCAAGGCGAAACGTCGAGAATCCCACCATAACAAACCCAGATCCCAAAAACAGCCCTTTCAACGCCACTTCGACAAAACCGCCGGTGACCACCAGAGTAAAAGAGGCAAAACCGCTGTGGCACACCGCCCGAAGAAATCGTTTCGCTCTGCGCCTAGTAGCGATCTGGATGCCGCCCGAGAATGCCAATCGTCCAGTCACCACCCGCCCCAATGTCGTGGCCTCTAACTATCGAGACTCCTGGAGGATCAAAGTTATAGAGTGATGGGTCAATAATAGGTAACGGCCAAGGTACCTATCCCTCCATGTCCGAGAAAACCCGTCCGGATGTCGTCACATTGCAAAGACCATATCACAACCGATTCACGGGCATAGCATAGCAGCTTGGTCTCGGAATGGGTTGTTGTTTTCCAAGTGGACCCTGGAGAAGCCCCGCTCGCCTGACCTTGCAGCAGGCTGCCAAAGCGAGTTGCAGCATTTCCTTCCCGACTTCATATCAAGAAGAACAACCTTTCTTCCATCCCTCTCCGGCCCTCTGTTCCCCCAGACACGTTCTTAGCCCCAACTTAATTTTCAACCTTCCGCAAATACATTTGTCAACGCACTTTTCGCAGCCGCCAGCTGTTTTGTGCGCTGCCCGCATTTCCCTCACAAACCAACTTTTCTCAGTGGTTTGTTTTTCCCCTTCTCCCGTTCCATTTGTTGTTGTTACGCAGGGGATGCGCGGGCGAGAGCTTGCTGACGGTTCCGTTGTGTTCTCAAGTCCAGTCTTCCCCGTCGCTCCGCTTTTTTTGGCCGTGAGTCTGAGGGGACGCTGCACAAGACGCACCAACCAACAACCGTTCCTTCCTCAGTTCCCCGCCGGCCAATCACACACGGAGCTCTCGGTCTCCGTTAGCCACTTCCTCCATATCCTTGCTCCGTTCTGAGTCAAGTGCCTCAGGCTGCGCTGCATCGAACCTGCCTGCATGGGTGGAGCGAATTTCAGCGCGGCCGCCCTCTCCCCGCCCACTTGCTGCACTGGTGTGCATCAATTTTCCTTCTCATCAGCGCTTCGATCAGGACAGAAGAAGTTGGTTAGCCAAGAGGGAAGTCGCGGCGTAAGGGAAACGGCCCTGGCATCCTTTCTTGATCAATTCTTCTCCCTTTACACGTCCGATCCAAGGGCCAGCCATGCTTTGCAGTGCAAAGCTGTCCGTGATTGGCCCATACCCACACATTTCCTCCGTTTTCCTTTCGAACAGCATCCCGGTCCCCCAAGTCGCAGCCCGTTCTTTTGCTCTTGGGCATGGGGGGGCTTAACACTGGATGCTGCGCTGCGCTCACTGCACTCGCCGCACCCTCGTCTTCTCATCGAACCCGTGTTGTGGGCCCCCTCTCTCTTGGACTTTCCACTCTGGCCGGCCCTCTTCTCCTTCAAACTCTGCCTCTCCTTCTTCGATCACCACAAATTTCGCGTTCACATCTTCGTCCCTCGCCCCCCCGAGTTTAGGAAATCCAACCTAGATTTCCAATTCCCCACCTAGCGAACTCGGTTTCATACCCCCGAAGTCTCTTTGTTCCCGAAGCGCATCCGCGTTCCCCGTCCCTCCCATTGTGTTTTCCCATCTCGAACCGGCCTTGGTCGCGATCGCCACATTTGGTCCGAAGGACGACAGTGCTGGCTATTCCTCCGCCTGCGCTCGGCGCCATCACGATCACGACAAGTTAAGTTCGACAACGAACCGTGCCGATTGACCATTGTCGCTTCACTCGGTATTTCGCTATCGCGACACGACATCGACCTCAAGAACGTCACCTGCGTTTCCTTGTCAAACCAACAATCTGACGACACGAGCAGCACCGTCGCGGCGGTGTGTGGCGCCGCGAGTATAACATCACGAGCGTCCAAAGGCGGGCAAGACAGATTTCGCCTCCGCCGACATCCTCGACGATTCCCCCTCGAGCCTCAATCGCGTTCACACGCGCGACAAGCATGCCATTCCGACCGGAGAGATAAACCATTCGCATAATCCCTCCGCCGCTTGGTCGTCGCGAGGCTATTGCCAATATTATGACAGACAAGCCGCCCCCGCTGCCGACGCCGCTCGTGGTTCCGAGTCAGCCAACCCTCTCTCTTCCAAGCGCCGTCTCGCGAGACGTCACCCGGAAGCAAGAGACAGCGGACGAGGAGCCGTATACCATAAAGTGTATTTGCGGCTTCCCTGACGATGACGGAAACACGATCTACTGCGAGACATGCGACACTTGGCAGCACATTGAGTGCTACTACCCCAACAGCGTCGAAGATGCCCTTCGCCCGACTTTCGCACATTCGTGTGTTGAGTGCGAACCACGACTCCTAAATCATGAACAAGCTATCGCTCGCCAAAAGGCCAAGATGGCCGTGCCAGTCATGGAAGCAACGGCCGACAAGAAGCCGAAGCGGCCACCATCTAAGAGCCACAAGAAAAAGCCAAAGCCGTCGGATCTTCAGATAAACGGCGTTTCACACGGCACACCCGAGAACAAGCACGCCAGTCCTTCCGACAACCCCCATCCCACCAAGAAGGCTAAAAACTCGCACAAACCAAGCCAGTCAATTAGCTCTCAGACCTCTAAACGAAGCCCGCCCCACGGGAATACTAAAACGGCACAGAATCACCCTTTGAGCCCTGCAACAACGCCGCCTGATCTTCCCAACGACTTTGAATTACACAACTACTCGTCGGGGTTCGTGTCGTTGTACAGTGATCAGGCGTTCCAGATTGTCAACACGAACAGCTATGCCGGTTTACAGGTTTCAAATACAATGTTGACCTGGCTGCGCGACCCACTCCGCATGCAAGCAGAAACCGGTTGTTCTCCCAACGACGTCTTCCAACCCCTTCCCGACAACATGGATTTGCGCAAAGTCGCGCCCGAAGTTGAACAAGACAAAAAGGTCATTTCTCCAGGCACTACGGTACAATGCCGCTGCTTGAAGGCGCCTTCGGATATTAAGAAGGACGTACCGCTTATGGAAGTGAATGGCCAAATTGGCTTCCAGGCGGCTTACTGCGCCGATCCCGAGAACCGCTACTCAGAGCTAACCGCTCCGCTCCCTTTCGTCCTCTTCCATCCAAGTCTCCCGCTATACATCGACACACGACGGGAAGGGTCCGAGGCACGTTTCGTCCGGCGCAGTTGTCGACCGAACGCCGTGTTGGAAACATTTATCTCGTCCGGTAGTGAATACCACTTTTGGCTGGTGAGCGACCGCCGGATTGCGGCCCGTGAGCAAATCACGATTGCTTGGGACTGCGGGTTCCCGGCGGCGGAGAAGGCCCGTGCGCTTCAAGTACTGGGTCTGGGAGACGACGTCACAGCATCACATGTCGAGCCCAGCGTCACCGAAAATGACTACCAAAAGTACTCTGGCTGGGTCCATTCTATCCTCTCTGAACATGGCGGTTGCGCATGTAACCTTGGCCCAGAATGCTCCTTCGCACGGTTTCATAGGAATTACCTTGCCCAAAGCCAATCGCGACCGGGTGCGCCCAAAAGCAAGAAGCGCAAGCCAAAATCGCAGCACGCGATCTCGCCGACGAGCACGGGGCACGCCACCAACAGCAGGGCCGCCAGCGAGGGCCATTTGGAGGAGGTTCCTGAAAATGAGCGGAGGTCCGTCTCCGGTTCCTCACGCAGTAAGCCACCAAGCCGCGACATGACCCCAACAGCGAGACAAGGGTCCTTCGACACTCTCGGTATTTTAACTGAACCCACGGATCGGGATAAAAGAAAGGTCGCCATGGTTGAAGATTCGTTCCGTCGCATGGAGCAGCAGCAACATCAACATCATCAGCAACAGCAACAACAACCCCAACGCAAGAGGAAACGGGCGTCTGATGGGGCAAGCACCAACCAGACGAAATCGTCGAAACCCAGTTCAGCAACGCAAACGCCAAACCTTCCAACGGGGTTTCCGGAACGTGGATACGTTGATGCTGGGACGGGTACCTCAAGGGGCAAATCTGGGTCGCCGAGTGGTGCAAGCCCCACTCATGTCGGCCAAGCACGCAAGATCCCCCCATCGAGGAACTCATCGGCGCCTGCCCCGTCTCGCCCTAATTCGGCGGCGCCACGCGCCAAATACTGTGACGCGGCGGTGCAGACTGATTTCTCCGACGTGGGCGACACAACGGCCCCGAGGCGGAGAGTGGGATCCTGCCTCAGGAAGCGGATGTTGGAGAGCTGGCACCACGTCCGCATTGAGGAGGAAGAGCGTTCCAAACGCCGCACACTTGAGCGACCATCCACGGCTGTGAGCATGGAAAGTCAAAGCGACCAAAGTACGCTCCAGACATCACCAGCGTCTTCTAAGGGGCCCGAGAAGGGCCCTGGCCACGACGATTCAGGCGGCGGCTTGAGAGATGTCACGATGATGGACGCACAACCAGTGTCTCCAGCGGTGACGACCATTCCATCCCCTGTTCCGGCAGGCAGCCTAGTTGTCAAGACCAAGTCGCCAGAGCTCCGGGTCGAGATGCCCCCTGTTCCGACCTTCCCAGCCGTGCACCCGACCGCTTCCCCTGCTTCCACGCCTGTCTCGGCTGGGCCCGGGGTGGCCCAATCGCCTTTCTCTGTCACCAGTCTTGCGAGCCCCTTCGCCCCGCCATCGGTTAACAGCACTGCCCCGACACCGAGCCCGGTGAAGAAGAAGCTGAGCTTCAACGACTACAAAAGCAGGATGAACAAGGCCGGTGCTGCGCGACCGTCGGTTGGGACAACGCTGTTGAAACCGGTCTCGGATGCTGATGAACCCAAGTCCGCCACGAGTACCGACGGCGGCGTAGCAACGAGCTCTCCCGTAATGGAGAAGCCGGGTGAAGGCCCCGTCGTCGACGAGACCACGCCGGGTCTGGCTGCCCCCGGTGCCGTGTAAGATAATATCAGCGGCGACGATGAATCCATCCCAGCAGCGTCAATCTCTCTTTCTCTTCTTTCTTCCTTATGAGTTTTCGGACAAAAGCTTGGCTGGTTATGAAAAGGAGAGGTTGCTTCATCGGTTAGCTAGCTAACTGATCATGGCTTTTTTTGTTTTCTTCTCTTTTCGCGCCCCATTTTCTCTTCTCTCCCTCTCTTGATTTCAAAAAAGGTGGGCGGCTATATCTTTTTATTCTAATTGGTTTGGGGATGTGGTCGGCGTTTGGCAAGGGAGCCTCGGACGGGCACGTCACAAAGGCCGGAATTTGGGAAACGGAATTATGGGTCGGCACAGGCGGGCTATCTGTTTGGCGACCTGCGGAGTCGGCCCGGCAGGGTTACAAAGTTTATTCGGCTTGGGCGGGTCGGTTGGTTTGGGCTGGCTAGCCAGGTTTGGGGGTTGGGGGTTAGGAGCGTTGTCCCTGGGTTGTCTTTTTGTTTCTTGATTTCCCCCGTTCGTTTCATGAACGTGGTTGATTCCCTCCCTCTCTCTCTCCTTTGATTTGTTTCACGCTTGGCTGCGATTGATAGCTTGATGTCAGATTATGATGAGATAACTTGAAGCATTAACAAGGCTTACGGCCGAGATACTATGATGCCTTGGTTCTCGAGATGATGATGATTCGTCCTCTGATTAAAGCTAGTGCTGGTTTCTTTTTCCGGACCCTTGTGGCAGTGGGCCAGATGATTTGTTTCTCTTTAACGTCCCTTTCCTTCAAGTACACACTCTAAGTACATTCCCAGTAATGAAGATTCACTCACCGTTGGAGCAGGCATGCGACATGTGACTAGGATAAGTCGATTACTGTTCTTCTCAGCAAGTGAGTTGCTTGATGCTTGCTGGCTCTTAAACAACGATATTATCCCTAGAAGCCAGGTCCCGCCTATCCCTACTCCCATCAACGACGATCGACCGGAAAGATGGTACTCGGAAACTGAGGCTGCTCAGGATAGGCGGGAGAAGATGCTGTTTGAAGGAGACGCACCGGCCCGTCCACCCTTTACCTGGATTACCTACTTGCACCACGGTGAGCAACATGTTTGGTGCTTTTGTGCCCCGTTCCTTTCGGCGTTGGGTATTTGTGAAGTGGGACGCTGCGCAATTGGAACGTCAGGGGGGTTAATTATAGTACTTGGATGTGGATAGATGCAGTGACGTGCCAGAAGCTTATTATCTGCTAGGCTACAAATCTAAAGATTCAGCCGGTTGGCAGATGTGAGGCGTAATCCCAGGTTAACACCACAATTCTATTAATTTAGCACCGCCCGCTAATAGGTGCATACAACACACTTCCCTGAATCAACAATGCTCCCACCTTATCCCACCACCAGACGCACTCCCCGTAAACATGCTACCCAGAAAAGTCCCCATTAAAACGGCAATAAAATAACCCAGATTCATAGCCATGATGGCGAGCATACTAAGCAAAACACATAAGACAACAATATCGATCCTAGAAGGAGGAGTGAGGGACCCTACAGCAGATATCCCAGGCCCACAACGACGGTTTCCCACGCCGCCAAGCCCAAGGACAATAAAAACGAAGAACGGAGGATATATTTTTTTGAGTCTTGGTAGCTGGCGCTGGCTTCATCCCGAAGACAAGCTTCCCGCTCCCAATCCTGTTGTCCCTGTTCAGCTGTTGGGCAGCTCTCATCAGAGAACCGGCTTTGCCGTTGCTTTCTACGTGCTTGATCCGGCAACGGCCGAATAGTTGAGAGAGCGCGTGTTGCCGCCGCGAGAATGATGAGGGCGGCACACGTTGCGGCGTACTCGCCGGTGTTTCTTGGTTGCCAGGATGCAAAGAGAAGTGGTGTCGTGGTTGATTGGAAGAATACAATGGACATCATTTTGCCGGGGCCCTGTTGCCGATGAGTAGTGTCCGATGAACAGGCCTTTGTATCTGGTGATGTTTCACTTGTCGAGCTACTGGGAACGTCGACATAGAACAAGAGCGTAAGGAATACTTCTATACAAACCCGACATTTCTGCTTGAGCAAGTTATCCCAGATCATGGCCAACAACTTGAGGCCTTCCTGGCCAGGGACTCTGCAATAATAGGGTCAGGACAGCATATTTCACGCCGTAGCCTGTTCCTTCTGGTGGGTCGATTATAATCTGCTCACCAACGTGCACATCCACAGGCGGGTTACGGAAATACTTGCTCAAACATGCTTCGGTCTATTCTTGGCTCTAGTTGGGAGACAACAGCAACTTCTAATCAATATCCGATTATCGCATCTTTCTTCGCTGAGCTGTTGCGCACCTGCACATACCTGAACTGTTGCGCTTAGTTCCGTGGTCGATCCCGGCTATCTAGTCAACATCAGCACTCGATACAGCCTCTTAGAAAAGGGCACATGAGCGATAGGAGTGAAAGAAAGTCAAACCTCACACCTAAAAAAACAACCCCCATAATGCACTGATAACCCTAACTTGGCAACGCCAGGGCAGTTTGACACTCGCCCATCAGATAAAGCTATTGAGCGAGGAACCAGCGAGGTTCTGACCCAGTTGGGGCTGTATCGCCTAGTAATCATCGCCCACAGCACTCAAATATGTAATACCTCGGCTGGATATACCTCATCTACAAGACACACAGGCTTTGACGGTCGGACGTGACAGAGACTCTACCACTACCAAACAAACAGGTAGCCAACTCTGATCCTCCTTGTCCCCTCAACCACCTAAGACTCCCAAGGACGAAAACCCCCTCCTCAATCCCGACCGCCCACCCGACCACCACAACATAAAAAGCCCATTCCAGCCGCCCCAACCGGCTTTCCCAACTCCCGACATCCCGACTTCCAGCCCCCGAAAACCCCCAAAAGACCGCCCCCCCCCAGCCTCCGACAAAGTAACACAAGACAGAGAGCCATACATACATAACCCCCCCAAAGACACATTCCGTACACCGTAACACAACACAACACAACCCCCAAAACACACACACACAAAGCCGCCCCCAAATTCCCAGCCTCCATCCACCCCAAAGAGCCGCGCCGGAAAAGAGAGAAAAAAGAAAGAAAGAAAAGAAAGAAGATCAACAGGGGAGGGGGATAGGGGGTTGGGGGACGAAAACATGCTCGCTCATAACGCCGACAAAACGCAGTGTAACCCGAACCCGAACCCGAACCGGTTCGCTCTGGTCGCTGGCTGGCCCGACGAGCGGACGAGCCAGTCAGCCAGCCAGCCAGCCAGCCTTGGGCGACGCCGCTCGGGTGAGGATACCCCGGTTGGGATATAGAGTCCGAAAGAGAGAGAAAGTTTGCTTGAGATCTTGTGAGTGTAAAAGTCCCCCCTAAAATCTCGAGTCCCGAGTTACCGAGGCTATCTATCAAAAGGGGAAAGGGAAGGCAAGTAGGGGACTAACTAAGCAGAGGACAAACGAGAACAGAGAAGAAAAAACGCGAAAGAATGTCTTAGACACTCGAGGTGACAGATGCGGCTTAAGACTTCCCTGAACTTGAACAGGGGAACAGGGGTAGGAGCCGTTACTTTTGGACTTTTGGACGGGGAAATAGATGCCGAGGACCGATGGGGGTTGTGTTAGTTAGTGGGAGGGCAAGAGGGAGAAAGATAGGGATAGGAGCGGTTGGGGTTTTGTAGAGAGAGGATGGGCTTAGGATATGTTGGCTGAAACAAACGCTAGTAGAACAAAATGCCCACGGCGGCGTGATATTCACGGGATGGAAATACCAAAGAACGAATTCGTGAGTATATACTAGCCCCAGAGAAGCCTCATGCTTATATCGTATATTCATCAACACCATCAACCATCAACCATTGACCCGCGAGACCACCTCCCCTCCACTCTTCCCGTCGTAACGCTAGACAGAGTCCCAGGCGCGAGCCGTCCTGACCGAGAACGGGACGTGAGACTTATCCCCCCCAATCCACCCTGACACGCGTATCCAAGCCCACCCACCGCCAGCTAATACCGAAAACTGCAGAGAGCGTAAAAGGCAGAAGTTGGTATCGTATCGATCGAGTTCGAGAAAAACAAGAGAGGCGAAACCCAGAAAAAGAAAAAAAAGGAAAGGAAAGAAGGGAAAAAGAGAAATCTACCACCAAGGGAGAATATATCAAAACCGTAAAACTCAAATGAGAAATGGTTCAGGATATAGAACAGAGCAGAGGTACCCGCACAAAATGGCATGTGGTATAGCCCGCAATACTTCATATGTCAGAGAGAACGAACCTCCAGAAAACCCCACATAGGCCCATACTTTTGCGCCTCAGGTACATCCCCCTAATACAGCTGTTGCAAAGCAACATAAGGTATACAATCCACCATCAAGTCATTCATGCTCCTGTTCCCTGGACGTAATACCCGCCAGTGGGGTTGAATCCACTCAACGAGCTCAGCTGCACAAGATAATCCCAGTCCATGCCTCCAAGTTCGGTATCTTGCATCGGCGCGTTCGCCGCACCCGCTGTACCGTGATGCATTTGGTGGGCAGCATGTTGGGGATGCTGGGTGTGTGCGTGGGGATGGCTGGTAGCCGGGCCGCCGGCACTACCGGCACCGGCGCCGTACATTGGGTTCCCCATGGCGTCGTAACCCTGGTACATAATGGCATCGTCGATCATCATTGTGCCGCCTGGAGCCGCAGCGTTGGAGACGGACGGTTGGGGGATGTGTTGTTTGTTGCCGCTGGCGTACATGTTTGGGGGTGTCAGGTCGGGAGGATGAGGGCCCATCGCGAGGTCGGAAGGTGGTGGTACCCCGCCGGGGTTGTTGTTGTTGGCAGGTGCGGGTGGCAGTGGTTGCTGGGCGGAGAGTTGTTGGCTGTGTGGTGGGATCATGCCGGCATTTCCGGGGCCGGAAGACATGGTGGTTGGGCGCCTAGTTCTAGCGGCCAGAGTGGTTCGTAGTAGTGTGACGACCTTGGGTGTCGGGAGTGACCGGCCCAGCTGGAGCTCGGCAGCCTCGCGGGCGTCCCAGGCTTTGACGAAGTAGTGACCGAAGGCAATGTGTAGGGGGTTCTTATTGAGACGGCGTAACAGACCACGCCGGTCATGGTTCTCGATCATCACATCCCAAGCCCGTTCACATAGTTCACCCGTCGTTCGGTGCCGAAGTTCCGAGACCAGACAGAGATACGCTGGCAAGGGGAAATGAGCGTACGTGTACCATCGGAAACCCTGGAGTATGTCAGAGCTCTGGATGATGTTATCATACTCGACCATACGGAGAGCTTCCATAAAGTAACTGTCGCGCTCGTTTTGGTCCACGTTTTCGGTGTTGGCGGTTCGGCAGAGAAAGTCGATGATGCGCAGCTTGCACAGCGCTTGTCGAGTCATGAGCAGCGTGAAGTAGTGTAGCGGGATCTTCGGGTCGCATTGCTTCAGGTACACGTTCTCCACATATGCGCAGAAATTCGCAAGGTTCTCCGGCAGACTCTGGTTCGCCACGTGTGACACAAGATCGGGTGACGACGGGGATGGGCTGTAATGCACCATCGGTTTGTGTAACGGCCGTCCTCCGGGCGTGGTAACGGTCCGGCGAACACTGTCAGGGGACGCAGCCACGGTGAGTTCGATACGGGTGAGACAAAACACCATCTCGGTCGGTCCGGCGTAGGGGCCTGGCTGCGCGGCGTGAACATTTAAGTCCGTGTCGTTGATGTTGAGCGGCAACCTTGTGTCGCTGGGACACGAGGATAACGCGGTGACCGTGGAACCGGTGATCTCGGCGATTCGCTTATCGAAGACGACGATATTCCACCACAGCCGTCTCCGCTGCTCTGCCTCAAACGGCGACACGTTGGGTTGAGAAGAGCCATCCCGATGTATACCTAACCGAGTAGCGCTCCTAAACGCCAAGCCAAGGAGGCAGAACATAGAGCGGGGGTCCACGAAGGGGCGGGCGCACAGCTAAGACACTGTTAGAGGGCTCCTTGATCGAACGTAACGGAAAACCGCTTTGGGGTGAGATTGTTACCAAGTAGAGGAAGAATGCCTGCAGCACCTCCAGTTCTGGCGACCGCATGAAGCCCGCGTTAATAAGTGCTTGCTGTGTAGCATTGTGGTACCGTCCGAGCAGAATTGCTCGGTCTTCGTCGAACGTGCTTTGGACCTCCTCTTCGGTAAGAGACGTGATAGCGGCGAAATAAATGGCAAAGATGAGTGCTTCGAGAGGTTTGGAGATCTTGGCCGGGTTCGCACTCGCACTGATGATCTGGGATTGTAGCGTGGGCGTGTGTGTGATTTTGAGTAAAGGGTCGACGTTGTTGATGTAGATCTGCCATAACTGGAACATCTGGATACCAGCAGGGTGGGCGGTGGTCACGCTGGCAGGGGCGCCGCCGACTACGAAGGGGAAACCGTCGCTGTTGCCGAACATGGTATCATAGGCGTTGTGTATTGTTGGGCCTTCGTATTCTTCGTCTGAGGATTCATCATCATCGCCTCGGTACTATCAACCGAGTCAGAGATCGAAAAAGGTTGACGGAGCACGCAGCCCCAAAGAAACTCAGAGTTAAGTGACGGCGGAAGGGATCATAACGGGGATGGAGAAAGGGATGGCAGACAACCGGGGGGGAGGCGGGTAAAACAAGCAACAAGGGCAAGTCAACCCAGGCAGTATCGCATAATTCCAACGCGAAGAAAAGGCTCTCACCTCATGCCGAAGCGCAGCCCATTTTTGTCTAGATGAACGTTAGCCCGATACAGTTATGACGGGCATACGGACGGGGGTAGATAGCATCAACACATGGACATATATGAGGAGAAAGGCTGACTTTTCATGGCTGTGGTCGGGCGAGACGTGGTCCGCGTTACTTGATGGGGACGTCTTGAGCCCGCTAAGATCCTGTTCCAGGTCGGCGACATCGTCACCGTTGTCTAACGGCTTCAGATCGTGGGCGATGGGCTCAAAGTTGACGCCGGCCTGGGAGAGCAGCGACTCATATTTGCGCAGGCGGTCGATGAGGTCCCGCTCGTGCGGCTTCTTCTTCCGGCGCCGGGGCGGTTGAGGAGGTACGACGCGGCATTCGACCTGGGCCTTGACGCAATTGGCACATGGCTTTTGCTTATCGCAGCGCACTTTTCGTTGCTGGCAAAGAACGCAGGAATGGCCACGCGTCAGTTTCATCACCGCCGGCTCGGGCACGGGGACCCGCGGAGGTGACGGCGGTGGCGGCAACGGTTCGGAGAGAACCTGCTCGGAGGCCATGGCGTAGGTGTATATAAGGGGTCCGGTTATGTAGGGTCCTGGTCTTCGTCTGGGTCCGGCTGGGCCGTCGTCTGTCGTCCGGATAGGCGAAGCTACTGCTCGGGTCCGAGAGAAAGAGACGTCCGCAGCAAACTGGTCCCGGTGGGTTTCAAATGATGGAATGTGCCGCTCCCCGCCCGATTTGGCGGGCCTGTCGATTTCCCAGGTCTTGTTTTAACCCCGGTTCGATGACCCGGTCCAATCCAGACGTGCAGCCCTGCGTACTCTGCGTACTAGTATAACTAGGCAACCCAACCGCAAGCACCTCGTCGCATGGAATGAATGCTCTGCGTACTATGATGCTATAGTGTTGCTCGTCGATGCACTCCAACACCAGCAAGCGGAGAGGTCAAACCCCGCTGGTGCTTGCTGCTTCAACCCCCGCGGAGCCGAAAGCTGTGGTGGTGAGTGATGGGGGGAAAAAAAGGACGATTTATTACGGCGCAGCTGTCAACCCACAAGACCACTAGCAGAACCTGAGGTGTAAAGAAAGGCCAAGAGTCGCGACCCAGAGCTCGACGAGTGTGCCGCAGCCGCCGAAATGCCACAGCAGGTACACAATACCGAACAGACTTGACGCGCCGACGCAGCGAGTGGCGTTCGAGCCTTTCCACGGGAGCGAGTGAGATGAGTGGCTTGAGGCTGCGGGAGACTGCGGGTCTCAAAAAGAGCTTACCCCCCTAGGAGATCGGGGGCTAGAACGCGGGATCACGGAAACCAATTTGGGTCAATTGAGCAGTCGCAGCGACGGCAAAACGCAGGGGGGGGCGATCATAGGAGGCCGGCGGCGAGGTGAAGAAGAAGATGAAAAAAGGAGTCACGAGCAGCCAACAGGGGAGACGGAGAACAATTGACGCAATCAAGGCTTCCCAAACGCCAGACGCCGCCTTGGGGATGCAAACATTTGCGGACCGGTATCGAGCAGTGAAGGCAGTTCTGGAAAAGAACCGCACAGTCAACCCTCCCTTCAACCCCTTTCCCCCTCCCTTCTCTCCGGCTCACTCACGACCGAGGCAGGGTTGATGGGCCATGGCAGCGCAGCACTGTGAGACTGGTGGGGGAGAAGAAGGGTTGCGTCGAACCAAACGCGTTCGTGAGCAACAGGAGGTGGGGGAAAACAACCTCGGGCCCCCCAGAAAGTAGCCTCCTCACCTCAAAAGGACGTCGCAGCGCATTGCCAGCTGCGAACCGGCCGGCACCAGCAGGCAGCTCACGGCCTCCATCTCGGGACCGAGGGATGGCCGATCTTGGCGGGGCTTGGCGAGGAGAAGGCGGCACAGACTGGCGAAACTGGACGGGATTGGAGGGCTCAACACAAAAGAAGAAGGCGCTATGACCAGCTGCACCGTCCCCAACAAGGACGGCCCCCGAAAAAAACGTGTTTTCTGTAACAGGTGCGAAGTACGAATATGTATGTACATTAAGCTACTATCCTTGAGTGGAACAGAAGCTGCAAACTCCGACGTTGAGGGAAAGAACGGAACGAAAAGGAACATGGGGCAACGCACAAAAGCAAGCCATTTCAGGAAGCCACCAGCAAAAATACGATGGCGATCGATTCCTCCTCCGCTCTCAGGCCAATTTGACTGCCCTGGCCAAGGGCGTGCGCTCCCGAGCTTCGACTTCATAACTACCTAAGTGACAGGACATATAAGGCCGAACAGGGGGTCGGCCGGATATGAGTGGGGAGTCACCGCCAGCCCAATAAACATCGTTCTTTTCAACGCCCACTTTATGTCGCTGGACGACAGCCCGAGATATCCAAAATAAAAAAAAGAGAAGGAGAGTAAAAAAAAAAAAATAGGAACGGACTGAGCCGAGATCTGGTCCAACCCGCCTGATTCGACGCAGGCCGAGTCGCCCAGTTATGTATCCGTCCATGCTTGCTTGCCCACGCGCAAGCCCCGACGGGGGCCCTGCGCTTGACAGATGGCCGCAGCTATGGCGCATGGCGGGTGGCAGCTTCCGTATAACACGGGACACCGGAGGTTGCGCACAGGTAGGTAGGTGGTTCAGAACACTGCCCGTTGCTGGTGCGTCTCCGATCGTCATTACACCTAGTACAGTAGATCTCCCAGCCCTCGGGCAGACCCGAGCTCTCGGTTTCTTGCCGTTCGTATTCCATTGACGCAACCACGAGTGCAGGTCTCCTTCCTTTCGAAGTCGGATGTTTTGGCCTGTTTCTGGTGGAGAGAATGAGGTCGTAGCAGAGGTTCACATTTGAAACCGCGAATCCGCCGCCTGGTTATCCCTCGATCCACCCTTCGACCTTTAGGCTTTCGGACCTTCTCTTGGGGTTGACCCCTTCATTTAAGAACCTGTTGGCTGCACAATCCATACGTGCCCCCCCGCCCTTAGCCCTCTGCACGCCCTGGACCTCACCAACTGCCCGGCGCCTTGAATCGCCGTCATGGATCCAGGAGCCTCCAGGTCGCGACCTGCCTCGCCAACCGCACCGGCCCAAATGGTCCCAATTGAGCTTCAGGACAACGCGAACGGAAGGGGAATAGTCCAAACCGGCAATGGCCATGCCCAGGAGCATCCGTACTCCTCCGAGTCCTCAGCCGGGACCGGGCCAGAGTCCGAAGGTGGCGAGCACTTTCAGCCCAAGAGCTTGCGCTTCTGGTTGACTTTGTTCTGCAATTTCCTCGCTCTCTTCCTCGTTGCTATCGACCGCACCATTATCGCCACTGCGGTCCCCCGCATCTCGGACGAGTTTCAGGCCCTGGGGGACATCGGCTGGTATGGCTCTTCGTACATGTTGACGACCGCCTGCGCTCAGCTGCTTTTCGGCCGCATCTACAAATTCTACGATATGAAGTGGTACGTTGCCGTCACACCCTTGTGCGAGGCCCCCGCCCTGCTAACGCACACCGCTCGTCATCTAGGACCTTTCTCCTGAGCATAGTCGTCTTCGAAATCGGGTCGGTGATCTGCGGAGCGGCCCCCAACTCGAACACCTTTATCGCCGGCCGTGCGGTAGCCGGGCTTGGATCCGCCGGCATTTTCTCCGGCTGTCTCCTAATCATGATCCCATTGGTACCCTTGAACCACCGCCCCCTATTCCAGGGCATATTCGGTGGGGTTTTCGGGCTTGCCTCTGTCATGGGCCCCTTGGTCGGTGGCGGCTTTACCGGCCAAGTGACTTGGCGATGGTGCTTTTACATCAACCTTCCCATCGGCGGGGTTGTCCTGATTCTAATGTACCTTTGTTGGAACTCGCCAAAGAAACACCATGACCTGGTCAACCCGGCGGACCATATTAACCGTTTGAACCCCCTGGGCATGATATTCTTACTTCCCGGTATTGTCTGCCTCTTTCTGGCTTTCCAATGGGGTGGTTCGACGTACCAATGGAACGAATGGCGCATCGTTCTCCTGCTAGTTCTCTTTGGCCTTTGTACGACGGCCTTTATTGCTGTGCAGATCCTCAGACCAGAGAATGCCACTGTGCCCCCGAAGGTGATTACCCAACGGAGTGTCGCGTGTGCTACCAGCTTTACCTTTTTCTTGGCAGGGTCTATGTTGATGCTCGTCTATTACATGCCGATCTGGTGTGAGTTTTCCCTCCCAAGCCCCCCCCCTCAACGTTTATGGGTTTAGTTTTGATGTTGACATGGCCCCAGTCCAAACCGTTAAAGCAGTCGACCCGATGAGGTCGGGTATCAATACGCTCCCTCTTGTCCTGAGCCTGGTTATTTCGAGTATTATCTCTGGCGTGGTGACTCACAGGATTGGGTACTATGTTCCGTCCATGTACGTGGGCCCGGCGCTCATGTCCATTGGCGAGGGCCTCCTAAGTACGCTCGACCGCAGCAGTCCGACCTCGCACTGGGTCTCTTATCAGTTCATCTCTGGCTTCGGCTTAGGATGCGGAATGCAAACCGGGTCGCTCGCCGTGCAAAAAGTCTTACCGCCAGATGACGTTAGCACAGGCGTTGCGATCATTAATTTCGCTCAACAGCTCGGAGGGGCCGTATTCACCTCGGTGGGCCAGACCATTCTTACCAACATATTAGTTTCAGAACTCTCTCATCTGCCAGGATTCGACCCCAAGCTTCTCGTCAGCGAAGGTGCCACCCAAATAGTCCAGAGAGTTGGACCCGAAAACGCCGACCTCGTCATCAACGCTTACAACACCGCCATCCGACACACTTTCCAAACATCCATGGGCCTAGCATTTGCGTCGTTCTTGTGTGCGTTCGGAATGGAGTGGAAGACTGTCAAGAAAGGCAAGAAGGAGCCCGGCCCGCCCGGTCCGCTCCATACACTCAACCCGCCCAACGACGAAACCCAAAATGGGCTTACCTCGCCGCCCCCCGAGATAAGTGATCCGGAGAATGCTACAGGCCCGGAGCCCGGAAAGCCGTTCTTTGAGACCGCTACACGGCATAAAAAGAAAACCCCCCGCCCGTCGTTGCTGAGGCCAATACCATCAGACGAGCCGCCGCACACCACGGACACACCGAGGGATCCTCGATTTCCCGCAACCCCTCCCCGCCGACCTAGTATAACCATAGACGGCGTATCAGACGAGCTTGCCTACGCGCTCCAAGATTATCTCCGTTACGCCGGATACCCCTCCACCAAGTCTCAAGAGGCCGAGGGGAAGAAGGGGGACAAAAAATGAGGCGCGGGATACTGGGTATACCGCATGATTCTTGGGTTGCTGGCAGAGTAGACGACGAATAGAGGAGGATTGGAAAGAGACAAGCGTAAGACCATGATGGGCCTGTTTTTGGTATCTTGGGTAACGACCTGATGAGTCTGCTGTGTGGCGTGCTTGTCTCTACTTCATAATTCATTCAGAATAGTCTTCTAATACAGCGATTCCTTGTCACAATCTTTCGAGAGAAAAAAGGCGTCGATGGCGTTTGCAGCTGTTGATCATGGCTGAGATGGGCTTCAGAGATAGGGTGGGAGGCGATATCCACTGCTCCCAGGAACTCCCCTTCTTCTTCCAGTCTCTTCAGCTCGTGACTAATCTCGGGCTAGTACCTTCTCGCATCCTGGTCACTGAAGAGGCATGCCATGTTACCGGATAAGGGAGTTTCACCACTTCGGGTGTTCGGCTCGGGCCCTATTCTCGAGCTCTCTTCCATTGCTCGATCTGTTCCGGAGGGGCAATTGGGCACGCCCACGTTAGAGGATCACATGATTTTATATTGCAAAACTAGCAGTAGACAACTGACTCTTGTCTTCCATTCTACAGTCGGGGTCGAGGCCTGTTCTGCTGATCCATAGAGGCGGGGTTGTGAATGGGACATGTTCCTGCCCCGTGTGTCGTTTGAAAATAGTCACATAGCCAACGTCTTGGCCTGATGATGGAGGAGTGTACAGTGGCCTTCTTAATTCAGAGTCTTCATTGTACACACACGTATATGCATTGTCTCTCTGTTTTGTACAGTACATACACTACATCATACATAGCACCTAACAACAACTGAGAACTGGGGGGTCCCAGACCCCAGCCTGTTTGTTGAATGAAAGAAAGTCAAGAGGCCATTTCTTGTTTCTTTCCCTTTCATTTTGAACTCTTCCACTCTTGCCCTGATAACACCCCTACTCCTCCCCCTTATTGCCGTCCTCTCTCGTCGTTTCGTTGTAGTGAGAATCGAATCCAAGATTGATTCACTTCGTCCCGATGGATCGAGGAGCGAAAACGACTGCCGCGAGTAAACTAGGAGGTAGGAAGACGAGCTGCCTACCTACCCACCTGCCTGAGCCCCATCCCCAATTCTCACTCCCTACTTCACAACAGACAAACAACCGCCGCCACACTATCATCACCCACCACCCACTAGCCGACCAGCCAACTAACCTTTGATGCAAAACAGAAAAGAAAAGAAGGAAAGAATACAAAAAAGGGAAAAACGAAAGAGTCCAACACCTTAATTCGCCCGAGCCCGTCTAAGGTAGTCGTAGTAATAGTGGTCGTTGTCGGTGTCGTAAGCGTAAAAGACGAGAAATCGTAGAGACAAGAAAGAAATCTAGAGCTTTTGGTGGGGTGGGGAGATCTGTCGTTGGTTTTGGTACAAGAGGATTTTATGTATGCCCTGCTCGGCTTATTTTAAGGGGCTTATTTATCAGCCAAGTGGGTGGTGGGGGTGCCTTTGACGGCACTACCGCGGGGGCTTATATCAGAGTGTAGGTAGGTTTGTTGGTCTGTTGCCGGTGAGAATGTTGTACAGTGACCCGGGGGTGATGGCCGTGGAAGGGCGTCGTCGCTGGAGGTCATCAATTTGGCTATTGATGTGCTATTACCCCCCTCTCCCTTCATTATGGATCACGAATGGATGTCCATTTTAAGACGAGCCGGAGCCGGAACCAGATTGCTTGTTGTTCTTGTCGTCATCGGATTTCTTGTCGGCGGTGCTGTCGTCCTGGGGATTCTGTTGGTGGGCAGGGTGGTTCGTAAGGTTGTGCCAGAGATTCTTGAGGAAACCCTCATTCTTGTGGGCCTCAGGGTCGTTATCATCGGTTGGACTGGTGCCATGTTAGCGCCAGACGTCATGAGGAAGAAAGCTGGTGGTGAAGACCACTACTCACTTCCTGTGTAGGTTCATAATCCGCTTCGCCGTTTTGTCGCCCATCTCATCCGCGAGCATCTCAACGAGGGCGCGCTGGTTCGATGACAGGTACTTGGGCAAGGCGACGCGGAACTCGACCTTAAGATCACCCATGCGGCCGCGCCGGGCGTTGAGCTTGGGCATACCCTTGCCGGAGAGGGTCATCTTGTCGCCAGTGTTGGTACCTGTGGTGACGCGCACCTTGGCGTCGCCATCAAGGGTCGGGATCACCACGTCACCGCCAAGGATAGCCGTTGTCAGCGGGATCGTGGCTGTGTACAGGATGTCCGATCCCTCACGGCTGAACTGCGGATCGCGTGCAACTTTGATGTGAACAAAAAGGTCGCCGGAGGTAGCACGCACGCTGCCGGTCACGCGGCCGGTGGCCGGTGCATCGCCGGCACCAGGGACGCGCAGCTGCATGCCATCTTCGATGCCGCCTGGGATGTCGACGGTAACGGTCTTTCGTTCGCGCACCACTCCGTCACCATGGCACGAGCGGCATTCGGCTCCGCGTGGGACTGTCGAGCCGGTGCCTTCGCAAGCCGAACAGGTGCTGGCCATATGGAATCCCCCGGACATCTGGTGTACACGGGTGCCCGTTCCGTCACACACACCGCACTGCGACCGCTTGGTGCCTGGCTTCAGGCCATTGCCGCTACACGTCGTGCATGTCACCAACGGCATGGTGGTGATGGTCTTGCTGACGCCCTTGGCCGCCTCCGCAAACGACAACGTCACTCGCACCTCCACGTTGTCACCCTGCAGGATCTGCGTTCCAAACCCTCCGGCACCACCACGTTTCCCACGCCCGCCAAAGGGTCCCGTCCCGCCCGTAAACGCCGAAAAGAGATCGTCGAAGTTGATGTTCGCCCCAAATCCACCACCGCCGAAACCACTCGCGCCGCCGAACCCACTGAAGGGGTGTCCGCCTCCAAACGGATGACCACCTTCACCAGGCTGCCCATTCGGGTCGAATCCAGCTGCGCCAAACTGGTCAAACTGCTCGCGTTTCTTGGAATCCGACAAAATCTCATAGGCGGACTGGATCTCGGCAAATTTGTCCTTGGCGGTTGGGTCCTTGTTGGTGTCTGGGTGGTACTTTTTCGCCAAACCGTAGTATGCCTTCTTAATCTCGGCCGCGGAGGCGTTCTTGTTGACGCCTAGGGCACCGTACGGATCCCGGGGGGTTGCTAATAGTGGCCGGGTCGTGTGGAAATAGACCTGCTGAGGCTTTCTGTGAGCAATCGTACAAGTAGTAGTGGGGTGACGGAAGTCAAGGGGATAACAGACCCTGGACTGAGGGGTAAATGAGGGTGCGGCGCGCAGCCCAGGTGATGGGCGGGCACACGCCGGCTTCGACATGATGATAGAGTAGGAGGCTGACGGCACCGAACGAGCCGCGCAGCTCCTGAGCCGCTGACGACGGCATATCTGGGCAGGCGAGAGTTGCCGCGCCGGGAGGGCGGCTTTAGGAAGGATACTCGCGCTCATCTCGTCCGACTGGTGCTAGGTTCTGAAATTGGCATGCCCGCAACAATCACCGGGAAATGTTCGATTTCGGCGAGTTGCAGGCTGTGGTGTTGGAATACACGTTGGGAAAAGGCTGCCTTGGTGATGATGTTTCCTCAAAACTTTTCGATGCCCGCGGCTTTGGAGTTCACCAGCAACTTTTTTTAGGCCCTATATGATTCGTGCAGACAGTCCATCGAGCCCCACCGACCCTACGAGAAACGACCACCAGCTTCCTCGAGACCCATTCAGCATTGCTCCTTTTGTGTTTGCATGAGGAAAATCAGATGGGACCCTGGGCCCGGCAATCTTGAAGTTTATAGCATTAATCTTTGCCATCCTATCCAAAACACCATCTATAATTTGCTTTCCATTACGGAGTACCGACTTTTTCTCTCCCATACGTCCCCCTCCTTTGTCAGCATGAAGGCCGGCTCCAACCGAGAGACCCACCAATGAGCGGTCTTGGCAACGCGATCTTTGTGATACCGCTGGACAGCTGTTCAGCCACTCTCAGTTCGAACCAAGAAGCTAGAGTAAAGGATGATGCTTTGTTTCTAAACCAGCAAGAGTAGCGAAAATCTAAATACCAGAGAGCGCCCAAAAACTCCCGTGCGGCCAAGTGGCCGTGTCTCTAAATGGTGCGATATGCAAAATACACGGGTATCCCGTTCCCATCCATCCCAATAGCAATATTTATTCGATGCCGCAACGCCGGCCTCTTCCCGACCGAGGGTGTCGCAAACGCTTCCGCCGACGACGAGTGCTGTGTTCCTTCTAACAAATATATATAAGTTCTGCAAAGTGTCGAGGCCCATGACCGAGCCAAGTTCAACCAATCATGAAAGATGGTTGTATGAGAACCATCATCGCTCGACATTGGCGTGTATGTACTCCCGCTGCGGTGACTTCCCCTTCGTTACCCCTCGACTGCGCACCTTGTGCAAGAAGTCGACCAAGACGTCATTTTCTTGTACGCCCATACCGTTGAAGTGCTTGCGCACCACGTTGGTCAATTGGTCTTTCTTTTGTCGTCGCAGTTCTTTACGTCGCGCAATTGTGGGGGAATAGAGCCCGATGCTGCCGGGCTGTGTGAGTACCCATTCGTGGTGGTCGCTGACGAACGCCGTCGGGGTCTTGAGTCGGTAGGCTCGTCGGTAGGCGTGGAGAACATCTCGCTCGAAGGCTGGCCATTGGAGCTGGGTAGCGAAGCAGTGTCAGCAACTTTTGTTGTTTTGAAAGGGAGAAGGCTAGGAGTCTAGGGACGAGAGAGAACTTGACGGCCACTCACTCCTGGGGCACTTGTCTCTTGTGTGTTGGTTGTCGTTGAGTCGGGCGCAATAACCGTGGTTGGAGCTGTTGTCGAACTTGCGTTTGTCACTTCGCGGAGGTTGGAGCCCGCACTGCTGGCAACCCTTCGCATCTTCGATCCACCGGTATTGCCATTCTTTTCTTTCCCAGTCGGGCCATCCGCTTTGTGATCGTCTTGGCCGCCCCGGGCGGCCTTTGAGGGCGGCATATCGAAAAAAAAAAAGAAGGGCAAGTGAGCAAATGCGTTTGGGAGGTTCAGGGAGGTGCTAGAGCTATTCGTAAGGGCACGTGGGAATCCGGAACCCTGGAGGAGGTGCAGCGCCGTTTTTTGATGTTTCGAGGAGTCCGTTTTGCTTGTCACATCTTATCGCGTACTTGGCGGTAAGAAGGTACAAATCTGTATGCGGGTGAAGTCGTGCAGTTGGAGAACGAGGGAGGGGGCATTGCGAGAGAGAGGGGTCTTGGACGGAGCCAGAAAGAGATTGCAGCATGACAGCCCCGGGTGCAGGTTTACTCGGGGCAACAAGCGCGGCAGGCAAGGGTTCTGCGCGTTGCGTGCGTGCGGGCAGCGCGCGGCTTTTTCCAAGGCTCTGACGACACAGGGGACTTTTTTTGGTGGGTTCACCTGGGGCTTGCTGTGTGGCTGGGGCAGGCACTTGGCTTGGGTTGGGGTCGCGGCTGTTCGGCATGACAAGCTCGGGTGTCGGTGCCACAAGACCCGACGCACTGGGTCCCGCTTGAATCTTCCAATTGCTCCTGCCGCATTGTGGTTCAGGGAGCCTGACGCCATCCCGCTCTGCCCCAGATTCAAGCGAGTAATTACTTCGTGCACTGTAGAGTATTTTATTAGGTACTGCCCGGCAACGCTGCTGTTTTTTGGATTGAGGGCCGGGACAGCGGTTGACGGTTTCTGGCCTGACAAAGCCATGGGGTAGAGGAGTTGACAATGCGACAATATATTGCACCCCCCGAGAGTTGACTTCGGCCGACGGCGTGTGAACCGGCGAAGCTATCCGCCCCGAACGTTCCGGAATCCTGTCGCCCGAGGCCTTTTCTTGGGCTGGCGGTTATCGTCTGTCTTTTTCGCCGGTCGTTTCCGTCGAATATCCCTTTCCTCTCTTCAGAGGTATGAAAAGTGATAAGAAATTGAGAAGTCATTTCAATCGCCACGGCCTTGGCCGTTGCAACTGGATGAGACCGTTGGGGGCCGAAAAATGGCCTGGACAACCGGATGGTTCTTCAGCTGCTGTGAACCTGCCACTAAAGAGTAACCGAAGGGGTTGTTCTCCAACGACCGCCGGGCCAGATGATAAAATTCGGAATTGGAAAAAGTTACCAAATCCTGGGACAAAAGACGTGTCACGGGGGTCGGGGATTCAAGGAATGAGGAGGAGATCCGAGGCGGAATCGCCTTGACCGTTGGAGTTGGTGCTCATCCAATCCTGGCTTACTCTTCGTGTTGTACAGACCCGTACCACACACCGAAACCGCTCCGAGCCCTTCTCTTGTCATTGGACAACCCAATTCCCCCATTCTTGAGGCAGAGACAACTTAACCTTTTAGTCGACATGCAGCTCCCAGACTGCCATTAGGGAAGTCAGTGGCGTTCCGACTTAGTGTCGAATTGATGATCCTTGGGACTGGTCGACTGGTCAGGTGCGTCCGGCGCCCATGCCTCCAGCCCGACGGAGTCATGAAGAACAATGGGGCGGATTGTTATAAAATGGCGATTCGTTCAAAGAGAACGGCAGGGGCTTGGAGAGGTTGAGAAAAGACACCCACGCACCCCACGCCCAACGGCAGTCTCAAAAAGCTCCGCGTCGATCTCCCATGTCAACCCCACACATCGGGGACCTTGCCTCGAACAACACAGAAGGCCGACCATTTCTGGAAGAGGGGGGACCTTGTTGTTCATGAATGATGACAGTCAATCGGATTAACAAGTACGAGGATTCCTTCCCACCCGGAATTTTTGCTAGGGTTCTTTCTTCCGCCTTTGTTCTTGTCTCACTGCGCTTGACGGCCGGAGAAGCTAACTAGTGCAGACTTCACCAGCCAGGAGGAGCAACGACACACCCTTGCTCCCCCATGACCCCCAATTTTGGACACCGGCCCTGGTGCGCAAGAAGCCAGGCCTTCCTCCACCGCTATCCGGGTCCTTGGCAACCACATGAGACTTGTTGGTTGACGTTTTTGCGGGCAGGCCTCGCGCTGATTGGGAAGCGGCGAAATGCTGCTGCACCTGTGAAGTGTTCCTGCTGATCGATCTCGATTCCGTCCCCGGTCGGAGGCCAGGAGATTTTGGACAACAAATCAATCCGTGAGCAGTGTCCGAGGTTCGGCCTTGCGGTCTCTTCGACCGACTCTTTGAAAGCGACCCGTCCATTTCCAGGTCCGGGTCCCAGGGAACTGGAGAAACACAGCAGTTTCAGGTAAGTTCCGAGGAAACGCAACGACAGCACCCGCTATTTGTAAAACGCAACAATTTCGCTTGACCCTCCTAGCTGAATATGGATCACCAATTGGGCAGCAAGAACACTTTCGGAAATAACTAGTGTAAAGGCAAGGCTCGAGGCCTGAACGGGGCGTTTGATGAGGGCTTTTGGTTTTCATAATGATGGCAAGGCAACACGGGAGCAAAAAGCCAGCCAAGTGTCAGCTTGGCAGCTGCCAGCCAATGAGGCGGGGGCTCCCCACACCTTCCCCGGCGACTCGACAGAATGCAGGGGCCTCCCTGCAACACGGTCTTGCCAGAAGAACAATCCCGCGCATCCTCCTGCCTTGTCGATCCAAGTTTGATGGGGGGAATTTGGGGGTCGTCGCGAACCTCTTCGAGGGTCCTAGCTCTCGAGCGTAGTGAAACCCAAACCCCACAGGAAACAGAAAAAGAAAAAAAGTACATGGGAGCATTAGGCAAGCCACAGCAGCGTCGTCATCTCCTTGTACACTACGCCCCTTTAGTGTGCGAGTTCACCTTGGTGAGAGGAGGGCAGGAGGGAGGCGGGGTCATCCGACTCGGCGGGGCCGCGATTCCTCGCAACATCATGAGACGAACCACATGGGGGACAGATGACAGTGCATGTGAGCCGTTGGCTTGAAAAACAAAGGGCCACGACCTCGACGGAACCGCCGGTAAGTTTCTGAGTTTTGTGTCGCCGTGATTACGTTCTTGAAACTAGGCGGGTTGGAAAGTGAAAGTGAAAACAATACTGTGTACCTTCGAAGTTGAAAAACCTGTCAAATTTTGTAAGCCGCCCCTCACCCTTATTGAGGTTCATCGCTCTCGGGGTTTGGACGCCCAGGCGTGTGTGGAGGCGGGTTTGAACCAGAACCGCGCCACATCCCGAATTCGAAGCCAAGAAACATCCGGAGATGTTCGACTTCACTCACACTACGTGTAGTGTACACGACCTGGCTGCGCAAGAATGGGGATCGCACAGTGAATGGCACCAGGGTCTGTCAGGTTTTTTGGGTGTTCGGTGCGGGTGTTTTAGGCAGGGGCAAAAACACCGCAAGAGCTAATTACACCACACTACCCACGGTCGGCCAGGGACTCAGGCTCAGCTGCGATGCCCCGGGGATGTACTGTACGAATATTCCAGACTTCAGGAAGCAGGCGGCATAAATCCGTCCAACAAGCGCTCGTGGCCGCTGCATCTCACTCTTCCAACTCTAGTTGAAAGTCCGGCCCTTCGAGCCGGCAAGCCGGTTCGCGAGACGATGAGAGGTTGAAATACCTACCGAGATAGACGAAGGCGAGGCCGTCTGACAGTATTGTACGTTCGGGTTCTCTCATCTTAATACGGTCGGGCTTTTGGTTCCCCAGGAAGGTAATGTTGAATAGGTCGCCCCCCAAAACTGAGATGGAATCAAACCTGCCCAAAAATGGGAGCCAGCACGCGGATGCATTCTGACGCACCCCTTACTGCGCATGCAGTTAGCAAGCGCAACGGGAGCCCTCGTGCAGGCGGCGAGAAGCAGAGAGGCAGGAGGGAGCGGCAGGTACGGATACAACGGGGCGGTCCAAGGCCGCCTGCAGGGCATTGGTTGGGGCCGCGAGCGATACCCGCCCCCGGTGTCCGGCCTGAAGAACGCTTGGGCTCGATTCGGATACGGCAGCGCGGCGTGGGTGCGGCCGCATCCATTTTTATAACGACCTCCTTCACTTGCCTTAACTGTGGAGGAAGTCAGTTGCAGGGAAGAGCCCGAATAAGACCCCCACACTCCCCGCCGTCCGCTCTCTCCCGCTCTCCCAGAACACCGTTTCCATCTTCCAACCCCACGAGGTCAAGCCAAGGTCGGACAACAGCCTGAGAGACGACGTTGAACGGCATCCAACCCGAGGACCCAGCAGCCGTGCCAGGTCGCGTGAAGACATTCCGTCCTTGGGCAAGACCCAAATTCTCGACAGCCTCTCGTCTTCCTGTTCCGCAGCAAACATCACCAGCACAACGCCACCTGTTGCGTGCATACACTGCAACCTCCACGCCCGTAAATATCAACCCGGTACTCGCCCGCCCCCGTCCTCATCCCCAGACTGCAGCCCACGCGCTCTTCCCCCGCCAATAGGTACGCTCTTTTTTCTTCCTTCCTTCCTTTCAATAACTCGCCCCCCTCACACACCTAAGGTACCATTGGTGCCACATTTCGATTCTTCCCGGGCCGCGGTCACAACCGTCCCAATCCGCTCCCGAGTTTCGAAACACAGGTTTACCCCGGGATTGGGATGAGTGGATGCTTAGGCAGCCCAGCCCTTTGCTGCATCGGCGCGCAAAGCGTTGCCTGTGCAGCGCCCGTTGGGTTTTAAAATTTTTTTTCCCCTTTCCGGCCGACAGCCGGAGCTCGACCGAACTTCGATTCGGCTCTGCCGGCCATCCCTCGACACCATCCCAGACAGAGCCCTGTGGCGACAACAGCGATCCAAGTTTGATGACAACTAGTGGCAACGCGGACGCCCGGGCCCGGCCGTGTTACAGAACAGCGGTTCGCGGTTCGCGGTTCGCGGCTCCTTTACACGACTTCTGGTCGTGGTGGTGTGGTTGTGCCCAGCGGTGCTCCATTTCCTTGCCTGCCCACACTCGGTACCTGTCCCTGCAAGTCTGCAAGTGAACCCTGGACTGGAAGGACCCTTTCACGCCCTGGAGGGAACGGGAAACGGGGCAAGATTTTTTCTCCTTCGCCTTTGACCCTTCCAGGTTCAGGTGCGCTGAACCCCTGGTCCCGCACTTGCCTCTTTGCGGTTCACACCCAAAAGATACTCCACCCGAGCGCTTGGTCCACCAGCTTGCGTGCAGGCTCCATTCGGCCTGCTTGGCGCACCCCCTCTCCACCACCGGCCACCGGCCACGGCCACGGCCACGGCCACTGCGCCGTCACTGTGGCATCCTTGTCTACTTTTCACCCCCGCTCTCTCGGCTGTCCAGGCCCTTTTCATCAGTCCAATTGCACGCCTGGCGATTCGCGTACCGCTTTTCGTTCAAGTCCATTTTCATTTTTCCTGAGAGACGGTTGCTTGCCTCTGATCGGTTTTTCGTTCGATCCCTTTTGCTAATTCCACCAAACGACCCGCATAGGAACCAACTGCGAAACTCTAGGTTCCCTTCCCCCTTTAACACTTCCTTACCTCCACCCGACCGGATCCTCGTCCACCTTACCTGCCCTCTGCCGCGGTACTTCCTCCTAGTCGTGCCAGCCTGGCCTTGGCCGCCTGGTCACCCGCCGTCCCCTCCCAACTCAGACCAAGCTGTTGCTTGAGTCCTTTATTTCTGTGCCAGCCATGATACCGTGAAGTCGCTCAATAATCGGTCTCGCGACGCCTTGAATACGAGCTCCGATCAGCACATAATACATACTGTTGTCCCTGACATTTTGGCGTCAACCGAACCGGAACCACGTCCATTGAGTCGAGGATCACGATATTTGTCTCATTCCTCACTCTCCACCACCACCCGACCTTCCCAACGGTGCGGCACAACTCTGAGACCCCGGACTCATAGAATCCTTGTCTTTCAAAATTCTTTGTTATCGGTCTGTCCCGATTTGCTAGACCCGCCGCCGGGGAATTTGCGTGTGGGGGAACACAAAGGAAGCCGCAGGCGCCCCAAACCTTTGACCACGGACCCGGTACTACCTGGTTGTGCAACCACGCGCTTCTGGCGGTTGCCGATGGGCTAATCGGTGGGGAGCATGGCTTCGGTTCTCGCTTCTCAGCCCGGTGACATCGCAGCTCCGGGGCACCCTCCGAGATCCTCCCAAATCATGGCGCCACGTTCAGGGACGCGTTCTCCGGATAGCGTCAAGCATGAACTCGAGCACGAACGGGGTCGCCCTCGTAGTGGATCTGACGATAAGGATGTTGAAGGACTAGATCTGGACGACGCCCATGATCAGGATGGTGACGATGATGGGCATTCGTCCAACTCGGAAGGGCCGGCTCGCAAGCGAAAGCGGAGCCGCAAGGGGTTGGACAAGAAGTTTGAGTGTCCGGAGCAGGGCTGCGGGAAGAGCTACTCCCGCGCGGAGCATCTGTATGTTTTGATACCCCTACAAACGGGCTGGCTAGCCAGGCTTTGCGGATGTGGGAAATGGAGGACGTGCTGACACAGTGCTAGGTACCGCCATCAACTGAACCACAACCCAAAGCAAGTCTACAAGTGTGGAATCGGCGACTGCCAGAGGACGTTTGTTCGCCTAGACCTTTGCAACCGGCACAAAGACCGCCACACGGCCAAGGGCTCGGCGTTGAGCCGTAAAGACTCGATGCTGAGCCAGGCGTCGCCGATTACTGACAATAGGCCTCCATTCCCACCAACCGGCTCCGCCTCCCCCGAAGTCAACCGACCTGGAACAGCATACAACAAGGGCCGCTCCCTGTCCATCCAATACCATTCCCCGAAAGATGCCATGGGAAGTCCTTACACGCCAATGACAAACACGCCTCCTACAACATATGCCAACGGGCCGAACGGGGTTGATTATATGCACCACGATGCGGCACATTATAGTCACCTGGCTCAGCGACAAGTACACCATTCGCCTCAAGGCGCGCGGCGGCCGTCAATCCAGACAAATGTCGGGCCATATGGGGTTTTGTCTCCCATCTCCAACCAGCCCGGCTATCACAGCCAAGCTCATAGCACCCCACAATCCGCCCATGCTATGCCTTACGTACCACCACAAAACTTCCCCCCTTTTAGCCTCCCACCCTCTGACTTCGCTACCTCATCATCGGCGGGGGCGGTGACTCGGGACGAGCAGCAGCAGCAGCAGGCATATGCGCCGTCAACATCCGGGGAATACACAGAGCAACAGCCGCCCGCATCTGGCGAAATGATGCTCCTAGACCAGATGGGAATGCAGCAAACGATGCCAGTATTCGGCAGTGATAGCATTCTTAACAAATCGCCATACGTTGCGATTCCGGAAGACTTCGTGGCCTATCTGTTCAACACTCACGATGGTGGGGGCGGTTCGCCCATGGCGGGGGTTCCGATGCAAGGATATAAGTGAGTTTGTGTGAGACACGTTCTAACCCAGGATACGAGACTGACTGTCCTGCTTATAGCTACGGGGAGTTTTCCAACCAGTACAATGTGCCCTACTACAACGATCCGAACCAGTTAGGATACTTCCCAGCATCTGCGGGGCCTCAGCAGGTCATGTCCGTGACGAACCTCTTAGACCAGAACCTACCCGAATCCGTCATTTCCGACGAGAAGGCTGTGGAAATCTTCGAGTTCATCAAGGAGCGGTTCCACGAAAACGGCCATGCCCCGATCGAGCGCCAGCGTGAGACCATCATCGAGGGCGATCGCAACGACGACTCCCATATGCTTAGCCGCAAGATGATGCAGGCTTACATTGGGTCCTACTGGCTACACTTTAGCGACCAAGTACCAATTCTGCACAAGCCCACGTTCTCACCCGATAAGACGCCGAACCTATTGCTGATTGGCATGATGACCATCGGGGCTGCATGCTTGGACAAAGCCCACGGTCAAAAGGTCACAAAGGCGGGCGCGCAGCTTTCCAACTTCTTGGCGTGGCATCTTCGGTGGGAGATGTTCCAGGATCCTAATTGCCGGCCACCCGCCAAGTTGTGGGTCTTCCAAACGCTCTTGCTACTTGAGTTGTACGAAAAGATGTACTCGACCCGGGAGCTGCACGAGCGGGCCCATATCCACCACGCGACGACGATAACGCTGATGCGCCGTGGGAGAGCCTTGATTGGCAAATCAGCTCTGGATTCCCCTCCTAACCCGCGAGACGATAAGACGAACGGATCAAGACAGTCCTCCACCTCTGGGACCGCCCATACTCCGGAGGAGTGGTGGAACCACTGGATTACCAACGAGTCGACTCGTCGAGCAGCGTTTGCGGCATTCGTCATTGACTCGACCCACGCCACTATGTTTGGCCACTCGACGGTTATGGTCGCCCACGAGATGCGCCTTCCTCTACCGTGTGATGACAAGCTATGGAAAGCCATGAGCGGATCCGAGGTGGCCAGGATTGACGCCAACCTCATGTCGGTGGGCAACAAGGCTGTCTCTTTTCTGGAGGGGTTAAAGCGGACGCTTAGCGGCCATGAGGTGCAGACGAACTCATTTGGCCGGACTATCCTGATGGCCGGTCTGCTTAGCGTGAGTTGGCATATGAATCAACGAGACCTGCAGGTCAACTCCTTGGGCGGCGGTGTCTCGCAGGCACTAGGGGGCCGTGACAAATGGCGAGGGACATTGACTAGGGCGTTCGATTCGTGGAAGAGCGACTTTGACAAGACGCTGCTCAGGCGAGGTGACGTTTCCGCGGATCCGTACAACTACGACGCATCAAGCCGCAACGAAGCGAACGTCGTGTTCGAGAGCCGCATCGTGCTACACCACCTGGCGCATATGGCCATGCATGTTGATATTGTCGACTGCCAGATCTTTGCGAGGGCCAGGCGGCTCTTGGGCCGCGCGATCGGGCCTCAGGACCTTAACAGTGCGCAACGGCGGATGAAAGATATCTGGGCACCCTCGGCCAAAGCTCGCGACGCCACCTACTACGCGCTCAAATTCCTGCAGTCGGTTATGCTCCCAGATACCGTAGGAACACCCGGGTCAAATGGTGGCTACGGCCGGACGGAGGATCTGTACTCAGCCCGGGACGATGTGCTCCTAAATCGGCCGTGGGTTCTCTATTTTGCGGCTCTGGTGGTGTGGTGCTACGGATTCGCGCTCGAGGGTGCAAGTCCCGCGGTGCCAATGCCGTCGACGCAGCAGGATAAGATCAGGCTGATGCGCGAGTACTTGGTCAAGTACGGCAACGTATCATCGCCCGAGGAGCTCAAGTCGATGAAGGGCATCAGCCATAACACGCCGGTGTTGATGGTGCTCAAGGACGCCTTCAGCGACACACGCTGGGAGCTACTGCATGAGGGAGCGACACTGATGAATAACTGTATTCATCTCAATTCTGGTCAGAGTGTCGTGTAATAATTATTTGACATCTGTGTTTCGTGTTTTCTTTTCTTTCATTTTTGAGGAATAACGAGAAGGAAAGAAGGACGACGAAAAGGATTTTCAAGCCAGTAATTGACTTCGACGTGGGGTTGGTGGACTAAGTCCTTGCATATTTTTTTTCAGCCATTGATATTTCTAGCGGGAGGTAATCTGTCTAGCTTTTGCGATGAACACATGATGGCGACTAGGTCAGGAGGTGTCATTTGTTTTGCAATGAAAGAAAAGGCATAACAAATCATGTATTTTGGGAAGCGGGATAGGCAGTTGGAGATGGGTAAACAGCAAGAGGGACTTTTTCGTCTTGCTCGGAGAGAACGGATGGCATTCTTCTTTTGAAGAGGGTGGTTGGCTCAGCGGAATCTTTTCGCAGCTTGGTGGGAAGCTTTATTGTGGTTGTTGTGTTTAAAATTGTCTACTTGCCTATATATACCCCTACTTGGCTCCCAGCGTCAAGAAGAATGTATTTGACGGCGCTCAAGGGCCTGGCTCTTGCAAGTTCATATGTTGTTCAACTCCATGTCCACCATTGTTTACACATGGTTTAGTTTCTAACATTATCCAACATTGCTCTGTGTGCATTACCCGAGTCAATACTTGTGAGACAAGGCAGGTGAGGGCTAGAAAACTCATGGCCAGACAAGAAAACATAACTGCTGCAAGGAACACTGCAAAAACTGACGAAATCACCCCATCAATTTCCCGAAGGGTGGGGTTCCACACGAACGTTAACTACCGCAGCGCAGTATCCGTAAACGCCCCGAAGCTCCCGGCTCCCCCACCTTTTTATACCTTTCCAAAGCACACGGATGAAAGGAGTGGGCGCCATCTTTACAGAGAACCCGCCTTATCTGCCGTCGTTACATGTGTTCCATCCTTTAAACCGCCAATTCCCGACCAAATACTTATTCAAAAACCCGAGCAGTCGTTGAATGAGCCCCCTCCGCTTGCTACCATCCATCAAATCCCTTCGCGCCGCGGGCAAACGCTACTTAACGCCGTTTTCTCCGCTGCGGGGCGTTCATCGATAACGTTATTCGACCATTAACCTTCACTCGATCTCATTGTCACTCACTCAACTTCAACACCAATCTCTCATTGTAGGCGCAACTTAAATCGATATCTCATCATCGTCATCACCGAGGATATTGAACACAAAGTCCCCGTAACGAGGTGTCAGCCTCCATTTCATACATCATGGCGCTGAACATCACCCACCTCCCGCCGGAGATTCTTCACGCCATTTTTTCCCATGTCGAGCCTCGCGATCTCGGCTGGCTGCCTCTAACCTGCAGACACTTCAACAATTTCATCAAAGGGAACAACCCCCTATGCCGAGCCATATATTTAAATGTCTTAGTACGATCTTTTCCCCCCCAGCCCCTGAACCAAACGGCGCGACTGACCCATTCAGGACGAACCACCAAGCCTAGACCTGGACTTTAAGCGCGAGCTCCATGATCTCGTCAGATTGGAAAATCTCTGTGCTTCTACCAAAGACACATCCAACGCAGAAATCCAATCCCACCTCCCATTCGTCTACCACACCGTGACACGCCTCCTGTCAAATGCCGCCAAGATGCCCGCACCCCTCACCACTTCCAAGACCGTCACCGTGGACGACAACAACGTCGAAGACGAGAACGGCTCACGCGAGGTCACCCGAGTTTATCTCCAGCCATCCACCGTCTCTCGCAAGTCCCGCGCCCGCACCTACGTCGACTCGGTCATCGCCACGACACTGGGGGACTGTTTCGACCATCCCAGCTCCCGCCGTAACTTCTTGACTCGTTCGTTTCTGTATGAACGCGCCCGCGCGTTAAAAGTGCCTGGCACCAGCGATGAAGAACACCAGCTGGACAAGTACGGGGAAGTATCCGGGGACGAGACCGACACGGGATCCGACGTGCAGGTTGACGACGACGAAGGCGAAAGGGCGGCGGGTAGGAGCAGCACGGGAGAGGGGAGCGGTGCCAGGGCGGAGGGTAGGAGGCCGAGAAGGACAAACACGCGCTTTGGGTGGCGGACCCCAAGGCGGCCGAGGGAGGCGTACCAGATGAGTGCGAAACTGCATTGTTTGTACGGCTGGGAGCTGGAGTTGAATAATGATGGGTTGGTTCCGGGTGTGTCGGACTCGGATAATCGGAGGCGGGCGATGCTATGGATGCGGCAGAGAAGGGGGATTTACTCGCTCGCGTGTGCGAAGGTGTATGATTTGCGCGAATACACTGCGGGCACGAAATGGGGGCCGTTTATGGAGGAAAAGGATGGGGAAGAAGGGGTGAGGGTGGATTGGGAGAAGGTGGAGGCGATCATGCTGGTGTTGGGGACCAACATTCGCAACAAAGGTCTGGAGCGGTTTGAGATATTCTCGCATTTTTGGGGGCGGCCGTTCGCTGGCACTTGGAACGGGAGTTACATCCCCTGGACGAAGGATAGGGAACAGGGGAAAGAAATCGAAGTCACGGACCTGGACCAAAGGGATCCATACGGGGTTACGGGAAGCTGGCTACGCGTTGTGAGCTTCTTAGGTAAGTCTTTCCGCTGACATTCACCCAGAAGCTGATACCATAATACTCACGCATGGGCCACACACATCCAACAGACTTCAGCGATTTCTTCCACTTCAACTTCCCCGTCGGCGACCGCGCACCCCGCGACGTGCCGCGGGCACCGCTCGACGCCGGGCAAGCCACCCGGCTCATCCTGATGCGGATCCGCGTGTCCAAAGTCGAGCCACCGGGGCCCGGCGACCACCCGGACCACCCGGTGACATATTTCACGGGATTTTCGCGCGCGTTGGACGGCACGTGGGATGATAACGCGGATGCTACCATCCGTGGCACGGTGCGTATGACGCCGGAGGGTGAGGTCCGCTGGACGTCGTACTCGGTGTTTTTGGGCGAGGAGAGGTGGAAGAGTGAGGGTGTGCAGGTGGGGGGGATTAAGTCGGCTAGGGGGGTTGTGGGGACGTGGTTTGACAAGTAGGTTTTTTTTTTCTTCTCTCTTGCGTAGATCCTTGGGGATATACCTGGTGAGGTTGGGGTGGGTAGTCACTAACGGCGTTTTCTTACCAGGGACTTCAACGCCCAAGGTCCTTGCGGCCCGACGGCATCATGGAAAATTTCGGACCGCGACAACACTGCTGACAAGCCTCTGGTGTTATTGGAGGATCTCTTTCCACTCAGTACTACTTTATGATCCCCGTTCCTGTTCCTGTCTATTTCACCTACTCCTTTCCCTTCCCTCTCATATTTCCCATATTTCAAAGGATCAGAAAGGACAGATCGTGCTGATGAAATTGGGTTCCTGTCCACAGTAGCCGATGACATAGATGAAGAGATGGACGCTGAAGACGACGACTCAGCAGATGAGGTGAACCTCCAGGACCTAGCGCCGTTTGGCCCAGACTGGACTGAATTTGAGCTTGAAGACGAGCTGGATGGGCTGTACTACTTTGACGACGAGGATATTTTTGACGTGGAGGATGTGGTGGCGGAGTTGACGGGGTTGAGCGAGGGGTTTATGAATGGTGAGGGTGGGGGGGATGCTGATGAGGATGAGGATGAGGATGAGGTGGATGAGGTGGATGAGGATGGGGAAGATGATTTGGATATGGATGATATGGATGATGGTGAGGTTCTTCATCCCCAGCTTGAGGTGTTGGCCGCGCTGACCATGGCGAGTCAGGTGATTATGAGCCTTGAGGGCTATGACATCGAGGAGGAGGAGGGGGGTGGGGAGGATGAGATGGATGTGGACTATGATGATGATGAGGAGGAGGAGGACAATACCGGGTTTGGTGGGAACGGTGACGGGTCGTTTTTGGCGAGTTTGCTGTACGATTACTAGGAAAGGATGGTTCACTCTCTATCCTTCTTGGCTGCTTGGCTTTGGGGGACGCAGTGGTTCGGGTATGTATTTCTATATGTGTTTAGATTTGTCTCTGGACAGGCGTCGATAATAGCACGAGTCGCTTGAGGTATATAGTGGAAAGTTGCGCAACACCGCCTTTGCCTGGCCCTCATTCCGTGGTTGACTCACAACCCTCATCAGCTAACCCCCTCTCCCTCCTCGTCCGTCCGGTCTATCCCCATCGCTGTTTCCAAACAAGCCAAAAAAAGGTAAAACAAATCCAAAAAATAATATAAAAAAAAAGAAAATTAACCACCGCCGAGAACAACTCTTCATAAATCAAGCCTTCGCAACCCCCGGATCAGTGTTAAACTTCCCATGCTCACACGTCGCAACCAACGGCCCATTCTCCTCCCCCGTGCCTAACGCACCCGGCCCACGTCGGTGCATAGTCCCACGCACCGTCGCTAGGCGCTGTCCCACTTGGACTAGCTCACACCGGATAATTACCTCGCCTCCGACAGGCGCAGGCCGGAGGTAGGTGGTGTTGAGTGTGCGACTGACGCCGAGGTAGGACCAGTAGCCTGGATGGGCGATGATGGCGAGGACGATGGAAGTGGTGAAATCGAAGATGGAGGCGGTGCAGCCGCCGTCTGTTACGTTGTGAGTGGGAATTGTTAGGGGGTGGGATAGGAGGTTATAGAGGAACATGGAAGAGGGGGTACGAGTGCGAGTTGGGGAGAGGTAGTTGGGGATCACCAGGGGAGTTGGTTAGTTCAGGGGAGAGGGGGAAAAAAGGACAGAAAAACATACGCAAGTTCCCCAGACGGTTACAGTGCACCGGTTGCACGACAAAGCTAAACGTCACAGACGGATGGGGGCCGTCGGGTGAGACGGAGACGACTTTGAGATGGGGGAAGAGGGCTTTGGTCCATTCCTGCGGGTAGGAGGTCCCATGTTAGTGTGTGTAGGATTAACGAGGTACAAGTAGGGTGTCCATAGAGCTTGAAGGGTAAGGTTGGGAAAGGAGGCTTACCTGGTCGTCGGGGTCGTTGAGAGTGAGCGCAAATTGATCCATTAGCTCGCGGACACGCGCTTCGCCGGTGAGATCGAGGAAGGAGGATGCATGTTTTTCTGGTTTGCTGGGGGGTGATGAGGGCATGGTTGCTGGTGTTTTGACTGGGGTCAATTTTTGAGGATATAAATTGCAATTGGAGGTTGAGATTAAGTTAGATGTAACGGAGTTACTAACCTACCTAACTTATAAGTAGAATGCTGCTTCTTTCGAGTCGCGTTCGATGCTAATAGTTAAGATAAAAGCGATGTAAACAAAAGTCAACAAGTAATTTCAATATCTCTCACACCCAGTCGCATGGACTTGTTCAGCGAATGATCCGAATGAGGGTTATCGCCAAATAAATACCCGGGTGGAAGACAACAACCGTCTCACATCGGACTCAATCCGTTTAAGGGGAACCAGATCCAAAGCCAAGGCTTCGCAGCGGGTCTAACCCCGCGTGCTCCGAGAGACCCCAAATCCCGACGACAGGGGAAGGGACAGCCTCGGCATTGGCGGTTCGTACCCCTGTCATCAGCCGATTATCGAGCCGCTGCGCCTGTAATCGCGTCGTTCACAAGCCGGGGCAAACACCGGGGCGTTGTCACCTTCACTTTACACTTTCCATCTCTCAACATCGCATCTTCCATCGCTCGACGTCTCGACCTTCGACTTCCCCTCCGACCTCGACCTCGACCTCGACCTCGACTACTTTACCGCGTGAACGATCAAATGCCTCGATAACCCCGAAAGCAAACACCAACAAAAAAAACCAACCGAAAACCCAACGGCGCAAAAACACAAAGCAAGACAAGCAAACGGGAGAAAATGGAATTCACCCCCCTCCACTCCCCCCCGGACACCCAAAAACCCTCCCTCTTCGAGCTCCTCTCCGAACACCAGCTCTCCACCCTCCTCCCGCCGACCCTCCGCTACCTCCTCACCTTACTCACCCACCGCTACCCGCGCCACCTGCTCCGCGTCCTCAACTCCTTCGACGAACTCTACGCCCTTGCCGCGCTGCTCGTCGAGGGCCATTATTTGCGCACGCGTGGCGGGACGTTTACGGAGTTTTTTTATGGGTTGAAGCGCGAGAGGGCGCTTTTGTCTGGTGGGAATGGGACGATCGGGAGTGGGAATGGGACAGCAGGGGGGGAGATACCGCGCGCGACGGCCGCCGCGCCCGGGGTGGTGCGTGACGCGCTGCGATTGAGCAGTCGACGCGGGGATATCTGGCGGAATTTGTTGGTAGTGGTGGGCGTGCCGTACTTGAAGCGGAAGTTGGATGAGGCGTACGAGGTGGACGCGCCGCGGGCGATGTTGGGGGCCGGGTATAACCAGCGGCCTGGGGCAGACGCAACCTGGCGGGAGCGGGTTGGATTTTGGTGGCGGTGGTTTTTGCGGCGGGTGTATCCGAAGGTGAATGCGGTGTATTATTTGGCGGTGTTGGGGTTTAATTTGGCGTATTTGTTTGATAATTCGCGGTATCATAGTCCGTTGATGTGGTTGGTCAAGACGAGGGTGAGGAGGATGAATGGGGCGGATTATAGGGCATTGGAGGCGTTGGAGGAGAAGGCGGGGAAGGGCAGTGGGGGGAGGTCGGTGGCGGCTAGGATGATGGGGGGGTTGTCGGTTGTGTTGCCGACGAGTATTTTTGCGTTGAAGTTTTTGGAGTGGTGGTATGCGTCCGACTTTGCGAAGCAGTTGTCGCGGAAGGCGGCTGAAAGCTTGGATCTTCCGCCGCCGGTGGTGACGGGGTTGGATGATGGGGTCAAGAAGAAGGGGTTATCGCAAAGGGAAGCTCACGGTGAAAAGCAGGACGAAGAAGCGGAAGAGGAGATCGACGACGAAGAACGGGAAAGGCGCGCGATCGAAAAGGCCCCGATTGCGGCATCCTCCCTACTTCCCATCTACACGGTGCCTGCACCCACAACCTCGGACCAATGCCCCATCTGCGAGGGCGACATCACCACCGCCGCGGCGTGTCAGACTGGCGTTGTCTATTGCTTTGCGTGTATCCACAAATGGCTTACTGGGACACACGCGAGGCAAGAGAAATTCATGGCCGAACGAGCGGGCAAGTGGGAGAGTGGAGAGGGGAGGTGCGCAGTGACGGGGAGACGTGTGCTAGGAGGGACGGAGGGGCTGCGGAGGATCATGGTGTAGCGGGGACACTGAGAGGTTTAGGTTCTTGGTGCTGGGTTGTAAGTGTAACCAAAGCGGGAGTTGGGTTGATATTATGTACTATGTAATTACAGTAATTTGTACGATGAGCTATACGAGGCACAGTATACACTCCTTCGCGCCCAGATCAAGCTGACAGCCACCTACAAATCCACCACCGTCACCGGATTCCCCAACCTCCCACTATCCCCATACATCAGCGACGCATTCACCATCAACCCCCCATTATTCGTCCCTGGGCCAAGCATAATCCATTTCCACAGAATACACCCAACGCCATACCAGATCACATCAAAGGCATCAAACCACCGGGCGCTTGGTATGATATCACCGAGGATACCGTTGGCCGGCCGCGCCATGAGCGACTCGTATGCGCGCTGGCACTCGTCGTAGTAGACGGCCTCGCGCCCGTGGCCGTAGTGGACGTGGCCAAACACGTGCAGTTTGGGCTTTACGCGCCAGACTTCGTCCAGCAGGCCTGCGCAGCCGAGGTCTAGGTCGAGGTGGTGGCGCTGCGACAGTTAGCGAGATCTTACTCAGTCCATGGCTAAAGATGGGCTAAAGATGGGAGCCGTGTGAACTCACCGGAGGCGTGTGAGTGATGAGCACGTCCGTCTCATCCGGGATGCGGCCTTGCCACGGGTGTTTGTCTCGTTGATATTGCAGTCTGCACATGTACGTCTCGGTCAGCCCGCCCGTTCCAAAATCAACCTTTCCTAGGTGATCCAAGGTAGGTAGGTATTGTACTCACGCAAACCCCTCTCCACACCACGGCACCGCCCCCCAGCCATAAACATTCAACTTCCTCCCCCCCTCAAACTCCAACTCCATCCCCCGATCACACAAATACTCTACCCCACTCCAATCCACTTCCCTTTTCTCACCCCCCTCCCCTTTCTCCCCCCCTTCTTTCTCTCCCTCACCATTCCCCCCACTCGACATACTCTTCCTAACCACCTCATCAACCCAAGAATCATGATTCCCCCCCACCACCACCTTCCACCGATGCGGCAACCCCCTCAACCAATCCACCTGCCTCTGTATCTCCCCCACGGTCCCGTCCACCGTCATATCCCCGCAGTGAATCAACAAATCCCCCTCTGGCACACTGTCGGGGGATGGGATGATATTGTGCGTGTCCGAGAGACAGACGACGCGTATCGCCCCGCGTTGACCTCTCCTCACTCCGCCGTCGGCGTCGGCGTCACCAACGTGGTGGTAACCCCCGGTATATCGTGGTGGAGGCCGGAAGGGGGAACCCCGCAGGGGGAGGAGGATGTGGCGGTAGAGAAGGGAGGTGAGGTATTGGAGGGGGGAGGCGAGGAGCCAGTCGAGGGGGGTGAGGGGGGACCAGGGGGAGGAGCGGCGGAGGTGGAGGTGGATGAGGAGGGTGTTTAGGTGGTGGAGCATTTTGATGGAATTAAGGCGCTGCTGGTAAAGGTGATGAGATGAGGATGAGGGAAAACTGGGCGGGGTGTGAGTCAATATTGGGCGATCCGAAGTCGGGTATCTAAAGTGAGTTGCTTGGCTGGGGTAAAACTCGGAAGTGAGATCTCAGTGTTTATGGCCGGTATTGATGACCGGCGGGCCGGTGTTACACCGTTGAGATGTCATGGTGAAAGTGGAAGAAGGGATGAATTGGGAGAAGTGGATCCGGCAGCAAGATCTTGGGATGAGGCCCGAGGAAACTAATAACCCTAACCCTGTATATATAAACTAACCCTTATTTCAACCGCAGGACAGATTCATCGTCAAAAAGTAGCAGAACATAAATGTTTATGATTTTGGCTTCTCTATTGCTCATTAAAGGGCCGCTCTCAGTTTCCGAAGGCCCTCGACTCGTCTACAACAAATCAACCAACAGTTACAAGAGAACACACAAATCAGACTAGCTGCAAATATTAACATTCAAATTCTAACAAACTAATATGCTTCCTCAGGTATCTCTCGCAAAGCTTAAACTCAAAATCCTTTTTACTGCCCTCAAGCCCGGCCTAATGCCCATCCATTCCGTTGAGGTCCGTTCCAATGTGCTCTTTTCACCACCCTTCCCCTTTTAACGCCAAATGTACCCAGAAACACTCGAGAAGGAAAAAAAAAGAGAAATGATACAAAAGAACAAAAGAACAAAAGAAATGAAACCACCACTGCCCACCAACAAAATATTACAACCTTTCCTTCCCCTTCCCCCCTTGTTTCCCCCCTTTTTTTCCACGCGCTCTCAAATAGTCGCTCTCAAACCGTCCTCCTCCCCCACCCCGACTCGCCATACCCAGGCAACTCCTCACCCACCTGAGCCGCAGGTTGTTGACTCTGCCCGGCACTACTACTGGCAAACATCCAGTCCCCCCTCCCCTCCCTAACCGCCGTACTCTCATCCGGCACCAGCAACAACCGCGGCCGCAAATGCTCATCCGCAGCAATCTCTTCAAAGCTCGGCGGTCGGTCGGCTGCTTCTTCGTTTTCATCACCACCTTGGACCTCTTCACCGCTCACCCTCCTCTCGGTTGGTGGTAGAGAATGACGCGGGTTCGACATTGGAGGAGTTGCGGGGGTAGGCGAGCCAGTAAGCGGCGCAGTCGGCCCGTCTACCGCAACCTGCAGCGGGACAATAAGAGAAATGGTGTTTGCCGACCCGCGGGCGGAGAGGTTGACGGTGAGGTGGGCGGTGTAGACGCGGCTGATGATGCAGGAGTGGAAGGTGGGGACGAAGGTTTTTTTGCTTGTTGGGAGGGATAGGGGAATGTTGATTAGGGCTGTTGTTGTTGTGGTCGTCGACGTAGTCGATGACGAGGCGGTTGGGGTGGATTGTTGGGGTTTGGGAGATCCAGGTGAGGAGAGATGTAGGTCGGAGATATCAAGGTTGCTGCTATTGCAGCTGCTGTAACCCGAATCGCGCCGCGTCAGAGAAGAAGCCGACGTCCAGGCTGGTTGCTCGGACAGGGTTACTGGGGGGAGAGTGGTGGACATGAAGAACTGTCCGCGGCGATCGAGGAGGTAGGGGGTGTTCCACTCGCTGAGGTTGGGAAACGACGAAATGGGCGCGGAGGAAAAGTAGGTGTGGGCCGTGACCTTGGCAGTGACGCTGGTGATGGTCGGTGGGAGGGTCCGTTGGGACTCCGGGGTGAAGGCGAGTTTGATACGGGCCATCGGGTGGGACATGACGCGGCGGCCGTCGGGGGAGAGGACCGCGGGGCCGGGTTGTAAGGCCTCGGCTGTGAGGCTGCCGATTTTGGTCGCCAGCAAGTTCTTGCGCAGGGTCTTGGTCTTGGTCATGCGGTAGAGTTGGTCTTTGCTGGTGACGTTGAGCGGTGGCTCTTCGGCAGAAGTAGGCATCACGCGGATAGGTTCGATGACCTCCATGATGCGGGTTCGAACGTCTCCGTCTTCACGGATTACTCGGGCCTTGATGCTGTACTCGACCTGAGCCATGCGCGGGGCCATGTCGTCGCGATCCCAGGTGCCGAGCGTCGGCGGGAGCCGGACGTGGTGATCTTGCATGGCGGCTGAGAGGCCCGCGTGGTTGCAGGCGTTGATGGTGAGCTGGCTTGGGATAACAAAGTTGAAGGGGATTTTGTAAGTCCGGTCCGCCTCGAGCACCCGCGGGACGGGGTATGCTGATTCGGAAATGGGCATCACCATCTTGAGGAAGGTGTGGGTGATCTCGTGGGGTGTGGCCATGCCGTCAAAACTGGTGCGGCTGTGGCCAAGAAGGAGAATCTGAATGGAGTCGAAGCGGACATCGCGCTTCGTCGTAATGACGAGATCGCCGGCCACGGGGGAAAGCGAGGTGTAAACCTTGGAGCTGTAGTGGTCCTTGAAAACCAAGTTGATGTCTGATTTGGGGTAGGCTTTCCGCTGGGCATTAGTCGGAGCTGGGAACGGCGACATTGTGCTCGCAGCCGATGAAGCAATCCAGGAGGAACCCATTTTCATGGTAGTTCTGTAGTTCTGTACCGCGTCTCGCCGGGTTTTTAGGTTCGGGGCACGAGAGCAGAAATGCAGACGAGGGCACGGCTGGGGGAATCCCCGTGCGTGAACGGAGCACTTTGTTGTAATGTAGGGTCGACCCGTTCCGTTGCGTTGGTGTAACGAGAGCAGGCAGTGTAGTATGTATGGTAATGGTGTTAACGGCACAGCATGGGGCACTCTGAGACGAGTGCGTGACGTGAGCAAAGGGATGTCCAAAGTATGTTGTGCTGATTGATACCACCCTTTATTTGAGTATTTGCTCAGCCGAGGGAGGCAATGCTATCTTATAAAAGGAATCACTACCTCAAGTATCAGGCAACGGAGTCACAAAGCCAGCCCTGTGGGAGACAGACGATGGAGAACTTGGCTCCGCATATGCAAATCCACGTGCGAGTTTGTAAGTTGACTCATTACAAAGCACCACTCCCGTAAAAACCAGGAGTTCTCGCACGCCGTGACAGGCGTCATGGTTGGAGCATGATCTGCTGGCGCCCTTCTTCCCGACATGGCTCGCCGTGGTCCTCCATGCCGGGGGGGGAGTAAAAGCAGGGGGGGTCGGAGGAGGAGGGAAGATGACTGTGATTGGCGAATTCCGGCACAGCGTGCGTGGTGCCGATGGTGTGCCACAGGGCGGAATGTGGCCCTGGATGTGGCCCTGCCGTCATTTTTCCTCCCCGCATAAAGTTAGCTTCGTCTCGCTGGGAGCCAACTTTACCAAATGGGGCACCTTTGGCGCGACTCTCGCAGCAGTCGTCAAGGTGCTGCTACCCAGGCAAACCAGGCAAACCAGGCATCAAACAAATCGGGTGCATGACGGGGGTGGGTCACTGGCACCGTTCTATCAAGAGTTGCTCCCTCCATGGGTGCGTATTATTGACAAGTCGTCAGCCGCGTGCGACGCATCCTCGCACGCCATCTGAGACGGGCGTCCCTACGAAGCCAACAGATGGGCATTCCTCAATGCCCTCAAGACCGCCCTGCTGATCTCGGGCGGTTGCACCATCTTGCGGATGAATATGCAGGCCTTGCCTTGTAAATCGCGAAACGCAGCCCAAGAATCTCAAAGATCAAAAAAGACCCCCATGATCCAAAGTGAGAAGGGAGGCCCCGCTTGCTCCACTGAACTCTTGCCATTTCTGGGGGGCTTGGCTCTTGCCGTCACTTGTCCGGGGAAAGGCGCGAGCTTGTCTCCGGCTCTCGGATGACAAACCCTGAGTACATAGTACGCTGCACTAGGTTTGGGCCATTGAACTTTCGGCCCCTGCGAAAGGCTCATTCCATCCTTCCAACTGGGTATTTTTTACAAGTTGAGAAAAAGGCACAAGACCCAAGCCACCACCCGGATGCGGCATGGTGTCCTGTTACCATCATCCGCCGTTCAAAGTTTGGAAAGCCGGAACTCCGCGCAACTCATCAGTGGAGGTCCGGTCTCGGACGGATCAACGCATCCTACGCCCGATCGGATCCCTGTGTTTGTGGTCGGCCCGGCGTCCATATTTCTCGGCCGAGGCCCCAATTGGCCAGGCGCCTACTTTTGCTTCATGTGGAAAAGGTGGTTGCTACTGACTTCTTCGGATGGGGTGTGAGTCCGGGGAAAATAACGTTATCGTGATGGAGAAGGTTATTTCTTTCGTCAACATGGCTCAACGGCTCCTAGTCCCCATAAACGTCACTAATACGTCGGCATTCTTGGCTGGTATCTCGCCAATTCGCACACAGAGCCACACTCGCTTGAGCCGTTCCAACTCGAACCAACACCCAGATGCCAATGCATTGACCAACAACTACAAAGTACGGGCATCCATCTCATATGACCCACCGACCTCGACACCCTCAAACTGCGGGGCTCGGCTACAAAGTTTCTCCATAACTGTGCCTGATTCTCTCTAGTATATAGTAACTTGGGAGTCACCGGCAACGAAGTCTTTGACGAGCGATGGGCGAGACCTCCGCAGTCCATGCTGCCACGCCTTTTAGAACAGGCCAGCAGGGCTGAGGCTCTCCATGGTCCCACGCATGCCTGCCGGATTCCTGGGTCTGCTCCCCACTCGTCACACACCATCTTTCTTCAAAATCCACCCAGAGAAATGGTCACTCCATCAGGACGACAGCCAAGAAGAACCAACTCACATCCAGACATGCGAGTTTCCGCCGTCACAGTGCAGGACCGTTGACACCAAGCCCGACACCCGGCTTCCGAGTCCCGAGCCGAGTCACCGACCCTCTTGAGAGCAGACAAAGTGATTTTATTAATGAAATGTCGAATTGAGGCTGAAAACCTCCCACTCCGCTAACCTCGACTTGGAATCGGATTCGCAGAAGGACAATCAACAAGGGACCCAAATGGAGTTTGGGTGGAGGTTGTCCAGGCAGGATGGGGTCCGCCTGCGCCTTTCGCGCGACATGTCAGGCGGCTTCAGCTCGAATTCGTTTCAGCGAGAACGAGCTAGAAAACACAACAGAGGAAAACCCCTGTCGAGTCTCCAAACGAGTCTGTCATTCGGACAGCCACGTTTTATTGACCCGGTTAGCTTTCAAGCCTCTTCAGCCTCCTAACCCGAACCGTAGGGGATTTTAAGCGACCTTGATGAACCCCACAGCTCAGTTCTTGAAGGCCGGAACAATGTTAACTAGCGGCCCTGCCAAGCGAAGTCCCTTGGGCCGAAGAACAACCCCACGACGGCTTTGTCATCGAGGATGAAACTGCTCCCAAAATCCAATTAGTCACCAACATCACCACCAACAGCGCCCTGCCCAACGAAGCCACAACCCCGTACTTCGTACTATGTATGGCGCAACATGCCCCAGGAGTCCCAGGACAAGCATTCGAATCCCCACGTCGCATTCGGGATCCGAGTGAGATCGGTTGAACAGGGCTCCGTGAAAGCTCTGTTATTCGTCTTTGGATTATAAAGCTTAATTTTGCCTGGGACGATTTCAAAACTAACTACGGATGCAGATATGAAAAAACGAAAACTCCACTAGCAACGCCTTTTATTGATCAATTTTTCTCGGCCTTTCTTGGCATTATTTGCTCGACTCCACGTGTACGACTGTGATTCTCGAGACAAATCTGGATTGGCGCTGTGGTCCCGTCATCTCTAAGCCTCTTCGTCGGATGCAGACCGTCTATGACTCTTTTCCGTCAAAATTTTCAGGATGGGTGGTTGGAGTTCTTCATGATTTCGCGTTCGTCTGCGTCACCCACCAAATAGATGACGAATCTCACACAACCTCCCGGGGGTCTACCAGATCTAGTGTACCAAGCTGCCCCGTCCATCTTGGGGGCTAAAACCCAACCCAACCGATTCTCCGGGAATAATGAAACAGGAAAGATGCCAAAATATGCCCACCCATGAATTAATCCTTCCATCCAGTCCACATGCCATACCCATCACATATTCCAGTACATCTCTAATCATGCCATGAAATAATGAAAAGGGAAAATGCCAAAATATGCCACCCCCATGAATTAATCCTTCCATCTAGTCCACATGACATGTCCACCACATATTACACGAGGTACATCTCCTCTAATCATGCCATGAAATATACAACATAATCCCCGCCCCCGCAAAAATAGCCGCAAACTGTACCAACGTCTTGCGCAGCTCAGCCGCCTTGTTCGGCCCCGTCTCCAACAACTCCGGAATAACAGCCACCGTGCCCACATATAAGAACGTCCCCGCCGTAAAGGGCAACAACATATCACCCCAACTGAGACTCGTGCCCCAAAGCCCGTCCCGGATGCCCATCTCACTACCACCGGCACCGACACCATCGCCGTTGGTCGCGTTGTTAGTGTTACTGCCACCGCCGAATTCCTGCACAGCAATACCGATAAGAGTGCCGAGGAGGGCGCCGACAGCCGTGACGAACTGAGCGCCCATGGCCTGGCGTTTGGAAAAGCCTGATTGGACGAGGAGGGCGAAATCGCCGACCTCGTGGGGGATTTCGTGGAAGAAGACGGCGACGGTGGTGGTGGCGCCGATGGTGGGGGAGGCGTAGAAGGAGGCGGACATGGCGAGGCCGTCGGTGATGTTGTGGGTGAAATCGGCGCTGGATGGGAAGGTGAAGGGTTAGTATAGATAGACTTTGGAGGGGAAGGGGGGGGGGTAATGTCCGATAACGTACATCATATTTAGTAGCCCGCCTAGTTTCACGGAGGGGTTGACCTCCTTCTTTTCTTCCACGGCCACCGTCACTTCCTCCGCCTTCTTCCCCTTCCTCAGCTTTGCCGCCTTCTCTTCACCCTCCACCGCGCTGGACTTCCCCTCCGCCGTCTCATCCGACTGTGTCCCATGCTCATTCCCATGCCCATGCCCATGCCCATGATCATGCCCCCCACCCCCCGTCGCAATCCTCAACCCCTTATCCATCGCCACAAACACCAAAAACCCCCCCAAAATCGCCACCCCCAACAACAAATTCCGATTCGGCTCCACCAAAACCATCCGCACCCTATCCGGCTCATCCTCCCCCAAAAAGATCTCCGGTAGTAAATGAAACAGCGTATCCCCCAAGAGTCCGCCAACCGCAAACGCTACCATGATACTCAGCGAGGCGGGGTCAATGTTGGTTGGGCAGAGGGCCAACAAGAAATTGGGCGGGCCGGAGATGTAGAGGGTCGCGAGGAGGGCGTTGATGGCGGGGTGGGAGGAGGGGAAGAGGATGGCGAAGAGACGGGAGGTTAGGGAGGAGGGGGCGGCGGCGTGGTGGGCGGCTTTGGTTTGGGAGAGGGAGACGATGATGGGGCATTGCTGTGTTTGATGCGAGATTGGTTAGCGGTTGGTCGATTGAGAGAAAAACCCGAAGATAAAATCAACACGGGGGCCATACTTGGAGCTGAGAATCGAGTTCGGCGAGGGAGAGATTCTCGATCAAAGGAAGCTCGGATTTCTCGGTTGTTGTGGTCGTCGTCGTGCTTCTGGCCCACACGGTAAAGGCGAGCGTCCCAAGCAGCAGAAAGGCTGCGGCGCGGATGCGCCCGGCGCTGGTTCGCGGCATTGGATGCTGGGGGAGGTGTGTGCGATTGAAGCGTCGCGTCGTTGGGGTGGTGGACTGGTTGATGACGGGCACAATGAAGTGCTTAACGCGAAGACGGAAATAGGGGTGAGGTGTCGCGTGGGTTCAGTCTGTGTTGTGGATCACAAGCCTGACCAGCTGGTCCGAATCGGGAGCAGCGGACATTAGATCCCTGTCGTGGTGCAGCGCCGTAGGGCTGAATGCCCGCGTCTGGGCGAGTTGAAACATGGCCGGATCTGGACACTTGTGGATCCTGGGCGAGGAAGTGTAGTGTTGAGCGCGTTGTTTTTGAAGATCGAAGATGGTTAGCTGGTACATGGAATGCTTGCGGTTGTTGTTTTGAGATTTAAAAGGTTCCGGCACTCTGGGACGGATATTATGGTGGTATTGCATGTTCCAGGCCAAGGGCTGCGGCAGATCCCGAATTAACAGCGTACCAGTTAACATCTCGCCCACTTGAACACCCTACCCCTAGGTATGAACATAAATTGTGTTTTACATGAAACTCAAAAGATAAAAACCCACCCCAAAGAACATAAGTGAGGTCAGAAACTAATACATGATGAGGCACTTAAAAGTTGAACTAGGTGCACGCCTAGCTTACTTAGGTATTTTCCTCTATGAGGCAAGAGGGTCATTATGCGAATCATCTTCAGCTAGCTTAGGTTTTTATCTTTGAACTGTCTCGTAAAGATTTCGGAAACAAGAACCGTCATTGCTGGAGGGTTTTTGGGTTCCGAGCACAGATTCATGAAGCCGCCCGTTCAACACCATAGTACTGTCTCGTCAAATAACAATCACAACGACAAACCTATAATACGTCTTGTGGCCCCCTACTAATATCACCAAAGATGTACCCCTCCATTCACACTGGAAGTGAGCCAGATCAGTAACTTGCAATGTTGTAAGTCAAGATCAAATCGAGTGATATTTAACTGCCAACTGCATCAAAGGCGACCCTAGACGCCAGCACTATCTTCTACTCCGCATCGCATATCCCCTCCTCCCCCTTCTTCTCGCACGAAAGCTCAAAGAGCGGCTGTCCCCCCATACTCCCATCCAGAATCCCAAAGCTCGGCACCGGCGTCCCCCTCCCAACATCCCGCAGCGTATACCACCACGTATTCACCCTCCCAAACAACATCCCACACCCAACCTCCTGCCAGAACCGTAGCGCATTCTCCTTCGACGGCACCGCCTTCCCCACCGTCATCCCACTCACCGGAAACCCCGTCTCCGTCACCCACACCGACGTTAGGTTCTTACTAAACAACCCGCCCTCCTCCCACACCTTCTCCACCACCACATCCGTCTCCGTCATCGCCATGTTAAACAACCTCCCAGCCTGCTCAACCCCATTCTCCATCTTCCCCTGCCAATAACTATACGCATCCATCCCCACAAACTCCACCGCCCTCAACACCTCCCGATTCCCCTCATCAACCCACTCCGACCAAGTATCCACATGCCCAATCTTCACCCCCTGCAACGGCGTGCCCCGCAACCTCTCCCTCAACTGGCGGATATACTTCATAATCTCCGCCGCTGTAGCCCCGGGGCCGGCGTTCATACTCCGGCCGGCGGCAGAGGAGCGGTACAGGTCCTCGCTGCCGACTGAGATGCCCATGACGAGGTCGGTGAAGGGCTTGCTGTAGATGCGCATGGCGGTGGTCAGGGCGGCGAGCTCGTTGGTGAAGGCGGAGGGGCCGGCGGAACACCAGAGGCCCAGGAGGAGGGTGGTGTTGGTTGTGATGGCCGCGGGGATGGCGGAGATGGGTTGGTCGGAGGTGCCGGGTTGCCGTTACCGTCTAGAAGAAAGGGATTAGGTACGGATTTTGGTGAAAGCCCGTTGGGGGGATTTGGGGAAGGGGAAAAGGGGTTTGTGCTTACCACCATGGTGTAGAGGCGCGCGCTGTTGAAGGTGCCGGTGGGGAAACCCTGGAGGTCCTGGGCGAGCTTGAAATCGGCTTCGAAGTCGGCTTGTTTCTTGGGCGAGGTGTCGGTGAAGAAAGCGCCGTAGTTGAAGCCTTGATGGAGGGCTACGGCCGGGCTGAGGGCGGCTAGAAAAGCCGTTAGAGATAGGATGCCGCGCATCGTGGAGCAGGAATCTTGGTGATTGTTTTCTTGTTGAAGAATGTGTTTAGATACTAAGGTTCTCGAGAACTCTTGGTGGGAATGGTAAGAAGTGAACGAGGGATTCGGGACTCAGGTCGCCTAATATTTATAGGTTTCTTCCACGAGGAAACGAAAAGAGTCATCGGTCATGCGCGATGGGAAAAGGCGAAGAACAAAGACTTCGTACAATTCCGCTATTGTTTTCTTGAAAGCATATCCGAGTCCCGAGAAGAGACGGGAGAAATCAAGAATAAGTCCTCTAGGTGAGGGCTCAATATTGAGAAACTTCCATATCTGGGCCCATCCATCACAATCAACTCCTTCACAGTTCAACAAGGTCTGGATTGGTAAAGCCACGGGCGTAGTAATTGTTGAGGGTTGATAACCGTAGCATAGTAAAAAAAAAACCACCAAAAAGCTCACCGCCTACTTCTCACAGTCCCCCCTATACAGGGGGCGGGGCATAGTAGAACAGCTACGAAAACCCGCAAGCAGATTTTACAAGTGCAACAACCGGGCTCGAACCCGGGTGCACAGATTCTGTGGTGTACTAGTTTGAACATCCACAGCCTCCCCACTACGCCATCCGGCCGGGGCCGGTGTTGGTTTTGAGGAGGCGGTTGGAAGGAACTGCCGGAAGGTGGGTTATAAAGCGTGGGCGGTGGCGGAACGAAAAGAGGGAAGGTGCGGTTGAGGCCACGCACAAGTGAACTGCTAAAGGGATAACGACTCGGGATGGAACCAGCACTGTAATGCTAGAAGCGTTAACGTCCATGTAGAAAGTAATACTTCTTCAACAAGACTCTGCTGCCATATACCCTTGCCTATCGATCGCTCTGTTCTCATCACCATACAAGTTTCCTGGCTTAGTTCATCATAAACTGAAAATAGAGTAATATTATGTGGGAGTCCCGTCGTCCACTCCTCTTACAAGGGCTATGGACATGGTTCTACGATCATACTCTCGATTAACAAGCCCTAGTTCTTAGATTATTGTCCAAATACACCTGCTAGTTAGCTAGGTACCTACGGAGGTGTTCTCGCGCGCTTGTGTACGGCAAAGGAGAACGAGGTAACATAACGGGAAGCATAACATACAGGACAGGAGAACCTGACGTGAACGACCCGGGCATGTCAAGTTCTCGACGACATCTATCCCGCCTTCTCAAGCATATCACTGAAATTTATGAGTCTCTCGCCATTACAGGACGTAAGATACCTCGTAAGGCTCATTGGAGGACGTTGATGAAGTCAGACCCTGAATCTGCAGTGCCACTCACGCGGCCCCACACATCAAGCAAACGTTCAAGGCCCCGCATTCTTTCCATATCTCCAAAAAGCGATGAACTGATGAAATCATTGTGCAAAATTCAACTCTCATCAACCAACCGCAAACTAAACCCCATCACCACCCAACAATCGCATGGCATCCAGGACCCCACCTTACCTATCCACCGCCTCACGAAGACTCCGCGCTCTCCAATCGCACCACCAGCCCACACCAAATCCCCCAACCAACACCCTCACATCAACAACCACAATGCCCTCATCCACCCCCGCCCCCTGGCGCGCCCCCTTCCTAACGCACATCACCCCCCTCCCCTCCCCAACCTTCACCCTAGCCACTCTCCAGCAGCAAACTCCCACACTACCCTCCTCCTCCTCCACCGCCGCCGCCGATTCCGCCGATTCCGCCGATTCCACCAATTCCACCGCCTTCCCGCGCGCCCGCACCTGTGTCTTCCGCGGCTTCTGGGCTTCACTCTCCCCTCACCCGTCCAACCCGGCTCCTCTTAATCCCACGGGGGTGTTTGAGTCGGATTTGTTGGTTTTTACGACGGATGGACGGTCGGAGAAGGTTGGGGGGTTGTTTAGTTCTGGAACCCGCTCTAGTGATGTTAAGGATACTGGTGGTAAAGAGGAGACCTTGCAGACGGGAGGCGGGGGACAGGTCGAAGCGGTGTGGTGGGTTGATAAACCTGAAGTGAGGACGCAGTGGCGGGTGAGGGGACGGGCGTGGGTGTTGGGGTCGGATGTGGAAGGGGGTGGTGAGAAAGCGGAAGAGGTGAGGGGGGTTTTGAGGGGGCGGATGAGGCGGTTGTTGCCTAGGGATGAGAATGGGGATTGGAGTTTTGCGAGGGAGGTGACGGCGCATTTTGGGAATTTGACGCCGCTTATGAGGGGTACGTTTAAGGGGCCGCCTCCGGGGGTGCCGGTTGCGTGTGGAGCGGGTGATGGGGAGGTTTTGGCGCAGAGGGTGGAGGGTGTGGAGGATGAGGCGGCGAGGAGGAATTTTAGGGTGGTGGTGATTGTGCCGGAGGAGGTGGATCAGGTTGATTTGAGCGAGGAGTTGAAGCCGAGGAGGTGGTTGTATGTGTATCGGGGGGAGGATGGGAAGGCTAGGTTGCCGGGAGGGGAGGTTATTGGGGAATGGGAGAAGGTTGAGGTATGGCCGTGAGGTCTTTGGCAGCTTCAGGGGAAGATGTATGTTGAAGGAAGTTAACATACTCCATTCGACCCCTTGTTGCTGTTGGTCTTGCCAATTATTCCGTTCCCAGTTCCCCAGTTTTGACTTTTCAAGTCAACCAGTGTGCTCTCAAACATGCTCGAGACAAGAGCCGCGCTAACAGAAGATAAAAAAAACCTCGGTCAAGGAACGCAGCTCCGTGTGATCCTGGTCATTTTCCGTATCCTTCCTTTCTTTACTGCACATAACAGGGCGGCTGACACAAAGAAGATCTACAGGTGGCCGAACGCTGTTTCTACTTTGCCCCCTCATGGGTCGAGAGGGGGGAGTCGGATGACGAACTGATTCCAACAGGTGGGCAGAAAGAACAAAGGAGGAGGACTTGAAGGGAGGTGCCCAATATCGTGTTCTCAATTATATAATAAGACCATCCTGCAGTGAATTTGGTCCTATCGCACCTGTCACCAAAACGTTGCCACGCCGTTTTGTGATGTCCCTCAGGATAGAGCAATTTTCAAAACTGGATAAGCCACATATTATAAGCTCCAGTACCATCCAATCTGTCAACCGATTCATCGAACGCAGCAGCCCCTGGGACAACGGCGGGCTCAAAGCATTTTTGTGAGTTACCACCCTCCGAATGCCAAACACACTCTACTTACATTGAACTACAGAGCTAATGAGTCGAGGCACGACTACCAATCGATCTCTGAGGATGAAAAGGAGGTGCTGTTGACAATTTGTGCCTGGCTGAGGTTCAAAGACTATGCCAAAGACCAACTTAGAGACTCTGTGCGCATTGCAGAGCTGATTTTTGGGTCTTTTGATCAGACCCAAATTACTGAAGTCATCAGCGGCAGGAGGGATCCGGCATCGGCCATTTTGATGATCTCGGCTCTAATGACTGCTCATGAGATGTACAAGGCAAGGGGAAAACGGAATGTGCCTGAACGTGTCAAAGCTTGGGGCCATCTTCACGATTTCGTTGAGCTTAACAATCGGCCACAGCTTACGGACCTAGAATGGGGAGGCCAGTACCTTACGCACTGGCACATGCGGTGCTCTATTCTTCGGGGTTTTCCTGAGGCGGGTGACGGTTATCGTCACCCCGACCTGTGCCGCGATCCACCGTGTTGTCAGGACGGGGAGTCCCATGAGATGCCCTGCGCAACGGAGATCACAGATGAGTACTGGACGCGCATCTTGGGGTATGGGGAGTCACATGGGGAACTGTGGCCCGATATCCACAGCCATCTTGAGAGTCGTAGAGAGGACAAAAATGTCCCGTGCCCGGTGTACTGCCGCTATACGACTAGAACTCAGCTGTGAAATGGCCCATCCGGTGATGAGTCGGGGTCTGACGGAAAGTGAGATCGTTCATACCTTACAAGGGGGGTCTCAAAGTCTCTGAAATTCTCAACAAGGTTGAAGTATACTCAATTTTGAGTTTATGATCTAGTTAGCTAGTTCTTCGTTTTCGGACATAGAGTCCCAACGACCGCGAAAATCAAGAATTTTGTTAAAACTTACAGAACCATCAATTTCTGCTGTAAACCGTGGTGTATCGTGAAAACTACCGCACTATGAGTGTAATATATAAAAACAATACCAAAGGCCTGTTTTTTGAATGCATCAGGTTCGACAAATACCCTAGAGACCTCCAATTAAGCGCATGTGGTTTGCTCCCATAACTTACCCCACCTGTGTCTTAAGTCGGATTGTTTTGCTAATGATGCGATGTTTAAATTGCTGAAACATTCCCACGTGCTCGAAAAGCTGCTTGAATGCCAAGGCTGCCAACGGTCTCGGGCAGCAAGAACTATCCGCAGTGTAAGTGTAATATTGGCCTGGAAGCTAATGGTGCCGAGTCTTATCAGTGTTGCGGCAGCAACATCTCGTTCTAGCCCGAGCCGTTAACCCCGGAGACCGCAGACTGAAAGCCGTTCTTGAACCGAGGAGGGTGTTGCCCTGGTCGCCCTGCGCAAGAATTGACTGTCTCCGCAGTTGACGACGCGGAGAAGGACGAAATTCAAGGGGACAAACCCGAGCCCGTTTCTGGAAGTCCTTCCTTCCTCATTCGCCCCATCAGGCGAGCTTTTGTTTATTTCCGGTCCGTATCAATGGCTGTACAGTATTCCCGTGTAGGCGCTGATTCCTCTTCAATGGTTTTGTCGAATTCCGTTTGGCAGTAGGCTTCATTCTTGCCTGGCACTTTCTCACGTGCTCGCGCCCCACACAGAGGAAATGCCAAGAAATGGAAACCGAGCGCCTGGGTGCACGCCGATGCCACCTGCCAATGCAACACGACTCGCCAGGGTCGATAAGAGTTCAGACGACGGAGTCTCGACACATGGTAGCACCTTGACAAAGGGGTTGATAAACGATCACGAATCCGGGGTTACCTCTTGACTCGTCGATTGAAGTTCACCGCTCGATTTCTGCTCTAGGGACGAGGAGAGGAGGGAAAGCTGCAAGCATGCTGACGACTTGACGGGCCGACGGATCGTCCCCTCATTGGGTGATCGCACGCCCACCTCCCAACTTGGGACTCGCCCGACGACTGTGTATTTTTTTTCTCCCTCTGCGTGTCATGCGGTTAACCCCAGCATGCCCAAGCGATGTGCACAACCTGCGACAACCGATGAGTTGCCTCCAAAAAGGCAGGTAGGAGCATCATCCCCTTGACCAAACCCCGCGCAAATATTCGACAGCCAATTCCGAAACGCTGGTTCGCCTCCCCGATTCGATTTGAGGATTCGTACCTGTGCGTGCTCAAACGGAGAGAGTCCGTGCCGGGGGTTTCAAAGTCGGGGAGGCGAGGGAGGAACGGAAACAGCGCAACCAAGATCCCTGCTGGGCCACGAAATGAGGTCGTGCCCCGTTGCAAGTACCGGTGCCACCGTCAGAAGGAACCCACTGTGAGCGTCGAGCTTTGGGGGTTGTTTTGTTGGATTGGCCTCGTCCAATTTCACCGCTACATCATGTCCATCATGCGAAAATGCACATTGTCACGGGGGATGTCGTGGGGGGAGGAGGGGACAGGGCTGACATGCACCACGACCCCGCGGTCGAGATGCACTCGGCGCAAGCGAACTCAGAGCCACCGCATAGGCTCGGCCTTGTTATTCAACGTATTGTGGCTGAGAGACGGCTCGAGGGAGAGGTGCAGACCTGGACACATCATGCTGCGTCACAAACGCAATCAAGGTCAGGCCAGGAAACCCACTTCAAGCGGGGAAATTCGAGTTCAAGCTCCAGAGCACGACGAGTCAACCTCCTGGTATTCGTAATGTATGGACTCACCCAGCCTTGCTCCATCATTCATGGGCTCGCCGCCCACGCGAGGCTGCCTGTGAAAGAGAGCTATCTCTGGGGATGACCTCGAAGCTCGGGTGGGCGCGTTGCCGGTGGGTAGATCTTAGGACCCGCCTGTCAGGATTTGCGGTTTCTTGGCCGAGCAGGCGGCCCACCATCCACAGCCCCCCCGGGATCCCATGCGATCCGTTCGGGGAATGGCAAGAGATAGGAAACGCTGCCGTTTGACGCAGTCCTGCCGCAGCTCACTCGGCTCCGTAGGCTCGCGTGCATCTTATCAAAGCATGTCAGACCCTCCCGAGCTCCACGAGAAGCAGGTTCTTCTTGTTGCTCATGCCTTGCCCAACCATTGGTGATCAGGCTTCCTCTCTGCTTTCCACATGCTACCCTTTTCTCTTTCTCTTTTTTCAACACCACCGACGCTGCTCATAACGACTCTCTCATAATACATAATATTGACGCGCATCTCTTCACCTTCACATGCTGCGGCGCACTGGCACTTCGTTGTAACCTCACGGTTTCTGTCGCAGTGAGCCGAGCAGTCTGCCCCTAGTATTCCCGAGACATTATCCGCAGCGGTACCACCACAATCACCCGTAATCCGACGTCATCGTGCCTGCACCGCCGTTGAAACCGACCCAGGAATCTGGAACTATTGCGGACGAGTCTTAACAGAGACCTGATTCTACTTCTATAATCGAGGAATACGCCAACAATTTCGGAACAGCCTCGGACTCTTCCCTCGACGCTTCAAATTTAAAGAATCATTAGACATCCATACCAACACCCTCCACGCCCGTCTCTCTCTCTCCGGGAGGATGACGGGCATAGCATGTACCGAACGCTAAACGCCGCCCGCGATCGCTCATCGCCGTCGCCATGGCTCTCTACTCGGACCCTCCGCCCCCACGCCCCTTCAGCGAGGACAAGCCGACGCTGCTAGTGTGCTGGTGGATCACCATCTTTTGCGCCGTCATCATCGCGCTGCGCGTCGTGGGCCGCTTTATCCGCACCGAGAAGCTCTTCCGCGAGGACAAGACCGCGGCGCTAGCTCTGGTGCCTCTGTTTTTGCGCATGGGCTGTGTCCATGTCATTCTCATCTACGGCACCAACAATGCGATTCTCGAAGGCGCTGGATTTTCGGACGAGGAACTCCACCAGCGGTCGATTGCTAGCGGTTTGGTACTGCTGAGCAGAGTGCTGTATGCTGCGACGTATGTGTGATGTCCTCGAATACCTGTTTTGTCTTGTTGGACAGTCAACACTTTCTGCATGAACGGGATTCACTAACACTCTGCCCCTTAGCCTATGGATCCTCAAATACGCGATTCTCGAATTCTTCAAGCGACTCAAGGTTACTTGGAGGCGCACCTATGACTGGGCTCTAATGTTCATTCGCGGGTTCTTGGTCACGACCTTCATCGCTGTCGTCATTAGCGATCTGGCTGAATGCCAGCCCTTCTCTAATTACTGGCAGGTTCTTCCTGATCCAGGGGGCCAATGCCGTCAGGGATACGCTCAGCTCCTGACCATGGCCGTTTGCAATGTCATAACCGATTTGCTGCTGGTCATGGTACCCATCCCAGTTATCCTCAGCAGCTCGATGAGCGCGGCCCGCAAGTTCCAACTCGTGCTACTCTTCTGCCTCAGCCTAGCCCCCGTTGCCGTCACCATTTACCGCGTCCCGCACATCATCGACCAGCACGGGTCCCAACGAACCCGGTCCCTGTACGCCTCCGTCGAATTACTCTTCGCCACCGCTGCCGCCAACGCTCTCGTGCTCGGCTCCTTTGTCCGCGACCGCGGCGTAAAAAAGAAGCGCTTCAAGTACGATTCCATCGCCGCCGGTTCCATCGACCGGTCCTCTGCCTCCGATTCCCGTCGACCAACCGCCCTCCGCCACTGGGGTAGCGACGAGGACCTCGTACGCGATCTGGGCCTGGGCGTGACCCCCGAGTTGCGTGACACCCGGCCCTCATCCAACGACCACCTCCACCCCCAGTACACCCCCGCGCCGCCTGCCCATGCTCATGCCCATGCCATGGAATCATGGAATTTCCCGAGCTATGCCCAGCGACCGAGTACCTCCCCGCTGAGCGAGGAAACAGAAGAAGAAGAAGACCACGGCGACGACAAACCCACACCGAGCAGCGAAGTGTCCGCCTCCCGCGGGGTCTCCTTTTTCGACTACGGCGGGCTCCTCGATGACCAAAACCCTACCACCGCATCAAATCCCACCCGAGGACGCAACCATTCATCTCCCTCGTCATCATCATCCACCACACCATCCCCCTCAACGACAAAACCGCCCGACCCAGCGGTCACGGCCAGCGGAAGCGGATTCAGAAGAGGTTCGTCCGCGCTGTTGCAAGACCTGGGCGGCTTTTTGGCCCCACCGGGATCTAGGACGACAAGGCAGAAGTCGAGGCCGAAATCTCGGTCGAGACCGCTCTCGCCTATTCGGCAGGGAGAGACACGGGGAGACGGGCCAGCACCTCTGCCAGAGCGACCTTCGCCAGAGCCGTCATCGGCGAGAGCGTCAGTGCGGGCGGGACGTTCAGATGGCAGTGCGGGCCAAGGGCCGGAGTTGATGGATGTGGGTGGATTGTTGGGGACCTCGGGGCGGTGAAATTGATCTCGAGAAGGAGACTTAAAAGATAATATGAGGTGGTCACCTCTATAATCCCTTTTATTCTTCCCTTTTTTTCTTTCTTATCTTGATACCAGGAATGGGTGGGGGAGCTGGCACGGCTTTTCATACTACTTATTATTTGGAACACCTGGATTATACAACGGCGTTCATGGGGTGATGGGACGGTGGGTTATTTGGCGATATACACAACCACCATGAGAGAGAAGAGAGAAAGAGGAAGAGGAAGCCATCCCCGAGTTTGCGTGCTGGGTTTTAGCTATGGACGGATTAGAGGACAGGTGCCACGCGGCTCAACAAGATGACAATCGAGAACGGTCTCGTTGGACGGGATCGAGGGGCGGTGATGATACCGCGGTTAGGAAGCAGGGTAGATCGGTGGTATTCTGTCTTTGGCCTTGGGAATTGGGCTGTTCAGGGGGGTCATGAGCAGCTAGGGTGGATGTTTTGTTTTTCTACACACGATATACCCAGGCATAGCGAGTGTCATGCCGTATTTTTTTTTTCATGGTTTTAGGAAGGGGTATCTGCTGGTTTAGGTCTGATATAACGGGGTAGAGGTGGGACGGGGATGGTGGTAGAAGTATCAATATCAATGATAATGTTCAAAGATGTCAACTTGTTGGAGTATATATTTGTATGACGTGGTGATGAATTACTGTGTAGGTGGATGCTAAGACTAGCGCGCTTTACCTAGCCGTTGGAACACACGTTGTTATATTGACAGGGTCGGTGGAAAAGGTCGAGTTATCTGGCGAATTATCACCGCACAACGCTGTATATGTCATCAAGAGCGCAACTAGGGTTGAACGTCGGGCATCGGCCTCATTTTCTTTCTAGAGAGTAGCGCTCAAATCAGATACCAGAGGCGACCAAAAAGGTACACATTCCGGTACACAAGCCGCTCAAACAACCCATCCCCGTCGTACTTCTTCGCAGCCGCCGATTAACGCCTGAAAATGATTAACGCGGAAATACCCACGACCCAAATCAAGCCTAATAAAAAATCAAACGCCCTCTGTCTGTGCCTTGGCTTCAGCTGGCGATGTATAAAACACGCGCTAGCTGGGGTAAAGCGTGTGTTGATGCAAACTCCGGGTATGTCTCCCCACACCCTAGCTAGGCGGAGTGACAAATCTCACTTCATCGCCTGCTTCCCTTTCTCAATCGTTTGGCCCTTCTCACCCAACAATTACCCCTTTCCCAACCTCGCTCATACGCAAAGACGATAACTCGCATACCGCCCCGCAGTCTCACTGGTACGTATAATCTTGACAACCTGGCCCTTCTTCAACCCCAAGTAGCGCGCAATGGGGTCCTTGGACAGAATACGCGGCAATTGGGTCTCCTTAAGGCGGTAGCGGCGCAGCAGGGCCATCTTTTCCTCGCGGCTAAGCAGCACATGCTTAGGGACGAGATCGTGGTGGGTGATGTTGACGAGCAGGTCCTCCTCGAGGAAGCACTCGATCAGGGTGAACTGCGAGGTGACGGTCATGACCTTGCGGGCCTGGGCCGACAGCGGGACGGCGGTGACGAGGATGCCGGCTTTGAAGTTGTGCTCGTCGCAGTGCGCGACGAATTTCTTCATCACGTTGATGCCGATCGACGCCTTTTCGGGGCAGAACTCGACCCAGATTGTGCCGCATTCGGGAGACGGGTCCGGGTTGGATGCGGTCGGTGGCGGGGTGAACTTTTTGATCATTGCCTCGGATGGGCGCGCCGAGAACTGCAATTTGGTGCGGCTGGCACGGACGGGTATGTTAGTAACAACGACGGCGAGGAGGGGATTTGATGGCTAGGGTGATGGCTGGGACGTACTTCGGGCTGCCGTCGTCGTTGGTGAAATCTCTACGGAAACGGTCGAGGGGGACCCTGACCTCGCTGTCGGCCAGTTCGTAGCCCTGCAAAAGAGAAAACGGGTTCAGCGCCAGCTCTGGTTTTCCGCCGATGAGCTCTGATGGGCCGGAGGAGGGGAATTTGGCGTCGAAAACGAGACCACGCCGGGCTGACGTACTCTGTCCTGCACCATCTCGTGGATTGTCCTCCATGAGCGCCAGAGGCGCGTCACTTCCTTTGCGTGAATGCTGGCGACGTTCTCTTCCTCCATTTTTTGTGTTCGTCTCCGTCGCGGATAATCGTATTGCGATTTGATTTTGGATCGATCAGGCGGAGTTCGGGGATGAGGACGGTCGGCGAGTTGAAGATGTCGGGATTAAGATGTGGTGGGCGAAGTTTGTCGCAACAAATGCTTGCGAGAAGGGCGACGGTCAAAAAAATGCGGCTTGGATGCCGCCTTGCAGATGGGTCCCGGCAACCTTTGCTGGGGGAACGCCGTGGAGTGCCGATAGTTGGTAGGCCTTGGTCCTCAGTACGTGCATTCTTTAACATGCACTGTGGCAGTGTGCGAGTTACTATGTACCTAGGTAACGAGGGAGTGAGAAGAACAACCGACACAGAGTCATTCCCCTCGTCTCTCTTAATGTTTGGGGTTAATCTAAAGCTATTCAGCTCCATGGAAAAGACAACCATGGACATGTAGCTTATAAATAACTCCCATGATCGGGATTATTTTCAACGCTCTTCTCCCCAGGGCGTGATACGAAAAGCGGAGTGCTGAAAACAGTGTCAATACAGTGCCAATATTGCATTTCTACCCCTTTCTAGATGCATGCAATGGGCTGGCTTGGCTGGGTGCAACAGAACCTAAGCTAAGGCCACTGGTCTGGAATCGAACCTAAAAATGAAATTTTGGTGATCTGGTGCTGAACTTCAGACGAGTGGAGGATACATATATATTCTCGTCCCGGCGGGCGTTTTACCAGCTTGCTCTCCATTCCGCACTTTTCTATATATACCGACCCTTTCGCCATTTTTTGCCGCCTCGTTACTGTGTGCAACGAGGGCGCTCCATTTCCCATCCACCCAGTCTATTACCGCACATCTTCTCGGTCAATCTCTATCCGGACTCTTCTACTCGCAATACAATGGCGACGGAATCTGCAAGCCCGGCCCCGGAGGCTACCGCCTCGGTGCCCGCCAAGGTCGCGCGGCCCGACGAGGAGGCCTACCAGAAGGAACTCGCCAAACTCCAGAAGGCGCACGAGGAGGCACTCGGCAAGTTCGTAAGTACAGCCCAGTCAAAGGGACCTCAGCGCAGTGCCTGTGCCCTCTTTCTTTGCTCCGTCGCTGTCAATTGGACTCGATACTAACCCTGCGACCCCCCTCTTGTTCAGAATGCTTCCAAGGCCAAGCTCGACAGTGCCCTACCTAAACAGGGCCAGGAAAGCCCGCTGGTTGCCCGCCGGAAAGAGTTGCTGAGCCAGCTGGACGAGATCCGCACGAAGCAGGGTTCCGGAAAGGCCGCCCGCACCGGGAAGCTGGACCAGGTCAAGTCCCTCGATGAGCAGCTCCGCCGCCGCATCGCTGAGCAGAAGACCGCCCGCGGCAAAATGCCCTACAAGAACGTCGACGAGATCGACGCCAAAATTAAGCAATTGGAGCAGGAAGTTGACAGCGGCAAGATGAAGCTTGTCGATGAGAAGAAGGCCCTTGCTGAGATTACGAATCTGCGCAAGCTTCGCAAGAACTTCTCGGGGTTCGATAACGACCAGAAGGCTATCGACGACCTCAAGGCGAAAATCAAGGAAATCAAGGACTCCATGGAGAACCCTGAGGCGAAGGCCCTCAGCGACAAATACAACAAGATCCAGGAGGAACTGAACGAGGTCAAGGCCGAGCTGGACTCGGTCTTCAACAACCTCACTACTTTGCGCGCCGAGAAGTCCGAGCTTCACAGCGCCCAACAGGCCACCTGGGAGGCCCTCAAGAAGTGCAAGGACAACTACCACACCCAGCGCAAGGCTGCCCAGAAGTGGGAGCGTGAAGTCCGCGAGAAGCGCCGTGAGCGCGAGCAGGCCGAGCGCGACCGCATCACCAAGGAGCGCAAGTTGGCCCGCGCCCAAGAGCTGCTGGCCGAGGCGAGCGACCCGGCCTTCACCGAGCAGATCCGCCGTGCGAACAACCTTGTACGCTTCTTTGACCCCTCGCACGTTGGCGAGGAGAAGACCCCGCTGCTTGCCGACAAGGGCCTCGCCGCTGCTGCTCAGCGCAAGGTTGACGCCTCCGGGTTCGAAGGCATGAAGCTTGTGCGCAAGGAGGACCGTGAAGAGGACTACCTTCCTGCCGTTAAGAAGGGCAAGAAGGGAAAGAAGACCAACACCGCTGCTGAGCCGGCATCTGGCAAGTTCAACTGCCCACCCTCTGTCATTGAGGACTGCGGTTTTGTCGGTGTCAACCCACCAATGAGCGCTGCCGAGGTTCCCGAAGTTGTGGAAAAGGTCAAGGCCAAGATCGCCCAGTGGAAGGCAGACCAGCCCATCCAAACACAAAAGGTATGTCTTTCTGATACTACTACCCTCCAGCCGCAGACCGCTAACACGACCTAGAACATCGAAAAGGCGAAGAAGGAGATTGAGCGTCTCGAGGCCGAGGAGAATGGCGCCAATTCCAATGCCAACGCTCCTAAGACGGCCGACGGTGAGGAGGCCGTGGCTGAGGTTACAGAGAAGGTTGCCGAAACTTCTCTCGACAACAAGGAAGCCGAAGCTCCCAAAGAGGTTGAGGCAAGTGCTTGATTATAACAGGCCAAGAAAGACGCATCAACATTGATGTCGCTCTCACTTCCTCTAACAAATAAGTCACATATGGCTATATAAAATTTTCCTAAATCCATTACATGGTAGTCCTCAAAATGATGTTATGTCGGCGTGAATGAGAGAGCGGATCAGCTGGGTATCTTAAATGTTTCTGGTGTTCTTTCAGCATTCAGATGCTACCGTTGCTGATATCTCTTTTGTCACGAACTGTTTCATTTTGTGTATCCAGCTCATTTAGACATATGGGAATGATTGGTGGCTGTCGCGCTCACCTTAACTCAGAAAATGGCCAACGATACACCGTGCTTTCTTATACTAACCTACGTTATGACTTGTCGTAAAAGCAGCATTGACGAGGATTAGGAGGGGATAAAGAAACATCCGGGAAAGGGTAAACCGGAAGGTGATACGCAATGGGTATATATCCCTCAGAATCTATCAATGTTTGACCTCTTCTGAAGCACTCTGCCCGGAATTCATAGGTATCATAGTTCTGATCCAATTTACTAATAGAGTAGCTGTCCCCGTTCTTTGCTGCTCCGACTTGTACCCCTTTTCACACACTTTCATCACGCAGTAACAAGATGTCGACTGAGCCGGTTCTTGCACGTATCCTTGGGAGTTCGTCGCTTGCTGGTTTGACCATAGATTCACGCCTTCTGGTTCCCAGTTAGATTCCCTTCCACGGTGGGGACATGGAGTTACCCGGCAAGGGCAACAGACAATAATATTAAGGCCCTTAAGGAACGGAAACGACACAATATTATTGATTCAGGTTATGTTCCATCGGGAATTTCCTCCTTGGAAGTGGTCGGCTTATTTTATGTTTAGATCTCCCCCATTTGCAGCAAGAAGCCGCAGGGACGTGAAATTGTCACGAACAGGACTTGTTTTAGCCAGTCGCTATGTTTATCAAGTCTTTATTTGTGGTTAGAACTTCTGTCCTTTTATAGGAACTCCCTTCCCGATGATGTGTTGTCTACAAACAGAACAATCCAACTCGACAAGACAACACCACGTTGCCTTGGAGGATGCGGGTTGCACATCACCATCAAACAAGATCAGTCCACATCCCCTTTCCACTACCTTTGTTGATATCTTGACCCTCCACCGTCGGCCTTTCAATACCATCTAATTAGTGAGGACACCTCCGCAACGTCAGAGGGATCTTCCCTTTTATCGGGTCACTGTGTTTACTTTGACTCCACCCCCGAGGGTATTCGGGTAGCGGGTCGTTCGGACAGAAATTGTGGAACAACTCACACACGTGGACTTGGCTTACGCCAGGTCGATAATTCCGAGTTTCCGTGGCAGAGTGGCCGCTGGGGCTGACGTTGGTGTTGGGATTATGGGGATCGATAATGTGGATGATAGGTTGGTGACACATGTGGGCTCGTCTATCAATGTGAGTGTCAAGAGCCGTGGCTAAGCAAGGTGTAATTCCGAACTTTAACTTCGGGGCGCGGCGAAAAGGAGAGTATCATGTTGATGAGCTGCAATAGTGCCTTGAGCAAGGTTAAATGCAACTACTGTCAACGCCGATGCCGACAGCAATATCAGCGCAATACCCACGCCTAAGCAAAACATATCTTGTTTTCATGCCCTTCACAGCAAAACTAAAGATACTAGTAACTATGACACGCTCTTGCCAGCCACGTAGCTCTGCTTAAAGTGGGTGGTGATACATGTACTTATGTTAGCCTGCAAACCGCCCTCCCCCTCAACGATCCTCGGCGTCAGGCCTACCATTAACCTCCTATCAATCCAACAGGCCACACTCCCGAATTCCCCAGAGTAAACCACTCCAGAAGAAACCCCAGAACCAAACAAAAAAGACCCTTCAAGTAACACCAATATATCCCAAACCCCCGACCCGAAGATCCCAAGCCCACTAACAAAACGCACACTCCAACGAAACCCAGAACCTTCACCGAAAGTGCCTCCTCCAACAAACAGCCCCCTCTCCCCCCCCTCCTTCCCCCCTCCTTTTTGTGTCTCGTCTCCTCCCATTGATTGACGTTGGGCACCGAGGCATACATAGCCACCTCAACACCAGTCACCAGTACAGTACAAACAACACATCGTTTCGAAACCCGAGCCCCCCGGGCCGTGCCGTTGGGGAAGGCGCGGTGTTCATGAACTGAACTTGTTTCCTTGTTTTATTTTGACTGTTGTTCTCCATCCCTCGCCCGTTCGTCCCATTAGAAACAAATACTAGTAGATTAGAGTAGGTATTCCAGCGAGACGACAGCCCCGACGGTAGTATTCCTCTCTCCAGGGCGACTTAAATCTCGGAGATGGTACCCGTCGCGTCCCTCAGCTTTGAGTCTTGTGATTACCTATCTTTTCTTCGGCTAAGGCCCCCCGCATGCAAGATACCTACCTTACTTATCCACACCCACATATATTATTCCCCGCACTGCTTGGTTGTGTTGGGCAGAGGCACAGAGTTGGGGGGAGAGATAGGGATGTGGGTAGATGTATTCTTATGCTCAGGATGTGGCGACACCTACGTCCTTTGTGATAGAATGGGAGTAATTTTGGATTTAAATAATGGGCAAGGTTTCCGTCGGTGTCTTCGATATTGAGAGGGGATGAGGGGAATGTTTGTTGGCTGGATGAGTTACACCGAAGACGGCAAGAAAACTCCTTCGGAGGAGATGACTTTGGGGGAGAGGACCAAGGGATTTGAACTTGTGCACCTCAAACGCTGTCAATTATACCCCAACCCACAAACAAAACAATAACATGACATAAGGACAATGTATTTCAATAGGAGCAAGGCGAGATACAATCTCAATTTTAAATAAACATCTGCCCTACGCCTCATTAGATATATACACACAAAAACCAGCCCCCAACACAGCCACAGCCACAGCCGGGCCCTTCTTCTCTCTTCTCCAATGCGATGAAAAAGGGTATCTCATCCAACAATGCCAGACAGATCCAATCCTCATCAAAAGCTCATATCATGACCAGCCGGTGGCACGTTTGTTGTTGTTTGTCTCTGACAAAGTTTGCTTGCTGTCTCCCGGGCCCGTCGGGTTTCGATCACACCAACCCACTTTTCAAGTGCCACTGGCCGTTTCCCCCGACAAGAAAATGTACCGAAGGGATGCAAAAAACCAAAAAGAAAATGTAAGAAAAGGTAAGACCGCCGACTTTGCTTGGTCAATCCCCACGGCGGCTCTTCTTGTGTTGTTTTGTTTCGTTTTCGTGATTTTGGTCTCATCGTACGGGACCCGGCCCGCTGCCCACGTCTCGTTTCCTCCTCTAATTCATCCATCTTTCGCTTTGCCATTGTCATGACAACGCGAGCCATCCGCTAATCGTTTCGAGCCCAACTCGGCCGGTATTCGTGAGTGTCCGGGGGCACACAACAAAACCACCTGAAAGCAAGCACCGAGACCGAGTAAGCGAGGCGGAGAGGAGAATACAGCCGAGGAGGGCGCCCGTGCCGTGAACCGGTTCCCAGAACAAATAAAAAACTGCAAATCATTGCGTGGGTGATAACGGCTCCGTCCGGTCTGGGCCATTCAGTTCCAGGCGCAGAGACAGAAAGACCGGATCCCCCAAAGGCCTTTGTACAAACTCATGCCTTGCCGTCGTCGAATAAGAGGGCAAAGGGAAATAAATAAGGAAAAACTCCAGAATGCCGCCTCCCCAGAATGAAGGGAAAAAAGAAAGAAGAAGCAGCCGAGGCTATGCAGGTCGTATCGTGCAAAGTAACTGTAAGAAACCCGAGATGTTTCATACTACCTCGGTCGAGTTCATTAGCGCGACATCAAGAAAACGGTAAAGTCGACGGTGGCACGGTCGGCTCGTCGGTGGCGTGGTGGTTCCAAAACCGAGTGTAGCAGTCCCCCGATCCCCCGATTCATTGCACAATTTCACTTGTTTTGTCAAGTGAGAATGCGTCGCGGGGCGAGAGTGAGGGTCCGCGTTTAGTGAGGCCCATAGATGGGGGGATAGTACCCAGGCGGCGGCGGCCCTGGTGGCCCAGGGGGCGGTCCACGATAAGATTGCCTCCTCTCGCGTGGTGCTGGTGTCCTCCTTTCACGCTGAGGCTCAAGTGTGGGGGTTGTTCCTCTTCGGGGGGGCATCGATAAGTCTCTGTCGAGGGCACCCATGCTCGGCCCGCTGGCTACTGTGGTCGGAGCTCCGACACGACGAGCAGGGGGTTTGCGAGGTCCGTTGAGCGCGCTGAGGGGAGGGTCCTTGACGGATTGCTCGTTGTCGTCGGGCAGGGTCAGTTCGACCAGACTGTAGAAGTACTCGAGGACCTCTGGATAGCGTTGTACCGATGCTCGCCAGTCTTCATCAATGCCACGCTTCAGCTGTGTCTGGGCATTTGCAAGCTCAGTAGGATGCGGCGGCGCGTGGTAATAGTGGTAAGCGTGGGCGGTGATACGTTCCAGGTGCTGGGTGTGGGCCTCTTTGCGTCGGTCTGTGAGGAGCCGGAAGTACTCGAGGATGTAGTCTTGCGCGTGCGCTCGTACCCATGATCTACAAAGCGGTCAGTTTACCTGCTCGTGTCCGATCATCTCAAGATGGCAGGAAGAAGGGGACAAGCATCGCTCACCGGATATCATTGTATATAGAGTTCATCATACGCATCTCGGCCTGTTTGACGGCAAGTTCCAGACCTTTCGCTTCGCACTCGCAGGCCATGGAGGCCGGAGCATGGCAGATGGCGCAGTCCGGGTCCATCCTGACAAGCCCTTTCCGTACTTTGTAGTCGCTATGATACATCGTTTAGCCTTTGCGTTTCAACGGACGGCCGCCGCATGAGAGAGGTCTTGGAAAGTGCGGTAATGGGGATTTCGGAGCGAAGAAGGGGAAAGAAAAGAATAGCAGCAGGGAGTAAGACTGCAAGTGGGCAATGATGGAGAAGAGCACAAGAATCACGAAATAGCACCAAGTCTTCGACCTAGTGAAACGGGGAAAAGGCTAACATGCGTAGAGTAGCCATGGCTCTTGGGTCATGACCTGTGGCCTCTCGGGACCAGCCCAGAATTAAGAGGGGAGGGTGAACGAGAACGGTGGCGAGCGGTACCGGGCGGCAGTGGGCGGGAGCGCTAGGTGTATGGTAGAGGAGGGACGGGAAAGAAGGGGAAGCGCAAGATGATGTGTGAGAGGAAGGAGAGCGGACGGATGATAGGGAACAGCGCACTCGACGTGACTGGGTAGCAACGGAAAGATAGGAGGAGAGAGGCGGGCGTGGATGGGCTGATGAAGTGCAGTACTGACCTGGGCAAGGTTGAGAAGCACGCAAGAAGGGACGGAGGTCGAGCGGTAGGGCGTCGACACAGGTAAAAGGGAGGGGACAAGGCCGAGGTGCCGCAGTTCGTGCGTCGAGTGTGTGTCTGTCTGTATGCGTGTGCGGGCGCGTGTGCGTATGAGCTTGTGTGCTGGACGGCGTGAGCGAAGAAAGGCGGACACAGCGAGCAGCAGCAGAAGCAGCAGCAGCAGCAGCAGCAGCAGCAGCAAGCGGAAAGCCAGACACCACGTTTCTTGGGACGGCGGCGAGAGAGAGGAGAGACAAGAAGAACGAGCTGCAGGGAGCGGTTGTCGAGTCCGGGAGCGATCTGGGGGCGAGCAGCGTCTCTGTTTGGCGGAGGGACAGAGGGGGTTGCAGCAGAACAAGCCCGGGTGAAGCCAACCGGGGGCAGTGAGTGGCAGGTTGGTCGTGAGAGGAGGTGTCGATGAAGTTGGGGCGGAAGACCAGCGAGAGGGCCAGCAAGAGGACCAGCGGGAGAACCGGGGGAAGGGCACTCGCACAAACCAAGGCGGGCTTAACCACGTTTAGACTGGGGACAGTGTCGTGGCTCGAATGCGGGCCTTTGGCAGCATTGGTCTGCAGCGTGCAGCGGCCCAATGCCGGTTCAGCCAGTCCGACGACGCGCTGGTCTCAATGAGGGGCCCAATTAACCCTCACCCACGTCTCGAGTTGTTGATGCTCGCGCCACCCGCGTCGTCTGGGGGGGGGTTACAGAAAACGCAGAAAGTGCAAGAGAGTGCAGAACAAAAGGGCGATGATTCGTCCTAGCTGCTGTTCAAGGTTGTTGCGAGAACGCGTCGCAGAGATTGCCGCGGGGGAGGGGTGATGGTTGATGGTTGACGGGGCAGGGGGGACGACTGCAGAAAACTGAGGAAGCGAGAAGCACGAGGTCTAGCAAGCACCACTCGGTGCGGGTCCCCGGCCGGAAGAGGAGGTCGGGCTGTGGAGACGGATCGAGGCGAGCGAGGAGGTCGCGGGGACAAAAGCTTGTGGAATTGAGAGCCCGGTTGAGAGACGGAGACGGAGGGGGTTCCAGGAAGACGGGAGAATGAAAGGGAGGAAATGTTAGAGTGTGAGAAGGCTGCCCGGTTTGGGAGCACAATATCGGTATTTTATTGTTAACGCTAGCTTTTGTGCGTAACCTGGCAAAAAACCCCAGATAGAGAAAAAGGAACCAGCGGTCTGGAGAATATAAATATATGGGCATTATTAACCCTCGGAAGTCCGGTGTCCAAACATCATCATCGGCGTTTGGCGTCTGTCTCTGTTGTCAACTTGTCTACCATGCCCTCCTGACCATGTCGGCGCAGACGGGGTGGTTGGGCGTCCCGGGGCGGCTCACCACTCTCCGGCTGCTGACCGCATGTTTGGCCGCGGAGGAGGCCAGTTAAGCCAACACCGAGCGGCAAACGGGGAGCCACGAATTGCGGGCCAGCCGGCGTGACGCGGGAGAACACCTGCATGAACAGCGCAACCTGAATCCTTGCCTGCTCCCTTGCTTGAGGAGCAAGAGGCGGGGAAAGAGATGGGGGTTTGATGAACTTTGCGGGGAGATCTCGGGCAATGGAGAACCAGATAAGGGGAGGATGATGTCTTCGTCTTGCCAGGGAGTCGTTTGGGGGATTTTGAGGTCTAGAAGAAAAGGTAGAATTGGGAATTGGGCTGGAAACTGCCACAAAAACGAAATGGGATGGTCTGCGGCGCTGCTTCCCGATTTTGTTCCGGCGGCTCGGCCCCGGGACGGATGGCTTAGCTAATTATTCAATATCTCTTATCTTATCGCACCGACGACCCCTGCTAAAATTTCCTTGGGATCACCACCCTTGGATCAACGTTTCCGAGTGAGGCCTAACCACCAACAGCGCAACCATCGCCGAGCATGGCCGGCCGGTGCCCGCGAAGCCCTCGGGTGTTTCTTCCATTCCTTTACCCGTCGCTTTTCCCTCTCAATGGGATCTCCCGCCCGGCCCTGGCGGCCGGTGTCAAGGGCACGCGACGCAACATGAACACCAGCACAACGAGCCCCGAGCCATCGGCACCTTCGGACGACTTGCGGTCCCGATTAAACCCCGACCCCGACGATTACTCCATGACCAATTTCTCCGACAAGGCGAAGTTGAGCTTGTACCCTGGCCCGGGCGGCCACGGATGCATCTCGTTTCTACGCGAGGCCTTCGTGCCGGATGGACCTCCCAACGGCGGCGATGGTGGGCACGGTGGCAATATTTACATCCAAGCGGTCCACGGCGAGACATCACTACACAAGTTGGCGCGGAAAAAATTTGTACGAGCAGGGAGGGGCAAAAGCGGTATGGGCAGTGCCAGGAGCGGCCAGCGAGGCGAGGACGTCGTTATTCCCGTTCCCGTGGGAACGGTCGTAAGGGAGATCAGCCGGGACGACCCAGAAGCTGAATCTCGCTTCTTGTCGAGAAGGGAGCGGAAGAGACGGTCGAGGGAATCACAACCGGTAGAGGCGGAGGTGGATGAGGAAGGAGAACCAGTAGGGGACCCTAACCTTCACAAATGGGTGCTTTATAACGGCATGTCGTCCTCGGACAGGAAACGGATGGATCTTCCACCGCTACCGAGCCGCGACCGCCTATTTAGACAACCTGCAGCACCCATCCTCTTGGATCTATCACGCCCTACTCCACAACCAATATTACTTGCAGTGGGCGGACTAGGCGGGCTAGGAAACCCCCATTTCGCCTCCAAAAATACTCCGAAGCCTCTGTTTGCAACCCGAGGAGAAGCAGCCCTGACATTAGAGATCGAGCTGGAGCTTAAACTGCTCGCTGACGTTGGCTTAGTCGGCCTGCCTAATGCAGGGAAAAGCACACTTCTCCGCTCTATTAGCAACAGCCGCACTCGCGTTGGTGACTGGGCCTTCACCACCCTGCAGCCCAACATTGGCACCGTCGTGCTCGACAACAACAAGGGCCGTCCAATGCTCACGAGCTACCGCAAAGTTGCACATTCCTCATACGGCCGGAGCGACCCGTTTGGCCGGCCCTCCGACACCCAGCCGGAGGTCGAGCGCCGCACGCGGTTCACCATCGCCGACATCCCCGGTCTTATCGAGGGAGCGCACCTCGATAAAGGCCTCGGCGTTGCCTTTCTCCGGCACGTCGAGCGCGCCGGTGTGCTCGCTTTTGTTTTGGACCTTAGCGCGGGCAATGCTGTGGCTGCCCTCAAGTCGCTGTGGAACGAGGTCGGCTTGTATGCCCATATGCGGGAGGAGGAGGAGCGTGAGCGGAAGCGCCAGGCTGCGATTGACTGGAGTGCCAGTGCCGGAACCGACGCCGAGGACAGCGCATTTTGGCCAAGCACCATGTCGACCGATTTGGATGCACCGGCGGGAGTGGGGCAAGGCGGGTTGCATATCGCGGGCAAGCCGTGGTTTGTAGTGGCCACCAAGGGCGACCTACCGGATACACAAGAGAACTTTAGGGAACTGAGGGACTACCTTGCTGCGATCAGCCGGGGCGAGGAGCCACACCCCAGCGGCACGGAAGGCGCCTGGACCCGCGATTGTGCTGCCATTCCCGTCAGTGCTATCAACGGTCATGGAGTAGATCGAGTAGTGCACTGGGCTGTTGGGCTGTTGGATGGATAAGCTGAGAAGAATTGATCCTTCTGGCCTCTCTTTCTTGTCCAATTTTGAGTGCCATGTCTAAAAGTGTCACCCTGCGGCAGACAAGCGGTTTATATGAGGTTTGTAGTTTGGTGATGAGTAAACCTACAACAGACTTGAATTACCTTTGCCGGTAATTCGTAAAAATCATTACAATCGACACCTAACAACGAAATCTAAAGCCAATGACACGTCAGTTTTAGTCAACGGGAGATGCAAAGATGAGGGGAACCGGGACCAGAGCAGTGCAAGCCGGGCCTAATGTCTTGTTTGAAAATGTCAGAATTCTTGACAGAGTCACTCCCATATTTGACATGATAAACACCGGTTTCATAGGGGAAGCAAACTAGCATAATTTCTGATAGAAATTGATGTTGCTTGAGGAGGAGGTTGTCGAAATACTGCACACGATTACAGACATTCCACTTTTCGGCGGTACGTTACGCTGAATATTACCATGCATGAATCCAAAGGAGCTTGGGCCAACGCCAAGCCTCATTTGCTCCCCTGCAACGTCAGCCAATTTGTTCGAGAAGCGCATTGCGCAACGACACAGCATTGGAGTTGAGGCTAACGTGGACCTTTGGCGATCCCACCACCAACATCTGCGAAACGGACGGAATTCGACAACACTAAGCGCTCAGCGCCACAACCATTGTGGTTTACAGTTTCAATTGTTGGTTCGAAGAACACACAAAGGATAAAAAGCGACGGCAGACGCCACCTGGAATACTGCGCACACACACAAGATGTCTGCAAACCGCCGCGACTACCAAAACGTCCCCGCCGACGACGTCGAAGATGACGACGACCTGATCGATCCCGATGATGGTATGCCCCCCACTCCCATTCCCCCTCAACCCCCAACCCAAATTTTATCTTGAAGAAATCTAACCACCCCCCTCTCCACAGCCGACCTCAACACCTTCGACGACCCCCTCTCCACCACCGGCTCCTCCCAACAACGCGCCACCCCCTCCTCCTCCTCCCGCGCCCCTCTCTCCGGCAGCATCGGCTCCGCCCCCTCCCGCCCCCTCAGCAGCAGCGCCAGCGCCTGGACCTCCCGCATCCCCGGCGAAGACCGCCGCATCGGCTCAACAATCGACGAGTCCGTGTGGGCAACCCTGCGCCGCGATCTGCTGGCCGTCTGGCACAAACTGCGAGAGGTGCTTTACCCGCGGCATTTGTTTTACGCCTGGGGAGTGGGGGGTGGAGGTGAGGAAGGGGGCGGTTCGGGATCCCTGCGGGGCGCGTATGCGTCGCTGCGGAGTGGGGGGTTTGCGAGTGCGCGGGAGGAGTTGGCTGGGTTTGCGGGACGGGTGATGGATGCGGAGAGTTTGCTGGGAACGGGGAGTGGAGCGGGGGGGGAGTATGGAGGGGTGGGAGGGGGGTTGAGGGATTGGGATTTGTGGGGGCCGTTGGTGTTTTGCTTGTTGTTGAGTACGCTGTTGTGTTTGCAGAGTCGGGAGCAGCAGCGTGAGGTGGTGTTTAGTGGGGTGTTTGCTATGGTGTGGGTGGGCATGGCGGTTGTGACGGTGCAAATCAAGTTGTTGGGGGGGAATATGTGGGTGTTTTTTTCCCCTTTTGTTTTTCCCCATCATCCAGCTTTCCCAACATGGCCTTCACCTCCCCTGTTAACTGCTTACTGACATATTCAACCCCGTAACAGCTCCTTCGCCCAAAGTATCTGCGTCATCGGCTATACGCTCTTCCCGCTGGTCATTGCCGCGCTACTGTCAGCGCTTCATCTTCACTGGATCGCGCGCATCCCTGTCTACCTCGTACTTGTCGCCTGGTCGTTAGCTGCGGGTGTCAGCATCCTTGGCGGTAGCGGTGTTGTCAAGAATCGGGTTGGTTTGGCAGTCTACCCGCTCTTTGTCTTTTACCTCGGGCTAGGGTGCTTGTGCTTCATCAGCTAAAGGGGGGCTTCCCAGCGCCGCTGGGGTGAGACAAGGGATACATCGTGGTAGGATGGTAACAGGAAGGCAAAGGCAGGCTTCCGGGTATGTAAAGGTGGAGTTGTTGGGATTTTGACGTTAGTTTGTATTTTTATGTTATTAGTGTAGCTGTGAAAGCTCATTATCCGGCGTTGGATTGAACGGAGGGCGTCAGCACAGTAGTGTCCGCACGAAAGCTGTCACGTTTGCCTTGAGTCTAGCGGATTTCACATGATGAAAAATGAAAAAAGAATCAAATGGCTGTATTATGCGAAATGAGGCCCCTGCTTATGGCTATGCCCATGGGCAGGAGCAAATCCGTTTTTTGCTTCGCTCCCCTTGCTAACTGTCAAGTAGTTTACGCCGGAAATTTAATTTCGAGCCTTTCCTCGCATGACCCCCTGAAAATAAAGCCACAACATCCGGCACTATTCCGGACAGACATTTCTCCCTTGTTTCAAGTGTCCTTTCAGTGATGAGCACCACCGGCTGCCTCACCACCGGCTGCCTCGCCACCGCCACCGCCCTCCAGCAGTTCTGGGTTCGGATAGTACAGCGCAGCAACAGCAATACCTACGTACACCAGCACGCACAGGGAGCCTTCGAGATAGTTGGACTTTTGATCGCGCAAAAAGTTGCCCACGGTAATGATGGCCAGCAGCAGGACGACGATATCAAAGACCTCAAAGTTGAGGCCCATATCCTTGCCGAGCCCCCAACCGACGATAACCACGAGCGGCGCGTTGAACAGGGCAGTTTGCAAGGTGGCGCCGAGCACGTGGGAGAGGGCAAAGTTCATCTGGTTGTCGTATGCCTCATCAACGGCGGTCAAATGCTCGGCGGCCTTTTCGACAAGCGGTACAAGGATAAGACCAACAAAAGCATCTGACACGCCACGCTCGTGGACGAGATAAGGGATCTGGTCAACTAGGGCGATGGCGAGGATTGTGACGAGAGCGATGGCGACGGCCAAGGCAAGCACGCACTCCGTGAAAGTCAGGCGATGGTGCATACGTTCGAGATGCTTGTCAGCGTCGCGCTCTTCGTCGGCCTCGAAAATGGCGTCGTAGATTCCGTGGTGGGTGCGCGCTTGGAAGAAGAGGTAGATGCAGTAGGCTACCAGGAGCAGAATCGCCGTGCTGCGCGAGACGCTAATGGTCTTGTCATGGAGGGCAATCTCGGTAATGGCGGCGCTGCCCAGAGAGTGCTCGAAGACAGTCGGAATGGCGAGGCCAAAGCCGCTGCGAATTATTAGTATATTACTGGAGATGATCGTTGGACGCACTGAGACTCACGCTGTCAAGAGCAACCCGCTACCAGCCTCGCTCACGGTCTCACTAAAGTGCGTCTCCTCGCGCTTGAAGCCAGCCGCAACGAAGCACATTCCAAGACACAGCAGCATAGTCGCCAGCACGGAACCGAGAATAGCAGCCTTAATAACCTGGAAGTAATCGATTCTATGGGGATCGGGAGGCGCGTTCGGGTCTAGGTTCGTCGCCCGACTGATAAGTACGATGAACATGATGATCTCGACCACACCTCCTAGACTACAGCATGCCAACCACTGTCAACACATATTCGGGTCTCGGTACAGCACAGATGTCTTGAAAACGCAGGTGCAAGGCAAGGTACTCACGTCGTCTCCGTAATAATCCCTATCACATGGGGAAACTTCCTGCCCAGCTCCTGGCCCGCATAGCCGATCAAATTCGCGCATGGTACCATCGCTAGGTAGGCCAGAATAAAAATCACCAATCGGTGGTCCTCCAGGGCATAGCGCACCGCAATGGCAGCGGGTACGACCGGCCACAGCACATTGACGACGCGCGAAGCCCAACTGGCGGACCGGAACACATTCTTGAGGAAGCGCACCGGGTGGATGCCACGGCGACCGGACTCGCCGCTGGGACGCACACCGAGGGTGCGTTTGATCTTCTCGACGGGGGTAAGTTCGCGGGTCAGGTCGGCCTCGTTGCCGGCTTCGGGGTTGTTGTTGTGGAGCGGAAGAGGTGTGAGCAAGCCATTTTGGTTGTTATGATGGGCATCTTTTTCTGTTGTTGGGGGGGCCGAGGCGCCTTGGATCGCGGCTGGTGATGGTGGGAGCGCTGGTGTAGGCGGATTGGACGCCATTGGGGGCGAATTGGGTGGTGTTGGTGTTGTTGGAGTTCGAGTTCGAGGTCAGGTTCAACTCGTGGAGGGGACTGGGTGTAATATGTTGATCAATTGGTCTCGATTGGGAGAAGGAAGGAGCGCGAGGTCAGGCCGAGATGGTCTAGTGATACCCCGATCTCGTCTGATACCTTGTAAAGAGAGAAACCAACCCCGAGTCGAAAATAAGACAAAAAGAGAATAAAAAGAAGGGAGGTCAAAGTAAACGTGAAACTTAATGACGGGAATGCCGCGTCGAAAGTAACGTTAGCCGCCCACCTAGTCAGCACTGCCCAGTCCAGGGGTTGGAAGTCCGGGGTACGCCAGAAATCAGCCGCGGTCGTGGATCACTCGCAGCTTCGGAAGGAACCTGGAACGAAGTGAAAGCAGAATCCAACCCGCGATCGACACGGGAGGAAATCAAGTAAAATAGGCAAGCACACAGGCACATAAGCACCAACCGCCAAGAGCCCTCTGGAGGGAAGTTCCCAGCGAATGCCGGTGGGCAATCCCTTGGATGTTCGCGAGCCACCTGGCACACGTTGCTTGGCTCTGTTTCAGACGCCCCCAAATTTCCATTTTCAGAGCCGCCGAGCTGCGCAGACAGCGCGACGCCACTCACAAGAACAGAATATCTCCCATTAAAGGAAACGTGCCTCTAGCGTGCCGAATCCCAAAACACAGTTGGTTATGTTTCTATGTGACTCGACTGGGCCTTGTGTACTAGCCGTTGTTGCCATTCTCGTCCAGCATGAATGACAAGCAAAGGTCTGACGAGGTGAGGCAGCCAAATGGACCTATAATTTTTTAAGGTTTAAATTGGGGGTCGTATTCCCCTGGTCTCGGCTCAAACAGGAAGCGCAGCTGGACAGGGGTGTTCAGTGCAAGTTCAGCGCCGATCGTCCAGCATCGTGTCACCATGTGTCTTAGTTTTTTTCTTGTCACTGGTGTGGGTTCGGGCTCGGCAAAGCTTGATCTAGGAAAGCTTCGCTAAGCGGACTTTCAGAGCCTCCCAAGCTTACCAGGCACACCCAGTGAAGAGAAAGAAATGGCATATATTGAGACTAACAGGCTCTCACCTTGATCTATGTCTACAGTACTTCGTAGTGTAAAAAGAATTCGGCAGCAAGGAGAATGTAGCCTTGGCAGGGTCTAACATCCAGTTCATCTGATAACGGGGATTACTGTTACGTACACGGTATTGTGTAATTGGACGTGACGTCCCAACAATGTGGTCCGATCCCGAAACCTCGGTCTGTGATCGTTCGGCGCCAAGACCTACAGTCCTGTCTGTCACGGAGTCTCTCCTCTCGATGCCTTACCCTATAACAACTTTATAACCACTACTTTAAACTTCATAAAATTTAATGAGAACCATCGGACTACCAAGGAGGTCCTCCATCTGTATTTTAAAAGCGATATTGTACCGATTGGTAGAGTATCTAACCACTAGGGTTGGATGGCTGTTCAATCCCCTCTCCTCTCGATGGCCTACCCTAGAACAACTTCACAACCACCACTTCAAACCCAATCAAATTAGAGAGGGCCACCGGGCCACCAATGAGATCCTCCAGCTCGAGTTTGGAAGCGATAGAACACCAATTGGTATAGTATCTAGCCTCTAAGGTTCGATGGCCGTTCGATGCCCTCCTCGCAACGGGATGCCCGTGTGCGGTTCGATGCCCTCCTACCTGTGAGAAAATTAGTAAGTGTGGCACGGCCGAGGCTCAAGTTAACGACAGCAGACAAATAAGGTCCTGATATTCCTATGTGTGCCATGTACGTTACACTACCAAAAGTCCGAATCGTCGCTGTCATAAAGGTATCCACGCTCTTCAGGCTCTGTAGTTTCAGATTCCCCTTTGTCAATGTCGTCGGAAATCTCAGCCTTGCTCCATTTGTCCAGCACGGCCCGCTGTTTGTCCGTAACAGAAAACTTGTCCTCGTATACTTCTCGAACTATCCCCCGAGTTCTGGCCCCAAAGATCTCCCTATGCGACACCACGAAAAAGGCGGCATTGTAGGCTGCGTTCCGGTCCTGGGCTCGGGCATCGTCGGAGAGGAACATGTAGACAAGCCGGAATGCTGCGTCGCGCGCCACCGTCTTGGCACCGGGTATGTGTCGTCTCTCGTCGTCGTCGTAGTCGCTTTTGCCGCGCCTGAAGTCGGCCATGATATCCTTGTATGTGAAATTGATGCGGCCAAGGACTTTGGAGACTGCCTCTGGAGAGAGAGACCTAAGACACAGGCAGAGATGATGGTAATGGAAGAGCGTACCAGGAAGACGGCAGAAGAACTGGCGGGGGCCTTTGCGAATGGCGTATTCCATGTCGGAAGCAAGAGGGGTGCCGACGGGGATGAGCCGGGGGCTGGTTTCCTCACTCTCCTTAGCCCTCTTCTCAACGTCACGAGTGGTAGTAGTCTCCAGCGCTCCCGCCGTTGGACTGACCTTCCACTTCGCGTACAAGTCGTCGGGCAACGCCGGTTTCTGTCCCTCGCCAGCCGCAACAACCCGTAGATCCGAGCCCCCGGTATACTCTACCACGGCTCGACAACCGCTCAGCCCCCGCACGGCACGAATAATATCGCCCAGCAAACCCACAAGCCTCTTCAGGTCTTCCCGGCTTGCTGCCTCCCAGAAGGAAATCTCAGAAGTCATGTCCCGCACCTCCACATTCTTGAAGGCTCCGTCAGAGGAGTAGTATCCCACCGCCAGCTTCGGCGTCTGCGAAGCCCACAGCTGCGGTAACACCTCCGCCATATCCAGCACGCGGCTCGCCGCGCGTGTCTTGATCTCCAGTATCGACGAAGCCGGTATTTCCGGTTGTTTTCCAGTAGTAGACGACCGGACAACAGTAAGCCCTGACGACCTCCTTTCCGTTTCCGAGAGCGACAATGCCCCCAGGTCATCCACCAACGTATCAAGGCCCGCGTCAGACCCGACATACGCATCCGTCTCATACCGCACAACACACCTCATCCCCCCGAAGTTGTACCCTACAATCCTGTGGTGCCCAGACTGACCCGCCGGCTGCTTCGTATAAACCTTCTCAAAATTCCTCCCATACCCTCGAAACCCCCTAATCGTCTCCACCGTCTGGGTCTCACGACGCGTAAACAGCGCCGTGGCATTACTATCCCCATCCATATCCCCATCTCCCCCAACAACCTCAACGAAAATCCGGAACACCTCATTCGACGAAGCCTGCACAAAGCGCAACAGCTTCCGGAGGTTACCCCTGTCAGTGACAAGATCGATGTTGCGCAGCGAGAAATCCGGGTTCTCAGCCAGAGCAGCGCGGAAGAGTGGTTCGAGCGGGGAGGAAGGGCTGCGAGCAGCGTTTTGGTCGATGTAGACTGTGCCGGAGTCGGGGTCTACGCGGCTGAATGTTGTCGTCGGAGGGGACCAGAGGGGCGGAGAGCCTTGGGGGGCGGTTAGGAGAGGAAAGGGGGTACTTCGTACTTGGAGGGGTTGGGCTGGAGGGTAAGTAAGGTAAGAAGGGGTTGAGTTAGTCTTACCGGGAACCGAGATGGTGGGAGCAGTTTCATTGTGCCAGGAGTATGAAGCTATGTGTTTGAAGCTGGTGATCTTTGCCGGCTCATCGGTGGGGTTGTTAAGGCTAGAGCGTGAGACGGTGGCGATAGTTGCTGACGCCATAGTTGAATGTGTTAGATGAGCTGCTGAGTTAGAAGTATAAGGATATTGTGATGGATGCCGTACGTTATGGCAAACTAATAGAGTTGAGAAGGAAGGAAAAAAGAGGTGTTTCTCACGAGTTGTATGGCTCGTTATAAAACATCTTGCTCGGACGGCAGGAGGCTTGAATGGTATCACTTGTTTGATAATACGGGACTGTAGGCCTCATAACTGTTGGCCTCATAGCATACTCCTCACGGCTACCTGCCTCAGGTTGGCCAAAAGCGGCACACCAAAACAAGCCCATGAATCCAATCCGGCAACATTCAATGGGCTTCAGCGGACGTTAGAGATTATGACTGGAATATCTTCCTAGAGCTGTAATATGCCTATCATCTTAGTAGCGTTGTTGAGCACTTACATTTACACAGTTTGGTAGCTTGACATTGTATATCGCAGTGTGTCGTTCCCTTTTTGGTCTAAAAGTGGGGCATCAAGGCACTTGGTGTGCCGCTTTTTTGTAACCCGAGATCTCGATCCAACTCTGGGTTACCCACGTGCCTTTCGCACCACCACATCCGGTCTGGAATCGCTTGCCTTGGTGAGTGTTTCAGGAGTGATTACTATAGTGTAGTTATAGTTTGTGAATGATGCGCATCCTTGGTTCCTCCAGGTTTCCTGTACCCCCATCTGGTTGTTGGTTTTCAGTTTCCTCCCTGTCCTTTACATTCTTCATGGCTAGCAGAACCGGCTCACGACCCGGCAATTCAAGCACAAAAGTGCCGTCGTGAGACGGCACGAGACGGCCGTTGAGCCGGGCTCAAACCACGCAGGGTTCATGGACAGTTAGTTAATTAGTTGGCTTGACCGGGAATAAGCCTTTGCTGACATCGTCATGATAAAATCTCAAGAAAGGGATGCAATGATAGGCCCTTAGTTCTCAAGAACTTAGATTGCATTCTCGTGTTCTCAGCCCTGTAATCCAAAAATCTTCCGATTCCGGGAGTCCTTGATTTCAGAGCCGGTTGCTGTGCCTCAAATAGTGTAGTTTTGACGTCGAGCGATTAGTCGATTACTGAGCTCAACGGGACGGTTGTGCTGGGGAACCGTCTAACGTCATGGAACATCGGTGGAAAATCCGGGGCATCGGATGGGCGGAGGGTCGCACAGCGGATTTAAGGTTTTTCGTTTTCCTTCAAACGAGAGCGAGTTGGTGGTTCGTAGAACCGTTCGAATGCATCTGTTGCGGCTCTGCACAAAGCAACCTTTAGCGAGCATGAGAGTTCACCTGGATTTTCGCTCCGTGTTGTTTTAGAATTGCTGCCCGAGCACTGTCTCGCCCTTCGCAGCCGGATTGGATCTCGTCCTTGTTGAATCCTAGCCCAGCGCCTTACCGGGCTTGCTGCCCATGTCCCGAAGATCTCACGCAGTTGTCTGTTGTGTCCACGATAACTCAGTGCTGCGGCTGAGGACCAAGACGGCACTGTAATTGGTGTGCTCGCGATGCACAAGCCTAGAACCGTCAAGCCAGCGAGCACTAGGCTCAAAAAAGTGAGCACACCCCTTGTCCCCCATTCGTGGGCGGCCGAGGCGGCGTGGCATGGGAGGGTTGCAACGGGTGGGATCGAGCCGTCCAAAATGGAGGGGAGCACCCAGGCCCGGGTTTTTCAGGGGGTTTCCGTTCAATCTCGAACCTGTGCCACGCTGCCCACGCAACGCATCCTCCGCAACGCAACCTGTCCAACGTGCCCGCTTCCTACCTTTTCTTAGTTGCATTTCTTCGCCCTCTTTTCCTCTCCTCCCGTCGCGTTTAATTCACTCGTTTGGACTTGGTGATCTTTCTCGTCGTTCGTTCACCTCGCATTGATTCGAACGCCCATGACGGCGTCATATCCATAGTCAGGCCGTGCACGATGGCCGCGACGGTACGTCCAAATTCAGATCGTGTCGGGCCGCTTCCCGGCCTTAGGGATCCCGCAGCGCAGAGTGTTAACAGGCTTGGCGGCACACAGTTCGACACCGGGCTGGAGGCCGCACGGCAAGACTTCCCCGAAGTCTCCCAGCAGGCGCCACCACAAGGCTACGACTACGGCCAGCATCACCAGCAACAACAGCAGCTCTATTACCAGCAGCAACAGCAACATCAACAATACCAACACCTTGCCTCGCACCCGTCGCAGACCCACCTGCACCCGCAACAACAACAGGCATACTACTACGATCCTCCAACAGCGACAGCCGCTGCAGCAGCCATCGCGGCTAAAGTCGAATCACCGCCTCCCCCATCGAGTTACGGCAGCCGGACGGCCTCTTCGCCTTTTAGCGCGCCGTCGCATCCGGGAGTGGGTTCGGTAAGAGGAGTAGGGATCGGAGGCGCAGGAGCAGGAGGGGGCGGAGCAGCAGCGGCGGCGGATCGGAATGGATTGTCATCTAGCGGGGGGAAGACAATCCTAGGGTGCAGCCTCCTAGTTTTCATCCTATCGTGCATCATCGGCCTACTCTCGGCGGGCGTGATCGGGCTGGCGGCGGCCACGGGGATTGAGTCCCAGCGGGCGAGTACCGCGTCGTCCAGTCTGGCGTCGCTGAGTGCGTCGCTTGCGTCTGCGACGGCGGCGTCGGATGGGTCTTCGCCGACGGGCACCTCTGTGCCGGTGTTGGATGACGGGTGTTCTTCCAATCCGGATTCCGTTGATGGGAAGCTGTACACTTCGTTTTCATGCATGTCCCCCCCCTTCCCCGTCACCCACCCTCCCCTAAACACACTCATGAACTAACACCCCTCAGTCCTGGGCGCTGTCAAATTCACCCGTTACTGCAACAGAGACGCGCCAAACCCGGCGCTCCTTTCCCTCTTCACCGCCGACTTCGATACCTGCATGGACGCCTGCAGCGCCTACAACCAATACCTCCCACCGACGCTCAACGCCATCGGCGTGCCCAACAACGTCGCCAACGCCGACAACGCGACTTGCGAGGGCGTCAGCTTCATCCCCGCGTGGACGAGCAAAGTGACGGCCGAAGCAGGTAAAGCGCGCGGGAACTGCTACCTGAAGCCCGGGCCGCAGAATAGGACGGGGCTGGTTGTGCCGAACATTGGGGTCGATTGTCATGCGGCGATTTTGACGTTGGGGGTGTGAGCGAGGGAACGGGGGTTGGTCGCGGTTGTTTGCGAGAGTTTATTGACTTTGGTGATGGTCCGGCGTGCCAACAACGACGATTATGGCGGCGACGCTGATTAGGGATGCGAGTGCGATTGCGGTTTTCTTTTGACCTGTGATTCGGGTCATGTTTTCAGTGTGTGGAAGACGATACCTCGGGCTCGGCGGGGCTTATGTTTGGATCTTGGGCATTGGAGCTTGGAGCATTGGGATTTCTCGGTTGCATTTGGCATTTATGGCGGAATTTCTCGGGCGGGATTTGACGAGGTTGATTGGTTAAAAGAACCAAGGATTTTGGTACCGCGGAAGGAGGCAGTGAGCAATGAAAGACGTCGACTGCTTGCTTGGTGTGGAAGGCGCCTTCCGCAGATTTCGTTAACCCGAGCCCGTCCGAACTACGCACGGGCGCATTTGAACCGGGCATTTATTTTTGAAAGACCCAAGGGCTCTTTCCATGAACCTCCTAGTAGAACTTTTAGTCTATCTTGAAACTCCAGTCATTGATATAAGAAATACGGAATGTGTTTTGCGTCTTCCCCAGGCCCGTTTTTCCGGTTGTGTTCCATACAGCAAGATTGGTAGGTATCGCTGCGATAGCCCAAGGTCCAGAGCTCAGCTCGTTTCTCTGACAAGAAACATTTTCCAAGAATTGAAAAACGTCCTTTCTTCTGACATCGTGTCGCGAGCAGCTCTTAACGGATTTTACCGCCCGACTTCGGTTCGGCGCCGGATGGCCTCCGGATCCGGAGGTTCGGTCGGTCGGCCGAGCCAACCAGCGCCCACGCGACCCAGCGACCTGCCGTTCCTGGACACGCACTCCACGCGACCCATCAATCAGACGGTGTAACTCGAATACCGAGTTTCGCGGGGAGGCTGACTAAACCCTCTGCAGCGGCAACGGCAGATGACACCGACTCGGACTCGGACTCGGTCGACCTCCAACCACAAAGCAGGTTATCTTCTACTGCTGGGCTCTTGTGCCGGTGAAATGTTGATTCGTTTTTTCCGGCATGTCGATCGTCAGCGTCGGTTTGCCGCGTCATGTTGGACGTGGGGGATGGATCGATTCGTCAACCTGTCTCCTGGGGAACATGAGAAGGAGGGACGAGAAGCGGGCTGTCCTTTCATCACACTCCTCCGTCTTCACTTATTCGAGCTGCTCTCGCATGGAGAAGGATTCGTGTGCGTGCCAGCGCGCATGGGAAGAAATATCCCGGCGGCAACAACCGCCGCCTCGATGCCGCCTGGTTCGGCCCGTCGTCGGATACGGGGCTCGGTTGCTCTTGAAGCACCGGACCCAACCCTTATGGGGGTCCTTCAAACAGGACACGGGTGGCGGAGTACCTATTGTGTACATAGGCGGAGAGACTTGGAACGGCATCCCCGCTTCGAGGCCGGGAACGGCACGTGGGAAGTGTGAAAACAGCGGCAAGGCTGCTCTTTATCTCTCTCATCTCAACAACCGGTGTCCCGAATAGGCGAGCTCTGTCACACGCAATTCTTGTCAGCGTATGCCCAATTGGCTGCCAACCGTCGTACAGGGAAATAAGAGTCGAGAAATCGGAGGAGCACGCGGCCTTGAAATGCCCAGGCCGTATGGCGGGGTTAGCCCGTCGGCGGGGCAGGGGTTTTAGCGAGCGTTATCGTCCCAAATCGCCCGGTTGAACGTGGGAGCATGGCCGGACCAGGCAATGCCCTGGTCAGGGTCCGCAGGCCCGCTTTTCTTTCCTCGCAGCAATGTCAAACGAAAGGCGCGAACCCACCTTTTTCTCCCTTTGCAACCCTGGAACTGTCTGGAACTGGCAGCGCGGCCTCGCGCCCATGACTCTTCCCCCAAGAGTTGGAGGGGTGGAACTTGATGTCGACCATGCCATGCGGAGAGTGAGAAACGGAGAAACAAGCAGAAGAGCAGCGGGAAAGTCCATGCATGGGGATTCGAGGGGAGGTTCAACGACTCAAATAAAAACTGATCCCGCCTGAACTCCGTCTTTCTGCTTACGTTGTTCCTCACTCACATCTTTCTAATCCATCGATTACCCAATTCGTGACCATTCCAACACCAGCATCGACATCGAGAGCAACGTTGACCTCGGGTTTAATCCGACCTGCTGGAATCGGCACGGCCGAAACCCGCCCTCGGCCATCGAGGGACACAGGATCCCATTCGTCAGACAGTCTAGGCCTGTCTGTTAGCACGCCCTTTGATCTGACGGCTTGACAGTCCAACGGGCAGTCGACAATCGACCTCCACACACCACACGCACTCGCACACACAAGCATACACACAGAGGCACACCATACACAGCGTGAGACTGTGTTGGCCGCTAGAGAGTCAGCCCCCTTTCGCTTGATCGACGCGGCCCATCGCGCCCTCCCGTCTGTTGTGAGCGGAGCAGCCTCTTGGCTTGGTTCGTTCCTTGCTGCTAGTTCGGTTGAGATAGACTAGATGCACGCAATGGATGAGTTTGTCAATTGGGACCAGGCCGATCCGGCCCCTGTTCCCGGCCTGGACATGTCATCGCCATCTCTGATGCCCAACCCGGACCAACAACAGCTTGACGACCTGGACCTCGCCCTTGCCAACGTTGCGGGTGACGACTTTTCGTTCTGGGCCTTGCAGCACTTTGAGAACAACATCTCGCCAACCATGCCTGCGGCCGAGGAGATCCCCATGCCCACCGACCGATCCACCCGCACCTTTGAGGACCACCTCGAGCACGTCGAGGCGCCGTGTCAGAACTGTCAGCTGGGCGGCTACCAGTGCAAACGTATCCCCGAGGGTCAGTACAAGGGCTATTGCACCAGCTGTGTCGCTCTGCGCTGTGCCTGCAGTTTCGGTTTGACGGGCGTCGCTTTCCCTTCCAACCCTTGGCCCGTAATGGGTGACCACCCGGAGCTGCTCCAGGAGGAGAAGCATGCGGAGCCGCACCATCATCAGTCCGGCTCCGGCGCTGGTCTTGCTGGCCGGGCTTCGTCCACCGGCGAAGGCCCCAAGGGCAAGTCTGGTGCGCGCTTCTCGCGGGAGTCGGTCAAGATCCTGAAGAACTGGCTGTCCACGCACAGCAAACACCCGTACCCCAACGATGAGGAGAAGGAGATGTTGCAGAACCAAACGGGGCTCAACAAAACACAGATCACCAACTGGCTGGCCAACACGCGGCGGCGGAACAAGAACGCCGTCGCGCAGCGGTCGACCTCGCCTGGCGTCCGCAACTGGGCGAACCCCATCGACATCCCCCAGCGGCGCAGGAGCCCGCTCGAGCACATGAACCCGCTGCAGCGTTGGCAGCACTCGCCGCCGGAGAACGAACCCGCGTCCGTGACAGCCATTGCCCGCGCGGTCGACTCAGCCCCCAGCATCTCTTCGGGGCTCAACAGCCCGTACAGCGCGCACTTCACCGACGACGGTTCCGGCCGCTCACTGTGCGACTCGAATATCAGCAGTGCCAACACGTCCAACTCGAGCACGTCGGCCTACTCTCACGGTTCGCGCGGCTCCTTCGGATCGGCCGGCAGTTCCATCCCCCGCGGCCGCCGGCGCAGGCGGAGAAAGGTGCCAGCCACGGCCGCGGCCGTCGGAGGGCCTTCGCGCGGCGCACACACCGGCCCGGCCAAGACATTCCAGTGCACGTTCTGTACCGAGACCTTTCGAACTAAGCATGACTGGCAGCGGCACGAGAAGTCGCTGCACTTGTCGCTCGAGCGGTGGGTGTGCTCACCCAACGGCGCCCAGGTGTTCAACCCGGAGACCGGGCAGATGGCGTGCGTGTTCTGCGGCCACGCGAACCCGGACGAGGCGCACGCCGACAGCCACAACCATTCGGTCTGCCAGGAGCGCACGATTGGAGAGCGCACCTTCTACCGGAAGGACCACCTGCGCCAGCACCTGAAGCTGGTGCACGGGACGAACTTTATCAGCTGGAGCATGGAGCAGTGGAAGGCGACGACGCCCGAGATTCGGTCGCGCTGTGGTTTCTGCGGTACCGTGATGGATACCTGGTCGATCCGAGTCGATCATCTGGCACAGCACTTCAAGGATGGTAAATCCATGGCGGATTGGAAGGGTGACTGGGGTTTCGATATTCCCGTCCTCAACATGGTCGAGAATTCTATTCCTCCCTGTAGGTAACCCCCTTTTTCGCCCCCTGATTTTCTTGTTATGATTGTGGGCCAACAGTGACTAACATTTGGGAAAAGACCTTATTCACGACGAAAGAAACTCGCCCAACCCCTACGAAGCATCCCAACCGTCAGCGGCGTCCGCGCGTCATGCGTTTGAGCTAATCAAGTCAGAATTGTCGTTCTACGTGGATGATTGGCGCGAGAAGGAGGGCGTGCCCCCCTCTGATGAGGTAATGCAGCGCGCGGCGTGTACCCTGATTTACGACTGCGAAGAGGTGTCCGAAGCAACGAACAACTCCAAGGTCTCATGGCTGCGGGACCTAATCTTCTCCTCGGAGCGCCTAGCCCAGGAAGCACGGTGGTCGCGCGCCAAGACCCTCGACTGCTGGCAGCAGCTACGGATCAACGGCAAGAGCAACATCTTCGAGTCCGACCCGATGGAAGCGGAGTTGCAACAGTTCGTGAAAGCCCGCCGGCTGCTAGGCTTGACCGCCATGGACAGCGAGCTCCAGACCGAGGCGTGCCGTATCCTCCGGCGCATGGAGACCAGCGCTCCCAGTTCGTCGGAGCACGTCGTGCAGTTTCTGCTGCGCCTGATCAACGCCTCGCCCGCGTGGCTGGCCGACTTCCGGCAGCGTGCGCACCTACCACGGTCGGAAGACCTGGCTGACGAGGGGAAGCGGTCCAAGGACCCGATGACGATCGACTCGACCATTCACAACCCGAGCCGCCTCGAATATGAACTAGCCGAGTATATTCGTGTGCAGCGGGCGATGGGAACCGAGCCGACGGATGCGGATCTGCAGAAACATGCCCGGATGATCATCTTCGAGTACGAGGACGAGTGGAATCAGACTCAGGCCGATGACCCGGCTTGGCTTGCGGCTTTCCGACAACGGCACGCAACTTCGTCGACGGGGTCTTCCGCTGGGGCGATGATGATGACGAGCGCTGCTACTACGCAACCTTCCACCACCACATCATCGGCGGCCAACTATTGGTGCCAGTCTGTGTCGACGTTCAACCGTGACTCGTCGTCGAACACCGGCAAGCCGGGCACATTCTACCTCAACGATGCCAACTGCTACCAGCGCCTGGCGCGCGAGCTCAAGAAATGGGTCACGTCAACCATGTCGCCAAATAACCCCAACTGCCACGTGCCGACGGACGAGGAGCTGCAGCACCAGGCGCGGTGGATTGTCTATGAGGAGTAAGTTTTTGTTTTTCAGAGATATTACCCTTAGACGGTTTATGATATGTTAACACAACACAGTGACGACCCGTGGAATCAAACAGCCGCCGACAACTGCGAGTGGCTGCGCCGCTTCAAGCGCGACGTCGCCATCGTCACCGATGCCGCACTCCCCGGCCTGCCGCTGACCCTCGGCTGGAACATCGCCCAGGGCGGCTCTGGCTTCTCACCACCCTACGTCTTCCCCAACCCGTCCAAGCCAGCCCAGATCGACCCCCTCCAACTCACAACCGCGCCACGCGTCACGCCAACCACAGCAAACACCTCACGCAACAACAGCATCATGGCCAACTCCCTCGCAGGATCGCTCCCCAGCGCGTCTAGCTTCCCCAACAACAACACCACCCCGGCAACAACCACAACAACCCCGATCACCCTCAGCACCCCGCCCCAAACCACCGCTACGCCCGCAAACGTGATCAATGTCACCCTGCGCGAGGGCGCCAAGCCCATCCTGACAGCTGGTTCCACAGCCAACCGCTTCATGCGCGGCCTGGCGGACGCGCGCCGGCACGATCCGCCAGCAAGCGTGTTTTGCTCGCGCGAGTTGGAGAGGGATCTGGCCGGGTTTGTGATGGGCCGGGTGAGGGCTGCTGTGGCTGGTGGTGAGAATAACCAAACTAGTGGAAGTCCGAGTGGGAGTGGCAATAATGGGGAAATCATCCCCGGTTTCCCAACCGACGACGAACTCCGCGCCAGAGCAAGGATCCTCCTTCATGGGAGCGACGCCGCGGACACCAAGGATAACGAGTCGCTGCAGCACTGGACACCAGCCGACGACGAAGTCTTGCTCGCCCGATTCCGCGAGATGATGAAGACACGTCTGGGATTGCATCCACTGCTAACGGTTGTCCCCACAACAACAGCCGCAACATCATCAGCGTCGACTTGCCCGTTTAACACCACCACTGGCATCATGAACAGCGGCGCGGGCGGGCTAGATCCGGGCTTCGCGTCGTCGTCCTCAGCAGCAGCGGGTGTCATGGATTTCTCAGCCGGCGCGATCGATGATCTAGCTGCGGCGGATGCGCTACAGCAGATGGAATTGGATTTTGCGGATTTGAGTGAGTATATGGATGTCGCGACCGGGGGGATGCCGATGGATAAGATTTAATCGGAGAATGGGTCTGGTTATGAGTCTGGTGATTTTGGTTATGAATATGGGTTGGGGGGTGGTGTTTCGGGTTTTACTTGGAATGAGTATGGGAATGATGAGTATGAGGGCTGGAATCGGGATGGAAATCGGGATGACATTTGGGATGAGAATTGGGATGGACCGTGGGGAATGGGCACGATTTGGGAATTGGATGAAGAGGGTGTGTGATGGATATACCTATTTGATGTTGGTTGGTTGTGGGCTGTGAAATGTGTGTATGAGGTTCTACATGATGGTGTTTAAAATTGGAGTCTTGATTGTTTGGGGTGATGAGTAATTAGTTGGTTTAGTTTAATTAGGTGAGAAGAAATAATTAATCACCACTCGATATTAATTAAGTACTCGATCTTTATCGGTGCCGATCCTGGTTTTGTTTTACCATCCCCCAGTAACAAACCCAGATTCTCGGTATCATCCTGCCTTGTGACAGTTGAGGTTAAGCAGGAGGTTATTTCTATGCGTTTCTGTTTACTAGCGGCCTGTGAGCCAGGAGATAGTGCCAACCTTTGGCGGAGACCTCAGACCAACGGTTGTTGGGATTTCCATGTTGTTGGTCAGGCACGGAGGCTCTACATCGGGCAGCATGGCCTACTGTATGTATACAGTACATCGACAATATTGAGCCTAGGCGGAAAAGGTAATGGCGTGCCGTACCTGCCTAAGAGGCAGAGGGGGGTTCAAGAAATATTATCGTATCCTATTTTTCTCATCTTTACCGCTACACCTATGTTCGATGTCAAATCGCAAATGAACAAGATACACCCTCTCCTTTCTTGTTCTCCCATCCTTCTCTTCTTCCTTTAGCCTCACTTTCGTACCCATCACGCGACCAACATTTCCTCCGAGCCAGCCATGGAAGAGCTTCTACTGACAGCCTCAGCCACAGAGCTGCAGGCCCTGCTTGAGAGCGGCAATCTCACCAGCGTTCAACTCGTCAAGGCATGCTTGAATCAAATCGCAAAGTATGACCGATTAGGCCCAACCCTCCGTGCCATCGTTTCTACCCCGCCAGAGGAATACATTCCCTCAGTCGCAGAGCGGTTGGACAAGGAGCGAGCGGTGGGCAAAGTTAGGGGTACATTGCACGGCATTCCAATCATCGTCAAGGTGAGATACAGGCATCTCTCCATGAATCGGACAAAGTTTGACGCTTATTCATTGCTGCTAGGACTCCATCAACACCGATCCTTTACTTGGCATGCCGACAACCCTTGGTTCATATGCCTTTGAGAAATCTCAGCCCAAGGGCAACTCGGTTGTTGTACAGACGGTGAGAGATTCGGTATGTCGTTTGTCAGGTCTGCGCAATCTGATAGCATGTAGCTTCTAGACAAGGGATTTATAATTCTAGGCAAGGCAAGCTTGACAGTGAGTAACTCTGTTCGCAGGAGCTTTTGAAAGATCTAGCTGACACGGGTAGGAATTGGGTAACTTCAAGTAGTTCTCACCAATATCTCCCCCCCCCCCACCCGCGTTTGCCAACGATCTAATTAACAATTTCAGGGGTGACAACCTCACATCCGGCTGGTCGGCGCTCAATGGTCAGACTCAATCGGCGTACGTCCAAGGTGGAGTCAAGCACAGAGAGATGCATCTCGGTCACACAGTAAGATCCAAAGCTTGGCTTCGGTACATATTCACCTCCAACCCTGCTGACTCTATCACCACAGGCTCCAGGTGGCTCTTCTTCCGGCTCGGCCGTCGGAGTGTCTGCAGGATACAGCCCCATCTCCATCGGAACAGAGGCAGACGGCTCTCTCGTCACCCCGGCATCCCGTGCTGCTCTGTACGGCATGAAGCCAACAGTTGGCTCCACGCCCATGGATGGCATCTTTGTCATCTCGACTACGTTTGACACTGTCGGGGCCATGGCAAAATCGGTTGATGATCTGGCCATCTTGATCGGATATGTCCAAGAAAAAGGCGCCGGCAACAACGGGGCTAGCCCGGACTACCGAGCTGTGTTTCAGCGGGACTGGTCGGGCTTGCGGTTAGGGTTTGTGGACCCGGATAAGTGGTGGCTTCCTTCGGGACTGGTCAAGCCTGTCGAGGAAGTCCACACGCAGATTGTAAGCTTGCTTGTTTTGTGCTGGGAGATGGCGGCAACTTGGCTCACTGTTGGTCTAGAAAGCCTCGTACGAAGCGGCGATGGAGAGAATCCGGAGTTCGGGTGGGGAAGTCATCTACCCCGTTGAACTCGTACATCCCAAGGAAAATGGTATCGGCAAAGCTATGGACACGATATTTGGTAAGTGGACTCGTCAGGGATATGGAACTGCCGCTGATAACCAAGCAGACTACGAGCCACGCGGTGTTGTGGCCAAGTATCTTGAAACCAGGGACGATCCAAACATGAAGAGTTTGGAAGACATTGCCAACTTCAACATTGAGCATGCTGATTTGGAACTGCCGGAAGGTAACTCGACCCGTCAGCTCCCATGGGGAGATCTCATGTGCTGACTAGTCAACCAGATTACCCCAATCAAAATGCCATCCTCGATGCGCTACATCACAAATTCAAGTGCACCGACTACGAGGCAGCCAAGACAACGCTTCAAAAGGAAGCTTTGGAGAACGGGGTGAGGAGGATTATGGAAGAGAACAGACTAGACGCCATCATCGGACCGACGGACGGACCCTTGGCCAGTATCTCAGCTGCTATCGGTAAGAAAACACACTCAGTTTTCAAGAGTTATTGTTGACACGCATTTAGGAGGTCCAATTGCCACGATGCCGGCCGGTGTCCTAAACTGGCACGGGAGGCCTTTTGGTCTCTCTGTGATGACACTTCCGAAGCATGATGGCGTCTTGTTAAAAGTCATGAGTGCTTGGGAAGTGACATTTCCTAAGAGGGTCTTGCCTCCACTTCTGCTCGAGCAAGATACAAACCTTTAGGTAGAAGACTGTTATGCTAAAAGCTTGCTCGTGGAACCGAGTCAGGTGATGAGAGCTCGAAAATAAAGTAGAATTTGAGATGTCCCATTTGTCATACATTAAGCAGTGTCAGCAGCGTAGCCGTTTTTTGAATTCATGTATGAAATTTGGGAGTTGTCTCCGACGCCGAACCCTAACTCGAGCTTCCAGCAAAGGCAAAGTAGCAGATGGGCAAGAACAAACCGACGACCGCGCATTGATTCCGTTGCTTAAGACTGTTGGCAGTAATTTGAGAAATCTGGTCCCGAGATGGTGGGTAGTCATGGTGATGTGCGAAAGAGACTCAAAGGGGCCCCCTTTTTCAAAAAAAGAAAAAATAAATAGAAATAGGGGGGGAAGCAGAAACCCCTATTTCTCACGGTTTCATTGCACACTAATTATTCAAAGGACGTGGGAATGAACCTTTTCAGTGCCCTGGGGAATGGTTGTTCCTGATTTTGGTGTTCAGTTCCCCCCATCTTCATCGTTGGGCTTGCGTCGTCTTGCGATAGCCTAGATTCACAATGTTGGAACCGTTGGTGAGGTTGCCTGCGGGCTGTGCGAGCCTGCTGCCCGCGGACTGAGCCTAGTGGTGTGTGTTGGTTGGGTTTGGTCGTTTCAGAAACTGCAAGTTGGGAAGGCAACGCAGTCTAAGGGTCGGTCGATAGCCCGGAAGAGCCCCCGAGCTAAGAGGTCGGGCATGCACCGAGAGAAGGTTGCCAACTCGTGAGCAGGACCAAAGATCACTTCTGGGAGAAAAAAAAAAGTAGAATCACATGAAGCCTCTTCCAAGGTCGAAGTTCCGCCCCCGGTGCTTGCCATCTCTGACACACCCCAAGCACGCCTTGGAACTCGTTATTACTTGGCCAACGGCGGGCGACCGACCACAGCACGGTGTGCCGGGAACCGCCTGACGTTCCGCATCTTCCTCCCTCTCATCGGTTTTTAAAACCTACTATTATGCCTCGCGTGCGCAGAGCCCGTCACGCGGCTCAACCGGGTCGCTCCAGCTTGGACCTAGACATTGAATCATTCTTTGCCGCGCGTCTTGCTCTGCTCTCCATCCCCTGACCGTCTCGCCAGCCTTCACACCCGTCGAGGGTTCTGTACTTGCGCCTCCTCGTCCAACACGGCCTTTACTGCCAGCCCCCGTGTCCATGTGATGTTCATAAGGCTATCCTGGCGCCAGAGAGAAATTCAGATCAAACTCTTTGAATCCAATGGCCAACTCTGTTTGTGGACTTTTGAGGATGGCCACAGTCAGCCTCAGCCGGTGGCCGTTGTGGTCGGCGGTTCGACAGGGCAGCTATCCCAACGTCGGGCAAACTGCCATGATGTTTGCACTCGCTGTCGAGTGTCTTGTGCTACATTTTATGCTTTTTAAAAAGGAATGACTAGTCAAGAGAACCTTCCCCGATTCTATAGATGTAATCCTCTCCTGATTCAAGAGTCGCGAGGTTCACCAAGACAGTCCACCCAAGACTTAAGAGTCAAGAGGAGTCGAGGACTCGAGACCCTGACCCTCAACCTCCACATCAGAGATGATCAGACAGCTACGTTCGATCAGGAAAAGTAGACACGGCCAAAAGATGCCGCCGCCCCTGATACGGCGTCAAATCAGGGAGACATATGATTTATTACGGTCGTAAAAAAGACGCGAGCTTATAACGAATGACGATATGGCATCTGACAGTTAACATCGATGAATCGATGATCGATCTGAGACTCTGAGTCGATTTGATTTTCCTCCTAGGTGTACCAATTCATGAATCTGTGGCACTGTGCCCGGTCGTGATGTAAAGTTGGCCTTGAACCCACTGCTGCCCTTTTCCATGTATGGCTGCCGTTGAAGTCAATTCAAACCTAAATTCTTTTAGAGACTAAAGGCGTCTTCTTGTAGCTGTCATTTGGGCAGACCCGTGAGGTTCATGAGAAAGCAATTGGACGACCACGGTCACCGAAGCCCGGTTAGCTCAGCTGGTTAGAGCGTCGTACTAATACCGGTCCACCCCGTATATGGTATGCGAAGGTCAACAGTTCAATCCTGTTACTGGGCATTCACTTTTGCAGTTTTGTATTCCACTTTTCCGCGCCAAGCTTCCCCTTTCACCTAGCTCGCACCTTCCATGTGCTGAGTGAATTAACCCCATTCCCTCCCTTGGTGGGAAAGTAGCACCCAACACAAGCCATGCCACATCGAAGAGGAGACAATGAAACGCAAACTTCTCCCCAAGGCGCAAACCCCGTCCCCCATGACCAAACGTTGTGAGACGAGCGGCTCTGGCCCTCTGAAGGGTGGCTCTCACAAGCAATGCGTTTACTATTCCACCAAATAATCAATTGCCCGCAAGGACGACCATCAAACCGCCGAATAGTGCTCACTTGACGTATCCCGACTCCAAGTCACCAAGTCTGCCTTGCGAATTTGTCATGAGATAATTAGATGAGAATGAGCGCCAACCAATTCCGAGGGCATAATCACGAGGCACACTTGGAGTGATAACGAGGAGGCGGTAAGTACGAAGTAGGACCGACGGCTAGCACCAACAGAACAAGACGCCGACCAACAGACCATTAGGCCGCCGGCACCAAGCCCCACGTGGTTATTGGATTTGCGTTTCAATCACATAAGAGGTCAGCCATCCCACTGTCGGGGGAAGATATTTGTGATCCCTACCAGCACATCGCAGCGAGCAAAGCCCACCGCCCACAAAGGTAAAGTGACTCGCCACTCCCAACCAACACATAACACAATTCCTAACCTCAAAATCCCAGACAACTGAATTACACGCTGATACAGGCTGTAGCCATATAACACTCCAAAATGGCACCGCCTCTCTTCCTCCACGAATACAAGGAGCCCGGCGTCTGGGCCGTCCATGCCGACCGCAAGATCTACCACCTCCCCAACCTCTTCGTCAAACGCACACTTCGCCCGGCACGAATGGATAGAGCTCGAGGACGGCCTGATCGTGCAGCCAACAGCAGCGATGCCCCAGCGCTACAAGACCGACGCGGCCATCCAGCGCTACCTGCGCGATGTACCTGGCCATGGAGTTTGTGAGCGGGGCGGTGCCGATGGACGAGCTGTCTGAAGCGGAGCGCAAGGTCGTGGAGAAGGAGTTGCGCGTGCATATGGAGACGTTGAAGAGCCTGCGGTCGGGTACACCGGGTGTGCCGGGGGAGGAGTTCCTCGTCGGGCCTGTACGCGTGTGTGGTTACCGCTGGCACTACCACACCTGCTGGCGGCCGCGACCGGGGGCTTTCCCTGCCCCCAAGAGCGGGGAAGACGGGAAAGAAGGCGGTGGTGGTCAGTTTGTGCTCTGCCACAACGACCTCGCGCAGCAGAACGTGCTCGTGGACCCCAAGACGCTGAAGATCAAAGCGATTATCGACTGGGAGTTTGCCGGGTTCTGGCCGCCGTGGTTTGAGCGGCCGTAGTTTGAGCGATACGGCGGCAGCTATGCGATGGAGGGCGAGGAAGATGACACGGAGCGCTGTCGCGAGTGGCTACTGGCCAACCTTGAACCAGTTGAGCAGGAGCATATATTGACGCTGAAGGAGAAGATTGATACTTACCCGCCGGTAAAGTTACCGAAGTCGGGGCCGGCAAGCGCCGATGGGGAGAAGGAGGAGGAGGGAAAGGAGAAGGAGGAGGGAAAGGAGAAGGAGGAGGGAAAGGAGAAGGCCGAAGGTGAGGCAGACGTTGAAGAGGCCACAAAAGGAGTGGCTGCGGTCAATATCGCCGAGGAAGGTGCTTCAGCGACCGTTGATGGACAGAAGTGAGTTCTAGACGACTTGACAGGGGAAAGAAGGCTGGAGGTGGGTGGCCGGGGCTTGGATGATTTGCTGTTATATTTCATGTGACGTTTCTTCCAGATTTCTTGCCATTGGGTAATTATTTATGGCTGCGGCCAAAATTTGTTTTCGATTTTTGAGCCAAGCACCTGAAGCCTTAATTGTTCAATAAAATAGCACTTGAGTTTCGACGAATAATCGAAGACCTCGCTGCAAGGCGATGGTTATAAATATTTCTCGGTTGTTTCCTGCTTCACCCCCTAATTAAACGTCACATTTGGGAACACTTGCGCTATGCTGCAGACCGCAAGACGGGTTCAAACTCAACAAATAATTATCAAGAGGAAGTAGCTCAAGATGTCCAAGTACTTATAATTAGGGGGGCATAATTACAAGGACAATTAACTAACCGTGAATTTTGACAGGGGTAAAACTTGTACGCTAATTATGCCTCCTGTCAAACGGAATAATTAACGGAATAATTAATTTTTAATTAATGGTTTACAGTGAACCCCGGTGGACATGTGGGAATTTGCGCATATAACTCGTTATTTTTTCGTCACATTAGGATCGTTCAACCTTTCTTACTTCCGAATAGCATCTCAAAACAGATCATGGTAAATAAATAATGCATGCATAGCTAGTTAGGTAGGTAGTAAGATACGTGAAGTAAAGTAACCGCAAATATCTGCCGCCCCCCCGCCCCCTCTCCCATCCCCTTTCTTTGATATCACTATGTAGCTTTGAAACCGCACTCCCAAAAAAACGCCGATGTAATAACATCCCCACCCCTTTTCCCATCCCTCATACCTCGTTGCTGAATCAAGCTGTCCTCCGAAAAAAGGAAGTCTCGAAAATAATAAGGTAGCAACAAAAAGCAACCGTGACGCCGAGTCCGGGCGGCCAAAAGACGAGGTTTCTTTCTGCCCGGTTTCTACCATGATATGATTGATGGTGTGATGAAGAAACGCAAATAAGAATAAAAATGGAGGGTCAAGTCAGTCCGGCTGTGAGGGACGACTAGACTGGACTGGGCTCCCTCCTACCACCGTACCACTCGAAGAGTCCGATGCCAAACGCTAATAACAAGCAAAAAGCAAACGCTGCCTTCCATCCCTTTGTTTGCGTCCGGGTGCGCCGCGCCCCTGCCGCCCAGTGTAATGCGTTCGCGCCTTGAAATAAAATGAATATCTGCAAGTGAAAGGGGGAGAAAAAAAGAAGCAGAAAAAAAGACATAGGTAGAAAGAAATGCGAGAGGAGGAAGAGCAAAAAAATCAGAACCATCCCCCGTCATCAAACCCCCCATCACCATTCAGCAACCCGCCCTGCTGCTGAACCTGACCCTCAGCGCTCTGCTTCCTCGGCCTGCCGGGCTTCCTCGCTTGGGACCCCGACCTCGCACGCTTCTTCTTCGGTCCCGCCGCCGCGGTGCCTTGGGCCTTGCGCTTCCTACCGCGCCTGCCCGACGGCACCTCGGCATCGTCATCCTCCATCTCGCTGTCTAGCCCGCCGCCGCCTAGAGGGTCCACTTCTCCGTCCGCGTCCACGTCCATGTCTTCGTCCTCCTCGGCAGGCACCAAGAACTCCTTGTCCACGTTCATTAGCTCGACGAGCGCCTTGCACGTGTCCATCATGCGGCCGCGGTCGGTGAGGGAGGTCATGATGGTGCCGATTTCTTCCCAGACGCGGTCACCGGTAATGCCTTGGGATTTGATAGGGGCTCGGGAGAGGTCTTTGGCCTGGGGTTTTCCCTTGCCGCCCTCGCGCCGGGTGGTGGTGCCCATGTTGTAAAGACGACGGAGGAAGGTGCGCACTTCCCACAGGGCGAGGAGGATCATGGAACCGGCGGTGAGTTGGCGCAGACGGCTGAGTTCGACGGTGACCTCTGGCTCGGGGGGTGGCGGAGGAACTTGGGGCTGGAATTGCGGCTCGCCTAGTGTTTCAAAGGACGGTTCCGTTTGCGGTTGCGGTTGAGATGGGGTAGGCTCGATGGCGTCCATGCGGACTTGGAAGACTTCGGACTCGATCGTCTGCGCGACGGTGGCGCCCGTTGACGTGACAAGCTTCTCCATCGCCGAGACGATGCAATGCACCTCGCCGACGGTGAGGTACTCGAAGAAGGCTAGATTCTCGACGATGAAGCGGGAATACTGAACATGGGGCGGGATCTCCTCCGAGATTTCAAGCTTGGCGATATCAAAATTGACTTGCGCGCAGAACTTCTCGAGGAACTTTTGACGGTTCTTGGACTTGCTGATCTTGAGGACCTCCATAAGCAGATGCAGCTTCGGAGTAAAGGGGTTCGTAGTCGCACCGCGAGGGTCCTTGGCGATGTCTCTCTGGTACGCGAAAGCAGATTGAATCGCCTTCACGTACTCGCGCTCGACAACGGTCTCATGCTTGCCGTGAAGGGACTTGTGCTCGAGAAAGGCAAGCTCCGAAATGCGCGGATTCGAAGATGTCTCCAGGGTTATGAACGTTACGCCAGTTTCTTTCGGGTGCACAAGACCTTGTCGGTTGATGCTCGCGAGCACCTCCACGGCGAGGAACGCGTGGTCGTCCTGAGTCGAGGTTGCGATGCGAGTGACCTCCTTCAGGAACCGATGTGTCGTAGCACTAGCCACGTCGTCGTAGTTGGTGCCGCCAATGACTGTTAGCTCCCGCTTCTTCTCAGATTTGGCTCCGTTAATAGCGGGCGCCTCAGAGGCTTGCTCAGACCGCTTCTCCTCCGTAAAGAGGAACTCCTTGAGAGATCGCAGAATCATAGACTCCAGGGCGGGAACCTGCTCATCAAAGACACCTTGAAAGGCCGTGTAGATGTTGGCAGACACATAATTCCGTGGCCAGGCCTGGCACACAAGCCCAACCGAGTCGAGCGCTGCCTTTCTCGCGTCCAGAGGCTGTGACGGAGAGGCGAACGGCACGACCACATCGACCATCAGCTTAGAGACGGTCTCCCCGTTCCATTTAGGAAACCCCTTCTTGAACAGCTCCAAGTGGCTGTCGAGATTGCAATGCTTGCCGGCCATGCCTACGATGAGCGAGTACCGGGCAAACTGGCGGATTTTGAGCTCGTCTAGAGGCTCCCTCTGGCTCATAATGCGCAGCTTTTGGATGGCCGTCAAGCTCGATAATACCACCCGAGCAAGATGTTCCGACGTCTCAAGCAGAGTGCTGATAATCCACAGACACGCCATGACGTCGTCGAGCAAAGTCCGGGTGACTTTGGAGACCACGGGTAGTAGCTCCTTGCGCACATCGGCAAGGAACTGAGCGTGAGCGCTTGACAACTGGGGAAGGACCCGACGGTAGATGACGACCACCGCCCTGGACACTGCCAAATCATCGCTGCTTATAATGCTTGTGATATGCGGCTTCAGGAGACGCAACTGTTCGAAGGTGAACAAACTGGCTTCTGCCTTGGCGAAAATCATCAGCACCTGGAGGACATCGCGACCCGACGGGATGGATGGGTCGTTGGATTCGGCATTATCGACGAGGTCAAACATGCTCGCGACTAGCTTCGTGCACACCTCCATCGATGCTGGTGCTGTCTTAGATTCAGTAGCGAGCAGGGTCTGCAACACCTTGTCGAGGACGTTGGCGACGTTCCCTCTCTTGACCGTCTGCACCATGAGCGACACGTGTTCGGCGAGAGAGATCTGCGATGCTGTGGAGCTTGCATCGCTGTGGTACGGAGCGAACCAAATCTCTTCAATGACTTGACGCGCAAGATCTCGGATGCTTTCCTCAGGGTCCTGGACGCGGTGCAGTAGGCCATTAGCAATCGCACTTCGCAGGCCCCTGTTGCTGTTCCGTAGATAGATATCCTTAGCTAGCTTCATGGCGCGCTTCCGCACGCCGGGCCCTGCGTCGGAAAACCTGTCGACCACGGTCTCGGTCATCTTCTCTTCAAGTGCTGGCCGCATGCCGATGCACTTGCCCATAAGGCCGAGTGCAGAGTCACGGACCTGCGTCGACGAGTCGTTGGAGCACCGGAGGATGAGCTGGACAACAACCGAGTCCCCGTCGAGAATTGACGGGTCGGTCTCCAAGACCTGGTTGATACTCTTCAAGCTCTTACTTCTCACCGTCGGCTGGTCGCTAGCCATCGAATTCAGCAGGATGTTCAAGATGCCACTGAACGCCTCACAAAGCTGAGACCGAAGGAGAGTGATGGAATAAGAAAGCCTCGCCTGGCCTGAGCTCACGTTCTTGAACGAGTACTCATTAGACAGCCAGCGGCGGTCTTGAATCATCTCACGGAGCCGGTAGGCCATGCGACCTAGCTCCTGATCTCTCTCAAGCTGATCGTCCTCAAAGGAATCGTAGCAGTGGCAGATTTTGGTACCCCAATCGGATACGATAAAAGATATGGCGCTTGCCAGGTGAGGGTCCTCGGAGAAGCGGCTCTCGAGGTATTCGAGGGTCGCGCGGTAAGGTCCGGTCCAAGATACCATATGTTCTGGCCGGGATTTCAGTTCGAGTGCAGATGCGGCCAGATCGGACAGGAACATCCCCAATTCGTCCGTATCTCTTGAATCTAGAGCACTCGCAACCTTCCTCACATGGCCACGGAGTTTGGAGATCGCAGCGCCCATGATGCCCAGGAGTTCCAATGCCATGTTTTTGGCCGGAACGCCCGACTTGTCGTTCTCAACGAGGTTCACCATCATGACCATCAACAGCCGAAGGAGTAGCTCGGCAGCTGGCCAGTCCGGGTTGTCAAGGCAAGTGGTAAAATCTTCCACGAAGAGATCCAGCAGATTCCGGTAAGGAGTATCCCCAGACTTGGTCGACTTGAGCGCCCGATTGACGATAAACTTGACGACGTACGAAGCGTTGGCTTTGGCGGTGTCGAGTAGCCCAGTCGCCGTGTTGTCGAGTTCCTGGATGGCAGTAGTATGCTGCGCCGAGGCATGATCCTCGTCACGGATCGCAAAGCTTTCTGGCGCGACACGTTGGGTATCGCCGTTCGTTTCCTGACCAACTTCGGAAGCTATACCACTCTGGCTCTTATTCTTTCTCTCGTCCACCTTCCCAGCGCTAGTCTGAACAAGGCGCATGATGAGGGCCGAAACGGGCTGGATGTTGTTGCCATCCACGAGCTTAAAGGTTCGGGCCCGCCTACCAAGGGGTAGTTTCTCTAATGATGTGAGAATCTCATCAAAGATGCCCTGTCGCTGAGACGGGTTGAGGAGGAAGATCTGCGAGAGCATGTCCATAGCGACCAAGCGGAGTCCGTCAAACTTTTGGGTGTCGATCACGGAGTCCTTCTCGGCGTTGGCAGTTTCCATGAAGATGAGACGAGATGCCGCGAATTCTAGCGTGTTAGTGACGGTTTCGGAGGTGTCAACCTTGGAAATCAGGGTCGACATGAGCGAAAAGAGCTTTTGGCAGTCCGTGAAGAGGGCAACAATCTTCTTTTTACTGGAAGAAATCGTTCTGAAGAGCTCGGCCGTGGCTTGGGTGCTTCTCAGCTCCACGATGGGAAGGACGACCCCGTCGATGAGGCGCTTGCACAAGCTGAGACAGCGCTCAATTAGATCCTCTGGATAAAGTTGTTTATCCTCGCGGCCGCCGCACATTATCCTCAATGAAGTCCGGCCGGCGCGCATTGCGGTTTCAAGCAGCGGTAACTGTTGAAGCCATTGCTCCACTTCCGCAGCGCCCCATGAGTCTTCCAGTTTGATGTCGAGTGACTCAATGTACTTCAAAGATCCCTCGGAAAGTCGAAGCAGGCGGAGAAGGTGGTCAAGTGGGACCCTCTTGTAACAGTTCAATGATATGGCCTTGGCGAGGAGCGTTTGCGCCTTGGATTGGGCAGTCGCGGTTAGGGTAGCTTCGTTTTCGGAAAGGAACGAAACTTGTTCATTGCTGTATCGTGTTGCGAGAGCATGATCTTCGGCGTGGAACGCATTGTGCAAGAAAACCTTAAGCTCCTGCAACGCTGCATCTGCCCTCTGGCGCATATCCAAACTCTCCCCATAAAGGTCGTCACCGTCGAGGTCCTCCAGCTTCCCCTTCTTCAATGACAAGTTGACCGGTTCGTCGGGTTCATCAGGGACAACCATGTACTCCTCCTTGTTGAACTTCTTCGCGCTCGGTAGTTTAATGGCTAGTTGCTGCGGCCCCGATGGCGCGACTGATGAGCTCTTGGCTGGAAGGCCAAGCGCCGGACTCTGGACCCCATCGACAGTGACTGGCTGCGCTGATGACTGGACTGCTTGAGGATATAGCGGGATGTCGTGAAGTGTGGGAGTGGTAGACGTCGCTGGAGCCTCGGCGTTCTCCGTCTTATGCGCCGAAGTAGCGGCAGCGGCAGCAGCAGCAGCTTCAAGCTGACTCTTAGTCGGCAAAACTATTTCAAGCCGCGCTTTGTGGTGGGTATGCGGTTGTCGGTTAACGGGCGTAACGGGGCTCCGCTCGTGCTTAGGTTGGACCGGCTTCTTCGGAACGGGCACGCTCAGTTTCGCGGGGATGGGCGTGCTCTGCGCGGTCGCTGGGCGATCAGTCGCGAGTGTTGTGGGGGTATCGGGCGATGGGAATCGAAACGGTATCGCGGTCTGGTCGTGAACCATCTTGGCAAACGGCGTGAGATGTACAGCGAGAGAAGAAGACCTCGGGGCCTTCGAGGCTGCTGGGGTAGCCCGCGGGCCGGTCTTGAAGTTACTGATGGCGGGTTAGCTGGATCCCGGTCGCTGAGGCCGACACGAAACATACTACTCGGGAATATTGCCACGCTCGAGTAAGTGTTGAACTTGGTTAACAGCTTGCTGCAGGCGTTTTGATGGTGGACTATGAGCTGTGGCTTCTTGATTCAACGTTACGAAATCATGATTTGGCACCAGGTCGGTAACTGGTGGTGCAGGCAAGGCGGAACCTAATGATGGCGAAGGAAGAATATCTATGCAATGGTTGAGTCACTGGCTGTAAAACCCCAAGGAAATAAAATCATCATGCGTGTATGGCAGGGGCGTACCTGAGTCGAAGGGCGCGATGGAAGAAAACGGCGTGTATGGAAGGGCCTCAGAGAGGGTGAAGGGCCTGGTGAAGCCCATTGCGGGTTGCTGCTGTTGTGGCAGCTGCCCAGCATGGGGCGTGGAGTTCGACGTGCCGTGAGGATGGCCATTGTAAACGTCCGACCTCGGGTCCGCCATGGTAGAAGAAGAAAAAGGGATGATCACGACCGACGCCGGGACATGGCTGGACCTCGAATGGACGTCGCCTAGGTATTCGGCCAAACCAATTGCACTTTCCGATTATCGATCGCGTGTGATAGCTAGGCGTTGAATAGAATCGATTCCATGCGGCAATGCGCTCCTCCTATTTCCCCTTTGTCCTGCGGGGTCGAGCACACAAATGCTTCCGGTTGTCGCGTCTGGTGTTGAGGGATGATGAATTGTCTCTGAGGATGCCGAAGTCCATCCCCCAACGAAGACCCACTAATTACAGGCAGCCTTGCGCTGCCAAGCAGACAAATCGCTTGGAGCTCTTGAGCCTCGCAGGGAGTGAGGTGACATGGGCCCGTGCCTTCATTCATCTGGGACGGGACACCCCTGTTCCTGGTTGCAGGCCCCGCTAAATTTTTGGCAGATGCGCTGAAAGAAATCGGATATTTTTGGCGGAAGGCGCAGGAGGCAAACCTTCGCCTTTGACGACGATTTACTTCCTGCCTTGCAACAAAGAAAACGAAAAAAAATGGCCGCCATCGGTTCCCTAATTTTCTGCACGGATTGTGGCAACCTCCTGCCCCCGTCCAAGGGCAGCGAGAAGAACATTCTCCATTGCGATGGCTGTGGGGCGGAAAACAGAGGTTTGTTGGCTGCAGTCGCAAATGAGAAGAGTAAGTTCGTGAGTAGAGTTTCTGACTAGGCGCAGACCATCCCTGGAAAACGGTGACAACGAGGACGAAACCTTCAGATTTCCCCTCGGCGCTGCGGCAAAAGCTTTCAATCGTTCAAACAGTGGAGCGGCACAAAGTGCAAACAGAGCGTATCGACGCCAACACCGAATGCCCCAAATGTGGAAAGACAGGAGTTCGGTACTCCGAGGTGCAACAGAGAAGTGCAGATGAAGGCTCGACTATCATTTACAATTGTGACTGCGGCGAAAGGCACGCAGAATCAGGAACCCCAGTACAGGTCGTTGGCCAAACGCTAACTTGGGATCACAGGTGGACTATGAACAACTGAGCACTGTGGCCACGAGCTGGAATAGTTTACGAAAAGCACGTCCGTGCTATGACGATCTAATACCCATTTTAATGACCTAAACACCAATTACGAAATCCCAGATTAAGCAGTACCCGTGACCTCCGGAATGAGGGCATACTCGGCCTCATTGCTCTTCTCGTACTCGGCCATATCCAACGCCACGATTACGCTGTCACGAACCACCTGCTCCTTGTCGTTCAAAAATTTCTTCAAGGTCTCCTCAACGCCCTCTTCCTCCCCAAGGCTCCCGAGAGCCTCTGCAGCCTCATGTCGAACCATGCTCGCCTCTTCGATATTGCTCAAGGCCGCCGTCAGCGCTGGGATCGAGGCCGGGTGCGAAAGTTGGCCAAAGACAAAAGCGATTTCGTGACGGAAGAGAGCGGAGGAGTCGGCAAATCCCTTGGCGAGGGCATTGACAGCCGGGACAGCGGTGGGCAAGTCGGGGGGCGATGCCAAGTCGCGTAGGGCAAACATGGCGCGGTATCTCTTGAAGAGTGGCAGGCTAGTGTTCATCAGGGTATCGCCCAGCTCCTCCACCGTCTGTCCCTGCTGGTCTTGGGCCGTTGGCGGTGCCGGATCGATCGAGGCGAAGTCACTAGAATAGACAAAGCAGTTAGCAAGCAGTCCCCCAAATAACAAAACCCTAGTTAAACTAAAAGCAAACCCACCTCGCCCTCAACTTCTCCCCCTTCCTCCCCTCCCCATTCGCCCACTCAATCCTCTCCACCGCAATCTCACACGTCTCCGTAACCACCACCTCCTCCCCCTCCTTATCCCTAAACCTCCTCAACACCTCCAAACTCCTCACATCCCCCAACGCCCCAAGCGCCTCGGCCGCCTCATGCCTGCACATGGGATCCTCGCCCCCATCCTCCAGCACCGCCGTCAGATGTGGGATCGACGCATCGTTGCCCGTCTGGCCCAGGCAGTAGGCCAATTCGTGCTTGAGCAGCGCCGAGGGCGAGGCGAAACCGGCTGCGATGGCGTCGATGGCGGCGAGGGATTCGGCGGAGGTAGGGGGGTTGGTGGCGGCGAGGTGTTTGAGGGAGAAGAGGGCGCGGAAACGGACGGCGAGCGGGGTGGTCTCGGAGACGAGGGAGGTGCGGAGGGAGGAGATGGTTGTGAGGGTTGTTATGTCGTTTTCGGTTGCCATGGTTGTTGTATTTTTTTTATTTTATTTTCCCTTGGTTCCTTCGTACTTAGGAGTGGTTGACCGATCGACGAGGGTCGGAATTGAGAGTGTCGGTCGTGTGGAGGAAAGTAATTCGAGACCGTGTGCAACGAGTTGCGACTTTGAACAAGGGGACCAAGTTCGGCCGAGGTGCCCGCCGACGGTGGTACGACTGGACGCGCTCCAAAGCGCGGGGCAAACTCAAAAATTTGGAGGGGCATTTTTGGCTGATAACGATAACAACGAAGAATTCTCTATGTTAACCCTAACCCTTCCACTCTCCCGAAGCTGTTCATTCCGGGTCAAAATAGGGGTATCAATAACAACAGGGTATTTGGAGAGATTCGGATGGGATATAAATTGACCATAAACTATGGCACGAAGTCCTCGATACCGAGAAATAGATTCAGGTATCACTAGACATCAACAGATCAAAACGATTGCTAGAAACTCCCTTAGAGCCATTGACTTTCTCTTTCGACACTCGATGTGTCTGCTTCTTCTTGTGTTCAGCAGTCTTCTCCTTTTCAGGCGGCTCTCCGTCTTGCGGATGTTTTACAGCCTCTATTTGTGCCAACACATCTTCATGTTCTGAGAACAAGTCCTCAAGGACCGAAAGCCCAGGCCCCTCCCTCACCAACTGGAGAATATCGGGAAAGGTCAAGAGCGTCAGGAAGTCCAGCAAGGACGGAAGGTGTGGCAATAGTTCGAATAACTCTGCTAGGGGTTCCGAGAGTGTGTTTCCCGAGTATGCCAAAACCCCAAGCATCTGGTGTAACATCCTCAGGGAATAATAACTTGCCTGGGTTTGAGCCAGAAGGTGGACAAACTCCCAGGAGCGAACGTCTAGGCGCCCCCTCGCGATTTGGAGGAGCAGCTCGAGACTGAGAGCAGTCTGTTTTCTCTGCTCAATGGACAACGAAATATCCTGGTAAACGGCAAAAAGGGCCCAAACCATGGTATTCTTATCGACGGCTGCCGTCATGATGGATAGAAGTTCGAGCAACGAGGTAGCGAGGCTGTCGATTTCGGTAAGATCTGGTACCTCCACGGGTGATCCTTTAGTGGCGGGCCGTGAAGTAGCCTTGGAAGCGGTCTGCAATCTCCGCATTTCCATGACTGAAGATATTTGGTCGTTGGAACCAATCTGCAAAGCTGCGTATGCTAGTTGTCTCGTCGATGTGCTCGCTTCCCAGGGGGTTGCTCGACTTGGGCAACTCAGTAAAAAAGGGAGATACATCTCCAATGGCGCGCCGTTTTTGTTGGCTTTGGATCTGGGGCCTGGTGTCGGCGTGAGAGGTCGAGACCCAAGCCCCTGAGGGGACCGGAAAATGAGCTCTGATAGTCGTGGGTCAAGAGGCGGGCCGCCTTGTGATGGTGCTGTGGAAACCAAATTGGGAGTGAGGAATGAATTGACGAACTGGAGATACTTCTCCCGGTTCCTGTCCGTTAAACCCCCCTTACAACTATCCAGGGCTCGCTGTATCTTCCCATTTGGTTCATTGGCAACCGCAAAAGCGAGTTCTTGGAGTCCCTCGTCTGGGTTCAAGGAAAGTCGACCAGCAATTTCAGCGGTAGAGTAACGACGAGCCTTGATATTCCGGACTTTCTGATCCGCGTTCATGTCGTCAAAGAAAACCACACTACCGTTTCTACCCAGGTTGTACGCCAGCAGGTCAGAATCGGAGGTAAATATGGTCCCTCCATGTTCCCGAGCGTGATGGGCACAAAAGCCGTCGGCTTCTCCGGGTGCAAGGTTTACGGTAGAACTGAAGTCCGGTGAAAGCCTCAGCGCGTCGATAATGGCGGGAACAATAAACGGAAGGTTTGGCAGCCGTGGGAACAACTTCTTGGTTCCTATCCCTCGGTCATTTGGGAATAATGTGATGCTTGTTTCTGGTATAAGTCCCGGACGGCCGGCCGGCACTCGAGAAGGGTAAATTGCATGGTATGTGACCAAGTTCTGAGTGGATTGAAGAAGACGTCGAATCCTCTCAGGGCGTTTTGTACTAGGGAGGTATCCGTCGAAATAGATGGCAGCGCTTTGGGGCAAACGCCTGTTAGCCAAGCAATGCACATCGACGGCGCCGCAGACTCAAAGCACAGGTGGTCCTACATTGGATAGCCGTGTGACCGAATTGCGGTAAGCCAAGAAATGGCCGTCCGGCCTAGCAGCTCATACGATGGCTGCTCAAAAGGGGTGGTTTGGAGCACCGTCCGAGAGCATAAATAAAATATATGGTGCGCAAATGAAGGTCCGTCTAAAATTGCAGAGCCGGATTCGAGAGTGAATGTTTCTGAGTATGGCTCGAGAAATTTCCGTAGCTTAAAAACGCCCATTGCGAAGAACTTGTGTGATAAAGCTAGCCTACCCGTTGCTCAACGGAAGGCGAAATTATTGGCGAGCGAGTGTGAGTGTCGTTCAATTGATCCATCAATCGTATTGTAATGTAATTACCGTGACCTTGAAGCTTCCCACGTGCCACAATCTAAGACCGGCTGAGGTTTGACCGCCGCTTATCAAAGTTCCGGGCGGAAAGCAACTTGGGGATACTACACTGTTTACAATCCCAGCAACCCGGCTCTTTTTAGAGAGGTTTTTTCTTGAAGAACTATTGAGGGCTTTACCTAAAATACCCATCCCTTCTTCAATTCATTCAAGCACAACGTCTCGCATATCTCCCTCAGCCCTTTCCGAGGTTCAATCTCTTCCCCAAACCCCACCATTCTGTGGCAGCGCGCCACTGGCGGGACAAGGCCACGACAGGGGGGTTCCGAATCGAAACTCTGACCGACCCACCCGCCGCCAACCGCTCTTTATTTTTTTTTGAGCAACGCCGCAAAAAAAATTCCAGCTTTCCTCTCGCAACCTCGGAAGAGGAAGAGCACCACCACACGACAAACCACCATGCGCGGGACTCTGATTTTCGCGGGCAGCTCCTGCCCGGAAATCACAGACAAAATATGCCACAACCTTGGGATGGCAAGAGCGGACGCGGAGCTCACCCAATTCTCCAATGGCGAAACAAGCGTCCGCATCTTGACTAGTGTTCGGGAGAAAGACGTGTTTGTCGTGCAGTCGGGTAGTCCCAAGATCAATGACACTATCATGGAGCTTCTGATCATGATCTCCGCCTGCAAGGGCGGCTCCGCCAACAAAATCACAGGTACGTCGAGCCCTGCATATGCGGTCCTTGCGCGCAACGACCAACGCACGGATTGATTGGATTCGGGGGCTGACTCCAACTCCAGCCGTCCTCCCATATTTTCCCTACAGCCGCCAGTCGAAAAAGAAGTCTCATAGAGGAGCTATTACGGCGAGAATGTTGGCCAATCTGCTCGGGGTGGCCGGTGTCAAGCACATCGTGACGGTCGATCTGCATGCTTCGCAGATGCAGGGCTTCTTCAAGTGCCCGGTCGACAACCTCCACGCGGAACCTTTGATTGCCCGTTGGATCCGCCGCAATGTGTCTAAGTGGCAGGAGGCGGTGGTGGTATCTAAGAACGCGGGCGGCACCAAACGGGTCACTTCTCTCGCCGACGCGCTGAAGCTCAACTTTGGCATGGTGACAACAGACAAGAGGAGGGGTCCGGGCCCGAGCATGGCGGGCAGCATGATCGCATACCCGCTCGATGGTGTTGATCGACAGCCGACGCTCGACCACGGCAGCAACCAGGTGCGTAACAACTCATCGGACCCCGAGAACGGCACGGCACCCAGTACGGACGGCGAACGCGGACAAGATTCCCGCGCGACCGCGGACTCCCAGGGCTCACCCCGGATGCGTGCTAATGGCACGCATTCGCGGAATGGCTCCCACCGCAAGTCGCCCCCTCCATCGAGACGCTCGCAGACCTCACTCTCCCAGTCGTCGGTCATCGACGAGCTCGACGAGGAGGACACCGAGACGGAGGGTCTAGAGTACAATGACCAGCGAGCGCACGAAGTGACGCACGGCCGGCTTGTCCAAGGTCACGTGGTTCCCGACGATTTCCCCTCTCCGGCTACTTCAGCGGCCGATACGAGTGTCCCGGACGTCGACCCCATGACGTTGTCGCACGCCTCTTCTTTCTTCGCCCCACAACCCCACGCTCTCGGCGGATCGGGGGATGCAGCGAGCTCGGATGAAGAGGATGACATCCTCAAGGACTCGAGGGTTGAGCGCACGATCACGCTCGTCGGCGACGTGAGGGGCCGGACAGTGTTCATTGTCGACGACATGATCGACAAGCCCGGTTCGTGGATTGCAGCAGCCGAGACGGTGGTTAAGCGCGGCCGGGCTAGCAAGGTTTATTGCATCGCCACACACGGTGTCTTTGGCGGTGACTGCCTCGAACAGATGCAAGCGTGCGACTGCATCGATACCATCGTGGTGACCAACAGCTATCCGATCCCGGAGGACAGGGCGCGCAACGCGAGCAAGCTGGTGGTCCTCGACTTGTCGTTCCTCTTAGCCGAGGCGATACGGCGGAACCACTATGGCGAGTCCATGTCGCCGCTTTTCCAACACCTTATGGATTGAGTATGCAGGTCGTTTCTTTGTGTCTTGATTTCCTCGGGCTCTCTGGGCTTTTGGGAGGCTCATTTGCTCTCTTCGGATTTTCCTCGATGGCTGTCTGGCTGTAAGCGTTGGCGTTGGGGCTATCGGATTTTGACGACGGCATGATAGTGACGGCGGCGTACTACTTTGATTTTGACACAGGGCAGGATGGGTAGACGGCTTGAGCAGTCAGGTACCGAAATGACGATGGTGGTCAGTCGGGAGTCTACTCGCCAGTGACATCAACCCACGGTGTGAATCCTTTTCTAGGCCACATTCTCGCTCCCCTTTTTTCTTTCACTCATTCTCTCCTTAAACAACACCCCAACGATGCTGTCACTTACGACGGCAGGAGCGTTGTCCAACCCAGGACATGTCTCTTAACGGAACGTTGGCAGATTATTTGTCCCCTCGGGGACTGTCCGAGATAGAAGGCCCTTTGTCTCGCTCCGCTAGGAGTGGCTTCCGCAAGGTTGGTGGGCAAGGGGCAAGAGAACTCCTCGGTACATATTGTAATCGTAATTATGTGCTTGTAACTGGCTTGTAGTGTTGCTATGGTTATGAGGCATCGAAGTTTAAGGGTCCGTAAATTTTGTAACAAAGGCTTGACTAGTTGACATTGTCAACGTATTGAAATACAACCATTTCAAAAATATTAATACCAAATTCATCAACCAGAATCTACGTTACTACTATGTATGTACATACATACGTCTGTCAGTCCCAAGACCTCGGTAGACAAACTGCTCCTACAACGGGTCAATGCTGTTGTCACTGCCCCGCATTTCCAATCGATCCTAGCCAATCACATGACTATAACTAACTTTCCGACTCCCCCGGCTCCTCCCTTACTTTTCGGAACCCCCCCTCGTACTCTTCCGACCCGTTTTCCATATTAGACCAGCCATTTCACTCCTATTAACCATGCTGCTGCAAGGCAAACAAAGTGCAGCACCGCTCGGTGTTCCACTCGCACATAGCAACGCCCGTTATTTCGTGCCCCCTATTACCCCCAACATTAACAATGAAGTTCATGATGGCGACGATGGTGATGAGGGCGATGAGGACGGGTACGAGGAAGGTGAAGGTGAAAACGAGAATAATAGGAATGACGAGCGTCAACACCCATCCAAGCGGAGGAGAATCGAATCTCACGAGCAAGAAAACGGCGATGAAGAAGAGTTGAGGCGCCAGCTCGAGGGCAGTGTTGCGCAGCAAGATGCCGATAGAGATAATACTCCGGGTCAGCAGCCGCCAGTTTTGACCACGCTGATGGATGTCAGCGCGCACTATTTCAAGCCTGATCTAGCGGAACCCGATGACCGAGGCGAGAATGACTGCTTCTTTGCGAATTGTATGACCAAAGCCGGAGGGAGTCCGTATCTCTTGTGCGTTTTCTTTTTTGCTGCCGTCACGTCAGAGTATTGTTACGCGTAGCCTTCAGACGGTCTGTCTAACCTGCGGCTAGGAAACACTTTCAGGTCAAGCACGGCCTCGTCCGCGGGGAGCAAGGGCGCCAGGAAGGCGGTCGACACAAGACGCCCAAGTACCTGACGCTCTGCCCAACCAACTGGCCCTACACCCACAAGTCGACCTCGTCCTGCAAAGCCTGCGACGACATCACCGGCCTTCTTTCCGTCCTTGGCCAACACGAGCACGAGAGCCCTTCCGTGTGTGCCTTCTGCTGGACTTACTGCCCGACCCGCGCCGAGCTCGTCGCGCACATCAACCAGGGCCCGTGTAAGAGCAATGAGATGTACGCGCACAAGCTGGCGCAAGTGAAGCGCCTGTTCATCAGCTGTCTGGCGATCCCGGGCGCGCCGGCGTTTGCGAATGCCGCGGCGGACGAGAGACGGGCGCATGCGGTTGCGGAACGAGCGGCGCGTGTGGAGAAGTGGCGCCAGGAACAGGATCAGTTGCCGCGCGCGCAGATGATGCCGCCGGAAGTGCTTCACCCGGCGTATCGGCAGCAGCAACAGCAGCAGCAACAGCAGCAACAGCAAGAGCCACAGCATCAGCAGGAGGAGCTAGAGAGGTGGGAGCGGTCGCGGCAGAAGAAGCGGCAGAAGGAGAAGGAGAGGCAGCAGCGACGGCAGCAGCAGCAGCATGATGGTGGACGGAGGCCGGAAACGGATCAACAACAACCGCCACCGAATATGAACGCCGGCCAGCAGCAACCTTCGCCCGTCCATGCTGGATACGTCACTAACACCCTCCGGCCGGACCACCACCACCACCAACACCCACCAGGCCCACCCTTCCCCCATCAACAACACCTAGCTCCTCACCACCAATCCCACCCTTCTTCCCAACCACATCCCAACAACAACCCCTACCCCCATCCCAACGTAGACCACTCACTCACAACTCAACCCCCAATACCTACATCAATACCCACCGCAGCACCAATACCCGCCACAGCAGCAGCGCGATCCCTAGAATCATCAACAGCAGCAGCCGCCTCATCAGCCGCTGCCGTGCACGCCCTATCGGGCTGCGTCGACCGCTTGACAACCATCGTACACGAGCTCTCAGGCGCCAATACACTCTTGGCACAGGAGCTGCGGGCGCGCGACACGCGGGTGGCGGAGTTAGAGGCGGAGAATTTGAGGCTGGAGAGGGAACTGGCGGGGGTGAAGAGGGAGTTGGATGCGGTAAGGGGAAGGAAGGATGACAAGGGGAAAGGGAGGGGAGAAGAAAGAATTAAAAGGGGGGAGGGGGGAGGTCGGAGGGGGGGTGGGCTTGGGGGTGATACGGCTGAGGGAGTCAGGGTGCGGGTGGTGGGTGATGAACAGGATGGGGAGGAGGAGGAGGAAGACAATGTGGAAGGAAGTGTTGAATGAAGTCAGATATACACCGTGAACATGTAATGTAAATACTAGGAGCTCGGGTACCAGACTGACAGCGCTGGGTTACATACAATGTTAATTACGCTTGATTATATCAATCACTTAAAATACTTCAATGTAACTACATCAATCCTCAGGTTTGCAATCAATGCTAAGATAAACCCAACCGATAGTATAAGTTCAGAGGTTTAGCTGCGCCCAATTCCACATAGGAGAAATTCTAACTCTGGGAAGCTCCAAATCCCGACCTTGAACTTAGCCAGCCGTGTGTTGTTACGGCTGTAAAAGGCTGCAATAACATTAAAAACAACTGCCTCAAGGACTGCGTTTAGATACTTTACGCCCTACGCTTCCCGTTTGTATGGTATGTTATTGTTATCATCTTGTGTTTTTTTTTTCTCTTTTTTAATTATGGGGGAAGTCGTCGCTCCGAAGTAAATCAGCGTGTTTACTTGTAACGCGGGAATTCACGTATCAACACACGACAAACATCGTAAAACAAACCCAAAATTACACCACACCCTTTTTCGATTATTTCACCCCAACACCTCGCACCTCTCCCTCTAACGCCATATCATACACTAGTACCTCCTATTTTCATACCCCTTATATCACAAACCAACCAACCCCTGTTCTTTTCCTTTTCTTTTCCCTTTCCATCCCACAGCCAGCCACCCAACCATTTTAGCTAAGTAATTTACACACACAAGTACATGTAGTTTTACAAGCATACCTCGTACCATTATCACATCAAACCCTCCCATAATCCCACGACATCCCTTCACCCTCTTTCTCACCATTCACTGCTTCAATAGGTAACTCAATCGCTCGATAACCCTTCTCACTCTCCACCTCTCAATAACATCACTCATTCACTCACTCATTCACCCCCTCTCCCTCCGCCCCAACCCCATGAATCTCATCCAACAACCGTCCAAATGCCTCCCGTCCCTGAGCCCCATCCCCACCTCCACCCGCGTCCTGCAAAAGCTGTGCCTGCAACGACGCCAGCCGGACCAGTTTCTCTTGTTCCGTGTCCTGTCCCTGCCCCAGCCCTTGGTGTCCTTGCTGAACTTGTCCCTGTCCTGGCACCTGTCCCGGTACCTGCCTCTGCGGGCCAGGCCCAGGAGACGACGACCGCGCAGTTTTTCCAGCGAGCTTGATCAACCGCCAGGCGCGGCGGAATTCATCGCGGATACTGACGATGCCGGTGTGGACGACAGTGCGGGCGATGTTGTGGTCGAGTTCGAAAGGGTCTTCGATGGCGAAGAGGTAGCGGTTGCGGATTTCTTTTGTCTGGGTTTGGGGTTGTGTTTGTGCCTGGGGTTGTTGTTGTTGTTGGATCTGAGGAGCGTGCGCTGGGTCGATAGGACCGGTGGGGAGGACAGTGGCCGGGTTTGTGGAGGGACTTGCAGGCGGGGCAGTTGACTGCACCTCGATGACAGTCTTTGCGCCGACCCAACCCTTCTCATGCTTCGTTAGCAGCCCACCGTGGGTGCGCAGACTGAGAACTTCACGCCCCCAGTCGAAACTGCGGCAGGGCAGCAACGACATGGACCCCCCGCCTTTGGCGTAGTATTCGAAGAACCCGCGCAGCAGCTGGCCAACCGACTCACGGTTCTGTGTCAGCGCGTTGTCGCGCGCAAGCCGAATGATCTCGGCTTCGTCACGCCAGAACTGGATATCCCACCCCTTGCAGCGGACCGTCTCCTCGATCTGCTGCGGCGTGAGGTTCGGCGGGGGTGGACGTGCGAGCTGTTGTAGGTTGGGTAGCACAAAGGGCTGGGCCACGTTGACGAGGTAGTGCAGCATCATTAGCACGTAGCCGTAACTGCCGAGGGTGCCGCGGTAGGGGGTGTTGATGTGGCGGACTTTAGCCCAGTGCTTGACGAAGAGCACGAGGGGCCGCACGCGCGGGTCGCAGTGCGCGTAGCAGCGCAAGAGCAGCGTGTTTTGCACGCCGAGGTGGGCCGAGAAGTTGAGGTCGCATTGTACACCGACGCCGGATTTGGGGAACTCGAGGCCGCCGCTGTATCGGTCCTTGGGTCGCGACTGGCCTAGGGCTTGTTGTAATGGATCGCCCAGCGCGCGCATTTCGGCGACAAGGGGCGCTAGCTCAGGTGAGATGGGGATAATGCCCTGTGAGAAGTCTTGGGTCGTTGTGGACGGCGGGATCGGGGCGTTGAGGATTTCTACGTACCGCCGGACCTGGGCCGTGACGTGTTCGTGGAAGGCCCCCTTCTCGAGCGCCGATTCATAGTCATGCGCAAGCTGAAGGCTCTTGTGCCGGTTGCCGATGGCTCGCATGAGCGTGACACGGTGGGTTTGTTGAAACTCGCGCAGCCGCTCCCGAATGCCTTTGTCCAGGATACCATTAATGTAGTTCTCGATGAGAACCTTGAGGATGATATCCGCCCTCTGGCGCGGGTGCTGCCCACCCACTTCGTAGAACAGTTTTAGAGCCCGGGCGCAGTACCCAGCTGCGGATTCTTTATACCCCTGAGTAAGCGCTAGGATCTGAAGGGAAGCGATGCTTTTCAGGTTCAGGTATGCGCTCTGCAGCTCCTTTTGGAAGAAAGGCGGGTCTAGGCCGTAGTTGGGGGTTTCTACCAGCGCTCTCCATGCCCTCACATGGTTTTCCGCGGCGGCTTCGCGGGCTGCAGAACTCTCGGAGAAGGGCCGGACGTCCCATAGGGCAGCCAAATGCTCGCCCTCCACCTGGTTGAACACACCCGTCAAGGTCCGAGGATGGGGATTGTCACCCTCGGAGAGGAGCTCGTCCCGGTTCAAAGAGCGGGACGCCAGCAGGCGGTCACGCACCGTTTTGTTCTCTAGCCCCTCGACAAACGCCAAGTTGAGCTCGTTGAGCCGCCTGATGTTGTCGGCCGTGAACTGGTTGAGGTTGGTAGGGGCCAGTTCGCGTAGGCCGAGTTTCCGCATCAAGCTTTTGGTGAAATTGTAGTAGCTATGCAGTGTCGTTTCCTGCTTTAGATCTTGTAGTCTTGTATCTTCCAGCGGGGCATGAGAATCCTGAGCCTGGGCGTCTGGGCTCGCGTGGTCAGGCTCGCTAGGCTCGACTAGCTCGGTCGACTGTGGCTCTGGGCCGTCAGCCACCTCCTCTTCGGCGACGTCCTGCACCACACCTCGCTCCCACTTCTCGCGTTCCGCTAGGAGCGACCTCCGCAGACTCTCGGAGGGCTTCTCGCAGATTTTGATGATGGGCACCCGTGTCCGCGTGAGCAGTCTGACGCCGAGCCCCATATCCAAGAAAGCCTTCTCGATAAGCCTAGGGATGGGAGAGCCGGGGGTATCAGGCGGGACGCGCGACAGAGGCGAGAGGATCCCGAGGTCCATGTCGGACGCCTTGGTCGCAAACCCCGACGCCAGACTGCCGAAGCACTTGAGCTGCACGCTCTCAGCAGGGAAGTCGGTGAAGCCATTCTGAGTCCTCTCGTACCCTGCAATCACGCCCCGCGCAACCTGTTCGATCCTCAGCCGAAAGTTTTCCTTCTCTGCGATTTCCGCCGGCTCGATCTCGGCTGCTGCAACGATGGTGTTGCAGAGACCGCCAAGGAAGTCGTCCGCTGCTTCCAGCTCTTGAGGCCCTAGTGACGGCCGTCTTTTGAGGCCGCTAAATTCGGAACTGCCTTGCCGTCTGTGCATCGACTGAGGTTCAGCAGGCATCGCTGGGATGCCGGGTCCGGGGGCCTGGGGCGGAACACCGGGCATCTGATATTGCATATCTGGGTTCTGATAGCCGTACCTGGGCGACTGGGGCCAGCCCTGTTGTTGAGCTGTCGGGTTCGGTCCATGGTAAGATAACGACGTTTGATGTCGTGGCCCGTTGCGGAACGAGCCCCTGTGGTGGTTTCCTCCACGTTCATGCGGCGCATTGTCTCTACTAGGGGGGCGAAAGGTACCCGAGTGTGGTGGCTGCCGCCCCCCGCGATAACCGCCCCGGCCAAAGGGTTGCTGGGCGCGTTGGTTTTGATATTGGTTCTGATGCTGAGTCTGATGTTGGCTTTGGAAGTCGGGGAACTGTGGCCGCGTATCGACGGGTATGGAAAGCTGGGCCGACATCTGGCGCCGCTGTGCTTGATTCGGCCGTTTTCGGGACGATTTGGGTAAGGGCAGGCCATTCTCGTCCATCGAAGGGCTGAGCGGAACATAATTCTGCTGCTCTTGAGTCGGTGCTGGTTGTACTGGCGGGTAACGACCTGTGTTCTGGGTATATTGCTGCCTCGCCGCGTTGTCAGGCCCACTGAGAATCATGTTGCGCAGGTGGCTCTCGAGAGGGCCATCTCCGGGCTGGAAATCACGGGACGCCATGATACCTCGATTCCGGGTGCCAGAAGATGGGGGCTTGTGTTGTGGCGATAACGGCTCCTTTTCTTGGTGATTCTTGGATTTTAAAAATCGTACCAAAGGACGCTTCTTTTTATTTGCGGGTTTGTGGTACCAGCACAAGCCAGGAGTGCATTTGCTGAGGTGCCAACCTTGGCTCCATCCAACAATGGCAATTGGGAGCAAACGAACGGTAGACCTACGCCCCCAAGCGCGTGCTGAAACAAGGAGAGACGGTTAGAACACAGAAGACCTGTCGTCAACCGGCCGCTTGAAAGCTGGCCCCCGGAGTCCGTGGTAACCGCAAGGCAGGAGCGCGGCTCAGCGCATCTCCGGGTAGCTAGGGACCGGGAGAGGACGAACCAAAATTTAGATTAGAATGGGGAAGAGTTGAAAGAGAGGACGGAAGGGAGTGCCGGCAATAAAGTTGCATTCCCAAGAGGAAGTCGGCTAACGGGTGCGGGGACAGGGCACAGTTGTAGTAACTCTCGATGCACCGTTAGGTCCTCGAATGACAGGAAGGTAATGGTGGCGGGGCGCGGTGCGGGACTGAGTCTTCACAAACCTAACAACGGGTGACGATTCGCCAGTTTTAGTGTTTTGCTTGAGTTTTGACACGAGTTGATCGGAGAGGACCCCACTAACTCATGCGAGTGAGAACGGGCTAGGAAACCTGCTGAGAAAATCGGAAGCCGAAAAGGGAAGGACCGGGATATTTGGAAAGAGCGAAGGTGTACACTATGTAAGGCTGCGGGGGACTAGTCCATGCGGCCCGGGTTCTTTCACAAGGTTCAAGTTCTGAAAGCTCGAATTAAGTTGAGGTTGAGTTGATGGCCTCATGCGGAAGCAGATTTCGTACAGAAATTGGTGTGGGGCCTCGCGAGGGAACTACAAAGCAAACCCGAACTAACGCTGGATAACGCGATATCTACACCGAGGACATGCCCGTAGTCGGTCCCATTGCTTAAGGTACAGCTCTATTTGTGTAGGTCGGATGTAAACCGGAATGAAACTTATATGGTACTGCGCAAGGTTTTTGACTGTAGCATTATCGCAAACATACCTGATTGAGGGTTGTACGAATAATTCCATAGTATGCCGTTATCGAGATTTCGTCGCAACTGGGTGGCCCGTGCACTCTACAGCCGCTGTGGGCCTTTAGTCTTGGCTGCTCATCACAGAAGGCAACTGCCATTCCTTCTCCCAAACCGACCCATCTCCATTCTCCATCAACATCCCCGAACCCATCGCAACACACGGCACCTCGCCCCGATCAACCACCGGGGAACCCCGTGCCTTTCTCCTTTCAAAGCTCATCTCCGCCATTCATTTCCAGCTTGAATCCCCTGGTAACAGTGGGCTGGTTACCGTACGGCTCGATGACGCGCCGAGTTTAAGCGACAACCTTCGAGCCTGGGCCACCCCCGGTTGTCGCCGTCTTCCCACCCTTCTCCCGATTTTTCCGACCGATAGACCATCGTCGAAGGTCTTCCCCCCGAGATGAGCGCCCCTCCACCTGCGGGCAATGGCCCCCCGCGCGGCCCCCCGCGGCCCCCCGGGCGCCCGCAGTTTCTCCCACACAAGCCCGCTGGTGCGAATCCGCTAGTGGCAAGAAAGAAGCCGAGACCGAAGCCAGCATTCTCGCGCCCGATGGCGAAACCCGCGAACGGGAAGGGCGGTTTGGAGGAGCCAAAGGAGCAGAAGCTGAACGACATGAGCGATCTTTCGATCCGACAGCTGGCGTCGGTGCGGCAACAGAACGGCGGCTGGACCGAGAAGACACCAGCTAATTACAAGGATTTCCCTCTGGTCATGACCAAGCGATCGATGCTTGAGGGCCTGCGACACCACATCATGCGCCTTAGCAAGGCGAAAGGTGAGGCGAACAGGGCCAAGCCAGATACCATTGTCGACATCACAAACCAGGACCAGTTCCCGCGCCCTGTGACCCTACTGCGACGTGACCCGCGACTCCCGCCGGCTTCCCGGATGGTTGTGAAGGAGGACTCGGAGCCGCTGGACCCTGCCGAGGTCGCCGAGTTTGAGCGCGCGCGCCAGCTCAAAGCCGACAAGGAGGCGCAGCGAGCCTTGGACCAGGCACAGATTGCGCCTGTTGCTCGGCCAAACGAGCCGAAGCCCAAGCCAAACAACAAGAAGGAGAAGCCGACGGCGTTTTACGGCCGGAACTCGGATGCGCAGAAGAAGGAGTCCAAGATCCACTACGAAGAGACCTGGCCGTGGCACTTGGAGGATGCCGAGGGTAAGGCGGGCGTGTGGGTGGGTTCCTACGTTGCCAGCCTGTCGGACATCAACGTTGCGCTCGTCATAGATGGCGCGCGCTTCCGCATGATACCGCTGGAGAGATACTACAAATTTGACGAGAAGCCAAAGTTTGACACCCTCTCCTTGGACGACGCGGAGAAGATGATGTACGAGGTCAAGGAAATCAAGCGCTGGGTCATGAAGCAGAAAGACCAGGAGTTGATGGAGAGGGAGCGGAACGAAACGCGCCGGTTCTTGGGTGGCCCTGTCCGCGTCAAGACGGAAAGCGCCACGTCACGCATGGCGCGCCGCAGTGAGAGGCAGGACGACTTTGAGCTCGACATGTCGGGTGACGAATTCCAGGACGACGATGAACAACCCGGGTTCGAGGCCGATGACGACGAAGATGCCAAGGATGCCAAGGATCGTATCCGCCGCGAGCAGGTGTCGGCCAACACGTTTGGCGCTGGAGAGGAGAGCAAGGTTGAGAAGGAGGAGCGGGAGGCGCAGCTGGAGAAACTCAGGAGCAAGATGATTGGCAAGCAGACAGTCAAGACCCTGAAGAAGCTCGAGCATGGCCAGGACTACGATGACTTGGAGTCTGGATCGGATGAGAACAATCCGTTCACTGACGAATCGGTAAGCTTACTCGGCGTCTGCCAGGGATGTATATGTAAAGTGACAATCTTATTAACACCTACCAGGCCTCCGAGGAAGAGGACGAGGACAAAGACAAGGAGTCAGAGAAGGAAGACGAGGAGGCCAAGAAGAAGGAGCCGGGAGCCGCAGGGGCCAATAGCAAGGGTAACACCACGCCGTCTGGCAAGCAGAGGGCCGTCGACGCCCTGAAGAAGGGCAAGCTCAAGCGGGCCGGCTCGCCCACCGTCTCAGAGTCTAGTGACAACGAGGCGTTCCGCAAGAAGCTCAAGACGGGCAAGACCTCGGTGCTCCCCAGCCGTGGAGGCACGCCGATCCCCGGCCGCCCCAAGCCGGTGGTTGCGGCTGCAGCTGCGGCTACGGCAATGAGTGACGGCGAGGCTACCGCTGGTGAGGGGTCTGACGGCGGCGCTAAGCTCAAGAAGAAGCTCAAGGTGAAGCCGGGCATGCGTCCCGGGGCTACTCCCTCCGGGTCGCGGGCTGGCAGTCCCGCTCCGGGCGGTACGTTCTCACTTCAAGTTCTATTTGTCCCTTTAAACAATGTGCCCCGTACTAACTTGTCTCCAGCCAACCGACCCGCCAAAGCCGGCGGCGCCACACCTAGCGGCTCGCCACCCCCAGGCCAGGCCGCCGACCGGATCCAGCCGCACGAGATCGCCGCAGCGCTGGCTCCGTACGCTAAGGACGGTATCACGCTGGCGAACCTGATGAAGAAGTTCCCCGGCCGCGTCAATAGGCCCGGCACGGTCACGACATCGGAGTGGCTGCAGATGGTTAGAATTCATGCTGCGTGGGGGGAGGACAAGCTCCTGCGGCCCAAGAACCCGTCTGCGTCGTAGGACGATGATGTGGACGCCATCACAGATTTCGTCTGTGTGTTTTTGTGGGAGGCGGAGCAGTTTTTTGGGCGGTCGCGGTACTGATAGCCGGCTGGCGGGACGAGTGATGACTCGGTTCATTACCTTAGGAGCTTAGGTAACTGAAGTCGCCCACAAAAGAATGAATGGTGACTTGGGCTCGGCGTTCGTTCGGCTAAGTGATGAGGCACACGGGATCTAATCGGGAGATATCATGCTCGGTTGTATGTTTTTAGACAACCACGTGCTACGCGTAGCACGCTGCTTTTAGTGGACTAGCGAAAACATGCACTCTCCCGTCCCCAGCGCTCATGATAAATTGGCAAAAGTGGAACATGAAATCATTCCCCGCGTGACAAATCTGAACGCTTGCGCCTTGACTCAGTAAATATAACAATATGACCAAGCAACCCCTCACTCATCCATCTGCCATGCATACTCCAACCCCTTATCCCGCTCCCGCCGATTCAACGCCTTAAACCGTTCCCCCTCAAACCCATTCCCCCGATCCACCCCATCCCACCGATACCCAGGTCGTATCCCATACCGATTCGGCGCCGCACCCCCTTTATACACCGGTCTCCTCCCCGCCAGGCCTTTCCCTTTCCCTTTGGGTCCCCCTGCCGATGCTGCTACTGCTCCCCCAGACTCCCCACCCAAAAACTCAGCCATAGGATCATTCCACCTCTCAGCCCTCTTCATCTCCTCATTCATCTCCTCATCATCCTTCCCCCGTGCAAGCGGCATCAACGCGGCCTCGTCCAACCTCGCCTTGCGAGCAGCCGCCTCGGCTCTCTGTACCTCGCCACGCTGGAGATGCTTTTTCGCCTGTGCTGCGCGCTCGGCTTCGGCTGCTGCGCGGCGGGCTTCGGCGCGCCGGAGGGAGGCGTCGACGCGTCGGCCGGTGGCGTCGCGGAGGATGATTTCGGGTTCTGTTGCTGTGTTTGAGTCGGTGTTGGCTGCGGCGGCTTTGAGTGCGGCGAGTTCGGCGGCGTCTTGTTGTTGGCGTTTGCGGAGTTGGGCGGTTAAGGAGGAGGCGGATTGGAGGCCGGCGAGGGTGCCGTTGGACATTGGGGGGGTGTTGGCATCATCGTCGGGGGGCTGGAGGTCCTCAGCTGCTTCGGCGGCGGCTGCGGCGGCGGTTTCGGCTGCTGCTGAGGCGATGATGGCTTCTGCTTCTGCTTCTCCTTCGGCTGCAGCACCGGGTTTGGGGGTTGTTGATATTGAGGAGATGGGCGCTCCTCCGAGGGTCTTCCAGCCGGATTTTTTGGTGCGTCGAAAGTCGTTAGTGGTGCCGGCTACTGTAAGGGGCGCATCGTCGTCATCGTCAAAGCCGTTCTTTTGGCCGGACCAGCCTGTGTCGTCGTCGTCGGTGATCAAGAGGCCGGCCGAGGCAGAAGTTGGTTGCTTGCGCTTTCGCTTTTTGGTTGACGATGGTTTGCTGTCGGAGGTGAGGTAGTGTGCGGCCAGGTAGGCCGCTTTGTCGGAGGGCATTATGGGTGATGGGTTGGGCTCTGCGTGAATTGATAGGCGATGGGAGGGGACGTTGTTTCAACAATTGATCTTTTTTCGGTTCGTCGTCGTCCGTCGCGCTACCTGCCATCAAGGTGTCGCGGTTGGTCTGGGCTCAAAATTCATGGGCGATGGAGCCCTATATTGAATGTAACAGTGGAGCCCCACGCTGCCGGTGCCCCACATTGCCATGCGATGGTGGCTCGTGCGCAGGCCGGCAGACCCATGCTTTGCCATGGACGCATCTCTTACTCAACATCTCTCTTTCGTCATCGCTGTCTCGAACTTCATGAGGCACACGGGTTGGGCGCCTCAGAGCCTGCCGAGGAGCTAGAGTATATCAATTCCGGGGATGAGTTGGTGGTGTTGAATTGGAAGGCGGATAACCAGTGGGTCGGCAGGCTGGGCTATTTCAGGTACACGCGCGGCCCATCAGCATTTTGGACCAGATATGATCATCAAGAACCTCAATCAACTGTTGCACTCTTTGCAGCTCCCACAAGTTGCAAAACTGTTTCTGTAAGCACCTCAACCAGTGTGATACTGTGGATACGTGGCTGTTGGACTTCCAATAGGTCGCTACCTGTGTGTCGTGGATGAGAGAAAAGCATTGGAGGATGAATAGTTTGAGATGCTAGAGCCCGACCCTTATCTGGTTCTTGTCTAACTAGTCTAGCCTATCTTGCTCCCTAGTTTAGCCGGTGTCCTTCACTGACCCGCTTGCTTTAGGGTCGGTCGAAAGGTGGCGCCGCCGGTAATCATGAGCACTCAGGTATCATTGCACGGGTGCTAGCCAGCTCATCCTTATCAATTGGCAGCAGCAAGCGCCGCAACAACGCCACCATCTTTCAGCACCACCTGAACCAGTTTCACGACAGCTTGGAGGTTCTCCGGATAAAGCGCGCCCGCGATGGTGCGGCCCATCCAGTTCACGCGCTTCACCTTGAGCGGGTCTGGCGCCTTACTTTGGATCTCAGGCGGCAGGCACTCACGCAGATTGTTATACAAACTGCACGACTTCGCCTCCTCCGTTGCACGCTCGCGCGGCTGGAGCTTCATGCGGCGGTGCATTTCCTCCCTCACCGCGCCAAGCACCTGGAGCAGGACCTGGGACTGGACTGAGGCCTGCACGCCCCTCTTCCGGACCTCCAGGGTTAGGAGGAGCGTGTTCTTGGCTGTCGTTAGTTGGAGCAGCTGCTCTGGTGGTGCACCGCGCGCCCTCGCTGTCAGAATCAATGTCTGGATGTACCCCAGCAGCGCGGTTGGGTCATGGAGCAGGGCCGTACTCTTGAGCACTTCGGTCATCTGGGCCAGGATGAGGATGTCGTCCCGTAGCTCTTCCTGAAGGGCGAGGTACGTGTTGATGGCGTTGAGGAGGGCACCCTCGAGCGTGTTGTTGTTGGTGTTCCAGAGCTTGATTAGGTCCTCAGGCACTACCCACTCCGAGAACTGCTCGACAACTATGATGTGCTGTGCATTCTTGTGTCTTGTCCAGTGGCACCGCCCCTTGCACTGGTCGCACTTATCTCCGGTCATGGCCACACATAACTTTTTTTCTTCGTTGTCGGAGTAGGCGCAGATCTTATGGCATGTCCAATTGCAGTCCAAGCAAAGCGTAGTCGCCTTGCCACCTGGAACGGGCTTTTCGACCGACTTGTCCTGTATGACCAAGATCTTGTCTCCCGGGGCGGCGCCCACAGCGTTCGCGAGGGCATCCAAGCGTGCTATGAGGTTTTGGGCGTCGTTGGCTGTGCGGAGGATCTTCTTCTCAACCAGCTTGCACTTTTGTTCCAGTGTGAGGCGGGTCTTGGTCACAGCAGCACTTTGTGCCGTCGGTACAGGGGGCATGCGCAAGAGCATCTGCATAACCTGGTACTGGCCCTTGACCGACATGAGCCACCAATCACGAAGTTTGTCGACGTTCTGGTTGTCGATTTCGATGGTGAAGGCGGCATTGTTGACCTCCACCTCGCCATTTTGAACAGGCCACTGTAGTTCCTGGAGTGCAGCACGCGCCAGCGGTGCTCCAGCGTCGCTGAAGGTGTAGATGGTGCGGAGACAGCCTTGGACATCCCTGGCGAACAGCGAGAAGACATACGTAGAGACTGGGGAGAGCAACGTGGTGCGCACCTCGTTGGCTCGACATGTGAAGATGATGGCATTGACGTGCCCAATGGTCTTGAAGAACTCGGACATGGCGGCAGTGACGAAGGCATCGCGTTCGACGCCCCTCGTATCGCCATAGCCGGGCGTATCAACGATAAGCAACGTCTTACCCTCGAACAAGGGAGAAAGGGGCCGGATGCGGTAGCAAGTGACGCACTGCGTCACCGCCTGCGCTTGGTTGGCGCCGCGGTCGTCGATGACCATGAGGCGTACTGGGTCGTCTACTTCACCGCCCAGTAGGTATGAGATGAAGGCGTTGATCTCGGTGCTCTTCCCATGGCCACTGGTTCCCGCAAAAACCACCACAATAGTGTTGTCCTGGTCTTGCGTGAGAGCAGCTTCAATCTCGGGCTCAAACTCGGCAGCAACATCGACGATACGGACTGCGAGTTCATCGAGGAAGGGTTCCTGGGTGCTACGCCGCTCGGCCTTGACCGAGAGGCCGAGGAAGAGAGAATCTTTACCGCCTGTTTGGTAGAGTTCCCACGGCGTTGCTCCCCTCCTCTGACACGACAGTCTCTGCTTGTCGTTGAAGTAAAAGTCAATCATCCTGGATGCGACTGAAGGCAACCTAAGTGTGCGGCCCACAGCACACTTGCTTCGGGCCGATGGCCCTACAGGGGTCTCGACGCAAAGCGTGACTTCGTAGTCACAGTCGTCAAGGAGGCTGACTCCCCCGTTGTTGCTTTTATCTATTACCACAGTGGTTGTCTCAGCGTCGCAGAGGATTTCGGTGAAGGCTTCGTTGGGTGTTGCACGAGGAAATGCCCCGTCTTTCAAGGCGTTGGGGAGAGGACGGAAGCGAATGGTGAAGCCGGAAGTCGGGATAGCAAGTTCTTCGGCTTCACTCCGTTCCCGAGACCAAGTCGCTGTGAGAAGTTGATCCTTGATTGCGAGCTTTGGTGCTGCTGGTGCTGTGGGGAGTAAACTAGTGACAATGAGGAGCCTGCCGTCTTGTTGGAGGACGATGTCGCCCGGGATAGTCTTGACCCGCTTCATCTTGCCGCTTCCAGCAACTGGGCGGTACGCCTTTTCAATGCTCGACACTCCAAAGCTGACAGTTGGGGGTGCGAACAAGCGCTGCTGGCGTAGTGCCGCGCAGGCTTCCCTCACGTTGGCGACAGTGCGTTGGTTCTCGAACCATTCGTCCTCCACGTCGTCGTCCTCGTCGTCCTCACTATCGGCAGTGCTCCTACGTGTATCGAAGCTGCCCGACCTGGCAGAATCCAGCGTGGTCGATGCCAGCTCCTTCTGGAGCGGATGCTGATAACGACTTATTGAGGCACCGCCGAACGACAGCAGCAGCCTGGGCGCCTCAGTCTTGGCCAGGGATGTCGTAGTAAAGGGGCCGAGACGATTCTCGAAGCCATCATTCAGCAGAGAGGCAACCGTCTCACCGAGCACCAACTCTTCGGTGAGTTTCTTGGCGATGAACTGCTCGGCGAGTTTGGTGCGCTGCTCGAAGAGAGCAGCAGCCGCTAGGAGCTCGGAGCTTGTGGTGTTGTAATCCGTAGTGCCGTCTCGAAGCTCCGGCAGAATACGGCGCGCCGATGCTGTGAATCCTGTTTTTGCCTCCGCGAAAGCGGCTTGGAAATTTCGAATCTGTTTCTCAATGGCGGGGAAGGAGATGCGAAACACATCTTTCTCAGCGAGATTGGTCAGGGCCGTCCATGCGGTGCTGCCAGCCTTTAGTACCGCAGCCACTTTGGCGACAAGATTGGCATCAATGGCACGGACCTCACGTCTCACGGAACTCTCGAGGTCACTGATGGGTAGGAGCGTATAAGAAAGCGTGTTCAACTGGCGTCCCAGTTTTGTCGGCATTCCGCGGGCAATGACGCGAGCATGCTCCATATCAATGACCTCCTCGGCCATCGCGCCGCTGTAGGAAATCTTGAGGTTTTCGGCGTCGGTCTCACTCTGACTGGCGACGTCAAAGCTCGTGCCAATCCCGACCAGGAAGCTCGCTATGTCGGTTTTGAGTCGACTCGTAACTGTCTTGGCCTCCTCCCTCGAGGAACACGACTGTACGAAGGTGAGCGTGGCACTTCCGCCTTCAACCACCTCGGCAACGAAGTGTGTGAACCGGGGGTCGTCAAGGTTGTGCTGGTGTTGCATCAAGGACAGGGTATTTTGCGGGATGCGGCGTATGCGACGGGCCACCCGGAATGAGACATCGATTCGCGCCTCGTAGATGTTGGTTGTGTTGTCCTTGAGGTACATGGCCCAGCCCGTGGCCTTGGTGATGCCTAAATCCAGATTGAGGCAACCCTCCAAGTCGAGGCCTGCCCAAACACGGGCATCATCCAGGGAAGTGGTGTAAGTGAAATCAGGATCCTGCACCTGCTGGCCCTCGACCTGTTGCTTAGCGTTGATGACGTTGTTGTCCCACAGCGACAAGCCGGCGAAGAACTGCCCGCTGCGGACGTCGTGTAGCATGCCGAGCTGCACGTCTTCGCCGAGTGCAGGCTTAGTCAGAACCATGGTGGAGAGGGACATGTTGGTGGGTTTCTGAGGGTTGCAGCAGGTAGATGGGCGATCAGTGATGCTTCCCGCATCGCCTTGCCCGGGAGGAGGGAAAGATGAGTTGAGAAAGGACGGATCTGGGAATCCGGATTCCGAATGATCACCATCGCTGGGGTTATTGGCTGAGATGGAGGGGGTAGCAGATTGATCCGAGCTCGTCTCTTTGGCGCTGCGTTCATCATCTTCGATAGATGGAATCGGATTGTCCAGGCCAGGCACTCGACTTGGACCGGCATTGTCAGACGCATCGCGGGAAAAGACAACAAGCTTTTCTCTTGTCAATTTCCCAGAATATCTAGTTATGTGGTGTCTGCAACTTCAGAAAAAGGGAGAAACTCTTACTCTTTTGGTCATGATCAAAGATGTTGGTACAAATGGTGTGCCCAGAGTAGGGAAGCAGGTTGGAGCAAATGTTGTAGCCAACAGTCCTAGAATGAAGCTGTAAATGCAATGAAAAAAAAAACCATCTGGGCTGCACAGGATCGTTTGCTTCTTAATTGCAAGACAGAAGCCCTGAGTGTGGGAGGCCTAGAGGCTGGGGGCAGGGCCTGCTTCGCGCAGATTAAGCGCCAACCGACCACACTGTCTCATGGGTATCAAGACTGCCACCTTGCCCCTCCTCTTTACATGGGCACTATCATGTGCACGGCTATTTTTGTTAACTCAGGGGTTGCTACCTGCCCAGGTTGAAGTCGAGGCATCTAACCGAGCGACACGCGACGCTGAATGTATGAAATCGAAACTGGAACGTGCTGTTACTGCAATTTGAGGACAATGGTGGGCTGGCATAAGCGGCTAGACACGAAGAGAAATGCAACACACAAGTCCACAAGGTGAGTTGCAACAGCAGAAACGCTAACGCATCGTCGGGCTGTTGGTTCCAGAGTAGATGCTCCTCCGCAATATGATTGGGCCTCTCGCTCCTGGAAATGCACATCAAGCATGCTTGTCACTACCACCTTAAACCGAGCAGGCTACGCGGAACCAGCCGAGGACCGCAACGGTAAGAGATGTTGGTTGTTGACAGCTTGGTGATCGGCGCGTAATAGGAACGCCAGGCAATCCAGGAAGCAGTTCCTCCGGACGAAGTAACTGGAAAAGGGTAACGTACATGATAAGCGAGTGTGCCACTTTCCACGACCTAACAACACCTATCTATAGTTACATCGGAACAGCTGAATCAGATGATTCCGCAGCCTCCTGACAAGTACGGGCATTATGGCCAGGTTTGCCCCACACACTACGGTATAGCAGTAACGTGCTAGGCCCGAGTCCTTGGCTGAACTTTGCCGAAATCCCACCCCCTAAACGAAGCTATCCCCACATCGCGTGTCTTGACGCGCCTAGGCGCTTATTGAGTGCCTCGTCGGCCTTGCGGAACGAAGACACCTCTACATGCAGAAGAGCCATCTGGTGCACCACAGCCATTTTGCCCTTGGCCAGCTGGTCCACAGCAGTCAACATTGAGGTCGGAGAGCTTTTTTGACGGTTGGCGATACGAGTCTTAGTGAGCGTTGATTACGCGTTGGCTTCCCGGGGTTATATGGTGTCTGGAAAACCCAAGACTGTGCAGTTCCCGGCTGTGAGAGACGAGCAGTATCCATGTAGGCGAGGTGCAAGGGCACTGCTAATACTACTCAATTCTGCTAATCGAAAGCTAAGGTAAGGAAAGAGAAGATCCAAGAAGCGTGTCTGCGCCACGAAAAGGTACTTTGTAAGTGGCTGCCGCGCACACGCCAACCAACCAGGATAAGGGTGCTCGAGGATCGCAAACGCGTTTGGTTGGCTAAAAGCAGGATCTACGACGCGCTGGGGGAGCTCAGTCACAGAAAACGCGACGGTAGATTCACACCAGAGTATAGATAGGAAAACGGCGTTGAAAACCAGAGTTGTGAAAACTGAGTACGAACACGTTCCCAACCGTTTCAATCATCAGAAACCGTCCCGGCACGTGACCCAAGCTCTACTGGATCAGCAATTCGACCCAAGTTGAAAGTAAATCACAAGGTTCAGATTCCCGTTTTCGGCCTCCCCACAATAGCAACATCTCCTTGTCCTAGTTGTTGTTCAAAGGGGGCGGTTTCTTGTCCTCAGAAGCGACCAGTTCTGGACCCTTTTGAGCAGACAGGGAACATTTATAGGCAAAATCTTGCCTTTCGCACGACTGCAATTGATGACTTAGCAATCGCCGGCCCAACGCTCGCCCGAAGTTTTCCCGGCCGAGAACCCTGTTCGCGTTCCCAGAGGGCTAGCTCCTTAACGAATGTAAACAGCGTTGGCTACGAAGGCTGGAAGGCGTCGCCCTTTCTACTTCTTTTACACCTATTAAGTGCCCTTAGTTCGCGCCCCGCACATTCGCGATGGCGGCACATTTTTCAGCACTAGGATCGCGTTTCCGGTTTAGGGACGCGAACCAACTATGTCCGACCCTCGAGTCTCGGTGCTGGCCTGGCTGGCCTTGCTGGCCTAGCTCGCTTATACCGTCGTGCCCCTCCCTCCTCCCCCCTCGAACATCAGAATTCCCCTTCCTCTCTACCTTCTTATCATCCTCTATACTCCTAACGTACTCTTGGCCCACTATGACGGTATAATAATAGTCACGCTTTTCCGATGCGGACTAGGAAGTGTTAAGACGCTCCTCCGGAATTATATGCTTAGTACCGTCGAGGAGGAGAATAATGAGAGGCCCTTTATTACTCCGGATATGGAGGCGGAGTGCGATAGACTAGAGAGCCTTAACGAGAACACGGCGGAGACAGAGGCGCTTGACGAGTGTTATACGGACTCACCAGGGCTCCTCGAGCTGGAGCCCTACGTTGCCGGCGCCCTACATTGCCATGCGATGCTGGCTCGTGCAGGCCCTGTAGTTATCACTATCCTTGTTTGCCAGTTCGTTTCCTACGCTCGTATACGCTCCCGCGCTGACGGCTCCAGCGCATGGTGGTCCGGTCAGACATAGACTCTTTGCTTATTTTGCTATACCAGGCCGCGATAGCACGCTAGACAACCTTGAAGGTCCCCCCCCCTAGACGGTTATAACATATTCGAGATAGTCAGTAAGACCATTGCGCGGTCTATCAATTTCAAGTTGCCCTCAACGTTGAAGATTGGAGTAAATAAATCCACGTCCCTCAGCATCCTTTGCCCTAGGCCCAACCGTCATCCTCATTTCGTAATGTCCGAATTAGACCCCCGGCTCTATACCGTCGTATGGATTGTTCCTCTCGAGATCGAGGCCCGAGACGCCCTGCACATGTTCGACAACATACACCACGGCAGGTTTCCGACGGGTTGAGGTAACGACTACCTTTTCCACGCCGGCGATTTGTGCGGACACAACGTCGTCCTCGCGACTCTGCCTGCGGGTCAAAAACGTGCAGTTGTATTTCTTACCGAGGACGATATCCAATTAAAGACATGACTCCGAGGGGTGATTTGAGGGTATCCTTCTAGTCGAACAACACCTCAGACAAGCGCTTCCTCGCGTCCACCGGATCCCAGTCCACTATGACCCGGTCCTCAGACTCCCTCATCTTGCTCTCCACAAAGGGCTCCATCGCGGCTCCCTCCACGTCCGTCAACAAGTGTACTCTCGTCTTCCACAAGTCCTCTTTCAAAACATCACCCCGCTCGCCAAAAAAACCTCTCATCCAAAAACATCCAATACGCCATGTCGAACGCCCAGCTCTTTCTCGCGCCGTAGCTGAGCCAAAACCGGCCCGTCTCCCAACTCTCCCGCATGTACGTGGACAAGGGAGCGGGTAGAGCATCACGCTGGTCCACGCCCGGGATGCTCTCCTCGGCCCGTTTCATGGCCGCCAGCCACGTCTTCAAGCGCATCTCGTATACCCGCAGCCAGTCATCAATGCCAGACGACCAGGTTTCGGCCAGGTCAAGAAGCAGCCATCAGGGTGGGTCGAGGACGAACTGTGTTGGGTCTGCGTATGCGAACTCCCAGTCGATCACCGCCACCAGCTCATCGGCGTCGCTAAGGAGCATGTTCCCGCACGCAGGTCGTCGCCCCAGAGTCGGAATGCACCAGATCCGGGTGGCGCTGGAGAGAGTGAGCTGCTGGACATCTTGGACGACTGAGCGCTCCAGTTGTCTGCGGCAAACCCAAAGGAAGAGAGCCTGCCCTGCTTGGCCAGCCGTCGGAAGATCTGGCGCGCCACGAACTTGTTTCGACAGTCATTGGCTGACTCCACCGCGTCGTTGTGCTGAAACACGAGCTGCGCGAGGTGCATCTCTGCCAGAGCAACGTACCACTCGTCTGCCGTACTGTACGTCTTGCCCTCGGGCGGCAACACGGCGCGTGGGATGTTGGCGAGTCGAACCATATCGGTCAGTTTGTGGGTGATGGGCCGCCCAGCAATCGAGTAAGAACCCGCCACGTTGCCCTCACCCTCGACCTCGACCAGAGCCCCAATCCGCGGGAAAGTGAGGCGGGAGAGCTGAATGAGACAGGCTGCCGCCTTGCCCCAAAGGCCTTCGAGCGTAGCTTCGTCGATGTCTGGATTAAGGACGTGCGTGACGCTTGGGTCATCGTTGGGGGTGGTCAGCCGAGCTGACATACTCCCGCGGCTCTCCGGGATGTACTGAAGGATGACAAATGGTCCAATCGTGGGGTCCCGGCCGCAAGAGAAGTGCTGGGGGATGGGAATCTGAGTGTTCCCCGCGATGTACCTTGCCGTGGCCGCCTCTTGGACTGTTTTTTCATCCGGAAATTGGACCAGGCTCGGGCAGGGAAGTCGGACCATGACATCGGGCCTGAGGGGATCTCCTGCCAGATGGACTTTGTATAGCATGTTAAAGCCACCGGCGACCAACGGCGGCACGAGGGTTGCCGGTGTTCCCAAGCATTGCTCAGCCAGGCGCTCAACCGCACGGCAGGTGGCTTTGAGACGCATCCGTTTCAGCGGCTTGTCGGAATCTTCGTTATTCTTGTCCCACACAAGAATGTCGAGTTCCTCTTGTCCGTCGTACATTATTCTATGCCGGCCGGTGTCAGCGGTGTGAGCAAGCTAGGGAAGATGCAGATACCGACACGGGTGTTGTCAAAGTTGGTACGGTTAACTTAGAATACCGCGCTTTGGTGCTTTGGTCGGTCGGGGTGCCGGACGTAGTGGTAGTAGTGGTGTTGCGAGGTGTGTTTCAGTTGGAGGCAAGCAGGGTGACCGGGCAGCTCAACAGAGCACGCGTGAATGGGCACTCATCCGCAAGGCACTCAGACAATAGGACGCTCGGCATCAAACACATATTCTCGTCACGCCATCACCTACTCCCGTGGGTTGATCGATGGCCCATTTACTGCACCCAGGAGGGAAGCTGGCCCCTCGTTACTTAAAGACAACTGAGATGCCTGGTATGCGGGCTCTGCGGTAGGTTCTGTATGGCTCATTGTCAGCGACCGTGTCAACTGCTCAAGCGAGTCAAGGCGTCACACAACACTGCATCCGAGCAGGTATTCCTGCAAAGCAACAGCAATGAAGGGTGTGCCAGCAGGGCACAACTCGACCTCATGGTCAACCACTTACCCAGTGTGTGCATTCGAACGTCACAGGTGTGCCATGGAGGTGAACAATGCCGTCGACGCGTCGGCATGCTGCATCGCATCCCCTTGTCGCTCCTGTGGACGCTTTTCTTCATGGAATTCCAGGTTGGCTAAAATGGGCCGCGTGCGGGGTAACAGACTACGATGTCGTCCATTTCAGCTGCATTGATGGCGCAGCACAGCTGTCTTCACCCGCTGAACTGGCGCTAATAACCACCTGAAGTACCTATGGAAATTAGCGCTTGCTCAGGCTCACTTACACTGCTAATTTAAATGCCAGGAGGTCCTCTCAACGGAGTCGTCCCTTCGGACTTCTCGACCTTCATTGAGATTTGCCTTGAATTGATTCCATCTCAACAACCTTTGATATGTCACTATGAATGACACGTGTACATTTCCCGTTTCAACGGCACATCACCCGCAACTTTTACACGCAAAGAATCGAAACCCTCGATATCACCTCGTAACGCCTCAAGCATTGTCCAAGCGAGGTCTCGTGAGATGCTGTGTGATGGCTGTACTACTCAACTATACTATACTACAAGGCTCCGGTACCACGGGTTACAAGGCGTCCTCCCGCCTTCGCCCCGTCCGAGAACCATATAAAGCGATAGTGGCCTCCCCTTGAAACACTCAAACTGAACCGGTTCACGCGATCGATCACCTCTTTCCCAAATGTGGTTACCCCGGCACCTGTACCTTACCTCCTCCAAGCCGTTGTTCACCAACACTTGAGCCATGGCCGTTTACTACCCGTACGCCCCTCTCAACCTCATCGAATCATCCATCCGGGTGCTTCGTATCCAAAAAGGCTGGTGGCCCGACACTATCATCTGCCAGCTATGCGAGTCGTACGCCGACCACGACAAAGGCATCCCCTACCAAGCTCTCTCCTACACCTGGGGCGGCACCCAATACCGACCCAGGCGGGGACTCCCATCAGTACTCGTTGATGGACACGAGATTCCCTTGACCGGGAACCTCTACTGGGCCCTGCGACATATTCGAAAGTCGGACCAGGATGTGGTGCTCTGGGTCGATGCCATTTGTATCAACCAGCGAGATCCAGTGGAGAAAGGCCATCAGGTCAAGTTGATGGGCCATGTGTACAAGGGCGCCGAAGAGGTGATCATATGGTTAGGGCGAGGCGATGATAGAACCGGTTCTCTCTTAGACCTAATCGACTGGGTCGACTGCCGAGCCACCGAAACCCAGGCCATGGGCAACAAAGAACACTGGGCGGGTCTCTGCCGGCGCTTCCTCGAGCAGCGATGGAAAGCCTCACTCACGGAATCCAAAGGGGATCTACCACAGCTTAAGCAGACTCTCGCAGAAGTACTCGCACAACCGTGGTTCCGGCGGGTCTGGATTCTCCAAGAAGTAGCCAACGCACGAACGGCGCGAATCCAATACGGCTTGCACTCCTGCGCGGCCCGCGCCTTTGCCCTGATGCCACAGCTCTTCGGGGTGCGCACCAACACACATGTCCAGGCCATTCTGGACATCATGCCGCGGTTCCGCAAGGGGACATGGTGGTCAAAAGTCCGGCGGCTCGACGTCCTTTTGCACAAATTCGCCGCGAGCGAAGCCCTCATCCCACGGGACAAGATCTACGCCATGCTTAGCATGTCGACCGACGCCTGTGACCCGGACATCTTCTACCCCTGCTACCGGAAGCCGGATGACCAGGTCTACCGAGACACGGGCTTCTTCATGCTCTTTGGCAAAACCAGGGATCCAACCGTCCCATTCCCTCGTCTGGAGCTATCCGACCTGTTAGGCACCAAAAGCCGGGTCGCCGGCCACGTCCTCGCGGCTGCTCTTCAAAAGGTTGGCGGCCCCCGTTGTCCATGGCGCAGCCTGATTAGCAACATTGTCCTCATCCTCAACAATGGCATAGAACGCAAGGACTTTAAACTCAATGGTGTCCTGGCACCACTCGCCAAAATGCCGGGTTGCTGGTACTGCGACAGAGACAGCGATCGCAAAGGGCTCTGTACGGTACATCGCATCGTGCTTCCTGAGGAAAAAGTTGACCACGTTGCGGTCAGTTTCGATCAGGTTGAGGATCGGCTGGTCTTCATGGTGGTTGGAAATTTATTCTGGCCGCCAACGATGCCCGTCGGACCCAACACAGTACTCAAGTGTCCGCGACTGCACGGAGAAGACGAGTATCTGAGTCCTGTTTCTAGCGTCTTCTCGCTTTCCAGCGTCCCCTAGGTGACTAGTTGATCTGAGAAGCGGTAAGATGGGGGAGCTCGGGACAGCAGGGCAGGCAAGAATATGGGGTACATGACTAGGTCCAAGTTAGCCGATGTCTTGGACAACTGGTACAGGACGAAACTGGCAATCTCTCCCCGTGATTCGGGAACTCAAGACGTGGCCTTTACGATGAAGCAGACCGCCATACTCTTTTCCCCACAAACTGTTCCCTTCCACCGCTTTACCCCCTGTCAATCCTCAACAGAGCCAGGGAACTTGCCGGATCGTCAGGGCGTTGGTTTGTTGAGTTGGGGACTGGGAGGTACTGTATTAGGGGAAATAAGAACTACACAGATAAAGAAGAAAAGTAAAGGCCTTGAGTCTTCTATTGTGGGTTTCAAAACTGGTATGTGATTCCAAGCAGGCAGGCTCGAGGGACTCGAACCAAGGAGACTTGTCTTCGACACAAAAGGAAGGAATGACGTGAGGCAGCTGCTCGAGCCCAGTGTGGGTTCCTGCACTGTGCATGTGGCAGCCGCCAGCAGGGCTCCACTCCCACGCTCGCAACTGCACGCCATCTGGGCGGCTGGTGAGCCTTGTCTGGGGAACCCTCCCCCTTCATCATCCACGCCCGGTCTCACACCAACTGCATCCCATACCCCAATCGGGAGATCCGCGCCTCGTTCTTTGCTCGCCAATCGCAGCTCTCGCTGTAGACATGTTCATGATCGTGAGTGAGTTGAAGGAACCCCTCACCATTCGAGAGGCATGTGGATGGCACTATCGCCGGCGTCGTAATTATGCACGGCCGCCTTCCAGGCGCTTCCGGAAAGGCCGGTTCGGTTGTTGTGCTGTGTGATGTGGTGACAGTTTTAATGTCTCGCGTCTCGCCATCTTTCAGCACTCACACACTCAGTCAACATGCAAGGGCCCGTGTTCTGGGCTGGGCCACTGATGCGGGCGAAACCAGCCCACGGGCAAACGACGCGGCCATAGAGTGGCCGACTTGCGACACGGCCGTCACGGTCCCCAAGCCACGACGTGAAAGTTCGGGATGGTGCATCGGGCCAAGGCCTCCAATGGCGGGGGTGGTCTCATGGCTGTTGTGTGTTGCAAGGCAGTATGAGTTCACTCGTTTCCAGTATTTTGCATGAGCGACATGGCGCTTCCCGATGCACAACGTGCGCATGAATCGGGGGTGGGCCAGAGTTGGAGTGCCTGGTGGGAGAGCGGGATTGATGTGCGGGTTGTGGATGCGATGCAGTGCGATGCATCCATGTTGCGGACTCTGCTGCTCATTGTCCGTTCAGTTATCGCCCGGCGCTACCCCGTTATCGTGCTGTTATCGAAGTCGCCTCGGCTTGAGTATGGCAGAGGTACTTCGTACTTGATATAGGACCGACTTCGGGGGAGCTCCAGCTTCCAAAGCCGAACAGCGAGGCACAAGCCAAACGATCAGTGTTGCTATCTGTCGATCGGCTTTGAGTTGGTCTGGAAGAGTTGGCTCGACAATGGCCGTGGATCGGCCTTTGCGGCAACCCGTTTGTTTGGACTCAAAGCCGGGCAAGACAAACGGGTTGCGTAATCACAAGCTTGGAAACAGTTGTGCCATTGTGCTGCTGCGAGAACCTTCCTGGGCCATCTCGTCATCGGCAAGCCGAACAAGGCTCAGCCCGGCTTCGCCAGGGCGACTTGAGGACCTTTCTGGCATGGTCAACAAACCGGACCGGCCAAGAATAGCCATGGATATTCGCTCGTCAAGGTCACCCGCCCAGGTCCTCGCCGCCTCCATCCATCCACTCGCCAGCTGCCAATTCCTCATGTCGTCGTTCTCGTCTGTGACGGGCTGTTGGTCACTCGCCGGGCTCGTCACTTGTCGCTTCCCGGCGGCCGCCCCACTGCACCGGATAAGGTGCCACCCCCCTGCAATCAGCTGCCCCATCCTCCAACATCCCATCATCCTGGCAGTCCCCAGCGGTCTCCCAAAACAAGTCCCAGTCCGATAAGTCCCGTGAGAGTGTTGCTTATAACAACAACCTCCTGTGCCGTTTTCATCTTGTCTCGGATTCTCTTTCCTCTGCAAACTGCAATCTTAACTCAAACTTTTTATCAACTAAACAGTATTTTTTTACCTTTTAACGACTTGTTTGATTAGACCTGCAAGTGACTTAATCCCTGCAGCTCTCATTTCCATCAATCAGCCTCGCTTATCGCCGATTTATCAGTTGAGGACGGTGTCATTCATCCCTGGCGCTTCGCCTTCGCATCTGAGTCACCCGGCCGGCGACCAAAAGAAGCCTACCTTTTTTGTTTGTTTTAAAACACTTCCCTCACACAAAGGGCCATTCCTTTGAGCCCTTCTCATTGTTCACTCACAAGCAACAAAACCAAACGGAGAAACCGGAGTAAGAGTCTCTTTCCGACTCCTTCCGGCTTACACACAGGTCACCTTACACACGGTCACCTGTTCCATCTTGGTCACAACCCTTCTTGAGGAACTCAAGATCCTGGGATCTCTCCCTTTCCGAAATCCAACCTCAACCCCAAATTCAACCTCAGAGTAATCCTTTACCCCAAGTCATCGAAAAAGGCACCCTCCCCAACAGACCTGCCCTCTGGCATTGGCCGACAACCACCAACACCATACTGAAGCATCTTGCCAAGCCCGACCTCAACACCATCACCACCATGACTGAGTCCGCCCAGTTTGAGCGTGATCTCCGCTCTGCCAACAAGGAGTGGCGCCGCGGAAAGGATTCTTCCGTCAAATGGTCTCACGGCAGCCGCAATCTCAGTGGCGTCTACATGTCGCTCTACGGCGACGTCAACCCCAGCGCGCCAGAGCACATGCTCAGCAAGCAACGGCCAGAGAAGCGACACAGTGAACGGTAATTCCCCTTCTCTCACTTACCCACAATATTCCACAATATTGTAAACCAACAAACAAATACTAACGTTACCCCCCTTGTAAAGCAACCACACCCCCAAAACCTCCCAAAACATCGTCAAGGCCCGTTCCGCTTGGGACATGCCAGCCGCGCGGCGACGCGTCCAATCGCACACCCTAACCGAACTCGACGCCGCCATCAAACGCTCCGACCTGCCCTCCCCCAGCGTCGCTCGCACCCGCACCCACTCCCTATCTCTATCCTCCAGCTTCCCTTCGCTCACCCCTGCCCCCGATGCGGGAGTGCTCTACAGCTTCGACCGGACGGATACCCCCGGCCGGCCGCTCACGCTCGAGGTGTTTGTCAAGCCCGGATCCGGGCGGAAGGCAGGTGGTGGTGCTGGCGGAGAGACGGAGAAGTTGGTGGAGAGGGAATATGAGGTGCTGGATGGGAATGGGGAGGCGGTACGAGGACGGAGGGCGAGGGCTGTGTTGAGGAAGGGGGCGAGCGGGAGTGGGAAGGAGAAGGAGGAGGAGGGGAAGGGGAAGGAGGTTGAGGACGGGTTTGAGTTGCTTTGATTGAGTCTATCATCTTCGTACTCGGTCTTCTGCTTTCTACCCACCTACCTACCTACCTAGGTACCTTGCTTCTACTTCCCTTCTCATTCAGCTGCTACCTCGGCCAGCCTCATTTTCCTCCTACACCTACCTCATTTTAACTCCTCTTTTCTCTTTTCCTCTTCTTCCCTTCCTTTTCCTTAGACATCTCGTCGAAGCATTGATAGCATGGGCGTGGCGCGTGTTTGTTTGTATCATCAGCATTACTCTCTCCCTATCATGACTACCATGATGGTCATGATTATGATCCCAGTTCAGGGGGTGGATGATCATCTTGCTGGATGGGAGAGGACACAGACCTCTGTGATTGTTTTTTTTTTTTTTTTCACTTAAAGAGAGGACGGGACCTGGATTCAACCAACTGCCTCACGGCGAAATTAACAGTAACAATAAAGAGGGGCACACACAGGACCCGAACTCTTAGTATTGCGTTTTTTCTTGTCTGTACTTCTCTCTTGCGCGTTCCCTGTGCCTGTTATATCTGCGTTGCTTGTTTAATTGTCGCTAGCATTGCTCGTAGCTGGCATTTCGCGAGGGTAGCAAGCATGAGCTTATAGGAGTATGCTTATTACGAGGGTTATCACCATGTAACGAGGTCTGGCGTAGGACCTGAATAGCATCTTTATTAGTGCAGTAAGAAGACAGACATAGGCAGACGGAATGAAGTACTTCAAGCCGAGTTTTCGATTGACATATGTACGTACATTCCGAGTGATGCGTAATAATGCATACCTCATACTGCTGAAGACAGCAGGTACATGTACCCCACCACAAAAGTAAACCAAACACCAAACAAACAAGACTCCCCGGCTTCCCTTTCGCTGTAAATTTGACAAAAATAGCGGGTATCAATCACCTCATCTTCCTACATCGCACTTACTCTCCGGATCATCCACACATAGACAGAAAGAGGTACGGTAGCGGTCACCCCAAAAACGACCTCCCCATCAACAACTCATAATACGCCCTCTGCTCCGCCTCGCTCCCCAACGACGGATCGAAATCGGCATCGTTGGGTTCGAGTAAAGGTTCCGGGTTCGACCCCATGGTGTGGAAGTCGGCGATGGTTTCGTCTGGGGCGAATCCGAGGGAGGCGAGCGTTTCTGAGGCGCGGATGCCACTGTTGCTGCGGGGTCAGATGCTTTCTTAGTTAGGGAGGGGGGTAATAGGGGGACATACGACCGGGCGGCGTCTCGGGCGACAAGGTCTGAGAGGGAATCCTGGATGGTTTGGGATGGGAGGTTCGTGGTGGTGGTGGTGGTTGGTTTTGTTGGTGTTGTCGTTGGGAGATCGACCCCGAGACCTGATAAGGATTGGCTCTTTAAACTTTTTGATCGTTGATGGTGGTGGTGGTTGTTTATACGTTGTGATTGCGATCGTGCTTGTGACTGTGACGCTCTCCGAGCAGCTGATAACCGAGTAGGTGGTGTCCCAAACACCCCCTCGTCCCCGTCCTCTTCCTCATCATCTTCAACCTCCTGCGACGGCACAGCCACAGCCGGCGCTGCCATCGCACACTCCCCCATCCCATCCGCACCACCAGCCCCCATCATCCCCGGCGGCGGACCATTATGCCCGAAAAAAGCCCGAAACACCGAACTCTCCTGCCATCGCGCTACCAACGCATCCTGCTGTGCCGAGTCCCGGACCGAAGCTACTACAGAACCACTCCCGCCGCCTCCGCGCAGGAGATGCCCCTCGATTAGGGCGTCTAGGCCGGGGATGGCGCCGAGAACGGCTCCCCAGGCGGCGGCGCTCTCTTTGTAGGTGTTGAGGGCGGTGCGGTAGCCCTTTTGTGGGCCGCGGCGTTTGGTTGGGCGCAGGTAGAGGCAGGGCTTGTTGTGCTTGGTGCAGACGCTGCATTTGGGTTTGCCGTTGTCGCAGGGTTGGTGGTTGACGTGGCAGAAGTCGCAGCTGGGAGGGTGAGTGAGTGAGTGGGTGAGAGAGTGAGTGAGAGAGGGAAGGTTTGGAGGTGAGATAGGCGGAAAGACGAGAGTGGGAGTTGAGGGTAAAAGGGAAGAAGTGGTCGGGGGACGTTGAGATATAGACAATTCAGCTTACGCTCGGGATGCCTTCTTCCTCTTGCGGGGATTCGCCGGTGTCTCGTCCGCAGCCTCGATCGGGGAAGTCCCGGGACGAGCGCCTGATGATGGATGATGGCGATGTGAAATGCTGGATTGGGCCGATTGAACGCCAATGGATGGCTCTCCGGCGGCTAGCTCCATTTCAATTTGATTAAGTTGAGGCCCATACAGTGATGAGCGGTCTTGAGATCTAGAGAGCTGAAATGAAATGAAACGCTAATTTGTTGCTGCAATGCGAGTATAACCAAGCCCGCAACCGCACCTCCTTCTAATGACCTGGGCTTTGAGAGTTGGAGAGGGTTGAGCCGAGAGTACAAAAAATTACGGGGCTGTCCTCCACTCGAAGGGAAGTGGGGCGTAACGTAGGAGGGAAGCTGGGTTACGTCAATCACAGGGCCTGGGATCTCTGTAAGATATGCCTAGAAGGGTTGGGGATTTGGAATCTGGATGCCCTGTTTAAAGTTCTCAATCTTGATTTGGAAGAGTTACATTCTGGTACCGTGTATCGGAAACTTATTAATTCTCCGGCTCGAGTTGGGAATGTACTTACAGTAATGACGAAGGCACACTCGATCGTTCTTGCCCTCAAGCCACTGCGCTTTAGGCCCCACTTCCCCCAGATCCAGGCTGCGCGGGGCCGCTGCTCACCCACATGGCGGAGCTCAAGGACAGGGCCTGAGGGTCTACATTTTTCCCGATTGCGACGAATCTGCCGACACCTCGCCGTTGAGGCGGGAACGGCCGATTGGATTCTCATTGCCCTCACAGCTTTGCCTTGATGAATAATTACCACGACACACGGTGGATGCTCATCCTCCGCATCAAAGTAGTGCCAATGCCCGCGCTCTCATTTTTTGTTCCACGCCCAGCATCACCGTCGCAACGCCCGGACTTGGGCCAAAGATCACCGCTATAGTCGCTAGATATTGGCCCGCTATATTCACCTTTCCTGAGGCCTGCGGCCTTTGATCTGCGGGACCAACTCAGCCAATATCTACAATTCTGAACCCTCACAAACGAAAACGGGACCAGGACGGACATGGCTCCCAAAAACGAACGGGTGTTCGAGCCCAATGCCTCTATCGTGCTCGTCGGCTGCCGGGGCGCGGGCAAGCGCACCCTCGGCTTCATGGGCGCTCTCCACCTCCGGCGCCGACTCGTGACAGAGGACCACTATTTCGAGAAAGTCACAGGCTTCTCGCGGGGCCAGTACCTCGCGCGGCACGGGCGGGAGCAGTTCGCGCGGCAGAACATCGAGGTGTTCAAGCGCATGCTAAGCGCCAACCGGCTCGGGTGCGTCATCGAGTGCGGCATGAGCAGTTTGAGCGACGAGGCTCAGGACGCCCTGCGCCAGCTCACGGCCACCAACCCTGTTGTGTACATCCACCGCGAGAAAGAGCAGATCATCCGTCTTCTGGACGCCGCAGATGCCCAGCCGCTGCTGGAGGCCGATGCGAAGCACAGGAGCTGTTCGAATTTTGAGTATTACAACCTCTACGATTCAGGGACCTCTATCTCCCGGCTCGGGGGCGGTGGCACAACCGGGTCAGACGCCGTCGGCTTAGCGGCATGCCGGTCAGGGCCGTCGAAACTGTTGGGCGCGCAGGAGGACTTTACGAGGTTCCTCGACGCGATCATCGGGCGCGGGGCCACTAAGGCGTGGCTGCAAAGCCCCTTTTCCGTCGCGGCCATCCCGCCCGAGTTCCGCTCTGTGTCATTTGCGCTGCGCCTGCGGTTGTCCTACCTAATGGACATGGACCTTGAATGGGAGGACTTTGAGGCCAGGGCCGACTGCATCGAGCTGATTATCGACCACTGGCCCCAGGACATGCTGGAGGTCATCTCGCGGCAGGTGGCGCTGATCAGGCGAAAGCTGCGGGTTCCGATCATCTACCATGTGGAAGAGAACCCGCGCGGAGAACGGCGGCGGTCGCTCGAGGAACGGAACGCCATGGACGCCGAGCTGTTGGAGTTGGGCCTGCGTCTTGGCGTCGAGTATGTCAGCGTCGACCTCCAGCGCGACCCAGCCTTGACAAACTTGGTCCTGCAGCACAAGGGCCGATCGAAGGTGATTGGAAACTACTGGTACATGGGCCTGGGGGCGCTGCCCTGGCAGGACGAGCAGCAGATCGACAACTACCGCAGCGCGCAGGGTCTCGGCTGCGAAGTCGTCCGGATGGGCCGCTTCTGTTCCAACGACAGCCCGGTCGAGTACCTAGAAAGCTACCGGAAGAGCCTCCAGGCTGCCGTACCAGGACCTAAACCACCTCTCGTAGCCTTCGACTTCTCCGTCCTCGGCATCCGCACCCCTATCCAGCCGCGGGTGCTCGCCCCCGTCAAGCACCCGGACATGGAAAACGACCGCGACCACCTCGCAACCGTCTCCAACGCCGCCCACAGCCTCGAACTCCTCTTCCGCCAGTTCCTCCTCGACCCACTACAATACTACGTCCTCGGCTCGCACGTCTCCTACTCCCTCTCCCCGGCCATGCACGCCGCCGCCTACGACTTCACCGGCATGCCGCACACCTTCCAAGCCGTCGCCTGCTCCACCCTCGAGTCTATCAACCAGATCTGCTCCTCGGACACCTTCGGTGGCGCCTGTCTCACGGCCCCCTTCAAGGTCGCCATCATCCCCCACCTGAAACTCAAATCCCACCACGCCTCTGCCATCGGCGCCGTCAACGTCCTCTTGCCCTTACGCGGCAGCACACCCGCGATCCTCGAACACGCCAACGCCCGCAATCGCGCCGGGCCAGCCCACGAGTTCTACGGCGACAACACCGACTGGAGTGCGATACTCACCTGCCTGCGCCGCGCTATCAGCCCGCGGAATTACGTCCAGCCCTCGCGGACGACAGCGCTGGTCGTTGGAGCCGGTGGCATGGCGCGTGCGGCTATCTACGCGCTGTACCAGCTCGGATGCCGGAATGTTTTTATCTACAACCGGACTGTGGAGCGCGCAAGGGAGGTGGCGGGGCATTTTAACGCGTGGGCTGCCCAGGGTCAGAGTCAATCTGGGGGACCACAGACTGAACCGGCCAAGGAGGTGTGCAGGGTGGTTTTGTCGCTGGCGGATCCGTGGCCGAAGGGGTTTCAGTTGCCGACTGTGGTGGTGTCGTGTGTGCCGGCGACGAGGGGGGCGGATGGGAGTCCGCCCGCGGATTTTGTAATGCCGTCGGGGTGGTTGGGGAGTCCCACTGGGGGGGTTGTTGTTGAGGTACGTTTTTCTCTCCTATCTTTTTTTCCCGTTTCCTTTGTTTTTTCTTTTGTTCTTTGTCGGGTTTCCTCACCCCCTCCGCATGCACATCCTATACTAACACCCCCAGCTTGCCTACGAACCCCTCATCACCCCCCTCGTAGCCCAAATGCGCCAGCGAACAACAACATCATCATCCCCACTACCATCATTACCACCAACAACCACAACCGCAGGCACAACAACACCCGGCCCCCACAACGAGAGTACAACCCCCAACAGCACAGCCGATACCACAGCAGCATTACCCAACCCCCCATGGGTCGTGGTCGACGGCCTCGAAGTGGTAGCCGAAATGGCCATCGAGGCGTTTGAGCTGATGACCGGGCGGATGGCGCCGAAGAGGTTGATGAAAGAGGTGTGTCGGAAGACGTGGGAGGGGCAGCAGCAGCAGCAGCAGCAGCAGCAACAGCAACAGCAACAGCAGCATAAACAGGAGGGGGGAGAGGGAGGGTTTGAGGGGGGGCAGGGGCAGGGATGGGTTTATGTGTGAGGAGGTGAAGTGGATTAACATTGGTTTGAGGTAGAGGGTGAAGGGGGGATATGAGGGCAATGGTATGGTTTGGATACCCTGTTTCGTGGTGGGTTAAGGGGGGTATAAAGGATTGAGTAGGGATGTATGGGTGTATATTTTGTGATTTGAGAACGGTTATTACAAATATATCCTGGGGCATTGAACAGTGTCATCAATGAACCATCAATTACAACGTTGACTGGAATTCTTCTACACAATGATAGGCAGCTTCGTGAGATGAACCATTCCTGTGAAAATTCGGTATTGCTAAATCATACCAGAGAGAAGCGTAAAACATACATAGTCATAATACATAAACCATCCCCTCCGCTAACACAGACAAATACACTCAAATACGCCCAATACAGCCCAGTCGGAATCCACAACCCCAACCCAACTAAACGCCATCGTCCCTCGTTAGTTTCAACATTTCCGTATCGTTCCCGTCTCTTTCAGCAAAAAAAAAAATAAATAATAAAAAAAAAATTAAAAAAAAAATGCCGAAGTAAACACCTCTTAACTTACAACTCGACCTACCCAAACCTACCACACTTTCTCCAGCTCCTATTCCATTCCAACCGTTTGCCATTTCAATCGTTTCTCATACACCGTCCCATACCCCCATCTCATACAACCATCTCATGACCGTCATACAACCATTTCAATACAACCATCCCATCCGATCATGACATTCCCCCCAAACACCCCCCCATAATAAAATTCCTAGTTGATGAGTTGATGAGCAATTCACTCACGGCCCCCGGCCCTCCGCCTTCCTCCCCTCCCGAATTAACCACCCCCCAGCCCTGCGAATCCGTCCTTCGACCCAGCCTAGGTCCCAGCCTACTCGTTCTAGCGAGGCGACTTCGGCATGGGTGAGCATTTGGATTATTTCTGGGTGTTGTTGATGATGCTGGTCGTGTGAGTGTGGATGCTGGGTATGGGGTGGGTGTGGGTGCTGTTGGGGATGCTGGGCATGTAGTGGGTGTCGGTTTTGTGAGGCCTGGCGTTGTGGGATTCGACGTTGGGGGTGCAGGTGATGGGGTTGCCTTGGCTGTTGGTATTGGTGTTGTGAATGCTGCAGCAAGTGCTGTGAGTTCAGGTGATGTTGTTGACCTTGATGTTGGTATTGTTGCGTATGCCCGTATCTCCCTCTCCCTCTCATCAACCCCCTCCCTCTCCCTCTTCCACCTCCTCGTTCACTTCCTCTTCCCGGTACTCCCACAATATAACTACTCCCCCCACCATCCGCACTACTAACCCACCCACCCCTCTGCGCAGCCCACACCCGCTGACTCAAATCCACCAAACACGCATGCGCCAACGCTGTAACGCCCCGTCCATTCCCTTTCGCCCCTGTATTCCCCCCTGAATTCCCATTCCCACTCAACCCGAGGTTAATATCCCCCACCCCTCTATTCATATCACCTCCCCCCGACGCCCAGATCCGCAAGAGTGTGAGCACGGCTTCGGTGGCTGGCCAGTTGCCGGGGCCGAGCTGGTGAGAGGTGAGGGCTAGGAGAAGGGCGATGCGGTTGAGGGGTTGGGTGGGGTCGTAGGTGTAGAGGGAGGTGGGCCGGGGGGGTTGTGTTGGGGTAAGTGTGCGTAGGGCTGTGGGTGAGGGGGAGGGTGATGGTGAGGGCTGCTGTTGTTGTGGTTGTTGGGAGGGTGGTGATGTGGGTTGGGTTATGGGGGATAGTTGGTCTATGGGGGAGGGGGTAGGTGGGCTGGGAGTTGGAGTTGAAGGATATGGAGGGAGGGAATGAGATGGTGGTTGGACTGCGGGGGACATGGACGCTTGGTGTTGTTGTGGTGGTGTGACCGGGGGAAGAGGGGGTAGGGTTTTGGTGGATAACGACCGAGTTACTCGTTTTGATGCTGTGACTGCTGTTGCAGCAGGTTGGACTGGAATGGGCGCTGGCGAGGTTCGACCATCAGAGTCCGAGTCCGACTCGGGAACCAACGTAATGGTAGGCGGGATATGGGCGTTGGGATTCGGACTGGGCGAAGCCGTGGGCGGGCGGTCTGGAAAGGAGATTCGGTGGTGGTTTAGGGACGAAAGAGGGGGCAACTAATCATGTCAGTGAGTAGAAATCGTAAGTAACAGGAGAGCCATACCTGAGGAGGAGTATCACTCGATGCGGTAATGAACGACGCCTTTTCCGACTCGGGCGGGGCATATTGGCGTCGAGGATAGACAAGAACAACCGCCAAAGCGAGGTCCAGGAGACTAAAAGGTCAGTTTCGTTCGCTACTACATTAACACGGCAAGCACTTACATGCTCAAAGAGGTCGTAGCAGACCCGACTTTGGCCCAGGCTGACACCGTCCTAGTCGCGTCTTCAGGGTGCCGGTTGACCATGTGCACCCGCCGTGCGAAGAAGGCCAAGGGAATACAGAGCAGGCCGGTGCATACCACGAGGCCAAACAGCGTCACATACAGATGAAGACGGTGGCCGCGGGCCCGTGAGGAGTAGAAGAGGGCGAGTAGGGGGTGTAAGATGGTCTGGATGGGCCGTTAGCTAGTGTTACACCACCACACTCAAAACAACTTACCACAGCAATCGCCACAGCAGACGGCGCTGCGTGAACGCTGAAGCTGAGAATCGAAGCCGAGATGGTCACCACAGCCAAGGGGACTTGGATGAGAAGGAGGACGAGAAACGTCCGGGACAGATGCGTCCTATCCGTCGACATGGTCACTCATGGTAGGATCGGATCCAAACTGAGGGAAGAATCATGGATTGTAACTATCATCACCATCCAGAGAAGGAAAAAGAAAAATGGACCATAGAAAAGAAAAAACTCGCCCCCAACCACAAGCACGACGACCACAACGACGGCCATCCCGGAACCGCCGTCGGTATCATGACACAGTCGCGCGCTTGGACACTCGACATCAGACGACAGCAAGCAGACCGACAGCAGACAGCAAGCAGCCAAGCAAAAAAGTTCAAGACTAGGGGTCTGCACTTCCTTCCGAGTCGTTGACAACCCAAAAGAGACCCCCAAATGATCCCAAAAGGACCACAAAAAAAACCCAAAAAGACCACACGAGGTCCCCAAACGAGACCGAGGACCACAAATCGAACAAGCTCAGAGACAAGACGAAACAAACGGCGTGCTTCCAGACCTGCAAGTGGTCTGCGGCAGCCGTGGTGTCCTCGGCGGCAGCGCTGCAGCCGCAAGGGGCATGCCTGTTTTGATAGGGCGACGGGCGCGGAGGCGAGACGCAGGGAGTGAGACATCTAGAAACGTTAGTGGGGAACTGAATTCGTGAGTGTACAAAGTCATGAGGCATATCGGAGAATTTCTTGGAAGGATTGCAAAGGGATAGAAAAGGAGAGAAATATCCCTCAGAGGGCTCAAATGGTTTGTTGTATTTGATAGGCGATTTAAACTCATCAGGAAATGCCAATATCTATCAGCGAGAGGTGTCGAGTGGCTGTTGAAACTGCTGTTCGACGAATGAATGGTTGGATGAAAGCAACTCAAGGAAGCTGCTCAGAAAGAACCGCTGGAACAGTTGCCAGCAGCTGTCAGCAGATGTGCGAAGGAAGAGCGCTCTTAACTCCACCGACATTTCTTGGCGTTCTGCCTTCCATGTCACGTGCATGTCTCTTCCACCAACTCGGTCTCTCTTTCACCATTCGCAGGTTCGCTCATCAACTATGTCGTCAACGCGGGCAAGAAACCACCCGCAGTCTAAATAGAGTTTCGCACCGGCGGCCTCCCAAACGCTGACGTCCCAACGCTGACGACGACAACGGAAATTGACCGCGAGGCTGAACGGGTCGACCTGGCGAACACGGCGCTCTGATTGGCCAGTATGCGCTGAACCCAACCCTTTTGGCCTATCTCGGCTTCGCTGGTGCCGGCTGGCAGGGCTGGTCCGTCTACTGTTTGCGCGGTCCGGCGGTGCTGCGCCACGGGCGAGCAGTGCAGCGTTGCAGTGGTGGGGGGGTGCGAGACGGCAGTGGGTGTCAGCGGCTGAGGTCGTCGTCGTCGTCTTTTTTCCTTTTTCATGACAACATTGACTCTATGCAAGCGCGAGCTGTTGGTTTATTTGTCTGTCCGCGCAATTGACCGAGTCGGCTGTTTCTGTGATTTTCTCTCTTAGCTGAACCAAATTAATTAGCTAAACTTACTTGGACGGAGTTCAAAACTCACACGTCACAACTCAGTTTCGGACCGAGGCTCATCATCACCACCCTCAACACTTCAAAAACTTCAAAACTTAAACTTCAGTATGGACCCCGACCAGGCCGCCGCCGAGGAAAAGGCGCGCATCCGGCGTCACCTCCAGCAGAATTCTTCACAAAACCGCGACCCGGCATCCGGGAGCAACACGGTGCCCATGACCGAAGAGGAAGAGGACACCCTGAGCCAGCACTCGCCCGTGTACTCACCCCCTCTGGTCCAGCAAACCTCCGGACCGGTCCCTTCGGCAGCGGCATCCTACCCCCGCCAACCGACCCCCCCACCGTACTCCGGCCCAACAACTTCCGCCCAGCACCCACTCCCCCCTCTCGACTCCGACCCGGGCAACCCCAAACCACCCCCGCGGTACCCCGGCCTCCCCGCGCTCGACTACCGCCTCTACAAACCCCCCCACTTCGACCTCTCGGCCGATAAAACCACCACCAAAACCACCTCCGCCCACCTCTCCAGCTCGGCCGAAGCCCTAGCCGCGCTCATCCGGCAACAAGCCACCATCCCCCCCAAGCCGCAGGTCCACATCACTGGCCAGCGCGGCGGCCCAGGTGGCGGACGCATCGACTTCGCCATCAAACTTAACCTCCTCCCTCTCCTCGTCCCCGCCGACCCGCGCCAGCGTATGGACTACCTCCGCTGTGTCAGCGCCGGCGAACTGGCGTACCGCGGCGGGACCAAACCCACTACCGCCAACCCCCCACCAGCTAACACCCCTTCCTCCACCGGCGGCAGCAGTAGCAGTACCGCTCCCCCCACCGTCACCACCACCAGCAGCGCAGCAGCAGCAGACGAAGAACCCTCCCTCGACGCCTGGGCAGCCCGCTACATAGCCGACACAGCCAGCGTCAAATCCTTCACCCTCGAACGCACAGTCGTCAACCTAGACGTAGACTGGCTGGAAGGACAAATCCGCACTCTTGTCGCTGCCCTCCGATACCCGGGCACCGTGACGGTCGCATTCCCCATCACACATGCCCGCGTGGTCGTGCAGAACCCGGATCGGGTGAATAAGTTTATTACGAGTGTCACGAGCTTTTTTGCGGGGAAACAGAGGTATGAGGTTGTCAAGGCTGTGTGGCCGTTTGCGACGGTGCCTAAGGGGAGTGAGATATCAGGGGGGAATGGGAATGGGAATGGGCATGGAGGGGGGAGGAGGTGTGCGGTGCAGAGTGAGGAGGTTTGGTGGCGCGAGTGGAGGGGGCCGATTCGGCATGGTGAGTTTTGTCTTTTTCTCGGTTTTTTTTTAGCTATGGTTGATTACGATGCTAACTCGGATTTGTAGCCATTGCGGCTAAACGACAGGGTTGGGTCACTAATGAGGACAAATTGGAGGCGCTGATGGAGGGCTCGGCCGGGCCGGCGAGCGTGAATTGGGAGCAAGATTATTAGTTCTGCTCAAGGGGGTTTCTCTGTGTTTGTTTACTTGGGTTTTTGTTTCTTTAGATTTTGGTCATATAGCGTTGGCGTTTTGATGATGGCTTGATAACGTATGGTTGGACGCGGTTGGTAATTTAGGTGGTCAGGGTTAGGGTATGATACGCAAGGGATGCTTGATGTGTATTGTTGAATTTTACGTGTATTTTTCACAGTCCGTTCGCGACTTCCTCGCTCAGCTTGGAACTCACTTTTGTTTTCTTCTTTTCGCTTTGCCAATTACACTCACTCCTCTCAGACCTTGTCAATGCATTCCGATCATTCGCCATGCATTCCTCCTCCAGTCCCCGTAAGATTCATCGATGTGTCACTCACTCCTCCGGTCAATGCCCTTAAGTTAATTATGAGCACTGCTTTTGCTGTTCAGCCCCGGCCGTGCTGGCATGAGTCACCCGGCATAGGTGGCTGTGGGACGATTGAATTGCGGGGAGCTCAGCCGCAGTGCTGCAATGCTGCAGTGCTGCTTCAGTGGGTTCTGTGTGGGGAAGATGCTGTGCCTAGGTGGATTGGGCCTTGACGGGCTGATGTTTCAAGGATGCTGGAACCGGTGGGTTAAAGATGGGATGGAGGATTAGGTGGGATTGTATATAAAATATGATATCGGTTGGGCTGGCTCTTGTTTGGGCTTTTGGATTTGGGTTATTCGAGTTTGTGACGTTTTTGACCATTGCATCGCGTTCATTGCATCGAATTGTTTTCTATTACCTCGCATCTCGATTTACACATTTACAGCGGAGCTCACCACTCAGCTCAACTTCCAACGAGAGGATCTCTAACCTCTAACGACAAGACACCTCCTCAACAACAACACCATTCAAATAACAGAGACACCGATAGTTAACCACCATGGCGGGACCAACCTCTACTCCCTCCCCAGCCGTGGAACCATCCCCACCTACTTCTCAACCATCTCTCTCTCAACTACCACACCGACCAAACACTACGTCTCAGGCTCAGACTCCGTCACAGACACCACTAGCATTGACATCCCCCCAAACAGCCCTCGCGCTCATCCCACCCCAGCACCTCTGGCCACGCCTGGACCGTCTCCGAGCCTTGTACGACCGGGCGTACCCAGCCTGGCCGCCCCATGTAAATGTCGTCTACCCGTTTGTACGGGCTGTGGAGCTTGAGGATGCAGTTGCGCGGGTAGCCGGGGTTCTTGAAGCATCTTTCCCTACCACGTCTTCGGGTGGTTCTGAGGGGGCCACTGCTGTGGAAAGTGGAAGTGAAAGCGCAAGCGGCAAGGGTCTAAACATATCCCTCGACAGCGTAGGCGTCTTCGAGCGCCCCGGCAAAGGCCGAGAGAACACGCTATATCTCCACGACCAACATCAAAACACGGCCAACTCCGGTTCAGCCCTCGGTCGGCTGCGACGTCTGATCCTCTCCGCCCTAGGCAACGATACCTCCTCGGACGGTAACGCCCATAATAACAAAGGAGAGAAACAGTATCGCATGCACCTGACTATGGGGCAGACGGACGACGCGACGAGTAGTGCACACCGGTTTTTGGTGGATAAGATTGGGCTGGTGCCAAGGGTAACATGGCGTGCGACGCAGCTGGCGGTTCTGGTGCGGGAGCAGGATGGGAAGGGGGGGAGTGTGATGCGGTTGTGGGGGACGGTTGGGTTGAATGGGGGGGTGAGCAGGGTTCAGGAGGGGGAGAGTGTGTTTTACCCTTTGAATGCTGCTGCTGCCGTTGCTTCTCCTGGTGAGGGCGGAAAGGAAGCAGACGAAACGGAAACGGAAACGGAAACGGAACCGTCCGCAGCAGCAAAGGACACGCTGCAAACCCGCGCTGTATATCACACCGGTACTTCACCAACTCCCAGGACAGCCCCCAACAACATCCTCACCATAGCAAGTTACAACGTCCTCGCCGAATTCCACCACCCGCCCTCTTCGGCCCGCCACCCTCTCCTCCTCGACAATCTCTTATCTTCCAACGCGGACATCCTCCTCCTGCAAGAAGTCACCGACGCCTTTCTGTCAACCCTCCTCTCCGACCCGCGCATCCGCACCCGCTACCCCTTCGCCAGCCACGGCCCGCCTTCTGAACCCAACACCGAGCCGCTGCCAAGTCACCTCAACGTTGTCGTGCTGAGCGCGGTAGAATTTGACTGGGAGTATGTCTCGCTATGGAGACGACACAAAGGGGCCGTCGTTGCACGGGTCAACCTCAACACCAACACCAACGGCGAGAACCCCCAATCCGTAATAATCGCAGCCCTCCACCTCAACCACGGCCTAACCGACGGCGCCGTCACTGTCCAACGCGGCGATCTCAAACGGCTAGTCGGCTACCTTCGCGCGACCTACCCGGGCCAGCCGTGGGTGCTGGCGGGGGATTTTAATATCTCGACGTCGAGCGTGTCGATCGGCACGGCGGTGAAGAAGGGCACGTTGTCGGAGGTGTCGAGGGGGTATTTGGAGGGTTTGGAGGAGTGGTTGGGGGAGGAGGGTGAGGGGGGGTTTGTGGATGCTTGGGGGGTTTCTGCGAAGGGTGGTAGTGAGGATGAGGAGGATGAGGATATTGCTAAAGGAGAAGAGGGCGCGACGTGGGACCCGACACGTAATGCATTGGCTGCGGCTATGGCTGCGAGCGGGGGAAACGTGCGGCCGCAGCGGTATGATCGGATTTTGGTGCGTGGTGAGGGGGTGCTCGAGGTGGAGGGGTTTAGCATGTTTGGGTTTCGGACGGGGATTGATGAAAAGGGGGAGCCGATGTATGCCAGTGACCACTGGGGGGTTCGGTGTACTTTGAAGGTTGGCGGTCAAGACAAAGCCGAGGAGGAAGTTGAGGAGGAAGAGGAAGAGGAGGAGGAGGAGGAGGAGGAGGAGATATCCGAGAAAATCGCCCGCCTCGTCGTCCCTGTGGACCTCCAACACGCCCCTTCACCCCTCGCATACCCGAACAGCATCCACAACGCCCTGCTCGCAGCGAACATCATCCCGACACCGGACGACTACGCCAACCGCGAGAAAGCTCTCGACTTTCTCCGGCGCGTGCTCCTCGACTCTGATTCCCAGGGCAAAGGGGAATCCACGGAAACCGCCCGCGGCCAACCGACCGTTGTCGTCGTCCCCGTCGGGTCTTATGCTCTCGACGTGTGGACGCCCACCTCGGATATGGACGTCCTCTGCATCGGCCCGTTCAGCACCCGCACCTTTTTCGCCCTGGCCTCGCAGCGTATCCGTCGGGCCGCTGCTGCTTCCTCAAAAAAGAACAACCCTGAAAAAGAAACCGACACCATCCGCATCCTCCGCCGCGTCCGCGCGAACCACGGCACAATGCTCGAGCTAGAAGTCAACCACATCAAAATGGACCTGCAATACTGCCCAGCCACTGCCGTCGCCGAACGCTGGCCGTCCGTCCTCAAAACCCCACCCTCCGACCCCGTCTGGTCGCTGTCGGCCCCGACGCTGTCCAAACTCAAAGCCGCCCGCGACGCCGACTACATCCTGCGCTCGGTGCCGGATATTACCGTCTTCCGCACGGCGCACCGCTTCCTTAGGGCATGGGCTGTCGCTAGGGGTATGTACGCGGCAAGGTTTGGGTTTTGGAGTGGGATTCAACTGTCGATTCTGCTGGCGAGGGTGTATAAGCTTGTTTCTCAGGATCCGGATAAGTCCCAAGATACGGCCATATCAGCAGAAGACCTAGTAACAACCTTCATCCACCACTACGCCACCTTCGACTGGCCCACCCAACTCGCCTTCGACCCGCTCTTTCACCGCCAACGTCTGCCATACACCCGCATACCCTCGCGCGAGCCGATGGCTGTGCTGGGGTATTTCCCACCCGCCTTAAACACCGCGCAAGCGGCCTCGGTACCGTCGGTGCGGACGTTAGTCACCGAACTACAACACGCCCGCGATACCCTGTCTCTTCCCCCCTCTCTACCCTCCGAAGGGTCTGGGTCAGCGACGTGGACCTCCCTCCTAACACCAACAACTACCTTCCTCACCGCCCACAAATCCTACGTCCGCCTCGACGCGCAGTACTGGGGTCTCCCCCCCACGCGTGGCGCCCGCTTCCTTGGCTGGCTAGAGTCGCGCTGTGTCGGGTTGCTGGTGGATATGCACCGGCGTGCGCCGGGTGTGCATGCGCGCATGTGGCCGGGGCGGTTCGTCGTTTCTGAGCCGTCCCCTCAAGAAGACCAGAACCCCGAGGGTGATGAGATGGAAGGGGAAGGGGAGACTAGTAGTAGTAGAGACTTCCGCGGGTGCTATCTCATCGGGCTAGACAAAGCCGACCCCGAGAAAACAAGCAGGGAGGAATTGCAGGTTGCGCTCGGCGCGCTGCAGACAGTGCTGGCGCGGTTTGAGGCGCAGATGCGCGGGGATGAGAAGTATTTTGATGCGGGGCATTGTTGGGTTGGTGCTGCGGTGGTGAGTCGGGCGGAACTGGGGGGGTTGGAGGTGGATAAGAAGGAGATGGGGGGGTATACGGCTGGGGAGGAGGAGGAGGAGGATGAGGAGGAGGAGGAAGAGGAAGTGGTGGTTGGGATTATCCCCGGTCAAGAATCGGGAGAAGACACGGATCACCCCAAGCCCAGGAACAACAAAAACAAGAAAAACAAACAACACGAGAAACCTACCCCCATCGACCTCCGGGCGGACAAAACTCGCAAGTTCCGCACCGCCGCCGACGCTCTGCACCGCATCCGCTGGGATCCCCATCTGGACCGCACCGACTACTTGGTCGGGTACGAGGACCGGTTTTTGGGTGCACAGGAAAAAGACCTTGAGGGTTGGAAGACGGAACAGACGGACGAGGAGTTTATCCCGCAGCATAGGATTTTGTATTTCCGGAGGAAGAGCGATGGGCGAGTGGTGTGGGATCGCAGGACGAGGTGGGATGAGTTGTTTGGGAATGTTTAGTCTTTACCGTACTGTACATACGTACCTTGGGGGAGGGTTGGTCTTCGAATAAATAGGGGGAAAGGAGAAAGTAGGGTTAGGGTTAGATACGTGAATAAACCACTGACTCTCCTGAATGACACAACTCTCACAACTCCCCGTCTTTCTTCTCCCTTACCAACGCATACTCCATCTCCCACCTCGCCCCAATATCCGCCCTCTCCTTCTCTACCGGCCTCTCCCACCCCCCCAAAACATCCACTACCGACCTGCCCCCCATTCCCAACCCTCCACTCACACCCCTTTCACCATCCCCTTCACCATCACCGTCCAGCTCACCCTCCTCCCGCGGCTTAACCAACACCCCCTCTGGCACCTCCCTCCCCAAAATCCCCCACAACCTCTTCTCCTCGCGGTACGCCGCCCGCATATCCAGCCGGTCGGCATACGCTTCCTGCGCATGCTCAACACGGATGCGGTTGCGCAGGGTGGTGCGGGGTTTACCAGTGGTTGGGTAATCCAAGGCTGAGTGTATGAGGGCTTCGTTGAGTTCGAGGGTTATTCTTTCGGAGTCTTTTTCTATTTTCTCTGGGGGTTTGTCCATGGGTTTGGTGTGTGTAGGGTTCGGGTTGGGGTTAGGGTTGCCTAGGTCGATGGAGCCTGTGTCGGTGTCGGAGTTGAAGTCGGTGTTGGGTTCTGTGGTGAGGTCTGTTTCCATGTTTATGTTTATGTCGGTGTCCATGTCCATGGCTTCGTCGGAGGAGTACAGATCCATGTCCTCCTCGGCTGGGTCGTGGTCTTCCACCTCCATCCCCAGCGCCCGTTCTACCTCGTCATACGACAATATCTCTTCTCCCTCTCCTACTTCCTCTTCCCGTTCCTCCCCCATTCTCTCTCTCTCTTCTTCCACATCCCTAACGACCCCCAAACGTAACCTCCTCGCACAACCCCCCCAAAACCGCCTCCTATCTCCCGCACCACCCCCCAACCCAACCGACAACGCAGCCGCCCGTACATCCTCCTTCCACACCCGATTTCGCGCGTCCGGATATAACCCCCGGCGCGTACGAACCCGCGACTCGGCCACCCACACCGTGGCTGCCACCAGCCGGCGGGTTATTTCCACGGTAAGCGAGTATAAGTCGGCTAGGGCAGTGGCGCGTATACTGGGGGTTTCTCCGGCGTTGTCTGTTGGGGCTGTGGCCCAGTTGTATTCTTCGACGGTCGAGTTCATGAATACGCGTTCGCTTAGCTGTAGCCAGATGCCGATGCGGAAGAGCTCGAGGGGGGGGGTTAGGCTGGGGGGGAGAGCTGGGGGTTTGTTTGAGGAGCCTGCTGCTGATAAACCTGTCGAGGAACCAGTTGAAGAACGCACCGCACCCTCCGCGGCCCGTACATTCCACCCCCCAATCAACCAATACTCCTCTCCCCACCGCCGCTTCTCAATCCCCTCTTCATACGTCTCCTGCCGTGTCGACAGGGCATCAGCCGCCTCTTCCAGAGCGGCACAGCACGCCGGGCTGAGCTCGATGGCGGCTGGTAAGTCCGCGGGGAGGACGGGCTGTAGTCCCTTTTCTTTTTCCTTCTCTTTTTCAGGACCAGGGACAGTGCCAAATTCGGAAGAAGACACGGCACCCCGCAACAAATCCCAATAAGCCCCCACCTCCAAAGCACTCTTCTTTGACCCCCCGCCCAATCCCATCCGTTCCGCAATCGCAGCTGCCTTGTCCATGCCCCCCACATCACCATCGCCAGCTCGTATCCCACCCCCCACACGCGCGAGAGCCTCGAAGAATAACACCTTCTCTGCCTCGCTCCAGTGTGTCAGTCCCACTTGGGACGGACCTAACCCTGACCCTGACCCTGTGTGGGAGGTGTACTCGTCGTTTCGCGGACGGCCGGGGCCTGGTCGGTGGCTTGATGGGTTGCGGCGGCGGCTACGGGGACGTGGATGGGTTGTGGCTGGGTCGGTGTCGTCATCGTGGGCTGTTGCTGTCGTTGTTGCTGGTGTGGTTGGAGGGGCGTTCACATCCCAATCATACGGCGCAAACCGCTGCGCAGCATCGATGATATCCCCGTTCAGCAGCGCCAGATAGGCATAGCTCACGGGCGCGGTGGGCCTGTGGCGTTTGCGCGGGTGTTGGGGGGGTGGGCTGGTCAAGTTAGGGTTGGAGTCGTAGTCGTAGTCCTCATTATCCTCATCAGAAAATTCATCTCGATCAAGGCGGGCGCGTTTGCGCGGAGAACCGGGCCACGGTTGAGATGGGGTTGGCGGGACGGTGCTGAATGGGGAGGCTGAGATGGAACGGCGGGGGTTGGTTTGGAGTTTGAGTTTGAGTTTGAGTTGGGATTGGCGTTTGGGTGTGGATTGGTTGGAGGCTGGTTTGGAGCGTGGCCGGGGGGCTTCTTCTTCGGATGCGCTGGATGGCGGGCTGTAGTGGCTGCCGGCTGAGGAGACTGAGTTTCGTCGGTGTGGGTTTGGGGGACTGTTTATGTCGTTGTCCTGTTCTTCTTCCTCTTCCTGTTCTTGTTCCCCCTCGCCATCCTCGCTGTTCTCAATGCCGTCCTTGTTTCCATCATTACTAGGCTCCCCATTCTCCTGCTCATCAGCCTCTTCATCCTCTTCGTCATCCTCCTCCTCCTCCTCATCACCATCTCCATTCTCCCCGTCATCCCCATCATCATCACCTCCATCACCCGCACTCCGCTCAACGTCCTCGTCACTCCCCGGAATCTCTGCCGACTGCGGCCGCGTGTGCCGTGGTTGCCGCAATTGCCTCAAAGCCATCGACACCGATTTCCGTAACCGACCTGCATCACGGGCACCACGGCCGTCCAAATCCTCCGAATCCATCTCTGCTGCGTTGTTGTCGTTGTTGGATGAAAATTACCAAAATTGAGCCGTCGAATGCAACCGAAAAGCGTAAGATCGTGAAATCTTGAAAACGTGAATAAAAACCGTGAAACTGAGATGAAGACTTGACGAGACAGTTACTCGCGCATCGAGTTAAGAAACAGTTTATTTCATCGGCCTGCGACGAGTATTGAAGGGTGGCGACTCCATGGACTCCTCCTCAGACTCTTGCAATGATAGCAAAGAGAACGTCGAGCAAAACCTCTTTCCATGATGAATGAAACGAAATTCCAAATCCAGCTCCACATGAAATTACACTGCCAAACCCCGTAAATACACAGTGCCCCTCCAACCAATCACACACCTTTCCTTCCTCAGTGTGGCTCCCCCCGCCAGCTGCCACCAACCGGCCTCAACGTCGCCTCTTCAAGATCTGTCAAAAAACGAACAATCTCAAAACAAATCCACACCCACCCATCCACCATCAGCGAGCTCATCGACGACCCCTGCAAAAAAAGGGCAGCAAGCCGCCAAAAACCACCCCTCCCAAACCAAAACATGCCCACACCGCAAATATGAGGCGTCTGGCTGCGACAGCGACAGCTCTCAGGAGGGGCGCACCACAGATCCAGCAGATTCAGGCGCCGATCCTTTCGGCATCAACATCAGCAGTAAAACCGGCGGGCTCCGCATGCATCTCACTCCCGCTGCGTCTCCAGCGGGAGATTTCGACGTCGTCCTCATCAGCAGCGCCGGCGTCTAAGCGTGTGGCTCAGGATCCAGCTAGTGGGACCGCGCCTGAGACGGTAGAGAAACCGGAAGTCTCGAAACTACCGGATCCTTTGGACCTGCCTGATGGGCCGGAAGCGGTAGAGGGGTCGGACGCGCCGGAGTGTGAGGTGCCTGATGAGGTTACGGATGAACCGCCAGCCACTGCTTCTGCCCCCACGGGCGTGAAACTAAGGGACTATCAGGAGGAGTGTATCCAGACTGTTTTAGCGGCCTTTGAGCAGGGCCATAAGCGGATTGGTATCTCGCTGGCTACGGGGAGTGGCAAGACCGTATGGCTTTCTTTTTGTCATGTTTTCTCTCATCGTATATTTTTCTCGTTTTTTATTAAGAATAAGACTAACAACATCAGGTTGTCTTCACACAACTAATTGGCCGCCTCAAGCCGCGGTCCGAGTTGGCCACCCAGACTCTGATCGTAGCCCACCGACGCGAGCTTGTTGAGCAAGCCGCTCGGCACTGCTCTAACACGTACCCGGACCAGACCGTCGAGCTCGAGCTGGGCAAACTGGCGGCCTCGGGCACGGCCGACATCACCGTGGCCAGCCTCCAGAGTATCCTCTCACGCGACCGGTACCTCAAGTTTGACCCGGACCGGTTCAAGCTCGTCTTAGTGGATGAGGCCCACCACATCGTGGCCCCCGGCTATCTGAAGCTGCTGGAGCACATGGGTCTCCGGCATAAACAAGCCAACTCGCCAAACCTCGTCGGCGTGTCCGCCACCTTTGGCCGCTTCGACGGTGTCAGCCTGGGCGCCGTCATCGACGAGATCGTGTACCACAAGGACTACGTCGACATGATCAGCGAAAAGTGGCTCAGCGACGTCCTATTCACCACCGTCAAGAGCAACGTCGATCTCTCCCAAGTCAGGAGAAAGGGTAAAGGAGGCAGCGGCGAGTTCGAAACCGACTCGCTCTCACGGGCTGTCAACACCACTGAACTCAACGACGTCGTCGTCCGGACCTGGTTCGCCAAGGCAGCAAACAGAAAGTCGACACTGGTGTTCTGCGTCGACCTCAACCACCTTACATCCCTAACACAGCGGTTTCGCCACTACGGCGTCGACGCCCGCTTCGTGACCGGCGACACGCCCACCCGCGAACGCGCCGAGCGCCTGGACGCTTTCAAGAACGGCGAATACCCGGTCCTTGTCAACTGCGGCGTCTTCACCGAAGGGACCGACATCCCCAATATCGACTGCGTCTTGTTGGCCCGGCCCACCCGGTCTCGGAACCTCCTGATCCAGATGATCGGCCGCGGCATGAGGCTTCACAACAACAAGAAGGATTGCCATGTCATCGATATGGTCGCCGGGCTCGAGGCTGGTATCGTGAGCACCCCGACGCTGTTTGGTCTAGACCCCGATGAGTTAGTGTCCGAGGTCACAGCAGAAGAAATGTATGAACTGGCGGACCGCAAAGAAGCGGAATTGGAGCGGGAATCCCGCGCGAAGGAAAACCTCCCCGCCGACGAGCCGGCCTCGCAGCGCTCGTACAACGTCACCTTTACCGAATACGATTCCATCTTCGACCTGATTTCCGATTCCTCCGGCGAGAAGCACGTCCGCTCCATCAGCCGGCTCGCTTGGGTGCAGATATCGCCCGATAAATACATCCTAAATGGGAGCGGCAAAACATACCTCAAGATAGAGCGGGTCCCCAATGCTGGGCCCGACGAGCCCCAGTACAAAGCTTTCGAAGTCAGGGAGCTGCCGTCGAGCTCCAACTCCAAGTCGCCCTATGCGGCCCCTCGCGAGGTGCTCAGCGCACACACTTTCGTCGACGCCATCCACGGTTGTGACAAGTACGCCAGCGAGAAATACCCCTTCTTTGTCATCGGTGCCTTCTTAAATTGGAGGAAGGACCCCGCGACCCCGGGGCAACTCAAGTTTCTAAACCAACTCCGGGGCACTGGCGAGGAGCTGGGGCCGAATGATATTACCAAAGGCGCGGCCGGTGACATGATCATCAAGCTCCGGCATGGCGCCCGCGGTCGCTTTGCTGCTCTCGAGGCTGCGAGGAAGAGGCAGGTCAAACTGGCTGCCATTGATGAACTGAATCGCGAGAGGAAGCTCAACGAGGTGGTCTCGGTCGGACCTCTCAATGCCTAAACGGTGTTTTCCATGGTTTAGGTAACGCCAACTGTACTATCACACAAAGTGTACGATCAGAATTCATCATCTTGGGCCAGGTCAGCGTGTTTCATTTACAATAAATATAGAGGGGAAGGTGGATGCTGGGTTGACGAAGGGATCTCCTACGGATATGGGGGGTGGTGATTACCGGGAGTCGAGGGGGTTGGTTTGGGTCATGTTTCGGAACTCAGCATAAGGAAAGGGTAGAAAAAGGAAGAGAGTGAACGGTACCAGTTATTTACTACTGAAAGCAGTTCTCAACAGTTGTGTTTCTAGTTATGTCGCTCCTTCCCTCTCATCTACGCGTAAACCCCCGAGCAGCAAACCCCCACCGCACCACCCCCCCGCGAATTTGGGAGCGCTCCTTCCCTGAACTCTACAACTTTGCGCGCCTCCGACGCGCCAGAAACTTGGGATGAATTCATTCTTTATTTTCAGATCGGTTTGGTTCCCCCTACGCGGGGCTAATAAGGCGGCTGGGCCGGGGTTCCAAACCTCACATCAATAATCGTGGCGGGCATCTGGGTTTTGCCCTCCCCCTTTGCCCCCCTTGACTCTTGAACCCTCCCACCTTGTTTTCTCTTTTCCTTTTGCATTCACGCACTAAATTAATCGCCAACCAAGAAAGAATTTCTCGGTGTTTTCTTGAACACGCCAACTCTTACACACTCACAGCCCTGTTCATATCTCGGCGGTGGCTACTTGAATCTCCTGTGCCTACCGGCAAAACAAAAACCACTCTACCTATTCCGTCTACTAATCGTATTCATGAAATCAACACTCACTCACAACGCTCACTTGCCCCCATTCTACCTTTCTTCCTTTCTATCGACCCTTGGCGCCTCCTCTTCGCGGATCTCGGCGAGTGGAATGGGGTCCGACCCGGCTATTCAGGACGCCCAGCACACCACGGATGTTTATCGACCTCCTTCTACTGCTTCAGTTGGATTAAGAATGGCGGGGTCGGCCAATATTGCAACCATCCCCCGTTCTGAAGCCGATTCTCCCATTATCGCTGATTCGATGGTCGCCGAGCAAGGTTCATGCTTCACTTCCGATAACGATGCTGTTCACAAAAGGGACCGAGAGTTCAAGAACGACCAGTCCGGCAGCCAAATTCACGACAAGAAGAACTCACCCAAGAAATCCAAGTACAAACCCAGCAATACGACCGCCATTAAGCTGAAAAGCGAGTCGTCTGCTGCAACTATTGAAACGATTCCCGAGTCGCCCGAGCACCGCGATGCTGCATTCTCGGCCACGGCCAAAAGGCAGAGCATCGATTTGGACTTCCTAACCTCACCAGAGACCGATCCGGCTGAGAAAGATGACAGCGCTCGCGAGCAGAAGAACGCTGTCCACGCTGTACGAAAAGTGGCCAAGAACTCGGCGCCACCTTTGAAAGAATCGACCTCTGAGATCATTGTCACCGAGCAACCAGCGCAAAGCCCTTTGGCTCCGGCTACTCACAAAACCATCCTATCGCAGACCAAAGATGAGACCAGCGACAACAAGGGAGACTCCGCCATCGCGTCGGATAGTGAATACGACGATAAGGCCGCTTCTCCAAAACCATGCAGCATTCCTCGCGCGCCGACCCCTCCGGCACGTCGGCCGAGATTCTCTCGCCCTAATCTCGCCCGTTTGTCGACCGCTCGTGTGCCGAGAAGAGCTACGAGTCGTACCATCCAGCAGGTGCGAGCACTTCACAATACTCGCGCTCCTCGATCGCCGGCTGCCAACCAAGTCGTCGACCAAATCGCCAATCCAACTACCGCAGCCCCCAAGATTACTGTCAAGAAGAATCGCCGCAAGACTCCGACCTTGCCGCAGGCGACCACGCACAGCAGTGCCCTTAGTCAAGCACTGCAAGCTTCTCGTCCTGCTCCTGCTCGTCCTGCTCCTTCTCGTTCCGGCCGCTCTCGCCCCGAGCGGGCCCCGCCGGCCGGCACCGAAGTTTATGCCAGCAACTGCCCTCCCCGAGTCCCCACGATCGACATGAATGGAATTCCCCACGTTCTTGGAGGCTTGGTCGAAATGTCGGTTGGCCTTGACGAGCGATTGTTCTTCGCCAAACAAGTTCCCGGCGTCCCCGGCGATATCTACAATTCCGTCAAAGTGTCTCGCCATCCTTTCCAACAGTTTCCGGGGCCCGACATGGCCAAGTCCAACGCCGCGTTGGACGCGCAACTCGATGCCATGAAGCCTACCAGAAAGGGCTTTGACCCGGATCTGATCGACAAAATCCTCGACGGCTATTCCGCCCGAACCAAGGCCAATTCCAAGCTACTCGACACCCGCCGCGCCGAGCTAGAGCTTCTCGTCAAGAGATATGAAATCAACAAGAAGGAGCTCGAGCGACTGAATTTCGAGCGCCAGCGCGCCATCTCGAGCGAATATGCCAAGAAACCGGTCATTAATTCGGAGCAACGGGCTCAAGTCCTTTCAACCGTCGCGATCGCGGAGTCGGCCTTGCGAAAAGAGCAAGCGGCGATCCAAGCCGCGCAGAAAGAACATCTCGATCTCAGCCGCGCTGAGTTCGCGGCCATCCTGGCGCAGGACTTTGGCGATCCCGCAGCTGCGGACGAGGCCCAGGCCCGGGTGACCAAGAGAACTACATTACAAGAGCAGGCGAGCGAGCTTGGTGTCGCCGCTGTCATGATGGGCATCAGCGGCAGTCTCAAAGGACAGAAGCAGGCCACTCAAGATATTGTCAACAAATACGCCCAGGCCATTGCTAACGGTAGGCTCGAAGAATTTGACCAGCAAGGCCGTCGGCACGCGACCGACAACCCGGTCCCCACCGAACCGGTCTCCAATCTCGATATGACCACTACCATGGTGCCGGCCTAGTTCGCCCACTTTGAGGCTAGAGAGATTGTTGCTTTGCGCGGTACTTCCCAACTAGACAGATTCAAGCACCTCATGCAGATTACCGCGAACCTGTCCGTCGCCGCTCGCGACGAGGAGTATACCAACAAATCCCGACCGGAGCGCCAGACCTGGGACAAGCAGTACCACGAGCCCAACGAGGGCTGGTCCAACTCCCTCCGGCGTTCCCGTGGCGGCTGGTGGCTTTGTCGCAGCGGTCCCGAGGCCACTCAGGCAGAACGCGAGTGTCCGCTGTGTCATCAACAGACTTCGGAGTCAACCACAGCTCAGACTGTGTCTATGGCCGAGAAGTACCAGCTGATCATGACCGAGATTGACGCTGCCCAGGCCAAGGCGAACGCGCAGGATGGGCTTGCCCTCCGCTTCCAGCAGCAGCAGGAGCGCGAACAGCGTCTCTCTGACTGTAACTTCGGCATTCAGACCGCACAGAACCGTCAAGAGGTCAACCTTCCGAACTCCCACTACCAACCTACCCTCACCAAACCACCCCAATCGTCGGTCCCGGAGTTCCTAAAGAAGAGGTCGCTACCCAAGTGTCCTCTGCCCTCGATCCCGCGCGCCCAGGTCGCCGAGCCAGTCGTCACTCCCTTCAAAGCTCTCGCTACCGAGTCGTCCTACCCCAAGAGCTCCACGGCCAATGGTCTAGTCATGAAGCTACTGCTTCTCCAGCGAGATTACTGTGGTGGTATCCCGCGGCCGAGGTCATCGATGTCGCGATCGGCTCGAAAGGGCAGCAAGGGTAAGAGGGTGTCGTGGGATCTTTAAGGAGGGTTTACCTCACACGTTTTTTCCTTAACTCGGTTTGGTTCGGCTGGTTTTGTGTGTATGTGTATGTATAATGTGTGTTTAATACTGGGTTTACTGGGTGGAATTGGTGACTCTGGAATTGGGGAACCCGCCTTGGGTTTCGTTGTGTTCCTTTTTCTCCTTTCTTCTTTTTTCTTTCTCTTGTTTCACACCTTCCTCCCCTTAATACTTTTTCACTCGGGACTAAGAGGTGGAAATACGAGCACGCATGACATGGAATGACATGGTATGATAATGACAATGGAGGGGCAATGGTTCACACAAAATGGGTTCACAAAGAATAACTGGGGGGGGTTCGCCTGGTTTGCGTATAGGGGTAGTAATCTGAGTTGTACAGTACGTATTCGTTCTTCCTGAAGCGTGACCGGGCCAGTCACTCCCGTCTTGCCCTCCAAGCTTGATATCTCCATCATCCTCATCCGTGAGCCTTCCCACTTCAGCATCCCCCTTCCTCCCCTCTTCAAATCCTACTCCCATCAATCAATAAACAACAACCTCCCCCCTCCTCCTCCCAGCCCCCTCCTCCACCGGATAAAACGCGCCCGGATCCCCTTCCCTAGCCACCACCTCCCGAATGGCATCCCAATACGCCCTTGTTTCTGTCTCCCCGGTAACCAACTGACTCAGCACCGACGACACCCTCTGTCCACTCTCAAGTCCGGCACTGCCAGTAGCAGCCAAGCCCTCACCACCGCCGCCGACTCTCTTCCTCCCGCGCTCAAACCCAAACTCCCCGCTGCGCTCGCCTTGCTGCTGCTGGGCAAGAGATACCCCGCTACCACCGCCAGATACTGAAGAAGCAGTCCTTACCCCGTATCCAGAACCAGACTCCCGTACAAACCCAGGCTTAGGCCCCGGCCGATCCGGGTCAGCATGGTCTCTGCAGTTGGTCGGGACATGTGCAGTGTAGCCCCAGGAGGTGGAGCATGGGTCGGAGACTGGGCAGAGGTGCACGACGGGGTCCTTTTGTTTGCAGCGGCAGAGGTAGACGAGTTCGACGGACCAGCATTTGTAGGTTGGGGTGGGCATTTTGGGGTTCTTTTCTTTCTCGTCTCTTCTTTCTTGGAGAAGTTCCGGTGGGTTGTGATCCTGTCTGGGACGTGGGAAGATGGGATGGGAAAGGTGTAGTGTTTAATCCAACAGTTGCAACACTTGTGCTGCTGGGAGGATATCTCTTGCGCTTGGACGGTCGTTGTTGTTGGCTATCTGGTTTCTAAAAGCTGATGATGAAAGTGCTGAGCAGGCGCCTTTCCGGAAACGGAAAGCGAAGGTTTGTTTCAAAATAAAAGAGATGCTAAATCTCAAGGCTGTTTGAGCAAGGGGCGATGAAGTTCAGCGAAGAACACGATGTCTCACGGCAATAAAGTCGGTGTGAGACCGGACCGGGGAAAACGAGGACTGGCTGAAAATGCCCGATGAAGAAATGTGAAGCACGAGGTATCAACCTGTGTTGGGTTCCACGTGGTCGATGTTTTACAATGAGAGCACAAAGAAAAGAGAAAAAAGACTGTCGTCTTATGCTCACAGCTCAAAGTTACAGAAAGAGGAAAATAGAGATCACAAAAGAGAAAAAAGTTCACCCAGCTGTTGTTGGATCTAATCTATCGGTCTGCCGCGCTGCGAGATCGGGTGGCCCGGTTTGCTGACGGTTGGCTCGCCTCGTGACTGGCACAGCACAGCACAGCAACGCACAGCACACGACGCCTCTTTGGCTGGCTGGCGCTAAAGCCCGAAAGCGCTCCTTCAGCGCAAGGGTCCGATGTGCGCACGCAACTAGCCATGAGCGAGGCTGCAGACTGTCGGTCGGTCTCGCATGTTTGGGGTCCCCGAGGCAGCAACAAGGGCACCCGATTGGGAGGAGATAGACGTGGAAGTCCAGCGTGGTCTTCCGTACAGGGGAGCAACCTCCTGCCAATCCATCTCACTGCAGAGGTGGCCAACATGGACGAAGATGATTCGAGGGCGTGGGATAGTATGGGGGTGCTGCCTTTCCAGACGTTCCTGAGCACGCCATGGTCTTTGTTGTTAACATGTTGGATGTGTGAAAGGGTCTCACTCGAAAAGCGGTTGCTTCAAATTCCCAACAGACCCGAAGCTGGACCCTGAAAATGGACACAGTGCTTAGCGGCGACATAAACACTGTCAATTGGCACTGTCTGTGGCTAGTGCATTGTCAAGCCACAAAGCTAGCAGCAGCCACACCTGCACCCCACGCCCGGACCCCTGGCCATGCGCGCTTCCGTCATTGGCGGGCAGGGGCCGCGTTTCTCGCAATGGCTTGCCAGTTGTGTCTCGTCTTGCCTGGGACAACTTTTCTTGAACATTCGTGCTCCCCCAGCCCAAACAACCCCAACGCCGTCTTACTGACGCCAATTTTTCACTCTAGGTACCTGGGCGGAGTGTTTTCGCTACTACTATTGTAATAATACCATTCCGGTCCTTCCGTCGTTTTTGTGTGTTTTGTACCAACCAGTTTCGACTTGATCCACCCCCTTTTACTTCGACCAAGCCCGACCGACGATCGATGACATAGACCAACCATCAATCATTCCACGGTCCCGAGAAATCCGAAAACAAAGTTACACCTACTCTCTCCGTTCGGCTTGCCCGACAACCCATTCTTTCTCACAACAAAACGAGAGCGTCCTCAACAACTGCCAAGATGCCGCGGCCGGCAACAACAGGCTACGAGCGCCTCGCGCAGGCCGACCACAGCGACGACTCAGACGACGAACCGCTCGCCGCCAGCTATGCCTCCCTCCAACCCCCGACAGCCCCGCGCTATGCACCCGTGGGCCAGCCGCGCCCACACTCAGGCATGGCGACTCCCAAACACGCCGGGTCATCCGCCGCGTTCCACGAATCGTCCCGACCGGGTGGTGGTGCCCGCCGCCGGGACCGCGGGCGGCGGAACTCGGGCGTCGATCTCAAAGCTATCAACGCCCGGCTCGAGCGCTGGGCTGACGAGATCGCGTCCAAGTTCAAGCGCGGCCGTAACAAGAAAAAGGGGGATGAGGAGCGGTTGGAGATTCATCACTCTGTTTTTCAACCGCCGGAGGGTGTCCGGCCGGTGACTGCCGAGATGCTGGCCATCCCGGAGCCAGGGTACATGACCAAGGCCGAGTTTGAGGTTATTGTGGAGAGTGTCAGGGCGGCCATCCGCCAGGGCGTACATCCCCGCATGATCTCACAGGGCAGTTCGGGTAGTTACTTTGCGAGGAATGCGGACGGGAAGGTGGTGGGTGTGTTCAAGCCCAAAGATGAGGAGCCGTATGCGGCGGGCAACCCGAAGTGGAACAAGTGGATTCATCGGAATTTGTTCCCGTGTTTCTTCGGCCGAGCTTGGTTCGTTAACCTCTCCACATTTTTAGTTCCTATTCAGATACTGACTGGTCTTTCTCCAGCCTTATTCCCAACCTTTCCTACGTCAGCGAAGCAGCTGCCTATGTGCTCGACGCTCAGCTACGCACCCACCTCGTCCCGTACACCGACGTCGTATACCTCTCCTCCAAGTCCTTCCACTACCCGTTCTGGGACCGGCATGCCTTCTCTCGGAAAAGGAAGGCCTTGCCCGCGAAACCGGGCAGTTTCCAGGTCTTCCTCAAGGGGTTCAAGGACGCCAACATCTTCCTACGGGAGCACCCATGGCCGGACCAATACCTCTCCGGCTTCCGGACCACAGACCCGCACCGGAAACGCAAGCGGCGGTGGGCCGACAACTGCCGGCCGGGTAGTGCGCCCCAGGACGATGCAGATAGCGACGATGGTCACGAGACGCCACAATCGCAAACGCCCGGGCCCGGCAACTTTATGTGGACGCCATCGCTGAAGCAGTCCTTCCGGGAAGAGCTTGAGAAGCTGGTGATTTTGGACTACATCATGCGAAACACGGACCGGGGGCTGGACAACTGGATGATCAAGGTCGACTGGGAGACGGAGCAGGTCTCGGTGGCATCGGAGCCGGTCCATCTGAACATGGACGTGTCGGAGCCCGAGCCGGGGCCACGGCCTGTGGATTTATCGCAGCGGGAACCGAGGACGCGGGCGTCGTATCCGTACCGTGTAGAGCGACCTATGGATGCGTCGACGCCCGTGTCCAGCGCGTCGGATCCCAAGATCTCGATCGGGGCCATCGACAACTCGCTCTCGTGGCCGTGGAAACACCCGGATGCGTGGAGAAGGTGAGTGAACATGTTCACAACTTTGTATGCGCCTAGAGTATATTTTGCTAACAATTCTTTAGCTTCCCCTTTGGCTGGCTCTTCCTGCCCGTGGACCTCATCGGCCGGCCCTTCTCCCAGAAAACCCGCGACCACTTCCTCCCCCTCCTCACGTCCACGCAGTGGTGGAGCCAGACCCAACTCGCCCTGCGCCGCATCTTCCAAATGGACAACGACTTTCAGGAGCGCATGTTCGCCCGCCAGATCGCCGTCATGAAGGGCCAGGCCTGGAACGTCGTCGAAACCCTCAAAACCCCCGACCACGGCCCACTCGAGCTCACCCGCCGCGCCAAGGTCTGCGTCTGGGACGACCTCGTCGACGTCCCCGTGGCCGTGCCCATGCGTGCACCAAGCGCCGAAATGCGCCGCCGTGCCACTGCCGAAGCCGACCCAACCGCTAACATCACCACTACGACAATAACAACCTCCACCGCCGGGTCCCACGCCCACAAACCCTCCCACCACCACGACCTAATGATCGCCGAAGAAGAAGAAATGGACATCGGCGCCCACGCCTCCTCAGCACCCGTCACGTCCGTCGCCGGCCCCGTCATCGTCGACCTCCTCGGCGGCGGTATGACCTCCCCGCCCGCCGACCTCCCACACCCGGGTCGCTTCGAACTCGCCCTCCAAGACGACGCTTCCCCGAAGAGTCCACTCTCCGCAGGAGGGGCAACAACCGGCCCCAACAACGACAACAACCCCTCGCGCCCAACCAACCCCCACGCCGCTACCTCCCACCGCTCCCTCAACCTCTACTCCCCGGATCGCGGCCCCACACGACGTGAAAACAACAACCCCCCTCTCAGCGCCCATCTCACCAACGGCCATAACCACGCCCGCCGAACAAGTCTAGAAATCAGCGGCGGGTATTTCGCCGGTGCTACCATCCCCAGCGGGGGAGAAGTGGCTGATGAGGACGACGAGGAACTGGAGGGTGGTGATCTGGGGTATGCCGCCGCGACGGGGATGGAGGGGAATCGGAGGAAGGTGATTGTGGAGCGGTTGGAGATGGTGAAAGGGCGGAATCCGGTGTTTACTTGGTGTTGAGCGCACACACACTGGCAGGAAAGGGGGTGAAATGTGTTGAATCAAAATGGGTTGGGTTGAGTTGAGTTGAGTTCGTGTAGGCTTGGAAATTTGGGTTTGGTATGGGATATTGAATGCTGGGGGTTTGGCTGAGATACGATACGAGATAATTGAGCAAGTAGGTGGCTGGATGTGTCATCAAAGAATTCACGGAACGGTAGCCAGCCGGGTATCTACCTCCCTATCAACGCAGGAGAGAATACCAAGACGGGGGAATGGAAAGGAACGAATGGAAGGATGAAAGGCGGAATTGTTTTCCGGTTGGATTAGACTGGGGGCGGTCGTCGTCGTCGTTGTAATACTGTTTGTTAGTGGTGGTGGTGTTGTTACTGTAATTAGAACGGAACGGCGTTGAGGGTTTTCGGGAGATTCCTGGGGAAGCTTACGGGGGATATTTAAGGAGAAGGATAGAAATAAATATACATGGTGGTTTTGGTTACTCTTGTTTTGGTCACTCTCTACGTATTTATTATTGACATAAATGCTAAAACTCTGGGTGTTGTGGGCTGCTAAATAATGGATTAAAGAAAGAATATATCACCCTGGATTTATGGCTACCATGTGTGTATGGTCTGTTCTGACCTTGATCGTATTATGTTGATCTAATGTGACAATACAACGGCCATTGAATAAGGTGTGGGTAGACCAGGCCGGGCTTCGAGGTTACCGAGTGACAACGTATGTGGACCTACAAAGCCGTACCTGGCATGCTACAGTATCTAAGTTCATCTTTGAGCTTAAACGGCTCAGCTCACACCCCCATATCAATGACATGACGGCGCAAGTTATCGTTGAGATACGCCGTCATTTAACATCCTCCGCTGGCAACTCAAGACATAAGCTCCGGGGCGTATCAAGACAATTAGACAAGTAGACGGGTGTGATAGGTAGGAGAACGAACAGCAGAAAACGGGTCACAGAGAAAAGGTCCAAAGATGACCGAGCCAACAGGCAAGTCAGGCAAACAATGGTTGAATCAGCATTACCTGAGAACTGACAAACCGCATCTAGTCTCAGCCCACCGGACAGTTACCGGTCTCGGCGCGCAATGCCAAACGCCAAACGTCAGACACCAAGCGAAATCCCTAGATACCAAATCCTGGATCCTGGACCCCCCTCGGAAAACGAGCGCCCACTCACTCCCTCACCTCCAGGTATCTCAACCACAATGTCCCAAGAACCCTCGGGCCAAGTAAGACAGACCACTCTCACCCTCTCCTAAGCGGAAACTCCCGAGAGACAAAAAGAAAAGAGACGAAAATGAGGAGAAAAGAAAACACCCAGTCAGTCGGTCAGTCCCATCACACGACCATATCAGCCACCCGCGCCACCCGCGCCTCCTTTTCTCGCGTATGTACCTCTCTCCCCACCCTTTCCACCGGGTGTTCTCAGACAATCTCAGATCGACAAATACATACACCAGGTACCCGGAGTTCAAAGAGGCGAGCAATCAGGAGGTCTTATTCCCGTCCGATCGTACAACGCAAGGGAGGGTAGGTGGCTGCGATCTCTGTCACCGTGCAACAGCGGAACGGATCGAACGGATCGGACCGAGGGTACACCCAAACAGATGGGATGGTGGTGGAAACATCAAGAATGATAAATAATAATAATAATAATAACCGCAAAAACAAAAACAGGGACAACACAACAAAACACAGGAGGAATCAGTCGTTGTGGCTGGTCTTCTCCGTCTCGCTGTCCGCCACTCCATCGTTCCACCACGTACACTACACGTATATTGCCACCCAGCGGATCAGTGGGCCGCACACCGAGACCGGACCACGAATTAAACGACTTGGTATTCTTCCCACCCTGGCGCACTCTGTCGGGACGCCCCCTCGTCGCTTAATCACAATACCAGCGGCTTCATCGTTCCATGTCAAAGCAGTGATATGGCGCCGGATACCGAGAAGAGTTTTCAGAGCTGTGATCATAAAGACACGGCAGGCCAGCCATATGCCCTGTTCGGGGCATGGTCCGACAAGACAAACGGGGAGGAAAGGGAGATTTTGGCTTCAGATATGATATCTCCGCAGGAAGAACTGTAAGAAATGCATAGAAAGGATGAGATAACGAAAGGGCGTGGAGATGGAAACAGAAAAAAGAGCAGCTGGGTAGAAAGCGGTGGAAGATGAGTGTCGTTCTGCTCCATACCTCCGCTGATCATTTGTGTCCGTGTCTTTTCTCCAAAAGCGGGAGCTTGTGAGCGCAAGCGGCCACTCGAATATACGATATGAGGGGCAACTAACCCTGAAGTCACGGAGGGGAGGAAATATCAGGTAGCTCGGTTGTGACAGCGAAAGAAGACCGAAACATGCGTACTCAGTGGGATCACACAGAGCGGGGCATAAACTGCGGACACATCCCGTACAGTATCAGAGACGCGTTTGCAGGAATGGACTTCTTCCTACTTCGTACCTATGGGGGTATGTCTGCATGGATGTCCCCACACACATGCTGTTGAACAGCCCCATTAGGCAAGTAGGAGAAAAAGAAAAGGAAACAAGAAAAGATTAGAAGTCGGGAAGGTAGGTACGGGGTGGTGCAGCCGATTCAGGTGTGAGACACAAGATCAGGCCATGTACGTACCCGCGCCGTGTTTCTCCCCCAGCACCAGGCCCCATATGCGGGATTGTGGAGGGGGTTTGCATAGAAAGGAGGGATATGGGTCCATTTCTCACAGTCCCATGGTTGTCGCCGATGCAACTTGTCGATGCGACGGCGCGTACGAACATCCCGACCCGGTCCTTCGTTCCCTCTAACTCGCGTCCGGTGATGCCCGAAGGGCGAGTGAACGAATAATTTGCCGCGTTAGCCCCATTCCGCCCTTCTTCGGCCCAACCCCTCTCGCTCAACTCCTCCCCCTTCCGCAGCTCTCACACTTTGACCTTGGATATATCCCTGGTGTCGGTACCCACCCCACTCCCAGTCCTCCACTTCCAGGCTTCCTTGCCTACTTGCCCATCATGCACTCTTTTCGAGCCCCTGTTGATGACGGGGGCCTAATCCCCCCCACGGTATTCGTACCTCCTTACCGGTCAAGGTGTCACATGTAGTGTCAGTGACGAGCCCTTCCAACCTCTCGCATTGCTGGGATACTTGGTCGTCAACACTTCGCCTGCCGGCCCCTTTATTCTTGACGACGTACTTGCCTGCCGGAAAGACCCCTATACAGGCTTGCTGGCTCTGAACAGGACACAAATGAAGCCACCGGTAGAAAGCCCCCGGGTCTAAAACATGGTGCCAACGAGGGTTCTATCAAAGGCGCCATCAAAGCACTGTTGACAGATCGTCGGATCGCACAGCATCTTCCGTGTAAACTCACGGGCAAAAGAAAAATCTGAGTCCAGGTCTGGCCGATTCCCCATCCTACGGGTACAGGTAATAAACCAAGCACGGCGGACCGGTGGCGGATGAGGGTCCCACCGCCAAGTCCCATACGTGGCGCGAACATGTACACACAGGCAGGTCCTTTTCCCTGGCCGGGCCGGCAGCGCAAAGTAAAAATACCGCAAGTTTCTTGCCGGCACTAGTGTAGTGATGTCGAGAACCCAAGCGGAGCCTCTATTGTTATGGGCGTTGGGGGGGGGGGTTCTATGTTGTCACGTCGTAGTGAGTCGATCCGTCCCGGGAAAAAGGGAGGGGGACGTCGGCAAGAAGAACACCACTGCCGCCCTAGATATCGCGATTTCCTTCGGGCCCCGGGGCCTCGCAGCCACCAACTTCACGCTCGTCGTCACCGAGGGCTGCGGACTCGCCGCTTTCTTGCAAGGTGGCAAGGACCGTCGCGTCTTCTGTGGTCACCCCGCGTTTCCTGATCCCGGGGACGCACCGAAAGATGACAAAGGCTAGGCGAGAGGAAAGTTGCGACAGCAGATGCATGGCGTGCAGCGGGAGCTCTTCTCCGGGACCTGCTTGCGATGATCCCGCGGCTTTGATTGCTCACGCTCCTGCGTCGGGAAGCAGCCGTCTTCCGTCTTGGGGACAGCCTCCCCATTCGGCGCGTGTATGTTGTCCCAGATACTTCAGGCACTTGCATGGGGCTTGAAGAAAATACCTCGAGAGAAAAACTAGTGATGCAAACTGCTAGAACCCTCTTCATCCAAAAGAGGCTCGTTCATGTACATGCACGACCAGAGGCCCTGGCCCAGGAGTACCACGCATCGCACACCGTACACAAACGGGCCCAACGTGCCTTTCTTTTTTTTCTCCTCTCCCGCGAATCCCCACCAGTCCCCACAAACCCTCACGAACCATTTGGCCGGGATTCCGACCGAAGGAAAAGGAAGAGTGCGTGCTCGAATCGGTGGGTTCGGGAGAGACCGCCGAAAGGGAGGGGGTGGTTTGTTCAGGGTTCCACAAACCCGACCGCTTGGGACGGCCTGCTGGTGTGCGAGAGCGGGTTTCGAGGGGGTTGACTTGTCGAGGGGCTGGGGCCTTGTTGATGGGGAAAACGCTGGTTTCAAGGAGATTGCATTCCGTTTGGTGGGGGTCGAGAGACACCCACCATCATTTTAGTAATGGGTACTGTGAAGTGAAGTGAACACGAGCCATCTCCGTGAGTCCGTCTCTCGTTCACCATTCCCCGGTTTACTACCGACATAGCAGGGTTTGTCTGGGCAACGGTCTGCAAGCTCATGGCCCAGCCGGGAGGTGCGACACCGGGGCTTCTCTCAGAGCCAAAGAGCATGAGGGGAGGGCTGGGAAATGGTCAACATCTCGCTGCGCTGGGTGGACGGGTTGCTTTCCCTCAGAACCAACGAGCAAGCCATCACCAGTAGGCCCGAAAAAAGACGGCCGTAGGCTGCAGTGATCGTCCTCTTTAGATCTATCCAGGTGTTGAGGAGGGTCTTGTCGCCATGTTGGTGTGTTGGCGTGCACAGTGCCGGCGTGCCCAAGGGCAGTCGCTCACCCGACCCAGCGGTGCGGTTGCGCCCAGGAACGCCCCAGTCGGTTGCGAGGGGGGATCCCTGTCGGCCGATCCTCCTGGGTCCGTCCGACCTTTCTGGGTTCGGTTTGGTTGGGAATGACTCGCGAATCTGTGCTCCTTGGCACCACAACAAGTTTTTCTTTAACCCCCCTTTTCCCTTTGTGAAAGTGTTTCTCATGTTCGCTCCGGCGGAAGAACTCCATATGGGACCCCACAAGTTACTTGCAGATGATTATGTGCCGGTTGGCAGCTGCTCTGCATACGCAGCAAAAAAATCGTGGCTTTTTTTCGTGCTGGTGGGTGGGCCTGGATGTTCTGGGTCTGATCTCCGGGCTGCGAGTCTTTCCCAGTCCCAACCAGCCGGGATAGCCACAGCTTGGATGATTTGAAACTCGATCCCAGAACTCCGGAACCCAGATGTCTAGGCTCCCAGGTCTTTTTGTGGCGCCTACAAGGATCATGGGGACGAAGATGAGCGCTTTGGTGACCGCCTCGTTCTCGGACCTGTCGTCTTTGGCGATGGCCTTGTTGTTGATCCATCCTCGCGTGCAAGTTCCCCTTCCGCTGCATTCGAACCTCGGCTCGGTTGTGCTTCTTGTGTCCCATCTCAAGGTCTAAACCATCATATCCGGCCCAGCTCTTTTTCACATTTCATGACGCGACATGCCGCATGGTGCCGGGATTGTTGCGGGGGGAGGGGGGCGGACGCAAGGTGACCCCTCTCTTCTAGTTCTCCGTTCTTCATCAAGGCGTTCCCCGTCCCGCCTTCCGTTCCCCCCGGCCCAGTCCACTAACTCTCCACTCCAGTCAACGTTAGTTATCGGTGCCCGGCATCACAACAACCATTCCAGACCTTAGTGTAGCAACGTCTCGGTAAACTCCTCGCACAACAGTCTCTGGTAAGAAGGGAGACGGGGAGAGGGGAATGATGGCCGAATCAATTGCGGGTATTACCGCGCAGATCCGCCGTCAAGAGTTGACCGTTTCACGGAGGCCGATCCATTTCGCAAGCCGGACCCCCGTGGCGAGGCTGTGTCCAAGACAATCAGGACCCGTCGGTGTGGTTTGCGCACAGATATGTGTGGGTAATTTACCAACCGGGCGGGTGCCGACAAGACATGAGACGGCATCCCCAAGCTGTTGGTAACCGGTACGTACTGCCAACCCCTGTAATTTGGCCCAATTCGCGACGACTGGAACGGACATGAGCCAATACCCCCAAGAATGCTGGGTCTACTGCTGCGTGGGCCCAGCGTTCTCACGCTCCCGCTTTTTGCTAGGCGACTTTTACCATTCCAGAAGAAGGTAAAGCCCCCAGGGGCAGATCCTTCTCTGGTATTGTTGCGGCCTCGTCTCGTTGTCATAATAGTCCAGAACCAGAGGTGGAACGCGGCCCGCAATAGCTGGGGTATGGCAGATGGATGTTTCGCAGCAGCGGGATGACGATTAGCGTCCCCGAGGCAACAGGCAAAAAATCCGTGACCATCTCTTGTTGGGGTCCCGCCGGCCCAGTGCCTCAGACGGCACAATGGTCATTTCAGCCGTCCACAAAATCCTGGACCTAGAATCCCAGGACCGTGTCCCCGGGTTTTCCCCGACGCTTCCTGAAGGGCTTGTCGGGCAAGTGACTTTGCTGGACGTGGTGTGCAGCATCCGACGGTCCGTAACCCCAAACCTCCACCTTTAGGCGCTTCCTGTCTCCCCTGATGCGTCTCGATCAGCGCAAAGACGAGAATAACGGAGAATTTGCCGGGCCTGGGTCCGCGGTCCAGGGTTTTGCGACTGGGTCCTGGACCGCCTCTCGGCTTTGACGGTACTCTCACACCCCGATGAACCAGTTCTTGCTCGTTTGACACCCAAATATTGAACACCAAACGGGGATGCAACGTTGTTCCCCCGAAAATACAAGGCTGGAGCATGGAACTGGCGCAGCAATTAACCCAACCGCAGTCGCCCACACAACCCTCTCCCGTCAGGGAGGAGTTGATAGGCGTGATGTATCCACCGGAGAAACGAGAAGACCCGCCTAGCAAAAACTCACATCTGAAAGGCGATGGGGTGGTCTGTCCACCGGCCGTCAGTTCTCGGCGCTGCATCAGGCTAAGAGTGTCTTAGCCCCTGGTGAGGTCCCTAATGGAGGGGGAGGACACGTCGAAGTAGCAGTCAATCATTTGGCGTCTCCAATCATGAAAGCGATGCTCGCGGACCTTCACCCGGAGCCAGCGGCGGCCGGTTACCCACCGGGAAAGCAAAGAGGTCATGCGTAATGGACAAGTCAGTTCACCTGTCTCGATCAGCAGAGAATCCCAGCGCATGCGGGGGGGGTTCGGGGGGCCTCACAGGTCAAGCATCCACAGCAGAAGCCGATTTCATGGACGAGAGTTTATCGAAACAATGTCCTTGTCCAGAAAAGGGCAAGTCCACGTATTCGGGAGCCCACCAACCTCGCCAAGGGCGGTGTATATTTTCAGAAAGCCGAAATGCCGGGACTGGTCAATCTCAAGGTGATGCTTTCACTCATCTTTCTCGAACGGCCGAATTAAGGACAGGGGTCCTCGGACAGCCCTTTCCCACCCCCAAAACGCATGAACGGCAAGGCGCCAGCAACGCTCCATGATCGGCAACATCATAGTGGCCCGCAAACCGCCCGCGCAGACCAATCTGAGATGATATGGTCCAGGACAAGGGGTCCACCGAGCGAGTGTCCCTCATTTCAAACGTGGGAGTGCCGTATAGGGAGAAGAAGCAGCTCGTCCGACAAGGTCCTCGAGGCCCGTCCCGAGGGCAGCCAGGGAGCCTGAAGCATTTTCGCCCCCCCCCCCCCCCCCCCCCTTCCTCAAACCTGCATAAGACCATGAAAGTCTTCATGATGCATGGCCCAGATTTTTTGGCCCTCCCCACTTAAGCTTAAGGAAGGTGTATTTTTGCCGTCTCTGATTTCCGTGTTCCGTCAACGCTCCTGCGAGTCTTCTTGGTGGGCGTCAAGGAAAAGTCGAAGCCAACCAAATCGCCACAGCCATGAACGAAGGGTGCGTAAACCACGGTTTGGGCCGTGCCCTCCCACGTCGTTGCGGAACCCGATACTAAGTTAGACGCAGTGATTCTCAAACCGTGCCTCTGGACAGCATGTACGAGGAACTGGTTGTTCACGGCAACAGAGAGTTCCAACGGTATGCCCTGGACAACAATATATACTTCGCCCCAGTTGACGAGGTGAGGATACCTTGGGTGACTTCTCGGTTGCTGCTCTGACGATGTTGCTGTGGCCAAGCAGGACGAAATCGAATACATGCAGTACTTGCATGGAATTCTCAACATGATGTTTGAGAACCGGGCCATTTTCCCTCCGATTCCACGACCAAGAAGAATCCTGGAGTGCGGGTCGGGATCTGGAGCGTGGGCGATGGAGGTGGCCGAGCAGCACCCTGAATGCGAGGTATGTACCCATAGCCCAAAGAAAGTCGGCTTTTGATTCCCAGTCTCTTTGTTCGGAAACAGTTATCATCGCCTATGGGCCACAGGAAAAAGTGAGTTAAATATGCTAACGTAGATGACGTTCTAGGTGATTGGAATCGACATTTACCCTTATCCGGTGCCGGAAGACATACCCTCAAACCTAGATTTGCAGATTGACGATCTAAACAGTCCGTAAGGGTGCAAATTTAACACGGAGCTTTTGGCGAACAAAGTTGACGCGGGGCCAGGTCGACCTTTCCTTCGAATTACTTCGACTTGGTCAATAGTCGGTTGATGGCAGGAGGGATCCATGCAAACAGGTGGATGAATTATTTGCGTGATATATGGAGAGTTCTCCGCCCTGGTGGATGGTGTCAGATGGTGGAGATACACTTCAACGCACAGTCGGACAACGGGACGCTTACCGATAGTTAGTGAGCTAGCGCGCACCTTACCTTGCCCTACGGCCATGAGTGCTAACTTGGGGTGCAGACCATGCTCTTCAAGTATGGTCGCAAAATTACTTGCAGAGTGTACAGCCAACAAAGGAGCCGAGAGCGGCCCCGCGGCTCCGGAACTGGATGACCCAGGCGGGCTTTGTCGATGTTGAGCCACGAATGTTGATTTTGCCCCTGAGTGGATGGTCAACAGGTGCGGGGCCCACGGTTAATATGGGTAACAACTTACCACCAGCTTCGCTAACATGCTACTAGATCCCCGAGAGAGTGCAATAGGTAGTGCGACGCAAGCGATCACCCACCGCCTTATGTCGTCGCTTTCTACATACCCCTTCTCGCAGTTCCTCAGGTATGTGACTCGGCCCCGTCACAATTCGAGTTCGGCAAAATGTTGACAACTAGCGCCAGTATGAGCAACGCGGATATCCAGCTCCAGATAGCTCAAGCCCGTAGTGAAGCTGACGACCCGAACTTCAAGGTGCGAGACCATGGCTAGATTGATGCTCAGAATGTCATTGGCGCCGCCATTGTGGAGGTTTAGTCTGTTGGCTTCGTTTAGTCCAGATGATACTAACGCGTTGCGAGATATATCAGGCTTACTTTCCTCTGTAAGAGAATCCATTGGGGGTGGTGCTTTCTAATGTGCACGGCTTTAGTGGCATGGCTGACGGTGGTGTCTCAGTTACGTTTGTATCGGAAGAAAACCCGGGAGCAGCAGCAGGTCGCACGCGCATGGCGAGGGCCGCAGCCATCAATCGTCGAAAAGCGGAAGACACGGAGACTCAAGGAAACGGGCGCGACATTGATAAATAACCAGCGCCAACACAATACCTGGCTGGTCCGACGAGGGTATCGGATATTCCTGAGTCGCGCATAGGCAAATACGCTGGGCCGTGCTGTGCTGAGAGGGGACCACCAAGCATTAGTCTCGCTATCAACCCGCACTTAATAAAGGCGCGGTCCTCAAGGAGGGTTCAGATTGTGCCTGGCACTTTCTGGTCATGGTGTTCGATTGCTGATGGGCAACAGGTTGCGGGCGATAGGTGGATGTATGGATGGATATCCGGAACACAAGGGAGAAAGAACCCAGCGACGGGAACTTTTGGTCGAGCTGGATTGAAATTGGAGCGTTAGTAGGAGGTGCGGGCGCCTACCGTAATGGTTGGAGGAAGAGCACCCGGTACCAAGGCTGGGTAGGTAAGGTGGTACCTTCCTCCACAGGGCTGTGGACGGGAGTACGGGAGGACAGCGAACAGTTTGGAGACTTTGGACCGAACGAGTCAGGAAGGAGAGCCGGTGTATCTCAAGGCACCTGCCGTGTAATACCTAGGAAATGTCACAACCTAAGCTGTGACTTCCAATTCTATTAGCGCATCAAGGTCACACAGGGCTTGTCGTCGATGAGAGAAGATGGGATGGAGGCAAATCAGCAGATTCGGGCCATGGTGTCACCAGCACCTGCATTTATCAATCACGGCTCCTTCCATCTCGGTTCTGCTTAGGTCCCGCTAAGATTTGCATGGCCAATTCGAGAGGCGCCAAATGACCCCCATCAACCAACAACCAAAACAGTGCCCAACGTCCACTTAGTGCCGAGCCAAACGGCCCGGAGCCAACTGCTCACTCCCGCACGCAACTCAGCTCAGCGAGGTAGGGATGGCTGGTCATCCACTCCCTTGCTCATTAATTCACCATTCCAGCGGATAACTTTACCCCTTATCCTTCACCTAGTTAACGGAACCCATTAAGTTATCGCATAAGACCAGAAAGCTTAAGTACTACGTCGGCGCTTTATCGAGTCATGTAAGCATTGCATACGCAACACATCACATTAGTACCCCCAGATGATGCTCGATGCTCAACGGCGAAGCTCTGCTCTGCATCGACGATCTTGACGGCCAAACTCCGCGGCGACATCAACGCTTCCCCGACCCTAGGCAGTGGACCCGGATTGATGCCAGGGGTCTGGGGTCCTCTTCTCTTGATATTTTGATGTCACGTGAAAAGTCGGTTTTCGGCCTCAGGGTCTTACCTACGAAGACAGATCTGTCGACAAAGGGTGGAAAATTGATTAATCGGTCAGCGTCAAGCTTCGTCAAGCTCTTCGAATTCCCCAATCGTCCCAAATTGTGATCCGACCAACCGACCTCTGCGGGCACCTGAGTTCGGCCGAGGCGGGCCACAGGATGCTTGGCCAATGGCTGAGCAACATTCTCGCGAACCAATGGGCAGTCCTTCCGATTCAGCACCACATGCATCAAAATTTTGGGGGCCTTTTCGCTGCCGGAGCCTCACACAACAACTCGAGGACGCGCAAAATCTTCCGCAGCGACGAATAGGGACCGATTGACTTTCGATTCCGAACCTGAGAGCTCTTATTTGATTCCCACAGCTTTAAATCATTCTTCCCAACGGCACAATGGCAAGCAAAATCTCCCCGTTGCTTCTCCAAAATTTCGGCCGGTCCTCCCTCCGGCCAAGCCCTGCCCTTCGAATTGCTCGTGCGGCTTTCTCGACTGAAGCCCCGCCCCCGCCACCGCTCCTCTCCAAGCTTAAAGATGACCTTAAGGCAGCGATGAGGGTGAAAGATACCAACCGCCTCGCCGTTCTCCGCTCCGTTCTCGCGGCTACGGTCAATGCCAGTAAGGCAGACAAACCCATCAGCACGGACTCGCAGTTGGTTGGGGTGATTCGAAAGTTAGCGCGGCAGTCACAAGAGGCTGCGAACGAGGCGCGTCAAGCGGGCAGGGAGGACTTGGTCGAAAAGGAGGAGGCACAACAGCAGATCCTCGAAGCATACGCTTCTGCGAGCGGCCTGAGGGAGATTGGGGAAGCCGAGTTGAAACAGCTTATTGAGTCTGCTAAAGCCAAGCTGTTGGCTGACGGCGTCAAAGAGAAGTCGATACCAGGGCTAATCGTTAAACAATTCCTTGCTCCGGGTGGAACGCTGGACGGGGCAACATTTGATTCGAAGAAGGTGGTTAGTTCCATCATGGAAACCTGCGGGAGTAGGTAGGGTTTGGCAGGGCGATTTGGAAGTCGGCCTCGCAATACCAGATGGATCGACGATGTATGATAGCTGTTTAGCCGCACGAGCTTATAGACACTGCATCATATGTATCAACGTACTGACAGGTTTTAGCGCCGAATATGCGCATCGAGATGCGATCGCGATGTTCCAACCGCGGTTTCAGGATGTCCATCAGGCTGGACCGTATCCCTTCCGTTTATCATTGGTTCAATCTTTGGGTCGATTGACGGCTGCAAGAGACTTGCAGAACAATCGAGCCGCAACGATCGACAGGGGTTGAAATGCAATCATGACGTCCACGCTTTTCCTGTCCAAAATTTAACAGGAGGGTTGGTAAAAGGAATGGGATTTGCTGTGTAACCAAGTCACCGCATACTAGCACCCGAAATGACTATCAAAAAACCGTTTCTCTATCTCAGCACACACAAGGTTTGACGTTATCGAGCGTACTGGCCTAGAACGGGACGGCCGGCTGAGAATGTTACTTGCAGGGTCCTCTCTCCGAGTCATGACGAAGCACGCGGGCGATAACGGCAACATGGTCGAAACATCATGACGCGAAGACCTTGGATAAGGCTAACCCAAACTTCACTAGTTGCCATGCTGACAACAGATACAGATGTGTTATAACAGCAGTGTTATTCAAGTCCAGTTTACAAAACCTCATAGTTTGTTTTCGCTACGGTGGGTTGCTGGTTTTTTCGCTCGCACTCGCGCACTAGGAACGTATTATACTTTTACGACAAGGATAGCAGGAGATTGGGACAATGGCAACTTACACGTCAACTTCTCCCGCCGTCCAGCTGGAAAAGGCCATCCTCACCACCAACCAGCCATCAATCTCACCAATTCCCACCATCACCTCCTATCGAGCAGATCCAAACCGCACGCCACACGAAACTAATCTGGAAGCCGAGCCACAGCGAGGGCGGAAACGCCAACGGACTTTAGAAGACCCCCCCTTGGACTCGAGTACCACCAGTGCCAAGCAGCAACAGCAGCACCTTTGCCCAAGAGAAAGGCCCGGCCCAGGCTCGACAGAATCGTCCACTTTCCGCGGCCGCTGCCGTCGCCGGTCAACATCCCCCTCGCTATCGTCGGCCACCACGACCCCAAGTGAGAGCGCGCATCCTCACCCCCGCCGCTTCCCCCTTAGCCATGATCGGTTGTACCATAACCACAACCAGCACTACCTACCCGGACCAGCAAGATTCTTGCGGTTGGGACAGATTGAACGGGAACAACGTCCCGAACGAGACAGGCATGGGTCACGACGGAAGGTAGTGGGACGAAGTACCAGCAGCGAAAGCAGGGACAGAAGAGAAAGAACAATAACCAGGCGGACCAGCAGAAGCAGGCGCAGAAGAAGCCAGAGTCCTTCACGGTCAAGGTCTCCTTCTCCCGCTCTCGACGTTGGGGAAGAGCATCGTTTTGGACCGGTGTTGGGCTCGGTATTTGATCGGCCGGGTGTAAGAAAGCAGACAGCCACTAGTTCGTCAACTCGGCGTGCTAGAAGCGGGACCCGGAGACGGAGAAGGCAGAGAACCAGGAGTCGCAGCCGGGAACACCGGGATAAGTTAGGTGAGGAGGATGACGGCGGTGAGATTGGGGCTGTGGCTAGGGGGGTCGCGGCTGGTGGTAGTGGTGATGTTGATATCGCCCGGATTGGCGGTAGCAGTGGTGATCGTGGTGGTGAGATCGAAAGTGGGGGTGGGGCGATGTCGTCGGCAGTTGGCGAACATGGAGGACCCGCGGATTTCGGGTGACGGGAGAGTGGTGTGGGGGTTGCGCGTCGCGCATGGTTGCACCGGGGCTGGGGGTGTGGGATAGTGGGGTTCAGAGCTTCGCAGGGGAGTCACGAGGGCTGCTGACCTTCCGATTTTTTCCTGAGGAGACTCCTGTTCCGTCTTTCTCGGCCCCTTCCATTTTCCATCTGAGCTCAGGGAATTTAAAGTGATTACCTAATTAATTCAAGCTCTCCATTGTCTGAAATGTACGGAGTACACATGGACGTGATTCTCAAACGTAGAACCCCAAACAGCAACGCCTTGCTGGCTTTAACTTATAGGGTCTGATTCTCTTGAATAAATAAAAACCTCGAAGGTCAACCGGAGTCTGTTAGTCGAGCTTCTCCATGGGGACCTGGGAACATGGCCAAGATATCTCGGGCAACCATTTGTCAAAACTCTGCAAGCTTAAAGTTTGTTAGCCAATAAAATGAGCAACGAAATGAAAGGAAGGACAACACCGCAAAGAAACAGAAAGTACCTTGCAAGTCTCAACTCCACGTCTTCTCCTTACTCTTGTTCTTCAACTGACTCTCCGCATAATCTTCGACTGGCGAAAGGAGGAGCGGTGAGTGTGACCTTTTGAGTTGCACGCCGGGACAAAAATTCCCGAACAAATCTCAACCTCTGCCAAAGGTTAAATGGGATCTTTCAAGTTAAAGCCGTGCACGGTGCGGGGGATCTCTGAGGTCCGTCCCAACTTGTGCCGGCGGTGACCCCTCTGCCAACATCCACCATGTACGTATCTGCCTTACCGAGTTTACGTACGAGCTGCGCCCCAGATTGGTAGAGGGGCATTGTTGTTTCGGAGGCGAGGCTCTGAGCCCCTCAGCCAAGGCAATGAGAGAAGGAGCTCAAAGTTCCATGTTGGGCAATCCTGCATTTGCACTCCCTCCCGGGGAGCCTCCCCTGACGCATGCTATGTACGTCGCGTGAAACCCACAGTGATTTTTGCATGCGGCCCCTTGAGTGCTTAGGCTATTATTAAGGGTCCAAGGAATGCCATGGGAACACCAAAATCGACAGCTCACAAAGATCGGGTTACACACTCGAACACTTCTGCTCTTTATTCGGTGAAACGGGAGATGGCAACCTAGATAAAAAAGTGACCCGCAAAGGTCAAGTGTGCTGGGCTCGGTGTGGCACGTGCCAGTATTTCCACCGCAATCTGTGCAGGGTCACGAGGACCTATGGCGGCCAGTTGATTGCGATAACTAAAGCTTCTAGCCTTCAGAAAGTGACGGGAAGAGCAACGGCAGCAACCATAACCAAGAACCCGTTGCTTCCTAGCCCAACCGCCGTTGTGGGCATTTTTCGTGGCTTCCATTAGTTACCTCTATATTCTCTACCTGGTTCTGAAAATCCAAATGTGACCAACTTTTGCGCTTTTGGCCTAACCCGCCTTCAGAATCCATTACCGGTTCTTTTTCTTGGCTAAGGCCTTCTCTATTTCCCTCTGCAGCGACCGCTGAACCCTTCTTCCTCTTCCTTTGGGTTCCCTTCTCCTGCTAACTAGTTAACGAACGCGAGATTTCCGTTAACTACGCCTGCAAGGATACCCAGCAAGGGAAAGCCTTCTCTCTCGCAAAATCTTGTTTCTTCTCGATTTTCGCCTTTGCAACAAACAAGCCGATCTTGCCTGTGATGATCCTGGGGTTTTATTACTGAGATCGCTGGTGTTTCTGGCCCAAGGAACTGCGCCGAGATTTCTGAGCAAGTGCGTCGGCAGTCGGCCGCCCACAGCACACCTCGGTGAGTCTTCGAGTCGATTGCGGCCTCTGCGGTTGCGGTGCAAACTCGCCTCACACCGCTCCAAATCCAACATCCTCTTTCTTTCTTACTTACTTCAAACCCCCAACACTCTCAATCCATCGTTGGCCACCGTTTGGCATGACACCCACTCCGATACTAATTCCGGCTTTAGACCCCACCCTGTCTTCCAAAACGGCATATCGCCTCTCACCCCGAGCGCGACCAACATGTGGTCTCCGGCTGCTTTGTTGAACCCGGGCAAGGCCGGGCCTGACCCGCCGCCCCGGCCTCAATCTGCCGGTGCTATTCCAACATCGTCAAGCCTCCCAGTTGCCTCGTTTGTGCAGCCGGACATGTCATTCCAATTTACCAATCCCGGCGAGACCCTGGCAATCGATTTTGCCGGTGTCCCTGCTGCGACTCCCGGACCTGGCACCGAGCAGTACGGCCTCCATCACCCGGTTCCTGCCTCGCCGGCCTTCCAAAACCGCTTTGGCCGCACCATCGAGCGCCTGCATAATTTGCAGGACCGCAGTGCTGTGCCCCAGCCAAAGCGTAGGAAGACCACAAACGAGAACGACCCTACCCCCCTTCTTCCCACCCATAACTCCTTCTCCGGATTCCCTGGGGGCCCGGGCACAAGTATTCTTACCCAACACATCAAGCACCAGCAAATCCCGGAACTTAGCCAGGCCACGCCTGTGCGAAAACCGTCCGAGACGATTGACTTGACCTCTAACGATTCGGAGCCCGCCAAGCCCGTTCAAACGCCCAAGGACCCCATCAAGAACGAGGAAGTCTGCTATGGAATGGTGGAGAGCGCTTCGATTAACTGTCACCGCGTACCATCACCCAAACCCGGCATGGTCTCAATTAATGGCGATGGCTATTGGCCGCAGGTCAAGGTGGTTCTAAAACGCAAGGCGGGTGACCAGACATGCAAGATCTATGTCTACGATCACACTCGTCACATCTTTGGAACCGTCGATGTCAAAACTGCTGAGTGTCTTGCTCCTCTCCTAGACTCGGCGCTCCAAATTCGGACGGATTGTCGGATTCCTTCCCGGCGGAAGCAGCCTGGGGAACAGATGGGGCAGCCGGCCTCATTCGCCTGCAAGTTTGATCTGATGATCTATGGCCCTCGCAAGTACGCCAATCAGGTGGGCAACCATCTGTTTTCTCGGAAACTCAACCTCGTGAGCCCACCGCGTGTTGAGAGCGGGGTCAAGGTGTTCAATCCTCTAGCAACTGAAAATCGACACACTCCAGCTGCTCGGAGCAGTGCGGGCAGCAGCCACCAATACCGACCCATGGCGGTGGTACGCACGGCGGAGGAGATCCGCTCCGATGTTCTGGGCGTCTTCGATTCCCTTCCTAAATCTGAAGAGCTACCCGAGGCGGACCCCGATCCGCGAATCCAGACTGCCTTACTCAAACACCAACGGCAAGCCCTCTACTTCATGACGGCTCGCGAGTCGGAACAGCTTCCTGACTCCGGAAAGGGCCTCATCACGTCCACTTGGCAACGCAAGAAGGATCGATTCGGCGCCGTGGCCTGGTACAATGTGGTCACGAACCAAACGCAGCGAGAGCAGCCACCCCCGACACTTGGCGGTATCCTGGCCGATATGATGGGCCTCGGGAAAACTCTCAGTGTGTTATCGCTCGTCACCAAGACCCTTGACGCTGCCGACCAGTGGTCACAAACACCCCCTCTCCAGCCCAAAGCACCCGAGCGGAAGCCTCAACATCAGTTCGAGCAGTTTGACGTGCCGAAGCCAACATCGCTTGAATTGACCCTCTTGCGACAAAATGCCAAGGCCACTCTGCTCGTCTGCCCCCTAAGCACCGTCACCAACTGGGAAGAACAGATCAAGCAGCACATTAAGCCCGGCACCATGACATACCACGTTTATCACGGGCCGAACCGTGTGAAAGACGCTGAACAGTTGGCGCAATTCGACTTGGTCATCACGACTTATGGCTCTGTCGTGAGTGAGCTCAACTCGCGAAGCAAGAAAAAGCGCGGCGCATACCCTCTCGAGGAGATTGGTTGGTTCCGCATCGTCCTCGATGAGGCACACACCATCCGTGAGCAGAACACGCTAGCCTTCAAGTCGATTTGCCGGCTGCAGGCAAACCGCCGATGGGCCGTCACTGGAACGCCGGTCCAGAACAAGTTAGAGGACCTGGCCGCTCTTCTAGCCTTCCTGAGGCTGAAGCCCTTTGATGAGAAGAGCAAGTTCTTGCAGTTCATCATCCAGCCGTTCAAAGCTGCGGATCCTGAGATTGTACCCAAGCTTCGGGTCCTGATTGATACCATCACGCTTCGTCGCCTTAAAGACAAGATCCATCTTCCCAAGCGCACCGATGAAGTCATCAAGCTGGACTTCACGCCTGAGGAACGTCAGGTGTACAACTGGTTCTCGAAGACGGCACAAGACCGCATCCGGGCCTTGACCGGCCAGGGTCTAGGCCAGGAACGCATCGTAGGTGGTAGGACTATGATACACATCCTGCGGTCGATTTTGCAGCTCCGCTTGATTTGCGCCCATGGCAAAGATCTCCTTAGTGAGGAGGATCTCGCTGACCTCCAGGGCATGACCGCCGAGACGCCCATTGATCTTGACAGCGACGATGAGGATCATCGGCCCGTCCTACACGAGAAGAAGGCGTATGAAATGCTGTATCTGATGCAAGAGGGCAACAGTGACAACTGCTTTCGATGCAACGTCAAGCTCGGCGCCGCGGAAGTGGATGACCCGGAGTCCGATCGCCAGGACGACATTCTTGGTTACATGGCACGATGCTTCCACGCTATTTGCCCGGCCTGCGTAAGCCCGCTGCGGAACGAGCAGAACGGGTGTGAGGGGTGCTCGGGGCTCACGAAATCATCTTGCATCGAGCTGCGGCGCAAGCGCGCTGATGTCGAGCACGAATCTCGTGCGATGAAGAATAAGGCTTCCACAGGCAAAACAGTCTCCGGCGACCGCTACAATGGCCCACACACCAAGACCCGAGCCCTTCTTGACGAGCTGCTCGTCAACAAGGAGCTGAGCTCCATTTCCCCTTCGGAGCCACCGCTCAAGTCGGTTGTCTTCTCCGGCTGGACCTCACACCTTGATCTCATCCAGATCGCACTGGACGACGCCGGGATTATCTACACCCGTCTCGACGGCAAGATGTCGCGCACGGCCCGCAACGCTGCCATGGACTCGTTCCGCGACGACCCTTCGGTGCAAGTCATCCTAGTCAGCATCATGGCCGGCGGTCTCGGTCTGAACCTGACGGCCGGCAACAGCGTCTTTGTCATGGAGCCGCAGTTCAACCCCGCTGCTGAGGCACAAGCAGTGGACCGCGTCCACCGTCTCGGCCAAACACGCCCAGTCCGCACCGTCCGCTTCGTCATGAGGGACAGTTTTGAGGAGAAGATGCTTCAGCTACAGGACAAAAAGAAGAAGCTGGCTAGCTTAAGCATGGATAGGGATCCGAACGACCGGATAACTGACCGCACTGAAGCCGCCAGGCAGCGACTGATGGACTTACGCAGCCTATTCAAATGATCGACCATGGGTCCGACTTAGCACAGTGGTGCCCGAGAACAACAACCGATACTCTGCATCAATCAACACAATAACACACACGCCAAGGTTATGAAACGATGTTATCCCTCTTTCCCTTTTTTCCCTTTTTCTTGACGACAAACACCACGACGACAAGAACGACCAGCAACTGGTATTATTCCCTTTTTCCTAGGACATCATCATTCTTCCACAGCATTTCTCATTGCACAGATAAGGCGTCGAACAAAGGGAGAGGGAGAGAACAATCCACTGGGACTATCGACAGGGAGAAGTCGGCAGTCCCAGCATTATTTCTCTCGGTGCGCATTTTCAGGCCGTTGCTTTTCCGTGGGGGTTGCACAGGTAGTCTTTTTCGGCTGGGACATTACATTCATACAGGCGCTGCACGCATGGCGAACTGGGAGCAAGGGTGGGGGGCCCGGGATTAGGAACGGCTCATGATATCTAGTCGTTATTATTTCCTTCTTTCTTTCTATTTTCAGGCGGTAGATGGGGTATGCATGGTGGATGCGTTGGTGGTCCGACATTATTTCGGTCTTCCATTTCCCAACGATCTTGCCACCATTTCCTTTGGGGGCACGCCTGAGTGCATCTACCCTCATGAGCCAGCTCTCTCTAGATATTCTAGGGATTGAGACCATGGCTGGAGTTAGGCTGGTAATAATGGGGTTCTGCTACAGACGGGGATTTATTTGCGACAAGAACCAACAAACATCATTATTGCGTTTTTTTTCTCTTCAGTTATTTTCTACAGAGACATACATACAATCCCAGCATTGATTCATTAGATCATAGTTTCCGAACCGCCGTTTTACAGCGTCATTGTCACGGTTGCTGCTTTGAGAAGTTCATCTTGGTGTTACTGCGTCCAAGGTAACAAGTCCGAAAAAGGGGTACAGGTTAACAGAACCACAGGCATACCAAACATATATTCAAAAACAACCCGCACAACTAAAGCCTCTCTCTCATTCAAGTCCTTGTCTCGGGTATTCCGCAATTAACATAAATTATACAGACCCTGATCAGCGTCACTACCACTTCCCAGTCCTTTCTAACCTTACCCTCGTACCGCATCATCGCGGTGCAGCTTGCTCGTCATCACGCACCACGCACTCCATCATCGATTACTCCTGCGTGCATATATACTTCCACGAATACATAAATAGGCACACCATGCACGTACCTATAGCAAATACGTTTTTTGATCCAATCGTCACTCGTCAGCTGTTACAAATTGTGTGCGTAGGGGATACAAAACTCTATTCGTCCTCATCACTCCTTCATACTGAGCCTACAGATTTTTCTACCCCTTAGGTTAGAATTACCATACCGCCCTTTATAGAGTGATGTTGGATTGTACACAGATGCCGTGCACTACACTAATATCCTGACCCTTGAAGAGTGAGCCTTCGAAGAATATGAGGCTGAATAACCTGTTTGTCTTATCGGCTGGGACAACCACCATTGGGACGCCAACATTAATATCTTGAGAAAATGCGAAACGTACGGCAAGGAACGCAACAATTTGCACAAAGAGGAGGATATATAAGATCATTTTTTGTCTTTCACATTTCAGGTCTCGTTAATGCTTATAGCCATGCCAATGCCCGCGCCATGAACCAAACCCAAACCGTTTCCCCAATTCTCATAACGCCTAAAAAGAACCCCAAAAAGCAGATAAGGTACTTTTTCTTTTTTTCGGCGCGTGTGGCCGCAGTGTCTACAAAACCCGTTCGATAACCGACGTCTCTAACCTTCTCCCCACTAGCGGGTTAGCATTAAAGGGGTCTCGAATCCAGCGTTATCGCTTTTCCCCCCAAATAGCCCTTAGCACTAGGCGGCATCGGCAGTAGCGATGGGTCGCCCGACACGGGTGATTTGGTCGCCGGCACGAACGATGCGTTGGCCAGAAGAGTCGGTGATAGCGTTGACGTCTTTGTTCTCGGACTGGGCACGCTTCCAAATCTCGACCTCGCAGCCACCCCGCAGGACACCAACCCGCATAGTGGAGAGTAGGTTGTGGGCGCCGTTCGAATGGTCGTAGACACCGCCGTTGAAAACAGCGGTGGCGTCCTTGCCAATAGCCGACGAGATGAGAGCCTTGCCACCGGGGTGATCAGCAATAAAGTTGCCAACGTCATGGATGACACCAGCAACAGCGATCCAGGCTTTGCCGTTCTTGGACTGCTCAACGAAGTCGTCCCAGCTGACAACGGGGAGACTCTCGAGCGGGGCGCCCCAATCAAGGGTGGAGCGCTGCTTGTCAAGCTTCTTCTGGAGCTGCTGGACGCGGCCCTTCTCGATCTCGTTCTGGGGGAAGGTCTTGAGGTTGTAGGCGAGGCCGAGCTGCTTCATGGTCCAAATGAACCACTTGGTGGGGTCGTATTGCCACCACTCAATCGCGTTACGGAAGTCGCTGGGGAACTCGTGGTGGAAGCTAGGAACGCTAGTTAGCGAACTGAATCTCTGTAGCGTAGCAGCGAAAATCACGAGGTACGTACTTGTGATAACCTTCGCCAAGGGTCACAAGAGCGGTGATGACGTGATCCCTCGGTGAGTTGCGGTCGTCGAAGGGTTGGTCACCGAGCCAGTGGGCCAAGCTGTTGACACAGAAGGTGGCTTGCTGGACGAAAAAGCTAGAAATCGATTAGTAAAACGCCCTTAGGGTCGCAATGTCAGAACTTGATGCGTACATTCTCAGAATACCGCCATAGACAAAGCCGCCGGCAAAGTCACCCCATCCGAGACCGCAGATGAGGGTAGGCACAACCAGGGCCATCGTGATGACCGACTTGAGGTAGTTCCGGTGCTGCCACACAACAACAGCGTCGTCGTTCAAGTCGGTGATGTCGGTACGGCCGATACGGCGGGGGTTCTGCTTCATGACCATCCATCCCAGATGGCTGTATAGGAGACCCTTGCGAACAGAGTACGGGTCTTTCTCGGTATCGGTATAGCGATGGTGGGAGCGGTGGAGGCTTGACCACCAACGGGCACTGCCCTCAACGGACGCGGCGCCACCGGCAGCGAGGAAGATCTTGAGGGGAAGGGAAGCCTTGTAGCTGGAGTGGGCCCAAAGACGATGATAGCCAGCGGCTGGAGCAATTGTTAGTAACTTTTTGATGATCACTCTCTTCCTCCCGTTTCGCGAACTTACTGATTCCAAGGCCGGAGAAGAAGTAATACAAAACAGCGAAGATCGCCGTCTTATATTGGAGGTTGACCCAGTACGAAGCTACCAAGCCAATAGCCGGCACGACGATGATGAAGTAGGTGTTGAGCCAGTTGACATGTTGCCACCAGTTGGTCCAGGTAATTGGCTGGTCTGTGATGTCTGTGTACCCGGTCTTGTCAGCAAGACATGTTCTCAAGCAGCGTACGATGGAACTGGCGAGGTCACTCACGAGGCTTGCGGAGATCATAGGTCCTCTTCCGCATGGGAACATGGTCGGTGGTGCCGTCCGGGAAGGTCTCGGCTTGGGCGACCGGCACCTCAGACGAGGAAGACGACGCCATGGCGAACGGGGATGGCAAAGGCCGTTCAGCAGTCGTTCGCCGCGTCGATGTTGATACGAAAAGGTGTTGGCTCGGGTGCTGGCTCACTCGAGTTGGAGAATGGGTGGTCGGTAGGTGTGTGGGAGGCGGGGCGGTGGACGGTTTTTCGATGTGAAATCGAAAGACAAAGCCGATCAAGTAAGGGCAGAAGAAGGAGTAATCTGGCGGGAAGGTGTATTATACGGGAATGCAGAAGCACAAGGGTGTGGGCAACGTTTTAGCGGGGCGGTTGAGGTACCGTTCTCCAGAACGCAGGTCCCTTGCGCGTGCTGCATCCAAGAACAAATTTCAGTGTTCAACAAGCGGTCGGTGCTTCAATTGGACGAAATGGGCGCACATGCAAACGTCAACAGGCGAGTGTCAGAGCTGCCGTGGGCTTTGCATCACTGGGGAGCTGGTTGCCACTTCACCCGTTGGGGGCTTGTCAGGGCTGCCGCCAATGGGATGAACCCTCTCTGCCTCGACGCGAACCAGTTTCTCACCTTACGGTCACGGCGGCCGTTCGGTCGTAGCCGAGGGAAGGAAGTGGCGGCATGGCCTTTGCGCTGGAAACGCACCTCCCTACCCAAACGAGGCCAGCCGTTGCTCCGGCCAAAATTGTTGAGGAAAGCGTTGGGGAGGTCTTGTGAGGCTTGGCAGGCCGTCTGAAAAGCGCGGGTTCTAATTGGCTGCCTGCATCAAGGAAGTCGCGATCTGGCCTGCAGCGCCCCACATGGCCACATTCTCGAGGTTCAAAGCGTGATAAAAAAAGGGAACGAAAATCGGTCCAGCCGCCGAATTCTTCCACTGGAAGATGGTGGGAATGGGAGACAACGCTGGATTGCGGGGGTTCGCCGACTTTCTTTCAACCGTTTTTATAATCACATGTCAATTCATCTCGTGATGTCGGTCGGGTTGTTCGCCTGTCTCTGGAGGTACCATGTACATAGTCCGGTTCACCAATTTGGCCCCTCGCGAAGTACCGGAAACTGGGGAAAGACAACCGTTCCTTCGGTTCGCCAAATTGGGCATCTCCTCTCCTTGGTCGGCCAACACCACAATGGCAAAGTCAACAATGATTGTTCGTCCAGACGTGACGAACCTGGGTGACGAGCTCGACCCCACAGAGACGCAAGCTACAAGAAGCTGGAGTCAAAGAGAGCATCAGCCCTGTGAGACGGTTGTCGTGGGTTCCACAAGCCGCGCCAGCAATTTGGGGACAGGCGACAGACATGGAGCCTCGGCCAGTTGAAAAGCCAGGCGATTGTCAATCCAATACCAGCACGGAAACATGTGATATATGGGATCGATGAATACATTTTCTCGCGCCGCCGCTAGTGAAGTGGCCTCTATATGTATTTCGTCATTTTCGACATCAACGGACTTGGCGGAACCGACCCGATGTTATCCAGCGCCGGAGTCGCCACACCGGCTCCGGCCCGGAATATGACCCACTTGGTCGGCGCGGCGTAGGTTCTTGGCATTTCGGTCCCGACGACACCCGAAGGAGTTTGGCGCCACATTCGGCTTGCCTCCGATGGATTCAACAGAACCACACGGTCCATAAGGTTGATATCATACCTTTACACCTTTACTTTTGACATTGATATTGTTTCTCTTCGCTTTTTTCCCCGGTCGAAAAAAAACGATATTTCCAGTAGGAAAACAAAATCGCTGAGAGATTCGTACTAATCTGCTCAAGAAATATTCTCCACATCTTTGATGGGCAATACGGGCAACGTTGCTCGGACCTTATTTTTGTTGAAATGCTTACCTGTAATACCCTGCTTTTCCCGCAATGATCCAGACTGCGCGGCTTTCAAGACGTAGTCACTACATACCATATGGCTCTTAAATGTTGTGGCCTACCGCCCGACACCGAGTCAAACACAATAAACCTGGACTCATTTCAATTGCATCCGTGGCAAATAGTCATATAGTTTCACTACGACGTCAGCTGTAACTAAACCGACATTCGACACATCACATCGTAAATCATCAAGAATACCGCCGCCCAGACCCATTCCCGTGTCCTAATCACCCTTAACACTCGGCCCGCCCGTAGCGCTTGCGCCCCTCCCCCGCTAATATAGTCGCGAACCCCAGAACCGAAATGGAAATCATGAAACTATAATGAGAAGAAACCAGGTTCGGAAGATGACTATGTGGCGTGTAGTACCGGTCAATAATGGTAAAAGCGAACTTGAAAAACAGAAGGTTTGAGTGTGACAATAAAATCAAGGCAACGAACAAAACAGACAGCGAACCGAGAACGATATATATATGAATAATGAAAAAAGAAAGGAAAAAAGCCATGGCATGTGCAAAATTAACAGAACGACGCAAACCTCCCAAACCCAAGCCCCGCTCCCTTTACGCAGCCACTTTCGTATCCCTTCCCTTACCCTTACCCTTACCTAACCCCTTTCCAAAATCCTCCTTCAAACCCAAGCCCAAATCCAAATCCATATCCGACCCAAGCGCCTTCAATTCCTGATCCAACTCCGAAGCCAAATCCGAGTCCAAATCCAAATCCGAGTTTAAATCCAAGTCTCTGTCGATATCCATTTCCATGACCATGTCCAGGTCGGTATCCGCGTGCTGTCGTTGTTTGTTCTCGTTGTAGCTCGAGTTCTTCTGGCAATGGCGCTGGTGGTAGTTGCCGATACTATTACGATTATTACCGGTAATATGTGGGCCGAGAGTGTCTGGATCGTACGCGGACCCAACGCCCTTGAGGTCTTCGTCGGAGGAGCGGCGGGGTTGCGAGAGAGCAGTCGTAGGCACCACAGGAGGGGGAGGGAGTGTTGTGGTGGTGGTCATACTGTTGGAGTTAGTTTGCTGTGGCGTTGTTCCTTGCTGCGATGCTACCGCGGCCATCGTTGCTGGCGTAGGTGTCGACGAAACCAGGGCTGTTGTTTCTTTAGCGCTTGCTTGTCCACGGGACGTTTTCGCCGGGATGTGCATGGTCTTGTCTTCATCTCTGTCCATGTCCTCGCCCTCGTCTTCCGTATCGTCGGTTTGGGAGTCGGTGTGATTGAAGGTATTGCTGGTACCGAAGGAAGGAGCATGGGCTGATTGTTCGGTGGTCATCGTCGCCACTGAGGCCATAGCCTTCGCCTGTCGTGCCCCCATCCCCGATACGGACTCAATCGTAGACCTCCTTCTCCTGCCGCGGGACACAGATCGCTCCCGACTCTCACCATCGTAACTGCGGTACTCTCGAGGCGTGCTTGCCCTTTCGGTGGTGAAATCCTTGCCGCTATCAGCCTGCGAAGCCCGTCCAGTGTTATGCTGACCCCCCTTGCCGTCTGCTGTGCTTTGCCAATGGTCCGACATCATCCCCCAGGTCGACGCTTGGACCGAACTTTGGTCGTCATATGTTGCTGCTGTGACCCTCCTCCTCGGCCGTGATCGCCCTCGGCTCACATACGATTCGTCGTCCCCGCTTACGTCTGCCGCAGCGGCAGCCCCTCGGAACCGATACGGCGCATCGGCGTATGTTTCCCCGTGACCCCCCTCATCTTCCCCATAACCGGCCTCGGAGCCGCCTCTGGAGCCTTTCAGCAGGACATCGCTAACAGAGGGTACGGCCGGCATACGGTTGTAGCCATCGGCGGACCAGGCATACATTCGGGGTGGAAACCGTCCCGAATCGTAGTCGCCGTGATTGCTGGGCATCGGGGACGGGGGAGATCGGCCGCGGCTTGAGTAGTAAAACGGCTCTTCGGCAGCAGGGTGGTGGTTACCCCAGCCCATGTACGTCCAATCGTCGGGTGGGCGGACTGTCCTGATCCGCGGCACACCAGGCGGAGATAGGTATTCGGGACGGGGATTATCCCGGCGTGTCAGCGACAACGTCAATTCGGCGGCTGGACCGCCGTTCTGCATCGTGTCGTCTAACTCTGGGAACCACGCGAGTAGTTTGCCAGCCTGGAGCCGCTCCTTGGGATCGGGATTTAAACAAATGCCCACAACTTCCCGGTACCACGCTGGTACCGGGACATCCGTTGGGATGGTCAGAGGACGGCCGGCTGCATCCGGCTCATCCCTCTGCATAGCCAACGCCCAGAGGACCATGCCAAGTTGGTAAAGGTCCGACTTGACGCCAATATACATGGAGATTCGCTGGTTACTTTCGACGAGTGGCGTTACTTCCGGCGGCTCCCAACCAATAGGGCACCCGCGACGGTTGATGTCGATAATTTTTGCGTTATCGTTTCCGTCGATGACTATGTTGGATAAGGTAAAGTCGCCCTGGACAAATCCAGCTTCGTGGATTTCAGACAGCCCACTGACAATTTGGCGAGCCCACCTCTCCCGTCTTGGCCAGGATAAAGAGGGTTGGTTGTCGAAGATGACATCGATCAGAGGGCCTTGTGAGGCGTAGCTAATCAAGAGACCCGTGATGTTGTCATCTGTATCGTCGACAACTACGCCGTAGAATTGTATGACATGTCGGGACCCGCACAGCTGGTTGAGTGCGTTGATCTCGTAAAGAAATTCGTCAACGGTGTCTGGGCCTGGGATTTCTTTCTTGACAAGTAGCTGGCCGTGAACACGAACCCTGTACACGAATCCGGACATGTGCGAGTCAAAATGGATCTCGCGCTCCTTGACACGCCTGCAGTCCATATGCTGGACCATGCGAACAGGAGGGTAGGTAATGATTTCCTTTTCAACTAGTCAGCAAAGGGTACGCTCAACACACCTGGGAGATACCCAGCATAGACCACCCACATTAACGTCTTCGACGACATGAACATGTAGCCTCCCTTCCTTTGTCTCCAGTTTGAGATTTGTCACCGTCTCATAGAAGTCGATCTCCGCTAGACTGTCCCGAATAGCCATGTAGATCTTCTCGCTCTTGTCCCGCTGCAGGAGAGGCCCCGATAGCTCAGCTTCGAGGGAGTCCTTGGGAGCATCGCGATAGTCGAGGGAGACAGTGACCCGTCGCCAATGATGCGCGTGCTGACGGAAAGTCACAAAGAACTTCTCGCGCTTAGACTTGTCACGGAAGTGCATGGACAGGTTGAGGATCCATTTGCGCTCCAGCTCACCCTCGATTAGGGCGTCGTACTGCGAATTGGTCATAGACTGGATCTCTTGCTTCGAGGGGCCATCGGACTCGTGAGTAAAGCGGTCGGTGACAGAATCCCTATCCATGGTAAAGTCGTCGTGACCGAGGTCTTCCAGGGGGCTCATGGGATATCTAGGCGAGGGCGGGCTGCTCAGGAAATGGTGGATGAAGTCCGGCGCGCTGGCCCGCGGATCACTGTTGTTCAGAGCCGCGGCGTTGTCCTGCAAGCGCCTGTCCACCGAGACAGCTCTTCGCTCTGCGGCGCTCGGGAGCACCGCTTCGAGTCGGCTCCGTACCTCGGAACGCTGGCGTTTGAACGTTTGCGTGCGGGGAAGTCCGGGGACGACCTTGCGGGAGACACGTTGAATAATACCGGTTTTGCTGTCATCGTCTTTCCCGTCGTCGTCGTCGTGTTGTCCCGACTGCTGCGGTTGCTGCTGCGGCTGTTGTTGCTCCAGGTTTTGGCTATTTTGGGCCAGCGATGACCCATCGGCCCCGTTATCCTTCCCGACTGCCGCAAAGAACCTACGCCAGCGGCTTTGTGACACTTGGCCGTTCGAGCTTGATAATGGATCTGGCGGTTGAGCGGCGAGCTCTGTGTAGGGTTGAGCCATCAAGCCTGGTCTCGAGGCGGCGCTCTGGGGCGCCGGTGCCGATCCGTGGCGGACGGTCGTGAGCAAGCTCAACTGCGAGAGCGATCTAATAGGGGGTCTTCCAGAATCAACGTGTCCGTCATAGGTGTGTCGTTCACTTGTCTTCTTCCTCCTCTTGGCCGACCTTGCTGAAGAGCTAACTAGCTGCCTCTGCTACGCAAGTGGTACCTGAGAGGAGCAGGAGCAAACGAGCGGAGCTGAAAGTACACTGGGGGGTAGTTTGCTGGAGGTCCATCAAGCGGGGACAGGCGTGTGCATAATTATGTTATGTAGCCGTGAATGGAGGAGAGAGGGCTGACCAGAAAGGCTTCCCAAGTCCCAAGTCCCTCCAGGAAATGCGGCTTGTGAATGAGCCTCACCCAGCAGAACAGGCTGACCGAGAGCAACAGCCAGGCCGGTTCGGTGGGCCGCACGCAGTTGCAGGCGAGCCTCGTGGTCGGGTCGCCCTTTCTAGAGATCAACTGCCGGTTCAAAGCTTTTGCAGCCCGTTGTTGCACCACCGAAGCATCGCAGAAGATGAGGCGAAAGGGGGGGGGGGGTGGGGGAGGTTGAGGAGGGTGGGAACAGGTGTAAGCTGGCTGCTTCAACAGGGCGAAACCATCTGCAAGAAGTGTTGGGTCGGGTTTCTGGTGGTCTCGGCGGAGGGGATGATGGAATAAAGTCAGAAATTGGGCGGGATGACGGCGGCTAACAGCGAAGCAACAGCGAGCAGCAAAGCAGGCCAGGAGGGTGTGATGACCCCCGGGTGGGACAAGAAAGTAAGAACGGCTCGAAGCGAGGTGGGATGGACGGATATGGATGGATGGATGGATTGTTTTCGATTGATCCAGCGCAACGGTCAAAACACTCAGGACAACCAAGACTAAAACGATGACGGGCCTTTCCACTGTCCGCTGTCGCCAATTGCTTCTTGTCGCGGGTCCGGCGCAACTCTAGCTCTCTCATCCGGCTCGTCAGCTGCATGCATCGTTGCAGTCGCTTCGGATTGGTCTCCCCCGCGACCAGCCCTGCTGTTTTGTGTTTCTCTCTTTCTGCATGCTGCACGAGGAAGGAGAAGGGGTCGGGGTCGGGTTGAGGATTCTCGAGGGGCTGTGAGGGACGACGGAAAGAAGGCGGGGTGCGATGTTCAGCAACGACCACTGAACTGTGGGGCAAGGCGGATGACAGGGGGGCGATTTGCTGGAGGGTTGGTGGGGTGCAACACGTGTAACAGCGTTGATGGGCAGAGAGGTTCGTGACCATGTCCGCACCAACCCCAAGACGGCCGCAGGGTTGCTCCCCTCTTCCAGCTCCCGACGATATCATGGAGGCTCTGGCAACGCCTGCCAGGCCTTCTTCGAAGGTCAGCACTCGAGCTTCCCCCGACATTTTGACATTTTGTGCATGATGATTTGCGTCATGTCTTTCAAGGCCGCGGCAAAACATCACCTTAGTCTGGTGAGCGGAGGATTTGTTGAGGGAAGTCCAAGGGCCCACAGGTGAGGTCTCTTGGGAGCTGGAAACGGCTTCCCAAGGCCGCTGGGAGACTGCCCGGCTTTGGCGGTTGTCTTCCATTTCGGGCGGGGAGAAAAGCCAAGAGAGGGCGAAAACACCGAGCTTGACTGCAAATGGTGGGGGTCGGCCGGGGGTGTTTAAGGGCACGTGGGGTCATTGTTCCCCTTTAGGGAAAGAGGGTTCTTGTCACTGTTGCTGTTCCCTTTCCCCTCGCGACTTCCTTTGCAGTCTCTTATCCGATCTCTCTTGCCCAAGTTCACATGAGATAGGCCCTAAGCTCGTGTGAGCCTGAAACGGATCGGATAGACGAGTTTGAACCACCTCATCCATCCTTCTAAAAACTATGATCAGTAACAAAGACGGCTGGGGGGCCACGGAGCTCCCAGTCAGCCGCTGTTAACGGTGCCGTCGCGCGTAACAGGCGGCCCGGATACAGATCGAGACCGGGGCCGGAAGCTGAGCCGCACCGCCAAAAGTATCCCAACCCGTGGTAATGGGTTCCTTGTCTTCTTTTGCCTCTCTATCTTCTGAGCCAATGGGCACTGGAACCGACCAACACACAGAAGCGGGAACGGCAGCGCCGCCGTTGCCCGGCCCAGGTCCAGGACTTTACTTTTCTCGCCCAGGGCAATTGATGAGAACTGGGACCCTTATGGTTATGTAAAGTAAGCCATCGACTCCGCATCGAGGTAATTGGAAGTGTAAGTTTGGCTTCACTCTTACAGGGCGAAGCGGCTCGCACAGAGAGAGGATAAGTACACAAACCTTCCCATTGCCATGTCTCCGGAACGGCATTACTGTGTACCCTAACGAAAATTCCGAAGGCACGGCACCTTAGGATTCCCCGGTTGTACTGGTGAGATAGGTACATGGGAGTTATCCCATTCTGTCTTTTGCAGCAGCCCCGCGCCCGAGGGTTGGTCCGTCGCCTTCCACAGCATTGCTGCCCAAAAACAACCCTCAGCAACCCCTCGACCAATCCTTCGCACTCGCTCCCGCAGGGAGCTAGATGCGCCCGGCACGTCAAGGAAGCAGGGCTGCATGCAGCAGCTGCCCATATCCAATGTCTTTTGCTCATTGAATTTACAGTTGCGTCCTCTGTTCATCCGTCACGTTCCGAATGCTGCCAGGGAAGACGCGGGCATGTCAGATTGGGATTGGTAGAAGACACGAGGGATCGATGTCATCAACGGTGAGCTGTTTCTTGAGTGCTGACAAGTTTCCCAACCGCTTCCTATTGGAGACGTGTCTCAGATCGATCGCAGATATGTATGTACGTGCTTGACCTGAGAATCACGCCCATCATCACCAATCGTTTTCGAATCTGGAAAGCCGACGCTAGGAACCAGACGCAGGCCCCGAATCTCGTCACCTTTCGTAGTCCCACTCCGTCCCCTCGCCGCCGGAATGGTGTACTAGAGAATTCCCTACCCCAGGTCTCTCACCCGAAGGACCACCTCAGGGTCATGAACTCCATCTGACACTCTAACATACCATGCCGCGTAGCCCAACCCGGCTTCGCCCATGGTTCAAGCCCCGCGTACAGCTGGAAATGGGGGTGGCGGTGTAAGACGCGGGAATCGCCAAGATGCTTCCTCGTACGGCAGGTCCTCGTCATCACGAGCCGCACAGCAGAGGAGGGACCTCGCCCAATCATTCCCGCTGACATGGAAAACTCTTTTGGGGGAGGGTTGGAGTTGGTTCTGAGTTGGACGTCACCGATCTGTCGAGAACAACGCAGTGTTGGCCGATATCAAATTGCAACTGTAACCCAACCACACCAGGCTGATTGTGCTGTGATTTACACTTCATGTTTGCCCCGCACGAGAAAAGAGATATGAAGCTCAACCCGACCTTCTCGGCCGGGGCCAATATATGAACATGACGCGAGGGCTCTGGGTAATGGCTATCATGGCCAGGCTGTGCATGATTCTTTCTTCCATTCGTTCCCCCTCCCTTCCCCCAATTTCCATCTCGTGAATGTCCTCGGCATGAGACAACACCTTCTTTACCTTGGCATCACCTAGGAACAGGCGACGCAAACTGTCCACACTTTCACAGCCGAATAGAAATAACACGCTGTAGAATGGTAGAGTGAAGATTTGTTTCATTGCCCTGTGTTATGCACAAGTCGTTAGACCTCGGCTAGATGTCTATCAAGTGGGAAAGATTCCGCCCATCCACGTTCCAGTTTGTGTGGAAGAACACGCTGGGCAAATATATGCATACCCCTTTCCTATCCCCTGCCCTCCGTTTCTCCCCCTTTGAGATTCTCGTAGCCGCAATATCACCTCCTTGATTCGCTCCTAGGTATCCCACATTGGCTTTCTCGCCAGTTAGTTACATACCCGATTCTTTCCTTTCCAGACAAAGATCCAGCACTGTGGATCCGTGGCTCTCCGATCCATCTGTGTTTCTATTTATTCGTCCGCCTGGCCCTGGCCGTGGCCGGACGCACGGTAAATCAACGCTCGGCAAGTTGTGTCGTGTCGGTATTGCAGGCAGAGTCAAGCCCACCGGCCCGAATGCCTTCGACCCATCCGTTGGACCCATCCAAAGTCAACCTCTCCCCTTTACGAGCTGGTTCTCACAAGCAGAAGCGAGAATCATAACGGGTTTCGGCTGCACCGCCATTGGCGCGGGCCAAAGCGAAAAGAAGACCCAGCCTGCACATCTGAGTGGCTCGCCTTCAGCTTCGTCTGTCGTTTTCCACCTTCCCAGCCCCAAGCTCGCAACAACGGCACAGCAACGGAGGAAAGGATGTCGTTCTCTAATCGCTCTTGTCGTCCTCGGAGCTGCCCTCCTTGTCCTTGCTGTTGCTCTTATCCTCCTTGTTACCACAGATTTTACACTTGTTGGCCTTCTCCCGGTCCAATTCCGGGAAAATCAGGTCAAACACCTCCGAATACCAACTTGCTGGGCGGCCTTCAATGCCTTCTTTGATGTTCTGCAAAAGCGGGGAGAAAAGTATTTTGTTAGTATGCGCAGTTGCCGATAGGATCGGGAGTGGGGGGTGTAGTAAGGTGGGGATAACAGGGGATGATGCAGGAAGAGAGAAAAGAGGAAACCGCTAAAAGACTAACCTCAGGAAGCTCCAGCCAGTCAGACATGTTGTCCTGCGGGAACACAATCATCTTGCAGCCCGCGCGGCGCGCCGCCACCGTCTTCTCGCGCAGTCCACCGATGCGGAGCACTTTACCCGTGAGGGTTAGTTCACCAGTCATGGCGACGGTTGGGTCGACGGGGGTGTCGAGGGCAAGCGACAGGAGCGAAGTCGCCATGGTGATACCCGCTGAAGGCCCGTCTTTCTGCACGGCACCCTCAGGCACATGCACGTGGATCTTGGCCTTCTCTAGGAAGTGGTTCTCGGGGAATTCGCGCGCCATGAGAGACTTGACGAAGGAGTACGCGATGGTGGAGGACTCCTTCATCACGGTTTTGAGGTTGCCTGTGATCTCGAGTGATGGCCGGCTCGAGGGCCTCAGCGCTGCCTGGAGGATGGCCTCAACGTACATAGCAGCACCGCCGAGCTGAGTCCAGGCCAGACCCATAGTGACACCCGGCGGAGTGACATCGTAGAGCCTATCGGATGTGAAGATCGGGGGACCGACGTAGTCCTTGAGGTTGTCCTTATCAATAACAACGTGAACGTTCTCGGGGACCTTAAGCGGTACCCTAGGTTTCTCGGTAGCCTCCTTCTCACCCGCTTCCTTGCTAGGCTCCTGCGCCTTGCTTTCCTTCTCCGACTCTTCCAAGGCCGCCTTACCCTCGTCGGTCAACGCCTTGTCTTCGGGTAGCGCCTCTTCTCCAAGGTCCTGGACGATCTTCAACGCGGATTTGCGGTAAACCTTCTCAATCTGCTTCTTGAGGTTTCGTACTCCAGACTCCCGACAGTACGACTTGATAAGCTCCTCAATGGCAGTCTTAGCGAGCTGCACATCTACCTCCTTGAGACCGGCCAATTCTTGGGCCTGTGGCGCCAGGTATCGCTCGGCGATGGCCATTTTCTCGTCGGAGACGTATCCAGAGAGTCGGATGACCTCCATACGGTCGAGGAGGGGGCGCGGGATGGTATCGGTCATGTTGGCCGTGCAGACGAAGAGTACCCTCGAAAGGTCGACAGGAACATCTAGGTAGTGATCGAGGAAAGAGCTGTTCTGCTCAGGATCAAGGAGCTCAAGCAACGCCGAGGAGGGATCACCCTGGTACCCACGCCCAATCTTGTCGATTTCATCGATCAAAACCAGGGGGTTCTCGGTCTTGCACTTCTTTAACGCCTGGATGACACGGCCAGGCAAAGCGCCGACGTACGTCCTCCTGTGTCCCTTAATCTCTGCCACATCGGTGAGACCACCGACGCTGAATCGGTAGTACTCGCGGTTGAGGGCGCGAGCAATCGACTTGCCGATACTCGTTTTTCCCACGCCGGGCGGGCCAACAAAGCAGAGAATCTTGCCCTCGACCGTACCGCGCAGCTTGCCAACAGCAATAAACTCAAGAATGCGGTCCTTGACATCCTTCAAGCCGTAATGGTCCTCGTCCAGCACCTTCATGGCGTTTTGAATGTTGAAGTTCTCGGCACTCTTTAAGCCCCAGGGGATCTGCGTGAGCCAGTCCAAGTAGTTTCGAGTTACATTGAACTCGGATGCAGCCGGCTCAAGGTGGGCAAGCTTATTAAGCTCCTCATCAAAGACCTTACGGACCGCCTCGGGCATCGCCAACTTGTCGGCCTTCTCCTTGAATTTCTCAACCAGCTTGTCCTTGCCGTCAGACTCAATGCCGAGCTCGCGGCGAATACCCTTCATTTGCTCCGTCAACCAGTATTCGCGCTGGCGCTTGGTGATCTTGTTCTCCACGTCCTTAGTGATCTTGGACTGGAGCTGTGCATTGGCTAGCTCCTTCTTAAGCACCAACAAGGCCTTGTGCATCCTGTCCTCGACATTCAAACTCTCTAGGACTTCCTGAAGCTCAGCCGGCTCGCCAGCGGAGACCGCGGCAGCGAAATCCGCGAGCTTAGCAGGCTCAGAAACGACATTGCCCGCCGATTGACTAATGGAGAACGTCGAGATCTGGTCCCTGAACAAGCTGTTCATGCTGGCGACCTCCTTGAAGACATTAACGATCTCGTTGGTGACAGCCCGAACGACTGGGCTTTTGGGGTCGTGAGGCTCCTCCGTAAGGTTATCGACATTGGCGATGCTGACAGGGAACTTCTTCAGGAAAGAGGTCACTTCGTACGTCTTCTTTGGTGCCGCAGGCTTTTGTTCCACAGCACTCTCCTCGAAGCTTGCCACCACGTCTCCCTTTTGCTGGTCCGCCTCTTCCGTCGCTTTGGGCGGAGCCGCAGGGATCGGTTCCGGAACGGGCGTCTCGGCGACTTTCACAGCGTTGGAGCCACCTGGTGGGATTAAGGATGACAGCCGGATCCTCCTGTGGGGATACAAGATGGCAGTGAGGCCACCGTCCTCGCCGCCTTGCGCGTTCATGGGGAACACGCTGGTGACCTGGGCAAAAACACCAACGTCGTAAACATCGTCCGGGTTTCGGATGACGTCGTCGTCCGCATTCTCATCCTTGAATAAAAAGGCTCCAACATATGGTTGTCCCCGCTTGAACATCTCGGTTATTGCAGCAGCGACGTTGGGATCCTTGATAGTAATGGCCTTGTAGAACCCAGGGAATAGCGGCCGTTTCGCAATAGGGATGGCGAGAACCTGGGGGTAAATTTCTGGCACAACGGGTTTCGTAAGGGCCTTGTCGCTCTTCCGGCCCCGCTTGCCGCTACTCGATCCCGAATCATCCCCCGATGAGCCGGAGGAAGCTCCGCCGGCGGTGCTCCCCTTCCCATCCGACTCTGGTGTGTTCTTCCCGCTCCCCTCTTTGCTACTGGCCGACGCATCGGAAGTGGAGGACTTGGCCTTCGCAGCCTCCGCCTCCTCTGCTTCAGCTTTTTGTAGATTCGCTTTCTTCTCTTCTTCTGAGAGGGGCTCCGTAGCTCCGTCGAAGAATCCCGTTTCCTTCTTCTTCCCGAGAGCAGGGTGTGTCGAGAAGGCTGCAGAAGAAGACGGCCAGCCGCTCCTCAAAGAGCCCTGCAGCCGGTATGCACCATTTCGTCGTTGCTGTAATGATGCAGGGACCGCGCACGTGCTTAGTCGTCGTGATGAGGTTGAGAAAAGGTAGCTTGCTGGTGCGGATAGCCGGAGGGCGCGCTGCCGGGACAGCATAGTGGGCGGCGAGGGAGAAAAAGCTCAGGAGCGCACTTCTAAACGTGAGGATCGATGGGAATGCCGCCCCGTTCCAAGCGGTCTTAGCTCGGTCTGCGACACACGACGGCCGGGAGTGGGGGTGGAAGGAGTCTAAATGCAGCCAAGTTGGAGAAAATACAGGAAGAAGGAAGTAAATAGTGTACAAATTAAAATGCGCAATCCCGAGGCTGCCTAGAACCGTGATGGGTGGGGGATTCAAAAGCAGTTCCAAGAACGTGTGAACGGCTGGGAAGGCCGGGATCCATGCCGGTGATGTCTGAATAATGCGATGGTGGATTTCGGCCGATGGAAGCTGCTGGCAAACAGCTGCAGGCTTGGCGCGCTAGCACGAGTTCTTGGCACACTGGTTAGCCACAGTTGAGGGGGGAGGAAAATTTTCAGCCTCACTCAGAGCGCCTCGTTGCTGCGCTGTTGGGCAAGCGATAACGATCTCCACAGGGGCCTGATGCCCCACCCCCGCATTCACTCACACCCAGCCCGTCATCAAGGCCTAGAATTTGGAGATATCTTTGAAAGGTTTGGGCTGTAAATTGCATATGCTTTCGGATAGAATTCTCTTTGAACCTAACATGCCACAACTGTGTCGCTTACGGTTCTATTGAGTGAGATTTTGCGCCCAGATACCTTCTTATAAAAGTGTTCCATTCCTGACCGATTTCAAACCTTCTTTGTTTCCTCTCCCTCATTACAATCATTGATCCTTCGCTCAACCCTCGTCTCACCATCAACGCTTGGCAACGGCGCTGTTCAACTCACATCCTAAATCGGGCCCAACCAAGCATTGGTCCGATTTATTGAGAGGCCATATGCTTCTATTCGTCCCATTCCACCCTCCTCATCGGATTCCATTTCGTTGTCTCGGCCGGACTATCCACATCATCGGCTCCACCATGTCCTCGAAAGCAAACGACGAGGTCTCCTCCGGCCTAGCCAAGCTCTCGCTCAAAACCGCCGAGCTCACACCAACTAGCCAATTCAAAGCCAAGGCTCCAAAAAAGAAAAATGCCAGTCCCGTCGCAGACAGCTGGGAAGATGAAGTCGACGAGGATGACGAGGAGGCTTCAGGCGCCGAAGACACCACACCCATAGCCTCTTCATCCACCACTACCACTGCCCACGCAGGGACGTCAGCTCCCCCACCAACACCCATGTCCCCCGTGGCCAACGCCACCAAAACCCGAGCATTTTCTCCCCCGGCCACCCTATCTGGACCAGCCGGCTTCACCATCCCGCCCTTTGACGGTGCCGTGGACACCAACAGCATTAATGCGCCGCCGTCGAAGCGGCCCGAAAAAACGGATGCTGTAGCCCGGCGCATGATTGCTAGTGCGCTAGGGATGCGGGCGCCCAGGATGACGGATGAGCAAAAGGCGTATGATCGGGCGGTGCGGGAGAAGGAGAAGAAGCGGCGGGCGGAGGAGAAGGAACGAGAGAGGTTGGAAGAGGAAGAAAGAGAGAAGGCAAGGAAAGCGATATGGGATGATTGATATCATTTTGGGTATTCACCGTTTGGATATTACACTGTCAAAGATAATGGCTGGGGAGGGGGGTTAGTATTGGTACTGATGATCATCTGCCGATACGTCTACAACTGGACGTGGATGCTAACCTATGCTTAAGGGTTCCTGTTCGTATGTGCGCGAGCTTTTAGGTGTTGCTCTCCCCCTATCGATGACCGTCGTAGATGACAACAAAGCTAATGGAGCCATTATACCCCTCTTGGGAAGGAGCGGGGGCCTCTGGGGTCTACCATCGGCGAGGACCCTAAGATAGGTTGGCAAATAAATGTTAAATGTGAATGGGCTAGATGTCATGTCAGTTGTCAACCAAGCAGTAGGGCACCATACTAACTTACCAACTTTACGATCACAGCTCCCAATGCATACACTTGGCGAGAAAATCTGCAGATATCCCGTGTTCTTCACCCCTTCGTCTCCTTCGGCCCCAACGGTAAATTCCTTCCCTTCCACGTTAACACTAACTCTCTCGCATCACCCGAAGCGTTATACTTCATACCCACACCATACCCCTCTAACCCTTCGTCCTCCGCCCTCCGATTCCACATCAACTGCTCCACGTACCCCGCCCGCGAACATGCCACAAACACCATCGGCCACCTACTCCGCGCTAACGCTTCCCGAATCCCTTTCGTCGCCAGCCGTTCCGCCACTAGTGCCCCAATCACCCCGCCATTCGTGCCCCGCCACCCTGCCGGCGCACTCGCAAAAGCCCCTTCCAACTCCCGTATCAGGTGCGGCCCAGGCTGTTGGATAGCCTTGCACTGCGCGAGGACCCGCAGCGGGGTGGTCAAAATGGCAGTCCGGCTACGGGTAGCTGCGGGACGTGGCAGAGTCCAGACGCCTAGGAGATCGATGCCGCCATCGGAACTGCCGCCGACGCGGCGTAGGGAGAAGCCGTAGGGGGAGAGGGCCGCGGCGGTGGTGTACTCGAAGTGGGTGCCGACGTAGACGGTGGAGGACTGGTCAAGGCCGGTGCGTGTGGCGTAGGCGAGGAAGGTGGTGAGGGAGGTATGATGGGGAGATGGGGCGCTGGGGTAGATTAGGGGTTGTTGTTGTTGTTGTTGTGGTTGGAATGTTGGTTTTTGCTGGGGCGTTTCTGCTGATGAAGTGTTTTGGGCGGCCGAAGAACTTGGCGGTTTTTGGTCGGTTTGTCCGTGGAAAGATTCGACGATCCGCCGGTGAAAGCCCCCGGAGACGCTAGAGCGAGTTCTATGTAATAAACCTGAACTAGGAGCAGGCACTTTGCGAAGGAGAGAGACGCGCATGCTGAAAACAACTTTCTTTGTCTTTGGAGAGTTAGATCTCGGGATGGTTTTGCCCGACGTCAAAACTTCCGAAATGCCTGCCGGGTTCGGTCCCTTTCAAAGTACCGGCTGATCTGATTGGCCAGATCTCGTCCGACAAGGTGCTCCCCATAATTTGCCGGCCGGAGCTGGTGGAGCGCCGCGTTAAACAACGTCAATCAAGCAGTGCTCTCCTTGCTCTCTGACGTTCCTTTCCCTACACCAGCAAACGCTCAAGCTTCTCAATACTGCTACCCATTGGAAATTGAGATGATGGACATCCTTACCCAGCTCCAGGAGTCAATGGACTTGGTAAGCTGCCCTCCTCTCCCACCACAAATTCTCAAACCGGGTTCCGCCCCGCTAACCATGCTTCTACCCATCGCAGCTCTGCACCATGTTCATCGCCGGTCTCTACTATAACGACACCCACCACGATCTCAAAACATTCAACGCCAACGACAAGGTCCCTGATCTAAAAGCGGACGCCCCTAAAGAAGGTGCGCTTCCCCTTCCCCTTTCCCGCTTCCCCTCAAAAACAACAGCCCCTCTAACCTCCCACCCCTCTCTCACAGTCCAACCCCTCGACCCGCAGACCTTCAAAGACGGCCAAGCCGAGATTGCCCGTGACATCATCGTACAAGCACAGCGCATCGAGTACCTAGTGTCGGAGCTGCCGGGTCTGCAAAACAGCGAGCGCGACCAACTGCGGATTATCGGCGCGCTGGAGGAAGAGATTGCGGGACTCGAGGCGCAGCGCCAGGAGGCGACACGCGAGCGGGACGAGGTGTTTGGGCAGTTGGATGCGTTGTTGAAGAGTGTGCAGCGGCCATGAGGGGTTTGCTTGGTGGGGTAGTTAAGGCAATGGAACGCCTGGTCGTCGTTTAGCATGGCGTTGGGGGAATTATTCTTGGCATTTCTATCATCATTTTTCTTTCAAGAGGATTTATTTCGGGGATATCATGAGGTGATAGTGTCTTTTTTTCCTTTTCCTTTTTATGGGGTTTGGCGTGCTTCCATAAACCCGGTTGTGCAAACTTAGACCAAATATGTGGCCGCTTCTGTGTGATCCTAACTCTATCATGCATGCTGTGCGTTTGAATCCAAATCCCTGCTCCGCTATCCAACTATCCATCACCTTTCTATAACACCCAACGCAATTAGGTCTCGCACAGCATCTCTAATCTCTATCTTCTCAACCCTCATTCGGGGTAGGGGCCTTCGTAAAGACCTCCGGGAATACTCTCCGCAGTTCCTCAAGGTGACGAATCTGGAACTTGGAAGCCTGAGTCTTGGGAGGCTTGACGTCCTCTTCAACAAGGTGTGCTACGGTCCAGCCGAGATCCTGCGCCTTTTTGCAGTTTTGGTATGAGTCGTCTTTTGAAACACCGTGTTAGCCGTACCCACCCCATCGTTCGCATAGGAGTCATCCCGGGCACATCTTACCAACGAAGAAGCAGTCCTCATATTTCTCGACACCCGCATGCCGCATTGCCTTCTTGTACATATCAGGGTGCGGCTTGCAGGTCAGCGGCACCTCGCTGTAGTCGCAGTAGGTGATTCCCTCGAAATACTCCTCAATCTCGAGGAGGCGGACGACCCGCTTTGCGTGGTTGACGTAGGCGTTGGTGAAGAGCCACAGTTTGACCTTGCTCCGGTCAATGTCGGCGAGCAGCCGTTTGAGTTCTGGCCGGGGCTTGATAACACCATCGAGAGGGAGCGCATCATCCACCTTGGCGTTGTACTCTAGAGGGTCAATCTGGTGATGTCGTACCAGCCCTTCGATGGCTAGGCCGTAGTTTTGGTAGTACTCCTTATGCAACCGCACAGCATCGTCCCAGGGGAGCGAGAGGTGGGCGACAAAGTATTGGTCGATAAGGTCAGCCATAAGATCATGGACCTTAGCGCCTAGCTGTTGTTAGCATCCCATCTTAATAGTGGAAGGGAAGGGGCCTGGGCTTTGAAGTGGGCTCACTCTTGGGATACAAGCAATTATCAATGTCACTAGGAAAGAAAAATTAGAAATTGGCATGGCATTTTGTTATTTATGACTTTGAGGCACTCACAAGAAGAAGACTTTTCTGGGCGTCGTCCCATTGGCAGTGGACTCCTTCTCAGATGGTGGGTGTATTTGAGCCATATTGTACATACAAATGGATACGGGGATGGTGAAGAAATAAGATAAAGCGTGTTCCGGCTCCGGCTTAAGTCTTGCCTGACCCTAGAGATGAAAAATATATAACGAAGGTTTGTTTTTGACCGGCAAAGAGCAACGCTTGTTAGCGTCCACGGGGTTTCTGTTGATGTTGTTTGTATGTGAAACACTGTTGTCTGACACTGACTGAATGGCACAGCAGTGTCACTCGGCCGCCGCCCCTTATATACCAAGAAAATCCGGTGTGTTTTTTTTTTATTCGAGCCTTCAGTGGAATTCCCAGCCCACGCTCGAAGTTGGATTTATAAGTCGAGGGAGGGAAAGTTGACTCAGGCCGGTAGTTAACTGGAAGTAACGTTGTGAAAGCCCCCACCTGCCATTCCACTTCCCGACCTGCATGTGAACTTTGGAGGTTCTGGGATGCGATGGTCCGTGCACATGCTCAAACACAACTTTTCAAACCCTCTGCGATCCCTGTCCCAGCTGCCATTTCCTCAACCCCCAAGAGCAACGACTTCCCAGCGATCCGCAAGAAAGAATAAACACGGTAACATCCACCTTAAATTTTCAACATCAAAATCAGATGGGAGTTGTTCTGACTTGGGATTTGCGGCTTTACCTTTTTCTTTTTGTATTTGATGATTTATTGACGCGCTGAGTCGCCGATTCGAGACGCGCCGTGGTTGCACGCTAAATCTTGGTCCGAAGCACACACTCCGCCATGACCGGGGCATCGGCGGGCGGCGTGATCGCAAGACCCGGAGAGGCGGTTCACACTGCGGCGCCCCCGGGAGACCCTCCGATCGGGTCGTTCACGCCTGATGAGCTACGTGATATTCGCGAATACAACAAACTGTTGCAGTTCCGCGACGAGATTATCAGCGGCCAGCACCCTCGCATCAAACTAGCCCATCTTCCAGGGAAGACCGCCCAGAAGGCATCTCTCACGCCTGCGCCGACTTCTACATCCGCGGCATCCCCGACAGCTTCACAGCCTGCCACCGCGAAACGCGCTGTAATTGGCAATGGCAATGCTCGGTCTCAGCAAACAAACCAGCTGCGGGCTCAGGGAAACACACCTCCGGGTGTCCCCGGCCTTGGTATACTGTCTTCGAGCGTTCAAGCATCCGGGCCCGGAAAGCCTGAAATCAATCCAGTGCTTCTAGAAAAGTCTGACGATCTGGTCAAAGCCGAGATTCAACTGCAGCGACAGCGCGTGGAGCGCAGTCTGAGGGAACAGGTCGAGCAGCGCCGTGGCGCGACCAAGGCGTCAGACCAACTGGCTGAACTTGACGTTGCCGACATCATGGCCAAGGCTATGTCGCTAGTTCTCGCGACTCCCCTAGCCCAGTCTACTGACGACACACCAGCCGCTAATGCCACAGCGTCGAACGAGTCGGCCGACGATGACACCTTTTACTCCAGCCGCCACGATACCCCCGAGTCGAACATGGCCTCCCGACTCCCCAACGAATCCGAAGACGAAGAGATGCGAGAAGAGTCCCCTTATGAGCCCGCACTTGATCTCGGTCCCGTCGTCCCACAGATTCAGCCCGTCGCTGCTGTAACCGGATCGGCTCAAAGCTTTTTAGCAAGCGGCCAAATTCTCCCCGGCCTATCGATTCCCGGTGGGTCTACAACGTCGCAGCCATCGCAAGTGCCTTCAGCACCGGCTGCGATGCGCAATGAGATCTCGGCGGCCGGGCATCCTGGCGGCGTACAAGATTTTGCGAGGGTAAATGACCGACACAACAACCAAGCTGCGGTGCGAGAGCCTACTTTGGTTCGGAGCCATGACCTCTCCCCACTTGCTCCCCAACCTACGCATCATGTTATGCCACAAGCCATAGCCAGGGAGGCGCATCTTGGCTCCTCTGAGCTCCCCAGCGGGCCCCAAGCCGCCCCCGCGCAAGTCGCGGCGTTACGGAAGCAAACCTCCAACGGATCAAGCCCAGAGAGCTCGCCCCATAGTAGCAAGAATGCGGACAAGAAGAAGGGCAAGAAGAAGAAGAGAAAGGCAGACCGGCTCGCGGCGGACACAGCGGCAGCCTCTCCTTATATCAAGCCAGAGCCGCGTTCCCCTTCGCCGCTGACTCCTCAGTATGCCCGCCCGAACAAGCGCCAGCGACACTCGCAGCAGCAACCGGTGGAAATTCAAGATGATGAGCCCAGGTACGAACAGCCCGTGCCGGCTGAGGAAAGCTACGATGCGCGCTACCAGCCTCGAGTTGTCAGGCAAGAGCGGGTTGTAGGCTACGAAAGGGCTGATGAGTATCGCCCCCACCATGGGGAGGAACCCTTGGTCATCACTTCTCCGAGATACGAGAGGATTTATTACGATGACTACAGAGCGCCGCCGCCGCAGAGCGGGTACCCAGCTGCAGGCCCAGAGCCAGCGCAGTATGTCTCTAGAGAAGTACGTACCGTGCGACCTGCGCCCCGCGTCGTAGAGAGTCTGTATGATGACGGGGCTACTTACTACCGCGATGTTCGCGCCTCGTCAAGGATGAGTGTCCGTCCTCCCGCGCACCCCGACCGCTCGCAATCGCCGGTAGCTTACGAGCGCCCATCTGTCGCCATGCCTCCACCGAGGGCTGCGCCTCGCCGCATCATCGTCGACGCCTTCGGCCGTGAGTATCTTGAGCCGATCCGCCCAGCCACCGTCGTTCGAGAAGAGGTCGTGGCTGAGCCCAGAGGGGCTTATGAACGGGCTGTTCCCCCGCGCGCGGTCTCACACCGACCTGAACCGTTAGATGACGATACATTGCTCTACCATCCCACATCTCCTGTTTACACAGCACCGAGGCGGGTTGTCACGCAGCCTGAGTATTCGTACCGGGAATCTGCCGTAGCTAGCGGCGCCATGCCGCCTCCGCCCGTTGAATATCGGACGGAGCCCACAAGAGAGTACATTTCCCGGCCGTCGAGCGTCCGGCCACCCATGGAGTCCATCCGCTACGATGCTGCTCCTTCGGGCTATGAACGTGTCCCGGCTTTCCTGGACGAGCACCCACCCTCGATGGCGCCTAGGGAATATTACCGCCGTCCGGCCAGTACCCGCCCAGTCGAGAGCCGCTACGTCGTACCGGTTGCCTATGAATCACCGGTACCGGCCCGCGAGTATCCGCCCGTTGCCCACGCTCCGCTCCGCTCTGCTAGTGTCCGCCCAGCTTCGGATGCCCCCGTTCGTTATGAGATTCCCCCCGAGTACGCCTCGAGTACTGTGCCCGGTGCCGCTGGCTCTGGCGCCTACTATCAACAACAGGACGCGAGGAGAGACGCGATCATGCCGCCCCCGCCGCCGGGCAGGGCATACAGTGTCATGCCGGGTGACCAAATTGCTAGGAGGGAGTTCCCCGCCGGTGGTGCTGGCGGCACGCAGGCGCACCCACAGCCGCAGCCCCAGCAGCCGGCTGAGAGGTACTATGCTCATCCCGGGGGCGCCTCGCAGGCGCAGATATCGGGAAGGGACGATGAGGAGGTGGTGTTTTTGGAGAGAGGCCCTCGTGTGGTAAGGGAATATCGCTGATTTTTGCTTGGAGGAAGACAAGCGGGATTGTGGATGGTTGGGGAGTTCATAGCATGGTGGGCTGGATTGCATTCTTAATGGAACTGGAAGGGCAAGAATTGCTGGCGGGGGGATCCTCCTGGTTGCCTGGAGCATTGTTGGCGTTTTATTACATAGCATTGGGATGAGGAGGTCAAACGGGTGCTATGGATTTTGCACTGGTTTGCGGGCTGGTAAACAGCCCACTCCACACATTTTCTCAGTCCATGGGGCGGGGAAAAGGGGGACTTGGTACTCCTGGCAGGTGGATGATACCAGGCTGGTTTTTTTGCCCCAAGTTCTAAGTTGAGCCTTTCGACATGGCTTGATTTGGCAGATGGACTCGCGAGCTCATGAGCTTACTAAAGAACGGGGGCCGATGGCATGGCCGTGTAGTTTTGCCCTTGGGCAGATTGCTGTAACAAATATTAACTCAAAATTTACCTTACCTCATCGTTTACGTTCTATTCTGCGTCAAAATATTGCGATTTAACAGGCCGCAACGGAACTTACCAACCAGCATTGGCTCCCAACCTTTATTTTTAGTTTATTCTTGAAAAAAAGGGGAAGCTAGAATTTGTATTTAGCAAATACACCACGAGCTCCTCGCCCGACCAGCTCCATTGACTTTCTCCTCCCCGGTGTGGAGTCCTTTCATCCAGCCCCGTCTGGGGAACAGCTGTTTGCGGTGATAAACAGGAGGTGTCTTTTGTTCTATTTGCTTTTGTTTCTCTGTGCGACAGGTTGGCAACCAGCCTCCCTTTTCTTCTTTCTCCTTTTGTTTTCTCAAGTGGTACGGATACTGCTAGTTACATCTTGCTTCTGAGACCCCCCTTTCCCTCGGTTTAAACTCCGGAAGCTTCGGTGGATATGAGACGGGATGACTTGGCTTCATGATGTTGCCGATGATGTCAGGAGATGTCAAAATCGGGGGTTTTCAGGTGAATGATCCCCACATGGAGCTGATGGAGTTGCATTTGTGAGAGGAATAAGCAAAACCATGGCCTTTTGTACGAATAACCCCAAGCCTGTTCTCGGATATGAGGGTTAACATCTACGAGCCCAAGTGCGTCCCGAGAACGGGCAATAGAGCAATCGGCGCAGACGTGGCATAGGAGAGCATGGGTACACCGTGATGTGAAGCCAAGAAACGCGCAGCAGTTTTAACACTGCCACAACTCATTTTAATGAGATGCTCGGAAGAGACCGGATGCCCGGCCCCAAGCGATTGCTTTGGGGTCTCCCTGTGATCCACTTCTGGGGTTGTGAGTTCCTGTGGATTTTGGTTTACATGCGAGAGTGTGTCAGCGGCACGGGGTGTGTCCTGCAATCCTGGAATTCCAATGCAGATGGGGATCACCCCAAACGTGAGCATCTGACCCTCGAGTCTTCGTCGTCCCGACGATACAATAGCTACAGCGTCTTCTTTCTTTGAACGAGTACACTGCTGAAAGAACCGCCTCCTTGTCTCGGGACGACACCATCCAGTCTGGAGTTGTCTCTCGCCAGCAACAAGCAAAGCGCTTTTGCTGGTCACGTTCCACACATATACCCTTACCGCCAGTGTTCCACTCGCTCGGCGGCGGGCCCGGACGGGACTGCCTGCCTACCGCTTCTTGGCAAAGGCGATTTCGAGGCCGGCCGCGGGGTACTCCGGGGGTCACGTCGAGCGGGCGGTCTATCGGAGGTCTTGTTGTTTCTTCTCTTTTGTCGTGCATGGTCTACTGTGTAGGTATTACTTGTTACGCCCTGCTACTTCTTTCTGCGCACCAGGATCCCAGAACTGGGAACAGAGGCCGTTTGAACCTGTGCCGCAGCAGGGGGTAACACAACGTCACAGCCAGGCCAAGGTAAACTCGCACGGAACAAGCCAGGGCAGCTCCACCACGAGCTGGGCGGCCGAGACTGGTCGTTTCGATGTGTCCGAGCTTCCGCAAACCGGGGTCTGGCGGGAGCAGCGGGATCGCCTTGAGCTTCTCTCAGCTCGGTTTGGATGAGGATCCGGGAAGCTCGAGATCGCTGCGGGTGTTCCAGTCTGAATCACCCTTTGAAGGGGCCGCCAAGCTTTGATGTTTCGTCTATCCAAGCACCCATCTGGACGGACATGCAGAGATGCAGAGATGCATGCAGCGCGGTCTGTTGCGAGGCGGGGCCGGTTGAGCCAGGTGAGCCAGCCACGCAGGTTCGTGGGAGTGTGTGTGGGCGAGCCGCCGCGGCCCCGGCAGTACCAAGCCAAGGGCCTTGGAGCGGGACTCTTGAATGGAGGAGAAACGCCCTGAGGCTCGACGCGGCTGGAGAATCCTATGTAAATAAAAGGGGTTCTCGGTTGGTCGGGATTGGAGAAAAACCGCCGCGGGGCGTCGAGCTTCTCGGACTGGGGGTTGAGAGCGAGCCAAAGGTCGAGGTCAAGACAGGGAATTTCATGCCACCGGCTTGCACCTTCACTCACGCCCGTTCTCTGGCGACTTAAACCAACTGGCACGAGGGCAGGGGATGGACTTGGAAGGCCATGTTTTACCCCTCAATACGCTTGAAGATCTGGGCCCGGGTGCTATTGGGCGCTGCGATATACACTTGGTGAATATAGTGTAATGCCTATCAAAAACGCATCCGACCCCCATGCTCGGTGTTTTTGCGTTTCCCGAATCTCCAAAGAACTCGGGCATCTCGAAAGTTGAAATTTAGCGGAGTGGGAGAGTGCGCGTCAGACGGTGGCCCTTTCCACGGGAGCTGGCGCCAAGCACGGCCCCGTCAGGGCACGGGCCAGCACACTATCCCACATTGGACGCCGGGCCTGTGGCTAGCTCGGGGCTCGCGGGAGTGGGCGTGGTGTGTGTGCGCGCATGGAGTGGAGCTTATTCTCCACTGCCTGCCTCAGTCCATCAGCTTCCATTCCATCCACTGCCCCCGTCCACTGCATCCACCAATCCCTCAGCAAAGTCACCAACTTTCCTCCACTACCTTCCCCCTCCCCCGACCTGTTTATTGTAGATCGCAGGAAGGACCAGAGCACACGACAGCTTCGAGCCGTCTTTTTATTTTCCTTTCCACAGCCGCCACCTCCCCCCTCTTCTAAGATACCCATTTTCTTCGTGTTGTTACTGCTGATACCCGTTTTCCCACCGGGCGTAACGCCTCTCTTCTTCAGTCCTTCATTTAGCCCCAATTGCCTCGTTTCCTCCGCCGCCTTCGCCGCTACCGTCCCTTCGTCTACCCGCTCTTCTAACCCTTCCCCCGACAACCCCAACCTATCTATTTACCACCAATCCCACCGGTTACATCGCAGGCGAGTGCACGACTTGGTTTTCCTCGAGCCCGGACGACCAACAAAGAAATCCCCCCCACTCCCTCGATCATCCTCGAAACCACCCACCGACCATCCACTAAGGCGTGCGAGGGCTTCACAAATCTTCTCCAAGATGAATAAATTAACAAGCATGCGCCACTGGCCTGAGCGGATGAGTCCCGCCAACTTCAGTATGTCGCGGGCGAATATGGGCATGCAGGCAGCCATCAATCCCCGTCGAGACATGACAGCTCAAGGGCCGCCCCCGATAGCTGCTCCGCCCGTTCCGGACGGCCCGATTCACTACTCGTTCAATGTTCCCTTCGCCTCCGACCTGGCCGGCCCCAACACGGAAGACATCTTGCACGCTACGACCGATGCCGTGGTACGATGGACCCACCCCGAAGACGTTCCGGACGACATACCCGTCCACGAGCTGTTTGTGCACACCACGAACCTGAACCAGCTCCGTGAGCTTTGCCGGGAGATCACGTCAAATACCCTTCCCATTGAAGCTCACGTCCTCTCCACTACCCCCAAGATTGTCAACGGCCAGGTCACTACAGTGTCTCTCTCGGGTGCTCCGGAGTTAGTGTATCAGACGAGGGAAACTATTCTCAACCATACGCCGCTCTCATTGGTGGGTCTGCCCTGATGCATTTGTTGGCGGCACCTCTTTTTGGCCCGTTTTGCTAAACCAAAATCCCCTTCCAACAGCGCTGCACAACGGTTGTTGTGGACGGGAATCTTGTCGCCAGTCTGTCTGAGGGAGTCCTTAAGAAATCGGTAACAGATTTCTTGGATGAGACATCGGTGTTTTGCGGGGTCGACATCTTCCTGCTTGGCCCCAAGCTGACCCCCTTGACCGGGGGTCTGAACGGTGATGTGGACCTGCTTCGGGACCAGCGCTGGCGTGTAGCCATCTACGGAGACTACTTGTCCTCGGAACACGCAAAGACTAGAGTGCTCATCCACATTGACCAACTGGTATGCTCACCACCCAGCCATCACGCATCTATTTACCTGTCTCAAGCGGGGCGAGGGGAGGCGAGATTTACGTATGTGCTAACCACACCTTTGTGTAGCTTGGGAGAGTCGTCGATGCCACCATATTTGAGCCTTCGATGCACCAGCTGTTGTGTGGGCGCAATCGCAAGAACATCAAGTTGATCGAATCCGCCACCAACACAGCGATCTACTTCCCTCCCCCCTTTTCCAGCTGCTTCCGGTACTGCCCTCCCAATGCCCAGCGCCGTGATCCCTCCAAGGTCTTGATTACTGGTGAAACGCCTCAGGCCATTGAGCAGGCCAAGTACCGTATTCATGAGCTCCTCACCCGGACGAGGCTCTTTGTCAAGGATGTGACCATCCCCCCTGCCAAGATCGACAGCATCTTGCTCAGCCGTATGGATAAGGTCCGAAGGATCACTGAGGCCAACGGCGCTTTTATCATCTTCCCCTCACTCGGGTCAAGGAAAAGCCTCGTGCGTGTGCAGGCTGTTGAAAATTTGCATGTAGAGCGCTCTCTTCGTGAGCTCATGGCTTTGGTAAGCTCCCCCACCCCCACCTTTTAGTTCGGCTTGTGATGACAGTGGGTGTTAACTCTTCCGAACCAAGGTGGGCCAATTTTACACATCGTCGTGGATCTCCTTGCAACCCGATACCCACCACCAGCCTAGCAACCAGGACATCCAGGCCATGCTTGGTGACATCTGTGCTAACTCGGATTCCGACGTCTCCTTTGATCGGCAATCCTTTACTCTTACAGGGTCCGACGAGTCCATCAAGGCTGCCCTGATGGTTATCTCCCAGATCAAGTTCGCCGTCCACGCTCCGTACCAGATCAGGGTCCGCATCGAGCTAGCCAACGAGCACAAGGAGTTTGTCAGTGGCAAGAAGAATGGCAAGATTAACAAGATCATGGGGAACAGCAACGTTCAGATCATGTTCGACAACTTTGGCGAATACAACTTCAATATCGAGGTTATTGCGCAGGCGTATGAATCTCTGAAGCAGGGCCTGAGTCTAGTTGAACAGGAGATGCCGGCCTCCATCTCATTCCATGTGCCTGATCAGTACCACAAGCGTATTATCGGCATTGGCGGGCAGCACATCCAGCGCATCATGAAGAAGCACTCGGTGTTCGTCAAATTTTCCAATGCTATGGATCGCGGTAGGTGTCTATTGTGCTCGACCGAATAGAGAAAGTGTGGTTGCTAACCTTTCTTTCAAGGTGGTATGGGCCGTGAGGATGATGACAGCCGTGTGGACAATGTCATTTGCCGCACCCCGGCTCGCAACGCCCAAAATCTTGAGCTTGTCAAGAGTGAAATTCTGGAGATGGTGGATCGCGCAGTAAGCTTTTGCCTTGATCCTTTTGCTGCCAAAAAGCCCCTACTAACGTGTCTGTAGGACTCCGAATTCACGTCTCAGGTTGTCAACGTCGACCGGCTCTACCACCGCCAGCTCCTCACTCGACTTGCCGAGATTGAGGACTTGGAGAGAACGTGGAATTGCAAGATTGTCTTCCCTAGCACTGAGCAAGCCAGCGACGAGGTGACCGTGACTGGACCCCAGTGGCTTGTTCCCAAGTGCATTGATGAATTTCTGGTAATATTCAAGAGTCTCTTTATGCACTGATCCCCCACATTCAAACTAACACTGCCCTAGGGTATGGTCCCTGACAAGCACGAAGTCGTCCTCGAGCGAGCGTCTCCTGTGATCAAGTATCTCGAATCTCCCGACTTTGTCCAGACCATCATCCCGAAACTCAAGAACCAGTACGAAGTCGAGCTTACTGTTCACGAGAATGCCGAGGAGCGCACCGAGGATGGGTCACCCACGGTTACCCTCCTCTGGACCTTCACCCGGAACAATGCCGGCGGTCTCCGTGACGCTATGGACTTCCTCCACGCCCAGTTCGCCACCGCAAGCGTCGAACCTGTCATCATCAAGGGTGCCATCCCGCGCCCCAAGTCGGACACGTTTGAGGAGTCGCTCCCTTTCTTTAACTCTAAGCTGCTTCAGCATGCACCCGCCCCGGTGGCGACCGATTCCCCGACCCGGCCCACTTTCGGAGAGGAGGTTGCCCGCGAGCGGAGCATCCTTGCCTGCCTCCGGAAGCCCGGAAGCATGTCATCCATTTCCTCGTTCCTAGACCGCCGAAAGAACAGCTCACAGTCGGCGGCCAATTTTTTCAAGGGCTCCAGCAACGTCTCCAAGTCGTCGCTCATTTCGATCGAGTCGACACGCAGCTTTAACGCTGACCGCAACCCCTGGAACGATAGCGGCGTCAACCTCCCCGATGACGACGGCAACATCTGGGGCCCACCGACCGGCCCGACGTATGTCAATGGGCTCGACAAGCTGACGGTTCCCTTGCCCGGTGACGCCACGCCGCGCCACCACCCCCGACAGTCTGCCGACAGCGGACGCCCCTCTACATCTCATTCCACCAATTCAGGATACCCCGGCCCTCTTTCTGGGCCATTTCGTTAGAGATTCCCCCCGTCATGGTTCTTCAGACTTTTGCGAGGCTTTTTAGACAACGGAGTCTTTGTGCGCTCTCCGTTTTTCTTTTTTACGTCGAGTGGTGAGGAAAAGAGAAATACCCCTACGGCTGGATATACCCCTGGCGCAAAATACCCTGGTAGTTGCTCTCTGCATTTGATTGGTTGCCGTTGTTTCCGTTGTTTTCAATCTCAATGTTAGGCTTGTCGTTTTTTTGTTTCTTGTTCTCTTTTCCAGTTTGCAGTTTGCATTTATCTTGCCCAGTTTCAAGTCTTGCCCTTTTCTTCCTCCATTTCCCCACTCTAGTAGTCCTGGGAGACGGATTGGAAGAATAAGCACTCAGCATGGGTCGAAGGGAAAGGATGTGGATGGATCACTTTGCTGATTATGACTGTGGTGCAAGGAACGGAGAAAGTTCCTTGTTTTTCTTTGGAACAAAGGAAGGGGGACGGGAATGGGTTGCAATGGTCAATGAATTTTTTGATGCAGTCATGACATGACGACCCTTGAGCTGGTTGTTGGTATACCTTACATGAAATAAGAAAAAAGAATAGTGGAGGTATCGGAGGTAGGTGCGGTCTGAATTCGGTTTTGTTGTGGCAGATGGGGGATTCAACATTTAAGAAAATACGAATCTGAGTTTGAGATTCAACAAGTTGTTCGCAGTGTACCAATTTAAATCGTGAGTCCATCACTTCTAATATGGTTCAGTCGCAATAATGGGAGTTGAAAAGTTACATGTAGCCAGAGTCATGGCCATGCCTTTTAACTTTCTAGGAGAGCAATTCAGGGGGGAAATATGGCGAACGTAACAAACGTCCACCGGGGACACCGAATGGTAAATGCACAACAAGCAAGAACAGCTGCAAACTTGAGGTCCACCTATGATTTATCAAACGGGCAAGTTCATATTTGACATCATCCATGGGGGGTTACTCCCGCTCGCTTCAAATACTACTACTCTCTTCTTTTCCCTCCCCATGGGTAGTCGTGAAGCGGTCCATGAAGAAACTAATGTCGACCAACATAACATAGATAACCACAGCATACTGGGTCACCACTCCTCCCGAACAGAAGACGAACGGGTTATCCGTAAGGAGGAAAGAATAGGCCTTCTGGCACCTCCTACTCTATGTTTTTCCCATCGTTATTCGTAGTAACGCCCGTCTCGTTGGTTACGTAAAACAACAACAGGGGCTGTCGTATCATCACACAAAAAAGGAAAAAAAACTGAACCGCCAGCCCCCTTTCTGGAACGACTTCCCCATCTTCCTTCCATTCACTTATCATATCATATCATTTATACCCCGCCATCCTCCTCCCCACCCCTCATCCCGGCGTACTCCGTCCCCTGGTTCGCTGTGCTCAAGCGCGCGCACAGGCTCAACAGCACGACAGTTTCCGTTGCGGCGTAGTGGTTGAGTGCGTCGAGTAGGATCTGTAGGTGCCGGCTGAAGTTGGTTTCCCACTTGCGCATGACATCGAAGAGTTCGGCGATGCGGGCCTCGTCTGTTGCGCCGGGGCCGGGGCCGGTGGAGTTGGAGTCCGGGGGCTGGAGGATGGAGGAGTTGGGGTCTTGTGGGTTTTGGGTTTGGTTCTGAGGTTGGTTCTGGTGGGATTGTTGGGGGTGGACTTTTTGGGTGCGGATCGTTTGGAAATGGCGCCATTGGTCGTCGGTCATGTTTGGGGGTTTGGTGGTGCCTGAAAGGTCGGGGTCGGCCTTTTCAAGTTCGCGCGAGACCCAGTTGGTGTAGGTGGCGAAGACGGTGCAGGTTTGCATGAGTTTGGAGTGGATCTGGGAGTGGTGTTGTTAGAATAGAATAAGGGGTTCGATATACGGTGAGGAGAACTTACCCTCAACAGTTTGCTGTTGGTTAGCATGCACTCCTTGAGGCAGGTGTCGAGGAAATCCACATGATCCTGCATCAGCTCATCAACCGTGCGGTCGACACCCGTGGTTGAACCACTGGCTGCACCATCTTGGCCAGTACCACCGCCGCTCTTCCCACGCAGCCGTGCCATTAGGCTCTGCCAGTTTGGCTCGATGACCTCGGCGGTGCAGAAGTACAGGAGCTGCTGAACAAACACCAGCATGCGTGCGCGTAAGGTCCAGACCCGACGTTTCCAGATCTCCAGCCTGCGTACGGACGACTTGTATGACCACACAAACCCGCTGGTGTGGGTCTGCCATGTTGTTGATAACTGCGACTCCAGGTACCGCAGTGAGAGGAGGTATCGGAATAGGGCTTGGTAGCGCCAGACAGTCTTGCGGCTGATGACGAGCGACACCGGGAAGGGAACAGCATAGTCGAGTTGAAGCGACGTAAAGCCGTTGGCGTTTTTGTCACCTTCTAAGGGCTGGTTGCTGGACAACGGCTGTAGCGTCTCGCCTTGCTCGATTCCAGTGATGTTGACAACACGTTGGAGTGACTTAGTGAGCGTGATCTCATTCATCTCGACCTTGACGTCCTCCTTAAATGGATCGAGGGACACCACACTACCTGGCTGCCGGAGTACAAGATCGAGAAGTGACTGCAACTTGCCCGTGTTGACCGACTTGACGGGTTTCCGCAACTCGGAAGCGCTCAGCTCGAGGAAGTAGGAGAAATAGTCGGAGGGGTCCAAAAAGAAGTAGTGTTTCAACGACTGCAGTCTCGCTGGGAGCCCGTGTGCCGTCAAAAGTAGTCGCATCAGAGACTCGTTTGCGTGAGCATAGGCGTTGTTGACGTTATCTAGGAACCGGTTGTCGTCGAACGATATTGGCACGTCTTTGACCCGCAGGCTCACGTCGACCCCGCCACACTCCCTGACAACGTTCAAGTACTTGCCAGCCAGCAAGACCTTGTCTTTGACACCTTCGAGCTGAGGTGGTACGTCGTGGTCTCGGATCGTGTACCGGCGTTCCCAGTATTCGTCGGTGTAGTCTTGTTCCAACCTCTCTCGTCGAATGCTCCGTTGTTCCTTGATTAGGAATTCCGCATGCGGGTCGTTGATCCCTCCGTGGTGTAGCCACTCGTTCAGCATCTGCATGTATGGGCGGCTGGCGTCCCGTAGGAGAGTAGTCAAGAGGGCGCGGGCCGCGGGGTCTCCCGACATGGATTCTAGCCTCTTGGTGATCAACCCAAGTACGACCCCGCCCTTGCATATCTTTTTCCCCGTCATATTGCCCGGTACCAGTTCGCCACCTTCCCTCAACTGCTCCAAAATATGATCCACATCGTCGTTGTCGTCGCTCGACTCGTCCGTCTCGTCGTCTAGGAGGGCATTTCGTTTCAACAGCTCGTGCGCCACGGCGTAGAGTTGAGCCAACATGTGGCTAGTCGGTAGAACGTGCACGTTCAAGACATGCAGGGTGAAAGAGTCGTCGCTGAGGAATTGGGTCTCAAGTTGGGCCACCATGACGAGGTACTCCTGCAGCAACTTTCGTATTGACGCACACAAGGCGTGATTGACCGAGCCAAACTCCTCCCGGCTCTGGACATCAACAAAGGTCTCTAGTGCCGTGTAGTGGCTGGCCATGCGCAGCATAGATTGTGTGAGGTCCAGCAAACTCGGGTCCAGCCCTTGAAGAATGCGCCATTGCGGCCCGGAAAGTCGATCCCGCTCCTCGAATGCGTTGTATCCTTTCGCAAATCGAATGTACTGGCCTTCAAACCCCATGAACACAAACAAAAGGTCCTCGATAATGACGGCCTCCTGTGCCTCGAGGGAGAGATCTTGTAGAGGTTTCGGTTGCAGGGCCTGGGGCGCGGTGGAAGCTAGTGGGGGGATGGATATGCGGCAAGCTAGGGGGGCTGTCGTATGCGGTAACAAGACGGCTTCGGGCTCCCATACAGCTGGTGGGAGTTTGTCTAATGCCGCAGGGGTTAGTCTCAGCTATCTGCTCCATCTTATGCGCAACAAGTAAGATACCGTAAAGAGGAAGGGTAAATTACCTGCCACGGGTGTCTCCTGGCGCATGTCCCTCCTCGGCTCGGGGGCTCGTTGCTTAGATCCATCTGCCGTCCTCGTCCTATCGCTGACAGTACCACGGCGCTGGGGGCTCTTAGTCCGGCTGATAAAGGTTTCCCGCGTAGTTACTTGCGTCCGCTCCGTGCGACGCTCCTCGAATGAGCTGTTGGTCGAGCGTGGGCCGGGATGGCCCGACGTCGACCGCTTGTGGGTGCTCTCGGCATACCGGCTGCCGGTCCTCTGCTCAGGTCCCCTACCAAACGATCCCTCCCTGAAGAGGCCCGGGTGCTCGGCAGCCACGCGTGGCCGCGACGAGGCAGATGCCCCGGAGCCTCGATCAGGCAGTCCCGCGGCGCCGCTGCTTCTCTTTTCCGCATATGAGGACGGTCTGGTGCCCGACATGATTGTGCCGCTCTACATGGGTAATGGAGTCATGCGGGTGGGCTTCGTCGTCGTCCGGTCGTGCGGTTGGTGATGGGGGCGAAGTCGGGTTATGGCGGAAGTCTCTGGTGCAGGTTCGGTCATGGATCATAGCATGGGTTCCGGAAGAGACAATGGATGTGGTTATTGCCAAGTCGAGAAACTGGATGCCGGTAAAGAGCTGCCACTCGGGCCAAAGCGCGACTTGCAGAGGGACGCGATCGCTAGCACCTTGCCGTTTTGAGCTTGGCGCGTTTGCTTGTGTGAATGTGGGGTGTTCATGAAGGTACCTCTGCCCAAGTACCGACAAGGGTGCGAAGCCCAGGTCAGCCCGTTGGCCGCCTGGAGAACAGTGGGGAGCTTTCGTCGCCCTTCCGTGCCTGGAGCTTCAGCTGCGAATCCAAGCCCGCCGCAACAACCTCCACAACTTCCCGACCCTGCAACTGCCCCGCAACATCGCCAGTACGAGGACCACGACGACAACCACAGCTTGCCGCCGTTTTTACGACGAAAAGGAACACCTCTAACGGCCGAGTGACCACCATACACAACCCCTTAAGATACCCGAATCGAACATTCACCCCGCAATACCGCCAAGATGTTTATGGCAAGGTCGGAATATGGTGAGTACTCGAAGGGACCTTGAGTTGCTCAGCAATAGTGCTTTTTTGCTAACGTGGTGGTGCCCAACAGACCGGGGGATCAAGTATGTCGACCTCTTTTGACTACCATGTTTTCCCCAGCGCTACTCTCTTGAACCCCTCCCCCTCACCTACCGAGCAGCCCACGAACCTACCCTCCGAAAACTAACTACCCCCCGCCCCTCTATCCAGCACCTTCTCCCCCGAAGGCCGCCTCTTCCAAGTCGAGTACTCCCTCGAAGCGATCAAGCTCGGCAGCACGGCCATCGGCGTGGCCACCTCAGAGGGCGTGATCCTAGGCGTGGAGAAGCGCGTGACGTCAACGCTGCTAGAGACCTCCTCCGTCGAAAAGATCGTCGAAATTGACCGGCACATTGGGTGCGCCATGTCCGGCCTGCAAGCCGACGCGCGGTCGATGGTGGAGCACGCGCGGGTCGAGTGCCAGTCGCACGCCTTCAACTACAACGAGCGCCTGCGTGTCGAGTCGTGCACCCAGGCCATCTGCGACCTGGCCCTGCGGTTCGGCGAGTCGGCTGACGGCGAGGAGAGTATCATGAGTCGCCCTTTTGGCGTGGCTCTGCTGATTGCGGGCTACGACGAGGACGGGCCGTCACTGTACCACGCCGAGCCATCGGGTACTTTTTACCGGTACGATGCCAAGGCTATTGGGAGTGGGAGTGAAGGGGCCCAGGCGGAGCTGCAGAACGAATACCACAAGGTCCGTCGAATCCCTCATGTTAATTCTGTTCTGGTATACACTGATACTGACCTGGTTGGGTTGAACAGTCCCTTACGATTGCCGACGCAGAGACGCTCGTGCTCAAGACACTCAAGCAAGTAATGGAGGAGAAGCTCGACGCCAAGAATGTACAACTGGCCAGCGTCACCAAGGATCGCGGCTTCAGAATATACACGGATGAAGAGATGGCCTCGGTGGTTGAGCGGCTACCGGCGAATTAATAGCAAGATTTCTCTACCGCAGATGTAACTATCTAGAGTAGGGAGGGAGGGTCGTGGGAATTTGGGAGGGATGAGACTGTGGGGAGGTTAGCCGGGAAGTCCGGAGAAACAGATCCGGAGCCTTGCTCACAAGTGTTGCTTCCCCCCCTGATGCCGGCGGATCCTAGGTTTGTTCCTGTGTTATTAGCGAGACGATTATGTTGCCAAGGACGATTCACCAAGGGCCAACTGATGAACACGACCAAGAGACATACAAGTACATGCACAAGGATACATATAAATACACATACCCCGCCCCTTTCTACAGACCCTTCAGCCCTGGCGAGAAACCAGGATCACGGAAGACTTGCAAGACGGACCAAGAATGGCACACGCCAGACTCCTGACCCTATTCCCCACCCTCCTACATCATCACTCCTCCCCTAGATCCCCCTCATATCTCCCAAACTGATCCGTATCCGCCACTTCCTGGTCGTCACGCCCACCTCGGTCCCCATCCGCCTCATCAATAACCAAGGCATCCAAATCGTTCTCCACACTCAACAGCCCCATCGCATAATGCGCCTGCTCCGATCTAGCCAACACCAATCGACTCTCACTCGCCTCAAGCTCTTGAATCCGCCTGTCAATACGCCGCGGCCGGTTCCAGACCGATTCCCCGTCGTGGAATATCGGTCCAAGCTCCGGTGGGCTGTGATACGGAGGGCCACGCCCCACCTCGGCGGCCTTGTTCCACCCGGATTCGCACCCGTCTGCGATTTGGCGCGCGGATTGCCAGCCTGTAAGTCGGGTGATGTCGCGGAGACGGCGGATAGCCCAGTGCCGTTGGTGGATATCTTGAAACTGTATTTGTGGAGAGGGGGGTTAGCGTTGTGTTTTGGCGGGAGTGGAAGGGTCAAGGATGAAAAAAGGGGGTGAAAAAGGGGGTAAGGGACAAGCAAAGCATACCTGAATACCAGCCACGAATAGGGGGAAACAGCTCTCAATAAAAGCCGCGCCCACTAGTGTGCTGATGGCCGATACATGCGTGGTATCCTCATGCAAACCGGCACAGATACGCGCAATCTCGTTCGCCCACCGGCCTGTCTGCGGAGCGGCCATGCCTGCTGCAATCACGGCAACGGGAGGCATCGACGGATGCGATCGGTGCAGAACGATAAGGCCCATGTAGTAGTTCAACCAGATCCCCGCGATGCTGTACGTGCGGTACATGAGGGCAGGTCCAAAGGGTGTCATCTCAGGCGGCGCGACATCGGGCGCCATGGGCTCAAAATCTGGTCCTAACCGGGCGCGGAAGATCTCGAACGCTTTTCGGATCTCTTCCCACTCTTGCAGGGCTTGGGTAGTGGATGTGTCAAGATCCACCCCTTCGGTTGAATCGCTAGTGGGTGATGATTCGCGTGGTGGTGTGAACCCCCTGGGTATTGCGACGCGCCCCGAGGTGGGAATTAGCCCGGGGAACGTGGGCGGCGATTGACCGCGGCCTGCCCCTGGCGCTGGCCCTGCTTGCCCGGGTCCTTGGCTGGGAGGAGGAGCGCTGCCAGGACCACCGCCAGGACCGCCACGGCCTTGGCCAAGAGGTGGGCCTTGTGCCTTTCTTGCCTTCCGCTTTCTGGTCAGATCCCGGGCCGCAAAGCTGGCGAGCCGGCCAAGTAGTAAAAGAGAAAAGTCGAAGGTGCCATGGCTGTGGAGAGGGACGGAAAAATTATACGGTTAGCCCCGTACGCAGAAAGATATTGCTGGAGTATGGACATAGACTTACATGGAATCTATCCTTCCGAACGGACCACGCGGTACGCACTGGGTCCAGTGCTTGTAATCCATTCTGACGTTGGTTAGCAACGTCCATACAGCTGAGCATGGCAAAGGACTCCCTCACAATGGACGAGTTCCACCCAGGAAGCTCTGATAGACATCCATCTTGCAGTACCACCAATATAGATCACGGAGTTGTTCGTATGTCTCGACATCTCGTTCCGTGATACGCGACGGCTGATGCTGGTCACCGAAAACATACCCATTGGGGAGCTCATAATCCACGCTTTGGCCGGTCAGCTGGTAGATCAGCTCGTAGTCGACAGCCGCGTGGTCCACACTCAGATCCCCATGCGAGGCAAAACACACTTCGTTGCACTGGTGCTCTCCGAGGATTCGCTCCCTCTGCTGTCTTTTGAAGGCCAATACATCTTTTGTCATGCGCCTGAGGGGAATGTCTTTGATGATAGCTCGGCCGCCCCACATGTGCTTGCACCATTTGTCGTGATCCGAGTTCCAGACCTCGTAGAAGCCGAGTAAAAGCGTGGCGGCGAGTGTGGCCGGCTGCGTTCGTTTGTAGGGGCTCTGATAGTTCTTTGCGACTCTCCTGAGGCACAGATGGTAGTGTTTCATGGCAGCAGTGGGGGGCGTCCCGTTGAGTTTGGCCATCTGCAGGCTGCCTAGTGCAAGCATGGCCTGCATGAGAGCAGGGTGGTTGAACGCCATGATCGGGAAGGTATCTAAAAATCAGGTTAGTCATACTTTTACAGGCATTAATGGTCGTCTTGCCAGGCTGCCACCGACATGTCCATATGTGTTGACGCTGTTTCGGAACTGGATGTCCTCGAAACATTGGGGTCGGGTCAAACGGATGCCTCTCATACATCGACATGCTGTGGCCTGTAACGTTGACAAAATACCAAAAGATGGTGGCGGTCTGCGTGTCGTTCAGGGGCGAGCTTGCTGAGGAGGGGGTGTACGTGTCGAGTATGTTGTCGTCCACCAAACCCCCAAACGAACGAATCCTAATCCCATACAAATCCCGCTGGGGTTCTAACCGCCTGGCAACCTGGATACCGAGGTCGTTGGAGTCAAGATGAAAGCGATGAGAGTCCAGAGGAGTGTCATCGTCCGAATCCGCCATTGAGGCTTCATCATCTGATTGCCAATAACCCTCTTCCGCAGCCAAGGGTTGGTGGCGTGGCTGAAACCCATCGTTGCTGGGAAGGAAAGCGTGCTGCTGGGGGTTATACAGAGTGTTGGCGGCGTCCTCGATAGTCCCATCATCGGCGTATATCTCTCCGGAGGTGGGTGGTTGTCCGTGACTTTGGGAAGAGTTAATATCATAGCCAAGAAAAGGCGGACTAGGCAAGTGCTGAGCTGCTGGGTCGAAATCGGAGCTGCCGCTGAACGAGGGTTTCCCAGGCCCCTGCTGCTGGGAGGTGGTGGGGGGCACAGTCCCGAGATATTCAGCGGGTGATGGTTTCGGAGCGATCACAGGAAGCAATACTTGAGACGAGCCTGCAGCGTTTTGCGCCGTGGATACCTGTGCGTCGGCAAATGCGTCCTGACTTTGGCGATGGTTGTAAACGGGATTCCTGTAGAGGTGGCCTGAGGGAAACGACCCCAGGGGCTTCTTGAAGGTGAGTCGTTGACTGTAGCCCTCACAGTCACGCTTGGACTTGATGCAGTTGTTACAAATTGGCTTCCCCTCATCACACTTGATACGGCGTTTTCGACACGCTAAAAGTTAACGTGAAGGGTTAGGGACGCAAGGCATACGAGATTCTCTAGCCTACCACGAGGGTACGGGCCGACTCACTGAGGCACCCAGTCTTCGTCCTCCTCTTCGCCGCCGCTTTCTTTGATGCGTCCGGGGGTTGGTCTTTATTGTCACCAGCCCCAGAGCCAGTCGGTCGGTCGGCTTCTCCTGGCGGGGAAGGATTGGTGGTCGGTTGTGGCTCAGCGGGCTCCATGATAGGGTAAAATGGACACGATTGTGGCCGGAAAGTCCGTTAAAAAAACGTAGACGGCAAGACTGCCGTAGGGATGTGAAAGTTGTCGAGCTGCTCACAACAGACTAACAGCTCTGTCTACATAATATCCTGAAAGGAGGGAATTCGTGACCCAAATTCCAGGGTAATAGTTAAGGGCACGGAGGATAAAACGGGGTAGTGTGGTCTTGGGAGTGTTGTCGCGTCGAGGAGAACTCCACGGCAGAACCCTGAAGTCAATATGAGCCAACCACAGAAGAAGGATAGGAAGCGTCGCGGACTCAGGAATTAGCGTGCCAGGTAAGCTCCGGCGCCAGGCTGAGCAGCGGAGGTATCTAGGAGCTAAGAGAACTGCTGTGGGCAGTGGGACTACGCCGTTCGGGTGGCACCAAGACAGGTTTAGTTGATGTCACTAACCTCCCGCGTGTCGATCGCCGGGTTCTTAGGGTTCCCGTTGAACGCCAATACCTGGGGCCAAGGCGAAATCGAGTACTGGCTCCTCCATAAAAATTCGGTGCCTTTTGGGGGCAGGGGGTGGGAAAAGGGGTTGCAGAAAAATGAATCTGGGTGTGACTTCGGTGTGGGAGAGCCGACGACTTGCAGTTGCCGTTCAAGGGCGGCGCGCGGCAAGAAGACGCCAGGACAGGGAGTGGACCAACCTTTTTACTGTGTTCCCGGCGGGACGACCCGGGGGCTAGTGTAGTGTAGGGAGAGGCCGTCACGCTGTTGCCAAACCCAGAATGGGGGAAAAAAGGGTTTCCTCCCTTTCTTCCGCACGGATCCATCCCAGGCCGATTGGATGGTTTTGTCGTCTGATGTACGACTGTGCCGTAGAGGTAGCGGCAGGCAATGCGCGGCCGGATTCCGCTGCACGGGCGACTCCTTGACTTGGGCAATCCACCGCTGTGGCGCTTATTTTAATGATTGTACTATGTAGTGTAGTATCACGGCTGCTGGAAGGGAGTGGTGCTGGCGCGTGAGATCAGCAGGCTGCATCTGCTGACGCCGAGCCTACACTAAGCAGAGAGATGGGGACTTCCATCCTCCATACAAGGGTGATGTTGTATTCTCCTGAGCCTGGAATGCCCTGCGACAGCGTCAACACGCCAGAACACTTTTGAGCGGGCCTGATAGGAGGCGCCAAGAACAGGGCCTGTAGCGTGTAAGCTTCACACCGGCAAAAGGCCTGGAAACTTGGGAGAAAGGAAATCTTTGAGAGACCCGAGAGCGCCGAGGTATCGTGTGCCTCGGTTTCTTCCACTTCAAGGAGCGACACAAACTGCACCTATCGCCTTCCCCCCCCCCCCCCCCCCCCCGCCAGGACCAGACTAGACCTGTACAGGGATCGGCAAGATCGATGCGCCCTCTCCGCATGTCCGCGATGTGCGGAGCGGCAGGAGCGTTGAGCGCGGGGGGCAGCTGAACCCCGCTTTAGCCTCACTGGGTACGTGACCTCAACCCACGCCGCAGGAGGTAAGGTATCTTGGCCCTCGGTTGACTTCTCACTACAAGTTGGACCTGTCACGGTCTCCCTAAAGCTGCACGTTTGGCACTGCCCATTCCCTGACCAGTAAAGTTTCGTGGGTTGGGGTACTGTTAACTAACGGTAGTAAACCAGCATCTCGTACTGGCTAAAAATCGCCAGATCAAATCCCAACTTCTGTACGATGAGCGGTTTACAAGAGGTAGCGAAGAAACAGGCGAGACAGGGCCTTGAAGTGGCGCTGTAGCACACCCCTCCGAAAATCCGGGGTCCTGTCTTGTAGAATAGGTGGCTAGTTAGCCGATTGAGAGAGATATGAAGCACCTACCTTAATTAATGGGTACCTGGAAGACGGTAACACCTCGGACATATCATTGCCGCACCCGGTGGTTCATCGACGTTTTCGGCTCCCGAGATCAGCGTGAAAACACAGGGGCGGACAATTTGGGGAGCCTCCGGACGAGATTCGTATAAAGAATGATCCAGTGTATGCCGTGAGATATTGATGTGTGGTGAAGAGCCTGGGGGGCCAAATCATGGGGTCAGCCCTTGCTGAAGTGCCGAAGATAAAATAAAATAAAAAGTTCATGCAAAAGAGCGAACCGAGTAGGTAAGGGATGACGGGAAACGTGTTGTGAGAGGGCAGCGCTTCTCGGGGCCGAAAAACAGTGACACGGGCCAGTCGAAAAAGAAACGGCGGTCGCTCATTCTTCAATTATAACCGTTCCAGTGTGTCTTGATTCCGGGCTGGGTTCCAAGGGCCTTGAAATCTAGCTTTCGGCGACTTCGCGGCAACCTGTACACTATGTAAGTGACCGGTTCCGATGAGTTCCTTCACGTTAAGAGCCACGTGGTTTGGGCGCCAGATTGTGGAGGGATCTGGACTAATTGGTGTTTGCGGCTCCGTAATCTGGGAATGATGCACGTGCAGCAGACCCACAACAGGATCCTTGCTCAATGACCCACTAAATTTTTCTGATCGCTTGAACTCTCAACGACCACACCTCTAGATTGCGCGACTACGCCGACACAGCACAATCGTCCCGCGGCCCGCTACGATGTTCCCCGTTAAAGGCCTGAGTATCTCGGCCGAGAAATTGAAGGTTGAGGCCGGCGTTCCGACCTCAATTGCTGCTTCTCCCGCTCCCAAGCCCGCCAGGAAACGCAAGAGGCCCAACCAGGAGAGTGTAACGGCAGAAAACTTCGCCGCCTTGTGGGAGAGGGTCATTGAGCACAAGGGTTCATCCAAGCCTGAAGCTAAAACGCAAGCAAAGAAAGACAACAAACGCCAAAAGAAGGATCACGAGCCATCGGGGGCCGACAGTGCGCAGACTATCAAGTCCAGCGGCCAGCCCGAGAAGAAGCAGAATAAAAAGGAAAAGAAGAAATCCGATTCTACCATTGGAACGGTTGGAGCAATCGAAGATGCGGACAATGACGAATGGAGTGGTTTCGACGACGAGGATGCTCCCGAGGTAGCCCCAAAAACGAAGCAGAAGCCGAGTAAGAAGCAGAAAGACCAAAAGCGGGGCGTTGATGGGACGAAAAATGCGAAATCCGAGGAAAAACGACCGACTACAGTTTCTCAGCCGTCGCCGCAGACTTCAAATGCCCCGAAACTCACCCCTCTACAAGCGTCTATGCGCGAAAAGCTGATCTCGGCCCGCTTCCGCCATCTCAACGAGACACTCTACACTCGCCCATCCGCCGAGGCCTTCCAGCTCTTCCAAGAATCGCCTGAAATGTTTACTGAGTACCATGAAGGCTTCCGCCGACAGGTGGATGTTTGGCCCGAGAACCCCGTTGATGGGTACATCGCCGACCTCAAGGCCCGGGCCAAGGTCCGGTTCCAACCACGCGGTAACAACGGGCCTATCATGGTCTCTCAACTACCCCTTCCCAAACCGCCGCACAACAAAGTCTGCACCGTCGCCGACTTGGGTTGTGGCGATGCCAAACTTGCCGCAACCCTCCAGCCCCTCTCCAGGAAACTCCACCTCGATATTCACAGTTTCGACCTCCAAACCGGCGGCTCCCCGCACGTCACACAAGCCGACATAGCCAACCTACCGCTGGCCGACAACTCAGTTGACGTAGTCATCTTCTGTCTGGCTTTAATGGGCACCAACTGGCTAAGCTTTGTCGAGGAAGCGTATCGTGTCCTGCGCTGGCGTGGCGAGCTGTGGGTAGCGGAGATCAAGAGCCGTTTCGCGCAGCCATCCAAGTCCGCGGCCAAAGTTGTAACCCACAGCGTCGGTAACCGCAAGAAACACCCTTCCGCCGCTGCGGTCAAGCAAGCCAAAGCGATTGCCGCAGAAGCAGAGGAAGCCGCCAACCTCGCCGAACTCGCTGCCCAAGTCGACGAGGCCGACGCCTACCCCCAGTCAAACGCTGGCCAACAACAATCCCAAGAAACAGATATCACATCTTTCCTCGAAGCCCTCGGAAAGCGCGGGTTTCTCCTCAACCGCGATCTTGGCGATGGTGCCGTGGACATGTCCAACCGCATGTTTGTGCGGATGCACCTCGTCAAGGCCGCTCCAGCGCTTCGCGGGAAATGCGCGGCGCCGGGGGCGGAAGAACGGGCGCAAGAGGGCGCCGGTGCGAAGAAGAGGTGGACAGATGGTAAAGGAAGGCCGGTGGCGGCGCCTAAAAAGAAAAAGTTTATTGATGATGAGAACGATACGAATGGGGCTAATAATGAGCGGAATGAAGCGGCTTTACTCAAACCATGTGTTTACAAACTGAGGTAAGCACATTGCGAGTGTGGGAGCCTGAGAGTGGAGGATGGGGAAAGGGGTAGATGGATAGAACAAAAACGGTGCTGTTAGGATAGAGGCACAGATGAAGAGAACATGGGTGGACATCAGTCACGTCTCAAGGGGCGAATTCTAACTAGTCGAGCTGCTCTCGACCAACGTTGAGGTATGCGTCGCTTGGCCCTAGGTGTCCTCTCAAATCGGTAGAATCGCCAATTGTAGATTCCCTTCACGCGTTAGAGTGTTCTATGGCCCATCCATCCATTTATCCTCAGATTCACCGATCTCTTCATGTATCACCCGTACAAGTCCCGAGACCACTACCGGTCTTCTCCAGAAGCAATATCCCCTGAACGTACGACCCAATAGCTATATCAAGTGGGACAATTGTCTTAGTATTTGCGCCTAGAACGTCCCTGCTATGACCCTAACCCATCGAAGAAATAGAGGAGATATTGTCGTGAATCCGTGAACGTCGTTGGAAACCGTGATCGAAAAAAGGGAACATGCCGTACTAATCCTGGAAGATTAAGCTGGCCGCATATTCCACGTTGCCGCCGGTTGCCTCAAGAGCCTGAATCGCCCTCTGCTCGGACGCCCCAAGCGCCATAAGCTGCTCGATATGTTCCCTCGGGAAAGACGGCCGCGCGGGTGCTCTCGGTTGAGCGCTCGGTGCAGCAACCGGGGCAGGGGCAGGGGCAGGAGCCTGCGAAACAGGCTGGACGCCTCCCCCCGCCGGTCCGCCCGGTGCGTGCACAGCACCAGATCTTTGGCCGATGGTAGTTCCTGCGGGGCCCGGAACAGTTGGCTCCTTCTGCACGGCCTCCTCTGTCTCAACCGGGATGTCCGCCGGCCCCAAGAAAGGCACCTCGATACCCTGGATGATCAGTTTGTCCTTGGCAAGGTCAAGACACGCCTGGTGGCGCTTGAGCATATCCAACCCTAGTAGCAATTCCACCTGTTTGCCCTCCATAACCGTGAAGCTGCAAGGGAGGAATAGTGAGCCGATCCTGATTTGCGCCGAGTGTACTCGGCCAATGATGTTGGCAGTCCCTACACCTCGAGCAACGCCGGCAAAGCGCTTGTCTACAAGGCGCATGATGCCGCAGGCCTCTGCGCAGTCAGGGCTCATGATGGTTGCTTGCGCGCCCGAGTCGACCAAGGCCTTCACCTTGTACCCATTGACCTCAACTTCAAGGTACAGCATGTGTACGGATCCGAAAACTAGGCAGTCAGGGTCAGCGCGCGGTTCAAGTCCCCAGATCGTATCTGTTCAAGTTCCATGATGTGAAGTCTTTACCTTCGGGGTTGTGCTCCATGGCGTTCTGCAGGTTTTCCATAACTCGTTCCTGGCGGATAATCTCCTCGATTCGAGCTTGCGCGTCGATATCGAACGGGTCCGCGTTCAACAACTGTATCTGGCGTTGCCGTTCCTCGCGCTCTCGGCGTTCCTTGTCCATACTGTCGGCAAAAAGCCGTGCGAACCTATGCGGATCTTCCAACGCAGCCACCAAGTCTGGTCTCGATCTGCCTAGCTCCCCCCTAAGGTTCGGGTCGCCTAGAATCTGTAACCGAATCACCTCCGGATCCTGCGTCGGTGGGGGGCGGGGCGCCGCTGGGCGAGATGTCCCTTGTTGTGTCGACCCGCCTGCCGCTGACCGGACCGTCGTGCTGCCCCGCATATCGCGCACGTGTAGAGCGAGCATGTCGCCATCGGTGACGCCGAGCTCGGCTAGTGTTTTCGAGTTGTCGCCGACGAGCTGCCCATTGTGGTAGAGGTGCTGAGCGCTGGGGTGATACGTCGTCTCGGCCTGGATCGAGCTACGCAGAGTCTCAATCGTCATCTCGGGGTAGACCTCGAGAGACAGCAGGTCCTGGTCATCGCCCTGGGGCTCCGAGTTCGTGATGGTAAGTGTAATGCGCCTAGAATCGAAAAACAGTGAGAATTCTAGCGGCGCATGATTCTATGAATTGGAGCTTACATATTGATGGCTGCGCGAGGCAATATGAGGCTTCGAGAGTAGGTTTGGGCCGAGCCAAGTCGGCAGGTGCAATGAGAGGGGGGTCGTTCAAGGTTGGATAAGGGAAAACAAAGGAAATTGCGTTGGTCCACGCTCCGTTTTCGTTTTTCTTTTGCGAACTGCGTTCGTAGCAGCAGGGAAAGAACCGGTCAGTCTTGTCGAGGTCCAAGCAGGACAAGGGGAACAGATTCCGACCAAATAGAAAGAGCTCCAGGCGGGAGTCCAAGCGGAAGCGAAGCAAGCCACGAGCTCTCAGATGGCGCAGGTGCAGGGGTAATCGATCTGTTCGGGATGTTGATTGGGCTCAAGCTCCCTGGCGTCGGCTGCTGCCCTTCTCTCACACACTTCTTTTACGTTCTTACCCCACCAGAGCGTGAACCGAATATGACGTGGGGAGGTCCGTTCAAGATGATGACCCTTTTTTAGCTCCTTGTGGGCTTGCGCTCGATTTAAGTACGACCAAAAGGTGTCCCAACTCCGTAGCTGCCTACGATATGGAGCGTCGGTGTTATAATGTCGCCTTCCTTCAGCAATGGAACACTCTAGAAACCCGTTGAGAAACGTGCGTCAGCTGGGGGGCTAATTCTGCGCGGGGATAGCCGCAGGCGCAGGAAGTTGACGATGCGGCAGCTTCGGATGAAGCAACGAACGGCGCTGAACCCCGGCGACAACTCGGCCAGTCGGGACTTGACCAATTGAGCCGAATTGGTACTCAAAGGGCTTATTTCGACACGGATTGAGGGGCTCAGGGGGTACGGGGGCCGAGCTATCGCTTTGATTGCCTCCGAAGGCATACGTGATCTTTTTTCTGCCTTCCGTGTCACGAGCCTCCAAGCGCAGCCACTCCCCATGTGTCATTGAGAGATGACATGCCTGTACCTCAAGCACTCCCAGCCCAAAGTCCCGAAGCATTTGTCGCCTCGGGCAGCCCCGCAGATGAACTGGCCAAACTTCGAGGTCCCCCATCGTGGCTGCACCCCTCCGATTTGGGAGTAACAGTTCTGGGTCTTCGGGCCACTGTCTACCCCGTTTCAGTCTCTTGTGCATTTTGATACCGCTGCACCCCAAAGCGTCCTGTTTGCATTTTAAACCTACCAACGAGCATTAACCGGTGAGCCTCTCATGCAGCCTGAAATCACTTGGCCGCGGAAACGTTGCGCAGCCGTTGCGTTTTGTGGCACACAAACACTCCGCTTGCTGGCTGCTCGCTGGGCCGGCACGCCGGATACCTCAGGGACTTAGTACCTGGCCACCCGGGGATTAGCCTGCTATTCTTTTTCAACCTCGTGGTAGTGCTCAACAACATACCCCGGGGTCTTCTGGCATAATGTTCGCCCTCCCTACTTCTTGATTTATCCACACTTAACATTTTCGATGTCAATTCCGGCGTCCTACCTATCACGGTTCTCTTGGCGGGTCTAAACGGATAATTTTTCGTAATACAACTACTCCTCCGTAGTATATACACGTATATGCCACCTGGAGAACCAGCGGCTAAGTGCATAGAGGATAACATGAGCTTTTCAGATCGACGCCCACTCTCATAGGTAACTCTGTCTGTGAGTCTATGACATCTATGGAAAGCTTCCATAACAACACGGCGAGCCCCATAGCAAACAACGCGGGAGCAAATTGGCTGGGCTCTTGGGGTTAATCGAAGTGAAATCTGTGACTTTGCCTCCAAGTCATTCCGTTGAGGGACCTAAAAACCCAATATACTGTCGAAACAAACAATCTCCATATCAAAATTGTTCCATCCGATAGCGTAGTTCGGAATTTGATCTCCCACTGACGAACCTTGGAAACCCACTTGTCTGACGTCAGGAGGGGTAGTTGCACACAAGCAGCCCCGCAGCAGAGCTCCCCCCCGCCACCTAAAGAAGCAACAACCTGGAAGCATCCATGCCTGGAGCACAACGATACCCGAGCAGATCGTCGGGGCTGGCCGACCTGAGCTTCAAACAATTCGGAAAGGCTCCCTTGTTGAATCCGTCAAAATGAAGGATCCCTCAAAACCCTCCGAACACTCCTGAACATACCGAAGTGTAGTAGGGATCGAAATTCTACTCCACGGAAAAGGCAAACTCGAAGCACCGCCGGCTCGCAAGCTCACTCCTCGGTACCAGTAATCATTAAATGTTCCCGGGGTTTTGGCTTCTCCCTGTAGGCCGGTGCACATTTGAAAAAGTCCCCATGTCTTCTCAGCGGCCCGGGTCCCCCGGTTTCTTTTTGGTGATCTAACTAGGTGCCCGCCTTGGGAACACGGTTTGGCGGCCCCCCAATTTTCCCGTCCTTGGGCACCCACGCCGTTCAACGCCGCAGCCTTGTGACCTGCGTTAGCATTTCCTAACACAGTGAGACATGCAGCCCACAGGGACCCGTACCCTTTTTTTCTCCTAACTGACCTCGCTGCCCCGTCCCAGTACAACGGTACCATCAACCACTCGCCCAACGACCCTCTTCCGAATGTTACCAGCGGCCTCACCTACTCCTCCTGTGCGCACCAACGTCTCCTACTTTGCCGCCGCGCCACACTTTGGCATAACACTTTTTTAGAGCCGACGTACGCGCTGATAACGGGAAAGCAAACCTTGTGGGGTAGATCAAAGGTGTTTGCGATCCAGAAGACCGGAAAAGGGAACAGACACAGACACACCAGTACCGAGACTAAGGGCTGGGGTCACACGGCTCCCTACATTCGCTACCTGCTCACGGCACAGCTTCTGCACGCAAAACTCCAAGTCCTCCGCCTCAAAGCTTGTCTCCCTAAATCCGGCTTCGTGCTTAAGCTTAGCGGCCCGGTTGCTCAACCAGCCAGCTAGCTAGCTGCACCCAAGACCAACCCAAGAAACCAGCATACTCAGCGCAAATATGGTAGGCGCTGAGAAAGACCGCGTGGAGGAACGGGCGCCCCGCCCCGAAGCCGACCAGGCCGTCGACGAATCGTCTGATGTCGATGGTGATTTTGCTTTTGTGCAAAAATTGTTGAACCAAAAGAGGAGGGCAGCCAAGGATAGTCCCGCGCTCCGCCTACAAAAGGCCCTTCCGTTTGTTGGAACTTTTTCACCCAACATCCGGCCCCTGACAATCAACGACCTTGCATCATGCATCGAACTCGAGAATGCTGCGTTCCCTAACCCCGAGCACCGCGCATCGCCACAAAAGGCAAGTCCCCACTAGCTGCGTCTTTCCACCCCTCCGACTTATCGCTGTGAATGAGTTGATTTGAGTTTCGTGGACTGTACACCCGAGTTCACTAACACCCGCCTTTTCCCTTCTTCTAGATCGCGTACCGTCTCACAGCCTGCCCAGAACTAAGCTTAGGACTCTTCCTCACCGTCGTCCCGGATCGCGCCGCCAACCTTGGTATCGAGACCTTGCCCACCGCCCGGGCTGTGGAAACCGGCCGCGTCGACGGCGCCGTTAGCGTGTTGCTTGCGCACACCATCTCGACGCGATGCCGCGGCGACGTTATTACCGACGCCGACATGGGCTACCCTAAGGACTGGCAGAGCAGCGGCGGGCGCGCAACGGGGCAGGATGTTGGCCACCAGGAAGGGGGAAGGACCGTTGGTGTGCATTCGCTGGCGGTCCTACCACGCGTTCAGCGTTGTGGTATTGGTCAGACAATCATGAAGGCATATCTGGACCAAATGAAGAATAGCGGGTTGGTGGACAGGGTGACCTTGATTTGCCAGGATGTAAGTCTCTACTTTCACTTTGGAAAGAAGGGTGATCTGTGATACGCGATGATATTCGGCCGGGTTTTACTTGTCTACGAGATCTAACGCACCTCAGCATCTCCTTTCGTACTACGAACGAACAGGTTTTAAGCATCTAGGCGAGAGCAAAGTGCAATTTGGAGGTGGTGGTTGGCACGATATGGTAAACAGCCTCTTTCTTTTCCCCTTCTTTTTTGTTTAGGGTTGCTATACCGGTCGATTGACTCACTATTGCCCAGGCCTATGATTTACCACGCCCAAACAAGCCGTCACCTTCTTGAGTAATGCCCAAAGAGCCATTGAAGGGCGAGGGCCTACGTGCCACAAAACCACCTCGACGATGTTCCGACCAATCTGATGGTTTATGGCTATGGCCACAACGAACCCGCAATCAGCGGGATGGAATTGATACCTGCAGGTTATGTCGGTGACGTTTGAGAGTTATCCCCCTTCTGGTAAAAGTCTTTTTGGGATGGTTAGGAGGCACATTTTCCCTTTGTCATGATTTCCTTGTTTCATTACGGGTCGTTTGAGTCTCTCCCAGATAGAATACGCACTTACCAAGGTGTGATAGACATCCCAACGCGCAGGCCATGAAGCGGAGCCAGGGTTTATGGACATGCTAGCCAAGCAGTTGATATTTGCACCGCTGGTTTTTTTTTCTCCCTCGTACTCGAAATTTTCAATTTTCAATTTTCACCACGTTTAGTCAGACGCCTTAAATTTGGCGCGGTACTCCTCCGTCCGCTTAATATCTTCCTCCGACGCAACCCCTTTCACGCCTTCAATAATGTCGTCTAGGGTGAGGATCGAGAAGATGGGCAAGTTAAACTCCTTCCTCAACTCGCCAATTGCGCTTGGCATCGGCTTGCTATCGTCCTCATCAGCTGAGGGCAGCTTCTCCATGCGGTCAAGTGCAACTACAATGCCTGCCACAATGCCACCCTCTTTCTGAATCTTGTCGATCGCCTCCCGCTTCGCTGTGCCGGCCGTGATGACGTCGTCCACGATGAGCACCCGCTTGCCGCGCAGTGGTGCGCCGACAATATTGCCGCCCTCGCCATGATCTTTGGCCTCCTTTCGGTCGAACGAGTAGCACGTGGTTTTGCCGTAGGTCTTCGGGTCGAGCTGACCAAGCCGAATCGTGGCGGCTGTTGCGAGTGGGATACCTTTGTAGGCAGGGCCGAAGATGATGTCGAATTGTACCGCACCAGACTTGTGGGCTTCGATTATAGCGTGCGCGTAGGCTGTCGCAATTGCCTCGAGGAGGTCGGCCCGGTAAAAGTCGCCCGCATTGAAAAAGTACGGCGAGATCCGCTTGGACTTGAGCTCGAAGTTGCCAAACTTGAGGATGTTGCCGTCCAGCGCGGCGCGCAAGAAGTCGGCTTTGTAGGGGCTAAGGGCGGCCATCTTTGTTTTTGCTTTTGCGTTATTCTTCGTATTGGAGGGGGTGGTGTTGAGACAATTCCTGTGGCAGGCTGACAGAAGCACTGGCTCACGAGCCGCTCACCAAACCCCTCCATTGTCAATAAATTTCTTAGTGGGGTCGCTGGTGGGGTCAGTCCCGGCCAGCGGGTCTGTCTCCGCTTTTTAGCCTCGTGTGAAGGGTTGTGGGAATCCACACCGCCCGCCCTATCTTATCGAATTCGTGCAGCTAGCAAAAAAATATTTCGGGCGAAACTTTTGGGGACGGCATTTCGACACCGCCCCGCCAGCCAGGTCCTCAGCCAAACTTCGAGATACACTGACCCCCCAGATCTGGACGACACTGCAAGTTGCCCACCATGACCTGGAAGGATATTGCGCCTGTGCCGACGTAAGGGCTCAATCAATCTGAATGGCGTTATACTTGGGGCGTTTTCTAAATGTGTTCCAGGGCACAGGAGTTTATCGACATCATCCTCTCGTGAGTTGCCATACTAATCATTGTAGGACTCGAAGGTTACTTGAAGCTAACAATCTTCTAGGCGGACGCAGAGGAGACTGCCGACCCAGAGTACGTCCATTCGAGCGATCATTATTCGTGACGCTGGCTAACCTTAAGCACCTGTCAAGTCCGCGCTGGATTCAAGAGTATGCCACCCCTTCTCCCCTTTCAAATTATGGATGGCGCCTGTAGTTTACCATAGTCGCTAACAACTGTCTCCAAATAGTCAGCAGAATCCGAGCCTTCTACACCCGCAAGGTCAAGTTAGTATTTTAATCGTGACGACTTGGAGCACCCCCCGAACATTCCAACTACCTTTCGCGCCGAAGACTATGATCCCGAACACAACGCTGATCGTCAACCACAGATTCACCCAAGAAACATGCAGCGAGAAATTTGGAGCTATCGTCTCGAGTTTCCCCATCCTGACGGATCAGCACCCTTTCCATCGCGACTTGATGAACATTCTTTATGGTCGGTTTTTGCGTCAACACGGGGTCATTGGGGCATGACTGGGAAGCGGGAGAAGTGCTGACGATTTTTGTCAGATGCCGATCATTTCAAGGTGGCGCTTGGCCAGGTCTCGACGGCCAAGCACCTGATTGAGACGATATCCCGGGACTATGTCCGCCTCCTGAAGGTAGAACGCGCCATCTACCTTCCGCCGCGATCCAGGGCTGAGCGCTGACCTCTCTCGGCGTAGTACTCGCAAAGCTTGTTTCAATGCAAGCAGCTCAAGAAGGCGGCGCTGGGTCGTATGGCCACCCTCATCAAGCGCTTGAAAGACCCCCTCCAATACCTCGACCAAGTTCGGCAGCACTTGGCTAGGTTGCCTGACATCAACCCTACAACACGGACGCTTCTAGTTTCCGGGTTCCCGAACGTTGGAAAGAGTTCTTTTGTTCGTTCCGTGACGAGGGCTGATACCCCTGTGGAGCCGTACGCTTTCGTAAGTTGTGTACCTGTCTAGTTGCCCCAGGGACAGCAGCTAACAAATGAATAGACAACGAAGAGCTTGGTACGTTGTTTTCTGGTGGGGAGACGTCAATGGGATGTTCATTGCTAACGTTAAGATCGAATAGTTCGTCGGTCATCTTGACTATAAGTGTAGGTTCTGCCCTTCACATAGTGTTATCTGTGGTTGGCCTACTGACGCATCATGCCATCTCAACAGACCTTCGCTACCAAGTAATAGATACACCCGGAATGTACGCTTCCTCCTACCATATCCAGACACGAGTTTCTTCATGCTCATAACTAATCGGAGCAGTCTTGACCATCCTCTCGAGGAGATGAACACAATTGAGATGCAGAGTGTCACCGCCCTTGCCCATCTGAGGGCGGCGGTTCTTTTCTTCATCGACATTAGGTTAGTTATACCACCCCACGGTGTTGGGCCCAACGCTAACTTCGTCTAGCGAGCAATGCGGCTACTCACTCAAGGCCCAGTGTAACTTGTTCAAGTCCATCAAGCCCCTTTTTGCCAACAAGATGGTTTTCGTCGTCCTGAACAAGATGGATATCAAGACCTTCGAAGAGTTAGAGCCGGAGATGCAAGTTGAGCTCCAGGATCTGACGAAGTCTGGTGACGTAGAGTTGCTTCGCGCTTCGTGCGCGACTCAGGACGGCGTTCAAGATGTCAAAAATCTGGTCTGCGAGCGCCTGCTGGCGGAGCGGGTTTCGCAAAAGCTCAAGGCGGGCACGGCGAGCAACGGTGCGCTTGGCTCCCGCCTTACAGAGGTTATGGCTCGCATCCACGTTGCGCAGCCCATGGGTGGCGTAACGAGGGAGACTTTTATCCCAGAAGCCGTTAAGGGCCTGAAGAAGTACGACAAGACCGACCCAGAGAGAAGGATGCTGGCGAGGGATGTCGAGGAGGCCAACGGCGGCGCTGGTGTCTTCAATGTCGACCTCAAAAAGGACTACCTGCTCGCGGACCCATCGTGGAAGTACGACAAGATTCCGGAGATCTACGATGGCAAGAACGTTTACGACTACGTCGACCCCGATATCGAGTCGAAGCTGGCGGCACTCGAGGAGGAAGAGGAGAGGCTAGAGAAGGAAGGGTTCTACGAGTCGGATGAGGACCTTGGCGACGAGTCCGAGGAGGAGATTCTGCAGAAGGCTGAATACATCCGCGAGAAGCACAAGCTGATCCGCAACGAGGCCAAGATGCGCAAGTCGCTCAAGAACCAGGCCATAATCCCCCGCAAGGTGCAAAAGAAGCCCTTCTCTCAGCTTGAGGACCACCTTGACCAGCTCGGCGTGGACACCGAGTCCATCGGCTTGCGGGCGCGTGCTGAGGTGCAGCCCACGCGCGGGCGGTCGCTCGCACGCAGCCGCACCGGCACTGTTGATCCCGATGCCATGGACATGGATCACACGCCGTCGGCCAAGGAGCGCCTCCGCTCGCGCAGCCGCGTCCGCGATCGCTCGGTGATGGCGTCCAACCGTCGCGACGACGGTGTGACGGAGGAGACGGCCCGTACCAAGGCCGAGCGCCAGGCTAAGCTCGGCCAACGCAAGATGAATCGTATGGCTCGGCAAGGTGAGGCCGACAGGCACATTGGTGCGACGATGCCGAAGCACTTGGTAAGTTTAATTTTTTTGTCATGTTTCCGCCCCCCTCAACACAGCCTCTAGGGCTTGATGAAGTGTTCTCTAACCGTGATCCTCCTCCAGTTCTCCGGCAAGCGAACCATCGGCAAGACTGCTCGTCGTTAAAGCCTTTCTCATGTCAGCAGTCGGCAGATTCTACGAGAAACATTCTTCAACCCTACCCCGCGGTTCCTGAATCCCGGTATACTTCTCTCGTTCCCATACTCAGCGGTGTCCAAAGAATGGGACATGCGCCTGGAGCAAACATTCTCGGGACAACTTGTGTACGCGGTAGTGAAGGAGTCCGTTAAGACAGTGTTTCTAGGGCCTAATAGTGGAAGGCGATGCGTACGGCGAAGGGTCAAAAGTCCCTACATAGCGGAAACAAAAGAAGGAAGATTGGCGAGAAAAGGGGACGGGGCTGGGCAATAAGGATTTTGGGTTGCGTAACTCAGGGGCGTTGTTTATTTGCTGTCCAGCCGCTCGGCCATTCCATACATTTTATGGTTCCCGGCGTTTCAGAGGGGTTCGTCGTTGTTGGACGTTATCATTTGATTTAATTCTCTGCGTTCTCTAGTCCTTAGGTTTTTGACGTGGCTATAAATGAAACAAGTAAACGTTCCTGCACGAAAAGTAGTATTGGACGACTGGTCACGAATCACATTCCACCATCTAAGTGTTGAGGGAGAGTTGTAGAGTTGACTCGCTTATATTCACTGATTATACCTCATATAAACCCTCTCCCTTGGCCCTTTCCGCCAAAAAGCCTCTAGTCTTCTTGCCCATTGCCTTCCAGTCCATCCTCACCACTCCCCGTTTCCTACGCCCTGTTCTCCCTAACCACTCCCTCTTCGCCGCTTACTCGGCGGCAACCTGGATACCTTCCCGAAGACCCTCGACGACGAGCTCTTCGCCGGCTAGGCGGCGGTATATGTCGCGCACGTCATCAGTGGTGGTTTCAAAGTGAGAGGTAGCGTCGTAGCTCTTGGAAATGAAGATGTTGTCCTTGGTGCCATCTTCGAGGGGCTCGTAAAGTGGGATGGGTGGGCCCTGTGTGTATGATTTGTTAGTACAATACAGCACCGAAGGTGGGAAGGGGCCACAAGTGGGAATCATGCTTACCATAAACTGCTCTTCGATGCGGCCCAAGCGCTCGATGCCGGGGGCAAGCTCGAGGTGGTGGTTGGCCGAGGTCTCAGCAATGGTCGAGACGATGGCGACCCAGTAACCCTTGGGGCAGACGCTGTGGGCAGAAGAGACGCAGGCGATATAGATATCTGGTTATGGAGAGTTAGTGGATATGAATTATACACCAACGCATGCATCTAGGGCCTCCAATGCTTACCATTCTTGCGGCCGACTTGCGACTGCGGGATGATGATCTGGCATGAATCACTGTCGTTGGTGCTTGCGAGAGGGTGCTTAAGGATGCAGATAGCGCGCAGGACGTGGCCGACAACGCGGACCTTGCTGGGGAAGTAGCTGGGATCACCAATGATTGTCTTGGCCTTGGTCTCGAACTTCATCTCGGGGTCGATACCGCGCATCGTAGCCTTGATTCCTACCGCCTTGCCATCCTCGTACTTGATGTCATCGATGCTAGCGTTGAGCATGTAGGTGCCGCCATAGATAGCACTGAGACGGGCAAACCCCTGGGGTAGCTCGCCCAGACCATACAACGGGTAAATGTATGGCGACTTGCCGTAGCGGGCCACACTGTTGCCATAGAGACGCAGGCGCTCGATAGCCTCGGGGGCGCCGCCCTTGACGTCGAGATAGGCGTCGGTCAGGTAGAGAGCCATAGCATGTCCGGCAAAGTCCTTGGTTGTGGCCTCGAGGCCGAATTTGTCGTAGACCTCGCGCATGGTGCAAGAGCCCATGTCAAGACCTTGAACCACTGTTAGAATATACAACGTAACAATCAACCAAAGGTCTCTGCGATAGTGCCAAGCTGCCTACCCTTGTGCGTGGCGGTGTCCTTGGGGTCGAAAGAACCAACCCATTCGATGAAGCTCTTCATGCGGCGTTTCTCGAAAAGGCCCATCAGGGGCGAACGGAGGGCCTCGGCGGCATCGGAGGGCACTTTAGCAACGGTGGCCTTGGGCCCGGAGCCCTGTTGGACGTAGCTGCCAGCGACTTGCTTGAACTCGAGGTAGCGGGTGACGTCGGTGGAAACGAGGATGTTGGTCAACTCCCCGGATGACATGAGAAACTTGGGTACCAAGTCGATGTTCCAGTCGTTGAGGCGGCCGTAGTTCTTCCAGGGTTCGGTACCCTTCGCGTAGTTACCATACTTTTTGAAGAGCTGTAGGAAAGCGCGGGGTTAGACGTTGGTCGCAGCGTTGGGCATGAGTGCGACAAGGGAATGGATGATGGCATACCGCCTCGAGGTTAACCGACGCCGCCTCACTACAGAAAAGGAGTTCCGTCAGTAATTCCGACCACTAGACCACCACGCAGAGGAGGGAGAGAAGAACAAGATGGACGGACCCGCCGTAGTGGCCGTTGCGGTCGATGTGGAGGACCTTTTTCCCCTTGACACTGAGCACGCCCGACAGGATGCACTCAGTCAATCCTGTGCCCAGCACAACAACATCGTACTCCGGGGCGATCTCGTCAGCCATGATAATAGTTTGACCTGGATGCTTGGGGTGTCGTGGTGCAAGTGGAGGAAAGGATGGAAGCACAGAAGCTAAGCTTCGTGGGAGATGCGGGCGGTGGGGTTTATGGGCGAGAGGTCCCGGTCTGGTTCTGGGTCTGGAAATGAGGTGGACGTCCAAACCAGACAAATGGTTTTGGGGGAAAAGGAGAAGAAAACAAAACAGACAACCCAAGGGAGAGTTGTGGGGACTCGATGAACACCAGGTCCAGATTGCACTCTCGTGTCGATGCGTTGGGCTTGTTATTAGGTTTCCAGTCAATCAATTGATGGAAGGCCCGAGTCTGGATCATCCACCAGCGAAGCAACGAACTTCGGGCTGCTGTGGTGGGGGGTGCTGCTGAGGAGGGGTGAAGAGCATGAGGTGCCCCGCTCTGGAGGTGCCTCACTCGGAGCTAAGACGCACACGGCCGCCTGTGATTCGACGCTGGAGACAGGCGGTCTGGGGCTCGTCTCGGCTCATCAATGCTTGAGATTGGGCGGCCGCTGCTCCTCGTCTTCCCCTGATTGTTGGGAATCTCGGTTGGCCTGCAACCATGTCGAGCATCCGATCTTGGCTGAGACACAGTTTCCGTCTGGGGAAGCATCCAACATCCTCTCGATACACTATCTATACAGGGGATATACCATCGCCGCCGCTCGGCGCCTTCCGTCCCAAGCACTCCTCCCAAAGGCTATCCCTATCCCTGAGCCACCTGCTCGACATTGTGCGGAGGGAAGGCCATGAAGCCGACGGCCCCGTCAACCCAATCATGATACATAATATGCCCTCCGGCCGTTTTTGCATCCCGCTCAAAGTCAGGCCCCATCTCCCAGTTTGCAAGACCGCAACAAACAACGAAAGGTACAATCATCGTGTGCTCGTGTTGGTTCATCATAACCTCGGGGCCTCGGGGGCCGGTTTGGACGGAGGTATCGCCGTCGGGTCAGGGGAAGATTCGGAGGCAGATGCGGGCTCAGACACTGATACGGGTTCCGCCTTTTCTGCTCCCTTCTCAGTTGTTTCTTCCACAGCTTCGGCAACCTTCTGCTCGCCTTCGGTCGCCACATCGGGGTTTTCGAGATATTGTGTTGGGGTAAAGGCCGGGCCGTGGCCGGTCAAGTCGACCTCGGGGTCATTCTCAGCGACCTTGACCGCGTCCTCCCATGCGTAAAATCGCTCCGTCAAAACGTGCTTGATAGAGCGCATTGTGCCGCGAACCTAGAAATTACGGCGAGCCGTACCCGTCAGCATTCCATTGTCGCGCCGCATCGTTATTATACGAAATTTCGTTTTCTTGCACATTCTTCCTCCATAACCTCCTAGCTCCCCTCCCTCCCAACGAACATAAAACTCACCTGCTTATCTCGGTTCTGCGACTCTGCGTCACCGAACCCCAATTCGTACTTGGTCCGCTCCCAGCTGGCTGTAGCGATACGGTTCCGTTCCTTCACACACACCCACCACAGGCGGTGCAAGTCGTCCCACGACTTGTGCCGTAGTTCTTCTACGGTCCAGCTACGCCCGTGCTTGGCGTCCTCGGCCGGCGCGACCGCAACCCGCTTGCGATCCGGGAAGAAGTCCCACAACCCATGGTCCGGGTCCGTCTCGATGGGCGGTAGCTCGCTGAGGGGCACCGGCCGGGGCAACGGCTCGTCAGACATGGACAAACGCCAGCGTGTTCCGGTGCGACGGATCGCTGACTCGCCACGGTGCTTGCTGTTGTCGCGGGTCACGCGGGCTCCGCGATACTTGTGGCGCTTGAGCAGCGCAGGGGTAGTCGAGAGGGAGGCGGTCTGAGTAAGTGGGCGGAACGGAAGGGGTGTTGGGGTGGTCGAAGCGGCCGTTATCCTGCCAAATGCCCCAATCGAGGGCCGCAGTCCGGACGCCATTGTCGGTAACTACTCGAGGATCGATGTTCGAGATTCGTGATTGCGGTCGGAGGGGACGAGAAGTCCGGCGCCGAGGGGCCGGATGGTCGAAGGAAGGTCGGCGGCTGACCGTATCGTATATTGCCGCTCCTCAATTAATCGCTGTCGGCTTGCCACAGCCTGGATTAAGGCAGTTGCTGGTCCAGAAATGTTTCCCCTCAGCCTAAACCTTCACACCCACCGATGCACGAACTTGAAATTTTGGACGGTCCGAGCGCTATCAACAGGGGGTAGAGAGGGGCCCCGAAGAGGTCGCACCAAAAACCGCAGAATAGGGTCCCGATCTCGAAAGTCAGCTGGCAATCAGCTGCCAAAGACCGCCACCAGCCCCAGCCGGTGCTCATTGAATTGTTTCGCAGAACAAAAGCAGCGTCCTCACGAACTTTCTGCAAGACGAACATCGGCTACCATGCCTCGAATTCCTCCACTCTGACCCCGGATCGTTGAAGAGAATAATACCCCTACCATCAAGATGGTTCGGAACCCAGTCTCGTAGGTTCACGCCCCCGTTAAAAATTCTCAATCCCACTCAACACACTCTCATCCTCACCTCACTCGCACAATTCACCCACTCACTCACCAACCTCACATCCTCCTATTCCTAAGGCCTGAAGCTTCCTATGCCCCGAACCCTCAGAAGCCTGATCAATGCATACACTTACCTGCCCCCCCCAGACTCTACACCAGCCTCCCAAAGAAGACCCGTCTCGCCCTCGGCGGCACGCTCCTCGTTTGGGGCAGCCTGGGGATGGCCTTTGGCGATAAGCTTGAGGCCTACCTGGGGCTAACGCCGAACGAGGCCGATTGGGAGCACCTAGACAGCGTAATGCCTAAGATTCGGATCATGGACCGCGATCAAAACGGCGGGCAAAGCGGGAAAAAATAGTTGGTGGGAGGGGGGTAGCATAGGGGGAGTGGACGCATCGCCGGCGGTTAGCTAGTTGGTAGTGGTATGGGTGGGTCAAGTTAAGATGCCACTGGAGGTAGATGAGGGGGCTCAAGAGCAGACTGGGACCATGCGGTCAGTGATATATACCCGTCAATTATCTTGGTATTCATTTGTTCATCCCTTACCTCGAGGATCGTTCAAGAAAAGCCCCTTCTCACGTGGAACCGAACCGGCAGGCCAGTCCCAGGCCGGGTGAATAAGGAAGGCCCAAAAGGAATTTTCAACAGCAACACTTTTATTTCACCATTCCGCCTCTGACCGGCCGACAACCCAGGCCATGCCAGCTCTAACGCAACGTATGTAATTGTCTGACAATGATGTACATCCTATCCCATCAAGTCCTCACCCAGTCTCCCTAGCCGTCCCAGGCTTCTCCCCAACCGTTTCCTTTTGATTGCCCCCTCCAACAGCCCTCCATCCATCCCCTGTTCTTTTTGCTTAATTTTTATTTTTCGGGTTGTAAAACACCCAACCACCTTCACCTAGCCTAGCTGCCATTTGTCTCTCCTATGCCCCAAACCGAAGTACATTTCCGTTGAGCGTGCCGAAAGAGCCAGCGGACCAAGTGCATCTTGATCTAACAACCCATCTACGGGTGGTTGTTAAGCCCCCCTTTGAGTCGTCATAACAAGACGCCCAGGACAAGGAACCAGCACAGCCAATCCCAGGTCCATGAAACGGAAAAGTCAGCATCAGCCCAAATCAAGGGATCATTGCAGTAGTTGACGAAAACCTCATTATCGCTGACAATGACTGGTCCCCATACACGGCCCCCCTTCACCCTCCCAGTCCACTTTTCCCGAAGAAATCGGGGGAAGACGAGATTGGCCAGTGAGCCGCCAATCCGGTCTATGTGCCGTTGTCAAATGCTGAGTCGGTCTAATGCAGAACCCCCACAGAGGAAAAAAAGAAATAAATCTATCACCGCAACACCCCCGATCCCCGACCCCGTGATGCAAGCAAAAAAAACCGCCGTGTGCCAATCTGATGCAACAAGGGGATTGCCACAACTTTTCTGATAATTGAGAAAAGGACAACAGTGACCGCGAGAAAGAAAAAGAAGGAAAAACAGAAGGAAATAACCGAAGACACCCCTCGTGCGAAGGGTCGAAACGCCGATATGATGCAGAGGGAATGAACGCGTCCGGTCTCCGTAAGATTATTGTTGGCCTTGTATGCCCCCGGCTTGAGCGGCCGCAAAGCCTGGCGACTTCCTCGCCGTCGGAAGCGGTCGGAAAAGTTGTGTCATGTCCAGGTTGACGTCTTTAGTCCCGTACGAAGCATCAATATCCCCGACAGATCCCAGTTCCTCTCCCCGCGAAGCCCCGTCCGTGAGCACCCACTGCTTCACCGATTTCAAAAGATGAATGACAAAACCAAACCGTTGATCCGGTGCCATCTGCAAGTCTGGTGTCCGCGTGTTTTTGAGAAGATACGTCGCCAGCCAATAGAAATGGATGCCATCCCGCGTGAACCCGTACCGACGTGGGTTGACAGCCGGTGAAGGTGGAAATTGGATGGCCATGTCGTGATCCCAATTGCTCTTGAACTTATCAAGCGCCGTTACGAGGGTCTTGGCGGTTTGGACATCAAGGAGACCTGGGCCAAGATCGACCGGTGTCGCCCGGCCGCTATTGGTGGGACTGCCTCGTGCACCAACAAACCACGCTTGGGCTGGGATAGGTGTCCCAGATCGGGTGAGAATCGCTGATCCCCCTTCCAACTGAGCTCGCCTCATGATGGCCAAGAGCGCATGGATGAGGATGAACTTGCCAAACAGATTCGTAGACCCAGGCTGGATGTGATGATTGCTGTCAAGCAAGGCCTTCAGCACCAGGTGCAGCTGCGGTTGACTGCTATTCTGGGTGCCATCGGGATTGCGAGCCTTGGCAGCGTCCGGCCCGTGGAGCCCGAGAGCTTCGGCACATTCGTTGGGGTCGCCTGCATCCCACGCCGCATCATCCGTCGGCAAGGGAAGGCGAATCTGGAAGGGATCGAAGTCGGGACCGGTGTTGAAGTACAAACCCAAAGCAACATCGTAGACGAAAATCATGTACATGATGCGAATCCGTTTCTCTTGTTCAACCCATACACGCCAGTTGAATTGGGAGGCGGAGTGGGTCGCCACGGTAAATTCTGGTTGGTGAACGGGGCTGTATGTCGATTCATCGGAAGCAGCCAAACGGAGCAAGCCGGCCTTGCGCGCGGATGACGCGATAAGCGGGAATGTCTTGCGGGCCCTGTCACGCTGCGTTGGAGTGCCGTGCCAGGTGAACAAAACCTGGGTAAGCATAATGGCCTGCAACTCCTCGATGTCGGTCTTGTTGGTCCCGAAAGAACTCCATTCAAAACCGGTCTCGGTGCCGCTGACCTGCAATAGCGAGGCAAACATACGAGATGAGCCTTCAAGGGCTGCTTTCAAAAGGTCCATAATCTCGCGGATGTTAGCTGCGGGAATCCGGTCCGAGTAGCATGCCCCAACACAACACATGGCTGCTAACAGGCCGACATGCGTTTCCAAGGCGCGGAAGGTGGGAACGTGAAGAATCGATACATGAGCATGAAAGTGGGTGTAGTTCTCGAGAAAATTGCGAACATTGTCAGAATGGAAATAGAAATCGAGGAAGCTGGAGGTGGCGGTGGTGGCCCCGGCGGGCGAGGACTGTAAAAAGTTGAGAATCTTGCTGGAGAGTTGATGGTAAGTATCCGAATATGACGACGGGATTCCCCACGAGGGGAAGAAAGACGAGTCGGTAGGATGGTCGCCAAGGATTCCGGCCGCTCGATCGGAGCCTGGATTAGGCTCGGGTTTGGTTACGGTCTGCATCTGTCCCTGTCCGGCATTAGGTGGGATCGAATTGACGTAGTTGGGATGCGCACCAGCCTGGAACATTGTAGACCAATCGGCCGAGTTTGAGCCCCCAAACATGGGCATTCCGTTTTGGTTCTGAGGCATGCTGTAGTTGGCCAGCTGCGGGTTGATGTTGGCAGTCATGTTGTTCGCCACCTCATTGCCGTTATAGGACTGCTCGAAGCTGCCAGGGCGCGTCGACGCACCCATAACCGACGCGGTCATGCTTCTCCTATCACGGTTCGCGTCGTCGGTAACCCTATTAATGCTACTAGACCTCGACAGCTGGCTTTGGTCGTTGGCGACGTTGTTAATGCCGTCAGAAGCAGGAATGATGCCGAACGGGTGAACCATTCCCTCAGCAGGCATGTTGCCCATATTGTTAATATGGTTCACATCGCCTTCAGTACCGAGCGCCTTCTGCTGAGCCGCCGCATTTTTCTTGACGTGCGCTTGCGGGTGAGACAAGTGACTAGCGCCAGTAGGGTTACCACGCCGGACGGAGCACTTGATGAAGTGGCGTTTGAGAATATCGCTGCGGGAGAAGGTGTCGTGGCACAGGACACACATGTAAGGCCGGTCGCCAGTATCTATGAGGCTCATGTTTAGCATAAGCCCTCTGGGGGGGCACAGAGGACGAGAGGGAAGGGGGGGAAGGTGGTAGGTTTAGTAGTCTTGGTTTCGGTGGTGGTGCGAATGGCAGTGATAGTGAGGAGGATGGGGATGGATATCCGTGACTTACGTCGCAGAAGGTGGCGCTTAAGGTGCTTCGCATGCAAGTAAGTCTTGGTGCAGTGAGGGCAAGGGAACTTCCCGTCGGCATCCTTCTGGGGAATCTGGTTCTTGGCCTGGGCAGATCCGGCGGCTGGCGCAGCGGGCCGTCCGGGTGCGCTCGGCAAAATGCCGCGGCGACCCTGCGAGCCGACAACGTGTGTAGGCGGGTCACTCTCCGGGAGCATAGAAGTCTGCGGCATCAGTGGGCTCTGGCCGTACGGCGAGTTCATGCCGGCCTGTGGCATGACGCCTCCAGCGGGCATAGGGCGGAGGACAGGCGGGGCCCGGCCACCAGCAGTAGCCGGGGCGGGCGCGATAGGCTGGGGGTGCGATGCGGCGGTGGTGGTCTGCGGCATCATACTCGATGACGCGCCGGGATACGGCTGCTGGGGGTACGAGCTGTTTCCCATCATGGGGTAGGCGCTGCCACGACCCGCATTCTGCGGAGGTGGCGGTGGGTAGCTGGCCATAGTGCTTGCGGAGCTCGGCGTGTTTGGCGTAGCCGGTGTTCTCGGAGTGTGAGGATAACTTCCGTAGGGGCCCTGTTGCATAACAGGGTTGCTTGGTTGGAGGGGAGGGAGAGTGTGGGGAAGGACCTGGCCGTGATGCTGCTGCTGTTGTTGATGCTGCGGTTTTTGCAGCGAGTCTTGTTGGTGGTGTTGGGGGAGGTGAGGTGATGCTGCGGACGAAGAGGGGTAGGAAGCCGTCGTCGTGTTTATAGCAATCGCCGAGCCGTTAGGCAAACCTTCCATAATCCGTCTCTCAATAACCAGGGTGTTGAGAGCACAGAAAGACCATCCGAGCCGAAGCAGGAAAGTCTTCGCGTGCTGATGTTGTCGCTAACTACCGACAACAAGCGCGGCTTTGTCCAGTACTCAGGCACGAAGCGCGACAAGCGGTGGTGGATGGCGGAGGCCGGTACTCGAGTGGTCGGGACCGAGGACAGCCTTGCGTGTTTCGCGTGATAGAGCGGTTATTGTTGTGTTTGCCTTGTGATAATCAAATGCGACCAGCCCGAAAATGAGGTCAGGCAGCGTGTTGTTTGCCTGTTGGCGCGTCCGCACGATGCAATGCGATCTGTGATGCGTCGTCTGCGCAAAGTTGTGGGACCTGCAGCCGCGGTATGGGGTTGTCGAAGGCGCGCGACGTGCTGAAAAGGTGGAGAAGACCCCAAGCGGGAAGATGAGGCTCAAGGGGGAAAGACGTGGGAGGTGGAGAGGGATGGGGGAGTTTGAGTGGAAAGTCGGTGTGGGGACAACCACTTTTTGTGCTGCGCGTTCCTCTTTTAATGTTTTGGCAAGCCCTGCCGGGACACCTTGCTGATGCGCGGGTGGCGGGCCAAAAAAAAAAGAGTGGGCTCTTTCCACCAGTTCCTTTTCCCCTGCCGTTAGGGAAAGGTGCCTGAGTGGGGACGGGCTGGATTGAGAGGTGGGAAAAATTCGAGGTTCCTTTCGAGAATGCAGAAAGACCCGATGAAGAACCAGGCCTCGAAGGTCGGGCACCGAAGATGAAGACTGAAAGGTTATTTGGGGTCGGGTGGCCCCCTGCTTCTGTTTAGACCCTTCGCAGTCAACACTCTGTAGTTGCTTTGCAGGAGCTGCACAAGGAGAAGCAGTATGCGGTGTTGTGGTGGAAAAGAGATGGGGCGCGCACGCGATGTGGAAGAGGAAAGGGAAAGTGGGTAAGAACCAAGGACCGAGTTGAGCGGGAAAAATGGAGGGAGGGGTGCCACAAAATGGGGGAAGGGCTTTGGGCGCTCGGACCAACGAGCAGGCGAACTCGCCGGGAAGGCGGGAAATATTGAGCGAGGAAAAATACAACCACTCCCTTGCTGTTTCCGGGAAGGCAGCCGCGGCCAGCCAAGGAGGTACGGACCTACCTAGGTGGGAGATAAAGTGCGCGCTTGCAGCACTCGCATCCCCCATCGCATGGCTTCGTTTTACTGGCCCGCTGCCATCCGGTATCGCTCACGCCAGAAACCTGCCACCGCTTTCTTGCCTTCTGATTTGCGCCCGTCCCCCACAACTCGCCGCCCGCGCTTGCTTACGTCTTCGATGTGTTGTAGCTGGCAGAAACGATCGAGGCGTCGCACACCCGACAAAAAATGGAGGCGACCCGCGAAGCAAAACCAACGTACAGTGCAGAGTTTTGGTAATCATACTGTGGAAGCTTTCGTCGGTTGCGAGGATGCCCTGACGCCATGGGGGCGGCCTTGGGAAGATGGCGGAAGGCAAGGAACAGCCCATTGAATGGTGTGTCGGCTGCTGGCTAGTCCGTTGGTCGCCGGTCAAGCCCAGCAGCCGAGCCAGATTCCCGAGAGCAACAAATGTTGTTCATCATTCGGCGCAAGAGAAGAACAGGGACAGGCTTGCCAACTGTCTCGGCGGGACTCTTCGCGTGCATGTGTTGACTCGAGCACAAAGTTAAAAAAGGACAACCGGAAACTCGGTCCTCGCTGTGTCAGGCATCTATTGGTACACTGCCTGGCTCAATTTGCGGCGTCACCCGTCGCCGTGCCGGCTAAGTCCCACGTTAACCGTTTGTCTTCAGTTTAACGATTTTGATTCGGGAAGCAGATACGTCTTCCTACTAATAGAGGCTGAGAAAGCGCTACGAATACGGGGACATAACTCAATTCTCAAGGCGGGGCTTGGAAGGGGACCGCACCACCTCTTCCTTGCCAAAGAGAGGGGCGTTGGGCGATTTCGATCCGCCAGGTTGGCTTCGCTCAATTCCCGGGAAAGCGGAAAACGCGCTAACCCTGCCGAGTTGTGTCTCCTGGACTAAGCCCAAATTATGGTGAAGTGACGTTACACTTTTTGTGTGTCTCACACTGTGCTCTTCCTGTTGATTCCGAAAGGGAGCTTGCCACCCCGACTACTTCGTACCGTCATCAGCAATGGACAACCTAGGACGACGGGATGTCGGATCTCAGTCATCCGGAAACGCCTCGAGCCGGAGATACTTTGAAACGGTGGACAAAGCGAAATACAGTGGTGATTGTAGTGTATAACGTTAGCGCCCACACGCCCTCTCATGGCCCAATATCATGAACAAGTTCGTTCTCAGGGGCGGGACATCGTTGATCGACAATTATTCTCTTTCCAGCGCGACGCAGGGGTCGGGTGTTGGGAGAGCGGCACCCGCGCGAATGGGAGCGTTCACCCTGAAATGCCTCGCACGTTTGTGAGTTTACGCAAAGCTTCGCCAAAAACACGTTTGATATGTACAAACTACTCAGTAAGCCCACAGTGTTGGGTTCCCATCTGATGAGCCCAACTCGAACTTCGCAAGGTGCATGCCACGGTCTTGACGCGTGAGAGTATAAACATGGGGAGAGAGCGATGACAAGGAAGCGAGTTTCTCGGGCGCAACGGAATGAAAACGAAAAGGCCAATCACACAGCTCAGTGATCAACGTGAGCCTGGGCAAAACGAAGGCCCTGAAAGGTGCAAGTCTCAAGTTTTGACAGGAGAGTCGCACTCCCAACCACGATATTTTTTGTCATCCGACGAGATAACGTGGATGAATGGTAGGGGGCCAATATAGCGTTTCCGAATTGCGGTGAGAAGGTCGGCGTGTCTTGTGACGCTTCTTCAGGGGCGTCGGATCCGGGGCCTATCTACCTCGAAGTTGTCGAGGGATAATTACCTACTTAGTCACGTTGGTCGAACGCGGCTCATCGAACAACCCAACCAACAGCCTCCTCGGCACGTATGCCATCACAGTGCGGCACACCGACCACTCCTCCGCCGGGCCACCGGTCCCAAAGCATCGGAAACTCTTCCATCTTTCGATCCCAAGTCCTAAGACGATGGGGGCTAGTTGCACGTGTACTATGTAGTGTACTTCGTATGGGTTCTGGGGCTGGGGGCCTCAACCTTGAGCACACCACTGACAAAAAGACATCCATCCCCGGCCGCTTCTTGACACACCCCCCAATCAAGAGATCGCGAGATCCATGACGGTTTCAGAACGATGATGTGCAGACGAGTCAAGATCGTCAAGAAAACCGGTACTTCGCACAGATTACACTTTTACATACATAGATAGTACTGAGAGACTGCGCGAATCCCCTTTATCATTCACAAGGCACATGCACCAGTCAACCCCCCGAGCCCCCTTCCACCCAACCGAGCCAGCCGGCGACAGCCGAGAAATACTACACTACTGCGTACGGAGGTAACTCGGTGGTTATGGGTGGGCTCATCCAAGAGCCAAGGTTCACACTGTGGCGAGGTCGTTCACTAAACCCTATCGGTTCCAGCTAGGACCGCGGATCGTTGTGACTTTGCGCCTCGATGAACCCTCGAGGCGCCTGCGAAAGGCCAAAAATGGCAAATTTATCAGGGACAGGCGTTGCTCGGAGCGTTGCCACAGCTGGCGAGGGGGTGCATTCTGGCTTTTCTGTCCCCTGTTTCTGGCAACACCGGCATAACGTTTAGCCCCTAAGACAGAGAGAGGAAAGCGAGTCAAATCGAGGCAAATTGAACGCCAGGCGTTTCCTCTGACCAACAACCGACCATTGGAACCGTGGAATTATTAATCCCACCGAGCGTTTATGCCAGCCCAAGGTGTGTTTAATCCATTCTTTCCTAACGCCTACAAAAATAGGTAGGCATGGCACGTAGTGTAGGTAGCCAGGGTGCAATCACGTCCCCATTTTCAATTCCGTTTGATATCGTCGCACTACGCGTCAGCCGCGCGCGTGTTAAGGTGGAACAATGTCGTCGCATGGCGTCGGATGAAAATGGCCCCCTTTCAAGGGTCGAGTGGGGAGGTGGGCGATCCAAGAACTGAGGCTCTGGGAGGGGCCGAAGGGGCCCATCTCGGGAGCCCACACCTGCGGGTTCTGTGCGACGTATATTAAAAAATGGGCATGAGGGGCGCCTTCTAGAAGCTGAAAAGCTCCACCAACCGAAGAATCTATAATATCAAGAACCGGTCTCTGCTCCCCTCCTTTCTGATCCAACCGACTGGGCAACACAACCTGTATCTCGCCAACGATCTAGTCAGCGGAGGTGTGAATGAAAGTCGCTTTGAGGATTCGAGAAGCCGCCAAGGGCCATCGGGCCTTTCCCGGCTCAACCAACGGAAAACCCCCTCAACAAACGCGACCAAAAGATTGCGCCGAAAGCGATGGGCCAGCCACGTTGCTTTGAACGAGTCAGCCGTGCAACAGCCGTATGCAAGCGTGCCGATTTTTCGACTTCTTCTCCCTGCCGACAAGAACAAACCGGCACCCATCGGCTCCCACTGCTCTCACAGCAGGTCTGCAAAACGGTTCGAAAGAAGAGCAAGTTCGATTCAAGGTTTCTTCCCCGCAACCCCCGCACCGGCCGAGTGTAAGCTCGCATGAGCCCCGCGCCCCCCAAGATTGATAACGAAAAGCAAACCCTGAAAGGGTTGACTTGAAATCCATCGTTACATGAGAACAGAAGAGGTGAAGGCAGAGAAACCAGCACGGCATTCTGCTGGCCGGAGTTTTGGCTGAATCCATGGTGGGAAGATCGGAGCTGGTGGGAGTGAGGGCCGGCCAAATCCCATCCTCATGCGCAACCCCCGCTCCTCCCTTGTCCGATGTGGCGTTTCTGCATGGCCATTGCAGCGAACCAGATGAAAGAGGGGAAAAAACGGCGAGATCCCAGACGAATCTGCTTCCGATGAGACAAGCTGTCTGATCCAGAAGCCGCCCTCGGCTCTGCCACGGCAAGGATGGCTAATCGGCGCGATTGGCGCAAGGGGGAGCTTCGTTTTCCCACGGTGTCAATCGGCGACCATGATGGGGCCTTTTGCACAGTCGTCGTTCCATGAAAAACATCCCGCACCGGTCGCATTGCGGACGGCGAAGCTTCGGTGCTCTGCTTGTATCAACCACAAAACCTGAACCTTGCCCAATGTCTGGATAGCCGCCTCGATACGGAGAATGAGAAGGGCTTTCGCAGACTCGAGCGCAAACCCCCGCAACGCGATTATGCCGCACTAATACAAAAAGAGACTCGTCCAACCAAGAGCTTTGTTTGGACGACACGGCTATACTGCGGGATGATGACCGAGAGTCGCGAGAATCACGTCAGTACCCGTCACCGGATCAGCGGACCCAGCCCCCAAGAAGTTGAAGAAGCGAGGTGTCCAGCCCTTGGCATTATCACGGGATTTGAAACGATGCCCTGCCCATCAGTCCTCCAAGTTGGGGGTCCGCGATGCATGGCCGGCAGGGCAATGAATTTCGGCAATGCCTGGCGGCAATTATGGTCCGAAACCCGGCTAGCAAATGAGCTTGTTTTCTTCCGAAAGGCCGTTTTCGAGGTCCAGAGGCACAGATCGCTCAGGTGTTGTTGCAGCGCAGACGCAAAAAATCTCGACACCAGCACGACAATCTGGGACTCCTTCATCCGACCTAGACTCCACCTTTTTCCTTTTTTCCAACGCATTTGCGCGGACGGAAACCCTGCCAAGGACGAAGCCAGCGGTACTTCCGAGAAGGGCAAGCCGCCACGAAATTCCGCCGTGCTGGCTTGTGGCTTGCGATCGCCGCCAGGATTCTGCAGTGCCCACCACTCGCTAACCTCGGCCTAGCGGAGCCGGATGGAAAAGCCTCACCCTTGTCGACGCACCGTGCCAGCCAAAATCAAAATATTGCAGCCGAAGAACACAGGGATGTACACGTATCCGTAACCATGGACGTCGACCAAGATGCTCGGTTGACTTTACACACACTGTCTCGTAGTTACGGATGTATATACTATTCCTCCTTTTCTTAATCGCTTGGTCGTCATCCGATGCAAAGTCTTCCCCTCAACGTGACAGTAAGAAAGGGTGGGTGGGTGGCTGACAGTCGTAAGCTTTCCAAAACTTCCTCACCATGCTCTAGCTACATGGAGAGAGAAGACAGACTCAGCAAGAGAAAACAACCAACCAGCCCCTGGCCATTTTCCTGAGCTTCTGTCTTGTATTCATTCACACAGCATTGGGTAGCTACACCAGCCTCTTGTTATTTAGCGCTCTCTCGAGCCATGCCAACAGAGCATCGGAGCTTTCTCCGAAAACCTTGCCTCTCTCAAACAACCACCTTAGTGTGTTCCTCCTCCTCTTCGCTCACTTGCTGTCCGCTTAACATCGCGAGATTGAGGAAGGGATAGTTAGGAGCAAAAAAACATCTTCGCGTTTTAGCGTACCCTACCAGGAGTTTCGATTAAAAAAAACCGGAATTCGCCGCGGTGGAGAACTGCCCTGAATGCAGTCTGCGGAAACGTGGCAACCCCCCCAGCAGCCGAAGCAAGGACGGGTGTTCTCAGTGACCCCCACCCTTACTAAATGGCATTTCCCGTTTGGGACAGAATGTTCATCAATGTTTGTGTAACGCGAGATCTTGGGCCAGCCGCGCACGCACAGTGCCCAGATCCCATCCCACGCTGGGCCTACGCCATGAAGCTGACTCAGCACGCTCAACCATTTTTCCTGCGACAGCAAGACCAGGTGATAAGTCCACAGCTGCGTTGAAACCGAACTCTCTCAGTACCATGCGTCGTCCTCGAGAGGCCGCCATACCCTACCTTGCCTACTTCGTACCATAGTACACTACACGACGAGGTACATACCATGGTAACGAGTTATCTGCCTTGATGCCACACTTTTGTCGTGTTCGCCAAGCCCATCAGCATGGAGCCCAGGATATGGATCTGTCAGGTGGCTCGCGCTCGGGCCGTATCTTCCTTAAACGACGGACGAGCGGGTTCGAGGCATGCTGATACCAAAGCGACAGCGTACGAAAACACCATTTTACTGCCCAGGACGAAATCAAATAAATGAAGCCACGGCTGTCGAAGATGGCCGTAAAGGCCGGCAATGGAACAAAAGCTTCATCACTCAATCTTGCCCAAGTAGCCACGGTTGAATTAGATGTTGACTCGTTGTTTCCAACAACCGGAGGCCAATAGTTAGTGAAAGGGAACAAACACACATTATCAATTAAACCCGCACGGTTTGCACGGATTCGAGACGTCTCATTCAACACTGGGCTGGCTGTCAGTCATGGCCAGTGAAAATGACGGCTGACAGCGCAGTCAACCAGCTTCTCTGTCCGCTTGCCACGTCCATCGAGCCGTTTCGATGCATCTCCCTACTCACCAATTCATGACTTTGCTGTGCTGCAATATTCAGTTCGCAGAAACTCGTGCAAATTAAATAAGGCAGAAGAAGGTTTCTGTTGGAGTCAGCATCCATGCGATCCGACGCGCAACGCGCGAGTCAGGGATGGAGGCGTCACGGTTTCATTGCCAATCTCGGGGGGTTGGAGCAGCTGCGCAAAACACACACCGCCTCATCCGGCTCATGTCACACAGCCAGCCCCTGGGATTGAGGGAACGCCCTGAAAAACACGCAACGGTACTCGGTACGGTGACAAAGATTATCCGGAAGAAATCCGAAAAATATCCTCAGCCAACGGATATTACTAGCATACTGGGATATTCCAGGCTCTGTTTTCCTTTGTCATGGAGAATGCCGTCAGCTCACGACGCTCGAAGGAATATTGGAATCCAGTCCTTGGTCCTGACGCAGGACGCTTGGCATGCCAAAAAAAAAAAAAAGAGTTCGCCAAGGGTTCGCCAGAGGTGTCAAGCCGGATATCTTGGATTCATCCAGTCGACAAAATAGTGTAGTTAGTAATCACACGGTCTTGCGGTACCTAGTCGTTATCTAGACATGTCCCTGCAGCACCTTCGGTGACTCGGTGAAAGAAGGATTTACACTAGTTATTCGTAGAAACAGACGTATTCGTACAGTACATACCAAACACAGTATGACTAGGTTGTGACATCACGCCAACCTAGCGGTTTTCCACTCTCAGACCACAGAGGCGGGGAGATAATGCAGGAGGGCTTGCAGGAGAGGCAAAGGAGCAAAAACTGCAATGTTGGTGAAACCGGATATCGTTCTTTACACGAACCGATGGCGTCCACCTCGAGCGCCCGAACCAGCCGTCGGAGTTGCCGTTGCCTCCGAGGTTTCCGGTTGGCTGGGCCGGATTCAAGAACTGTCAAGAATTTGCCCCCGTTTTCACACATTGTGCTTTTCAAGTTCTAACTCAGCTTGCTAGGTAGAAGGGTTGCCCATCCTCATGTCCGTCGACGCAAACATTGAGCGTGCCACAAATGCACCAGGAAGAAAGGGTTCGGCGCCCAATACCCCGAGATACTTGGGGTGGTTCGCCACACCTGCACCTCCGCCGAACCCAATCACTCTCCGTCTTGAGAGAAATTGGGAACAGTTGCGTCAACAAAGCCAGCTGATAATCATGGACGCCTTAGTTGTATAACAACTCTCGCGTTGCATTCATCAAACCCCGCGCCATTTTCACATCAAAATGATACAGCTTTTTTCGAGCTATCAAGGACCTAGCAGAAGTGCCCTCAAACTCTTTGACTCGAATACACCTCAAGACGTTACATGAAACCACTTTTAGTGAGGTGTTGACAATACGGGGAGTCGAAATAGTATATAAATTAGTTACATTTGCCTACTAAATAAGCACACTGTGCTTGAGTTCGACGAACCACTTTGCAAACGGTTATCTGAGATGAGCAGTTCTTACGTATAGTGACGTCCCTCGTGTGCCATGCCAGTTAGAACTAGTACCAGACTTCGAAACTGCTAGTCACGATTAATATTTCCAATTGTTACCCAAGTATAAGACGAAAGTATCATAACTACCTCAGCTGAAATAGAAGTTGCCCAGATAAAAAGGAAACCGCCAAATGATACAAACACCAGGCTCTTAGTTTCCAGCTTGGTGGTTATCAAGAACACGGCGGCATCAAAGTGACTCGAGACCTTCGCAAGACCGAGGCAAGCAAAACCGAGGACACACGATGATACGCGAGAGGGAGTAATCCGCGGCGGGGAATCACTAAACATCAAAAGAAAAAAAAAAAAAAAGACTAACAACGGTTTCGGGCGAGTTTTAAACTAGTCGTGCGGTTGATGGAGAGGGGACGCAAACACTAAACACTCATGACACTCCAATCATAAAACAGTTGATCGGTACAAAACTTAGGGCGACGAACCCGTGAACTGAAATTACGTGGCTATCCCGAGATATTACTTCCCTACAGCGGTGTTTTACTGTCACTGGCCGCTGACTTTGACCGGCAATCGATTTTATATTTCGCAAAAGTGCGTTTGTTATTATTGATGGACATCGCCAATTCGCGGCAATCCAATAACTGCGCCGAACAGCATCTCATCCGTATCGCGTACGTTTAAAGTAAACCTGCTCAGGGGGTTTATTTTCGGAATTGGATACGCATTTACATGATCCAATACGCATACCACCCCCGGATCAATCCGCACTAGATAGATAAGTAAGGTTAGGTAAATAACTATACGCCGCTCAGATACCACACGATGCCGAGTTAACTACAATGGGTTGTTAAACGAGAATGTCATTTTTTCTTCAAGGCCTATGGGGATTATCACACCCTACCTTAAACGTCCTCCGATTTTGATCTTCACCACCCACCGTCCTCGTCATCCCCCCTGGCATAGAATCCCTCAAGATCCAACCTCACCAACAACTGTTCCACCGACCCCACCCCCTCTTCTCGACCACCACTAGCAGAAACCGCCATCTTCTCCCGCAGCGCACGGCAGACTGTGACAAATCCACTCACTTTTTTGCGAAATTGACGATACAGTTCCTGCTCCTGCTCCAGCCGCGGTTTCCCCAGCGGGCCCTCGGTCTCGGCAGCTGCGAACTGGAGCACTATGGCAAATGTTTCTTCCAGCAATGCCATCACGGGCGCCTGGCGCTTGCGCAGCAGTAGGGCGCCCATGATCTCGTCGAGTAGACGTTCATGGCGGTCGCGGAGGACCTCTGGTGTTGCTCTCGCGCGTGTGCCCCCAAACCTAGTCTTTTCTTGTCTGTCTCTATTTTTAATGTTGGTGTTGGTGTTGGTGTTGTTACCGTGTCCGTGTTCGGGTGGGTGGAGGGATTCTTCCTCTACCCTGTCCAGCCATGCCTCCCAATTTGCCCAGGGGGTACGGATCCCGACGTCGAAGAAATATCCCGCTATCTGGTGTATGAAATGGCGGGCCTCAATCTGGAAGCGAGTTGCCACTGGTGTTAATAGCGGGGCGCCTTTGCGGTTTGCGCGAGAGGAGCAGGGTGAAAGGAGCTGGTTAGCCACGTAGAGCATACGGAGCACTCGCATTAAGAGCTTGAAGATGTGGTCGTATTTAAGCAGTACAGCAGGGCTGAGGATGGGTCGGAGGGGGGCGGGCGACTTGTAAGATAGCCGTAGAAAATCGAGGGCCTCGAGTTTGTGCGGGTCCATGCAGCGGTCTATTTCTTCTGGGGAAAGGTCGCGGACAGAGAAGCTGAGGTCACCTAGAAGGCTATGGGGATCATTCCGACCTTGTTGTTGGTCGGTGGTATATGATGTATGCTGCTGGGACGCGGCAGGAACCTCGTAACAGTCAGACAGGACGCCCATCAAAGCCAGGCGGAGCTCGGAGCTGGCGGGCGGCCAGGTCTTTCGTCCCATGAGGCGGAGGCCCATTGTTGTCCCGGTGCCTAGGGCGACGCCAGTACGGCGCTCGGCGGTGGCGAGATCTGGGTTGAACAGGGCGTGAGTGAGCCGGCTGACGAGAAGGCCATTCCCAAGGAGGAAATATTGCTTAAAGAGATCGATATGATCGCGGATGTGGTGGGCGGTGAAAATAAGTTTCATGCATTCTTGGCCGATGAGTGTCGATTGAACCTCGATAGCTGGGCCAAAGGATAGCAAAGGAACAAGCGTCCAATGAAGAGTGAGATTGTTGGGGACGCTAATTGCGTCCGTTTGGTAAAGTCGATTGCGGAGAAGCTGGGTGAGGGCATCTCTCGGCTTGGGCGGTTGAAGTGGCTGGTCGAGTTGGCGGATGGACGCGAGAATGTTGGCCTCCACCTGATTTTCGTCTTTCCCGAAATACTCGAGTTCCGCCTCGTCGTATTTCCTTTTTCTACAACCGGAGAATACCGGCCTGGGAACGGCTGAACAGCCTTGCTGAATAGCTAGTACTAGTTCGTCCCGGTACTCGTTGACTCTGGCCTCGAGCTTGGAGACCGATTCCCAGTCGAACTCCCACCCCAGCCTTGGCGGTATCGCAAGCGATGAAATGTCCGGTTGGGAGAGGATGTGGTCTGGGTGATGCTCGCGCAGGAACCTGAGGTCGCGCCCAGTTTCGAACATAACCCGAGCCATGTCTTTTGGAATAAACGTTGGGACCTTCTCTCCGTCAAGAAAGTAATCGGCGTCCTCTAGCTCAAAACCCTGGTCGTCAATCCACATCCTATCCGCGACCATGACGAAAGCTTTTCCAGGACCAGTCTTGGTTACAGGTATCCCCCCCTCCGCTCTCAGACCTATCCATTCCTCGACGAAGGCAGTCCATGGGTCTGATAAAACCCGAAGCACCTCCCGCGTGGCATCTTTCAAAAGCCCATCTCGGTATTCCGAGGTTTGTGCCTCTTCATAAAGGCATGAGAGAAGGCCCTCATCGGACTTTTGCCGAGCGAGCTCCCTAATAAGCCGATCAAAGTAGGACAAGACTGACTGAGCTGGGCGAATCGAGGATTGCAGTTGGAGAACGGATCTGATCCTGTAGCTGTGATCGCTGAGCTCAGACCGGACCGCTCTAACCAGCCGGTCAACAACCCCAGCGAGGGCAACTCTAACAGGTGTAGCAGCTGCAGAATATTCCTCCTCGGAGAAATCTTGAAGGTATCTGAGTGAATTCCCACAATCAAGACAAAGCTTGTCTACAGCGCGGACCGAGTCCAGCGAAAGACCAGAGATCCTGAGATGAGGCACCGTCTTGATAAACGATTCCTTCTCCGGGCTCCATGAAAAGAGCGCGGAGCTTCTCCCTAGAGCGAGATTCCGCAGACACGCGCAGTAGATTGCGGTGTCAATCACGTCCGGGCCGTGTCCTGTTTCTGAGTGTGCGGCAAAGAGTGCATCTAATGCGGAAGGCCCCGCTTCGGAAACGAAGGACGGGACGATATCATCTTGGTCGGCTCGGTTGAAATTCTCCCAGGTTCTAAACGTAGACGGGGCGGCGATGTCCTCACCGGCGTGAGATATCCAGAAATCCTCATCATCCGAGGATAACGGAGGGTCGAGTTCTGACTCGGGAAGCTCAACACGATGTCCGTTGGGTTGCGGGTGGATGGGCAACGCAGGTTCTTGGTCGGCCAGTTCCTTCAGAAGCGATGGTAGCTTGAAGAAGGCATCTCCACCGTCAGCCTGAGATCCCAAACCCCGAACATCGGCGGTATCTATGAGGCTATCGGACGCCGCTCGGCCTCCGGAGCTCGGTCCCTTAAAGACAAATAGAGGGCTGTGAACAGTGTTGTCGCCGACAGCGTTGTCAAGCCAGTTCGAAGGTCGCCAGAAATCGGGAACGGCGAAGAGATCAGAGGGATCCTCCTCATCGGCCATAGTTACGGTTGCCCAAGTTACGCTCGTCGAAATCCATCGGTGCGTATGGTTGTCGTGGGCTGTGGGGATTACTCCGTTTGGTTTGCGACTTTCGATTTCATTAGGTAGTTAAGTGGACGCGACTCGGGCCCGCGTCAGAGATTAGTGGTGGTTGCGCTCGGCCATCAACCCTAACCCTACAAAGAGCTCCTGCCTGCCGAGAAGCCACCAAGGTTCTTGGAGCTTGCGCTTGCCTGGAGCTCGCATCGTCACATTTCCCACCTCCAGTCCAATTTCGAATTTAATCCCGACGAGCTTTCACACTCTACACCAGTCGTATTTTATCATTCCATATTCAACACTTATCCCTTCGAGTCCGCACGAAACCAATCGCCAATTGCGTGCCCACCAGGATGCCGCCCAAGAAGAAGGGCGGCCGGGCCAGTACCCAGGGCGCGACGCCTGCGCGAGATGACGATGCTATGGACGTCGACACGCCGGCACAGACACCAACAGCGCCCGTAGTGCCAGCAGCGCCTCAACCACCTAAGCCGGTAACCGATCCGTGGACAGACGATCAAGTTGCATCGCTATTTAAAGGCGTCATCAGGTGGAAACCGGCGGGTGAGTAAAAATCGACGTATTCTGTCCCCCGGCTGCATTTCAAAGGTTGACTAATGGGCCCTTTCTCGGTTCAAGGAATGCACAAACACTTCCGAATGCTAGCGATCAGCGAACATCTTCGAAACCACGGTTTCGACCCCGACGCGTGCCCCCACACACGGATCCCTGGCATCTGGGCCAAGCTGGGGGAGTTCTACAACCTCGAGGCAATCGACGAGCGGGAAAATAACATGGATCCGCCGGAAGAGGAGGGCCAGCCGAGGCGTTACCACGACTTCTCATTGCCATGGAATCAATACGGCGACATCATGTTGAAGCGGGCGCGAGCGGACCCTAGCGAGGCACCAACCAGCCCCGCGCAATGGGATCCCGACGCACCACCTGCTGCTGGCGATTCGAAGAAGCGGAAGCGGGGCCGCGCCGGGTCAAATCCTAGAACCCGCAGTAGCACCGTGGAGGATACTGAGGAAGAAACACCAGCCGCGAGCCCGACAAGGAAATCGGGGCGAGGCGGGAGGGCGACGGCCAAACGGACGTCAAGCAGGGCACGGAAGGTCAAGGAAGAGTCGTCGCCGTCACCGTCGTCAGCGGATGAGAGTGAGGAGGAGGAGGACTCTGATAACGAGGAGGAAGAGGAGGAAGAAGAAGACACGGGCACACCGGTATCGACAAGGGGGAGAGGAGGTGGGAGGGGCCGTGGTGGGAGAGGGAGAGGTCGGGGGAGAGGCCGTCGCGGGCGGTGAGGATGGCGACAGCCTAAGATGTGTGTTAACTGTACATGTATCTTTAGAAGAGGAGGTTGTCTGTATTTCACTCCGTGTGGGCGTACTTCGTGTTGATTTGCCAATACCCAATTGAACGAAACCGTTGTATCTGTAGTCGCGTGATCTTGATCTTTTCTCGAGCATGGGGATGTTGGTGACCATTTGAGCATCCCGCTAATTACTGCAGCTTCAGGGCGGCGCTATTGAACCCCACCAAAACAACCCCGCAGTCGCGCTGGGTGAAAGCAATGACACGCGCCTGAACCAAGCATATCTGCTCCCCCCTGACACATACCACAGCAATGTTGACGAGCTTGGAAACATTACGCCCAACTGCCCAAAATGTCTCGACCTGGACCGTCTGCGCCGAGAAATCTCACCCTGACGGAGGAGCTGGAGAAGCTTGAGCAATCTATCACACTAACTCTGCAAGGTTCGATAAAGCTTGCTGCTACTCATTTGGGCCTGCCCACTGACGCACCTCTCAGAAATCGACCATAATTTCAGTAAAGCACACCGCATTGTTACAACAAATATCTTGCCGCTAGTTGAGCAATACGGGGAGCATTCCCGCTCAGTATGGGAAGCTACAAAGGTACCTACACTGAGTCCCGCCAGGCACACCCAACCCGATGACCTTGTCACCTTGGCTGATCTGTATTGCGTAGTTCTGGAAACAATTCTTCGAAGCGTCCGCCAATGTCTCATTGTCGGGATACGAAGAGCTCGCTGCGAATGACGAGAACACAGACATCACCGCCGATGAAAGCACGATACACAACGAGACAACCGAGTACACACCACGTCCTCGCAGCGCAGGGAATCACGACGTTTCCATAGCCACCGACCAGTCATCCGCCCTGCACCACGGAGAGGACAGTCACCAAGAGGAGTCAACTCTTGGTGACGATGACGATGACTTGACTGGCAGCACACCCCGACCACCCGCAACAAAAACCCTCTCTCTCCGCCCGCAGTTCGCGAACCTCTCATCTCCCTACGAAAATTTGAAACGAGAGTACGATACCAAGCGCGGCCGGGGTGGTGGCGGTGGCGGCCGAACACCCAGAGGAGAAACAGCTCCTAAAGAGGAGCAAGAAGAGGACGACACCGAGCTGCTTTTCCAACAGCACACCGCACGCCTCCCAGACATGTCCATGGAGCCCCGCGACTCGCTCGATGCCGATGGTCCCGGGCTGGACCATGGGGACGATGGTGACACACAAGACTTTAACTTTGATGGAAAAGGGAAGAACAATGATCCCCTATTGCACCGCATGCTGGACAAAAACTACCGCATCGCTGCCACGCCGCATAAGGGTGCCGGTGCCAACATGGGCATCTCGCCCATCCGGTGGAAGGTTGACAAACTCGCCTCCACACCAGGCAGGGGAGATCGGAGAGGGAAAGGCAAAGACAAACAGTCGGCCGCACGGCCAATCTGGGAAGACTCGCCAACCTCCAGCCCGGAGATGGCAGTGCCGCAACTCAGGAGTGCAGCATTCATGTCCCCTGCTAGAGCGGCTTACAAGAGCAAGGGGAAAGCGGCGGCGGCGACAGCAGCAGCAGGGCCAAGGACACCGGGCGTGAGTGTGCAGACACCGGCCACGGGGCGCAAGACGAGGGATGTTTTTGGGGGAAAGGGGGAGCGGGCTGCCGCGGGAGCGATGCCAGCAACGTCGAGCAAGTACGACGATGAGATTACTTGGGAGAGCGATAGTGATGAATTCGGCGGGATGAGCCCACCTAAGACGATTCAATTCGCCGTGCCACCGTCGAAGTTGCTACAGACACCAGGTATGTTCCCTGCCATATTTCCCACCGAACATGTTCCGCTCCCGCTTTGTGGTATGAAGAGGGACTAATAAACTAAACCACAACTTGGAACAGCGCGTGAAGCGAGCAAGAGGATCGTAGATAACATTCTCCTAACGGCGGGTGAAGATTTGGATGACCCGTCTGAGTACAGTCCGACGGTTGTCAAGATGAACCAGGGGGTTTTAGACGATACGTTTTGAAGGACAGGGAGAGACGAGATGACACGGTTGTTGTTGTTGTTGTTGGTCTATGACAGTCCAGCAATAATAAAGCAATGCGGTGCCCCGGTAGAAATGGTATGAATTTAACCTATCTTTCTGTTTCCCCCCCTTAAGGCTCTTACCACTGATCTAACGCCCGGCTTCCTTCACAGCATGATTCCAACCTCCATCGTCCAATTCTCTCCATCCCTCGGACCTTGATGATCCCCATTTTTTATGGCCGCCGGCCTAATGCCAAACGGCCATCCTCCCGGTGCAGCCCTCCCCCTTGTTGGGGCTGCACACCCTTGGAGCAGCCATGCTGTCCAGATCGGAGTTGCCGCGCTCTGTTTCTGCGCTTTCCACTCCTGCACCGGCAAAGGAGCAAGGAGCGGACAACGCGGCGCGGCGTTTTAGCTTTGGTGCTGGTTATCGCTGGACTCAACCCATGTCGACGGAATCGACAATGTTTTGGTTCCCCCTTTTCCCGGTTCAAGGCTCAGATACCCATGCGGATCTGGTTGCGAAGCACATCCTGCTTCTTCCTGCTCTCTGTCGCTTGCTTGCTGCCACTGTTGCTGCCCTTGTTGGATTTATGGGCGGACGACGAGTGAATCTTATCCTTCAGTATGGTGATGCGGCTGGCGAGGGAGGTAGTGGTGGCCACAGAGGCGGCGTCGGAAGTGGTGCTGTACTTAGACATGGTGAACTTAGGCTGGCAAGGGGAGGAGGGTTAGTTAGATCGTAGCGGTGGCGGCGAGCATGAAGCGGATTGGTGATGAAGAGGCTTACATTGCTGATGGTGCTTTATATGTGTTCTATTTGGTGCTGGAAGTTGGTGAAGTTGTTTGGGCAGCTGGCTTGATGTTTGAGGCCAATGAGATAGTTGGCTGGTTGTCTGAAGTGCGTTGAAGGCTCTGAGTGCAAAAACAGAGCATTTCGAGAGACGGCGTCTTGGTTTCTTATATACATGATTGCCTGATATCCTCAAGGGCGTGCCGCCTCTCAGCCTCATTTCTGTTAACAATCAGCACCTGTCCGCCGCATCTGGGTTGGCGTGTGCCACAGCCATCACAACTTAGATCCGAGTTCATCTCGGTCTGACGGCGGCGGGAGTGCGAGGCAACGCGTAAGTTTGCGTATACACGCTCGGGTGCGTATGTGTAATCACGCGCTAGCCAGGGGGTAACAACAAGGAGCTTGGAGTCGGCCTCGTGACTCATCGTGCTCATGAACAGATTTCGAGGCATGTGGTTGCATTGGGCCTCGAAAGTGGCTTTCAAGAAACTTGGCGCTGCTAGTTAGCTCACTGTGGAATACTTCGCGATCGAGTGTAGAGCCTTGCCGGCGTGACAAACCCGTAAAGTTACAGTTTTTTTTTAGTTTTTTTTTTCCGTAGGCTCAGTTGCGGCGTGAATGTCGTGGACCGTGACGAATGGGTTGGCTACCTACCTACATATGTCCATTATTTTCTAACCCCGCCATGAAATCCAACTGCACACCTTGTTAGGAAAGGTACCTAAGTATCGTGAAGTATACGCCGGGCTTGAGGTGACTGGCGAGTTCACCCCGACACCTTGGAGCTGTACTGAAATTCAGTTTCGAAGATTTCTGCAAGCATTCAAAAACGGTTGCGGCACAGCAAGACCCAAAACAAAAAGGATTGGTTCCCGTGCTAATCTTGTTGTTCCTCAGCCCCCTCTCATCTATCTGCCTTGTCCATTTTGAAGTTAATTACTTCGGAGAGATGTGGCTTGTAGAGTTCATTGCCCGATCTGATGGGCGAATTGTTCTCGCAGCCACAGCCAAAACTCAACGGTCATCATGTGAAGAAATTTTTTTCTCGGTTGACAGCTAACGTGAGTTATTGGAACTTTGACCTAAAGCAGGCGCTCCGTGGCTGAGGGGTGCGTCATCATTTACCGGCAGATTGCGTGTTCCTGACGGCCTGAGTGCGCGGCTGTGAGCTGCCTGAGTCATCGACTGTGTTGTTGTTGGTTGCTAACTAGTTACAACGTAGTTAGCATGGGAACTTGGCTTGCTTGGTAAGCTGATATCAAGGAGAAAGGGCAAAGGGCGGGGAAGCAGTCATTGAAATTTCGAATTGGAACGTCTTATTGGTGGGTGGCTTTTCAAGGAAACTCACAATATCGTGACTGCACCCCGCGTCTTGCGTGGAAGCTCGGTTGGACTACGAGTCCTTGATGACGATGTCTCCGTTTGTTGTAGGCCGGCAAGAAGGGAAGAGAAAGAAGAATTAATACCTTGGCAAGCTTCTCAAAGGGCAGTTCAAAGGGTCATTTTGACTCGAGAAGTCAGAAGCCAGCGTTTGCTGACGGCAGAGAATTGCTTTACTGAGATGGCTAGCTACCTAGGTACCATAACATCACTTACCAACTAGTATTTGTATCAACGACTCGGTTGTGTGGGCGTTCGATCTCCCCAATGGAGTTCTTTCAAAAGCTCGTTGCCCTTACTAGAGCAAATTCACGTCACGAATTAAACCTGATGCAGTGCATTCCCGAAGGTTGGGCGGCCAACTGCAGACTGAAAGCATCAGGAGGTACGAAGGTATTTGATTTGCCAATTCCCTCACGATTGGATCAGGACCAGAGTGTTAATTGGGTGCATTGTTTGCGAATCAACGGTTGCCAAGAACAGTAGCGACACTATTCCTTATTTCGCCTAGTCTCCGCAAGCTTTGGACGGGAAAGGGGGACGACCTCTGCGCAACTTTTTCTCAGAGCTCATGCTCCGTAGATATACTGTGGTCGCCAGTACATGTCTACTATGTAGTTGAGTCCAACCAGCATGTGCCAGATGGTGGGTGTCGAGAAAACCGCGAGTGGTTGACAAGATTGGGAAGATCTGCGGGCATCCCGTCTCGAGGCATTTTGTCTAGTTGCATGTTTCCATGGAACGAGGTTGAGCGTATGATGCTGTAAATGTAGCTGGGAGTTCATCTGACGGACTGAGATACGTTTTTTGAGCGAATTGACGAAGGGAGTTTTCATGAAGATAGTGCCGGGAATAATTCGAATCGATATCAGATCCTCAGATCGCGTTACTTGTTAAACGATGCCCAAAATCACTAGGTCGACCCAAAGCAAGCCCTCGTTTTTTGACAAAATATTGACAACGATAACGACGATTGTTGAAACCCCTGAAAAAGCTAGACCCTGCATGCGCTCACACCAATAGGAGGACTGAGTTGCCAGGGGGATCCAAAAACATGGTCCTAGGAAACAAGACGGTTCGCAGGACTACATAATAAGCCACCCGCCATTTGCAGGCTTAATGATTTGTTAAACTCATGCACCTCGGCGGATGCTGAGAGAAGCATATTATTCGGGTAAGTTTGAATACTTCAGCAGTGCGTCGTTCACAGCACTTTGTATGTTCTCTGGCGCTTTCGGCGACCCATGCTCGTTTTCGTATTTCGCAGTGTGTGAGTGGCCAGTTTGCCATGCCCCACTTGTCTCGTCTGATCCACAGCCTGCAGGTTCCTGGGCCGACAATACTATGTACAGCCGGTACTATCTGCCCGTCTGTTGTTGAGCCGCGTGGTTTTTGACAAACGTAAAGCCAAAAGCTTTATACACACTGCGTCTCGCAGAGTAAATACGGGCATGTAAGTATTCGTCTAATCCCGTATTTTGGGGGCGCCTGTGACGGAGAAATGCTTTCAGGCGTGTTGCTTCTTTGATAGGTCCTGAGGTCTGCATCCCATCATAACTCTCTGCAGGGGAAGATTTGACGCCCCACGCCTCCATGCATGGACAGGGGCCAGGGCCTGAGAATCTTTCCCATCCTCCTGCGCGATGTCTCGACATCCTCATCTTTTCCTTCGTCGGTGCCCGGGTCAGTTCTGCCTTCCGCTGTTTCCTTTTCCCGTCCCCTTCCCACAACTTTCGTCTCAGCGTGTGTTCCTGGGCGATCGTTCTTGCTGGCGGCATATTTTCGACAATCAGCGCTCTGGAGATTCGATTACGCGCGCCGCTTGCTCTTATTTTGCGAGTCTAGCCTTGTTAGCTTCGTTCTGTTTCGCCTAGCTCCTCGCTCATCGCGACTGCGACAACACACGCAATGGCCGCTAACGCGACCACCTCGCCTCTGGCGAGCATCAAGTTTGGGACCACCAATGTGCCGCCCCAACTCGAATTTTTTATCGATTATGTCTCGAACGCGAGCACCTTGACCATCCTTGCGACGGTCCTTGCGACGCTCGTAGTCTACGACCAATGTAGGGACTCTGTTTGCGCGCACTTTCAGAGTTGTGGACTCGATTTAGCTGACACATTGTGATCATGTTTAGTCTCGTACATTTGGAAGAAGGGGTCAATCGCAGGGCCGACGTGGAAGACGCCCTTCATTGGGCCATTCCTCGAGTCCATGAACCCCAAGTTCGAAGAGTATTACGCGAAGTGGCTCAGCGGTCCGCTCAGCTGCGTGTCTGTTTTCCACAAGTAGGTCAATGAATTTCAAGAAAAAGATGGGTGTGCCAAGTACTGACCTGTTTCTTCCCCAGGTTCGTGGTCATTGCCTCCACGCGTGACATGGCACGGAAGGTCTTCAACTCGCCCGCTTTCGTCAAGCCCTGTGTCGTCGACGTCGCACACAAACTTCTCGGTGCGGACAACTGGGTATTCCTGGACGGCAAAGCCCATGTGGAGTTCCGTAAGGGGTTGAATGGCCTCTTTACGCGCCGGGCCCTCGAAATTTATCTCCCCGGCCAGGAAGAGGTCTACAACCGCTACTTCAAGGAGTTCGTGCAGACTACCGAGCAAGCCAGCGGCAAGCCCGTGCCGTTCATGACGCACTTCCGTGAGGTCATTACCGCAGTTTCGTGCCGTACTTTTGTTGGCCATTACATCTCCGACGAAGCCGTCAAGAAGATCGCCGATGATTACTACCTCATCACTGCCGCCCTTGAGCTTGTTAACTTCCCCATCATCTTGCCTTACACCAAGACCTGGTACGGCAAGAAGGCGGCCGACATGGTTCTGGCCGAGTTCGCCCGTTGCGCCGCCAAGAGCAAGGTCCGGATGGCTGCCGGCGGTGAGCCCAACTGCATCATGGATGCGTGGATTATCCAGATGATCCAGTCTCAGAGGTGGCGCGAGGCGCAGGAGAAGGGCGACACTGAGGGTGTCGAGAAGCCGACACACATTCTCCGCGACTTCACTGACTACGAGATTTCCCAAACGGTCTTCACTTTCCTCTTTGCTTCGCAGGATGCTACCAGCAGCGCCGCTACCTGGCTGTTCCAGACCATGGCCCAGCGCCCCGACGTTTTGGACCGCGTCCGCGACGAGAACTTGAAGGTCCGGAACGGTAACATCCATGCCGCTGTCGACATGGACCAGCTTGAGTCCATGACTTACACCCGTGCCGTCGTCCGCGAGCTTCTTCGTTACCGCCCTCCCGTCATCATGGTCCCGTACATTGCTAAGAAGGCGTTCCCCATCACCGACACCTACACCGCTCCCAAGGGTATGTTGATGCCTAGTTTGTCCCAGGTGGTGTAATTGCTCGGTGCTAATACTTGTTTAGGATCCATGGTCATTCCCACGACCTATATGGCACTCCGTGATCCTGAGGTCTATGACCGCCCCGACGAGTTCGACCCCGAGCGGTATTACAGTGGCGATGCGGAGGTCAAGGGCGCGAAGAACTTTCTCGTTTTTGGGACTGGCCCCCACTACTGCCTGGGCCAGCAATACGCCCAGCTCAATCTTGTTCTGATGATTGGAAAGGCGTCGCTTCTTCTTGATTGGAAACACCACGCGACACCGAAGTCGGAGGAGATCAAGGTTTTCGCCACGATCTTCCCTATGGTGAGTTCCCTTGACTGGTAGTGATATATCTGGTGTTAGTGATGTGTACTAACTGAAATAGGACGATTGCCCATTGACGTTCAAGGACAGGGAGTGGTGAGCGATGTTGATTGATCGCAGGATAGACCGATAGACTAATCCCAAAGACGGGCTCGGCCGCCGTGATGGAGACACGTAATTAATTTGGTTTGGATGTGAGCGACTGGATGGCATTGTCTGGACCCGGGCTGTCTACGGACTCTGGAGGTATGTTCGTCACTTGGCCGCTGTGTGCTCCAGTTGAGTCCGGCTCGGGTGCCTGGAAACGATGTTTGGAAATGACCGCGGTTGGCCGAGAACCTCGACTTATACCATTGTAATCTTTAACCTGTACATACCTACATACCTTGGAGAACCGTATCTGGTCCGTAATGACATTTGATGAAACCTTGTCCGGAACGGGTCGTGCTTGGCGTTGTTCGCCGGATTATCATTGAGTGTTCCAGGAAGAAATGTCAACACATGGCGGCGAAGTGCAGTGACGTCTGTGGGGTAATTAGACACCCCACAGTAAACACCAAATCGAGAGCGAACTCGATTCTTGGCGCTTTTAAAGGTATTCCGCGCATCCGAGGTTTTACAGAACGCATTTGGATTCTCGATCTCCCCGCTCTTTTCCACGGCTCTTGTCAAAACCTCGAATCTCGCTTGTTCAGAGTCCAGCTCAATTCATCTACTACCCCAAACCAGCCATGGCATCTCAACGTGCGGTGGTAACACTGGCCAAGCCGCCGGTGTTTGCTTTTACGAGGACGATAGCCGCGGCGACAACTCCGGGGCGCATCCGGGCAGTGACGGTAGCACATTCGGGCTTGGTTATGTCACAATGCCGGGATCAACGTTGGCACACGAGTCCAACTGGGCGGCGGCCCTCATCGTCAATAGCTAAGCAAGCCTACGGACCGACGCCATCTATTGCTAGAAGGTTGTATTCCACCGACGCTGGGAAGCCTTCCAAGATCTGGGACTTTGATGCTGTTGGTCACTCCTCCAGGCGAGTATAGCGGGTCAGATTCAAGCTGACATGATGCGTTTTTCAACCCAAGATTCAAAAACTCACTACGGACCCTACGCATTCGGTCACGCTCATTGGTACTGCCCTCCCTCTCCCACCGTTTCTTACTTTGCTCCCGCCCGTTGTTACCAACACTCTTGCCTTCTACCTAGATGTCCGTGAACCGAACGAGCTTAAAGAATCCGGCTTCATCCCGGGGGCAATTAACATTCCGGTATCCTCTACCCCAGACAGCTTCCACATCACCGCTGAGGAATTCGAGGACCGGTTCGGGTACTCGCGCCCCCCTACCGATGCCGAGGTGGTCTTCTACTGCCGTGCCGGCGTGCGGAGCCGGGCAGCGGCGAACCTCGCAAAGGACGCGGGCTGGGAGAAGGTCGGGGAGTATCCGGGCAGTTGGTTGGACTGGGCTGGGAAAGGGGGGAAGGTGGAGAGGTAGACGGCGTAGAGGGGTTCTTCTAAACATGGCCAAGTAAGACGTCATGGACAGCCGCGGAAGCTTGAGGCAGCAACGCTGGGCTCCTGAACATCGAGTCATATCATAGGTACAATGAAGGAACTTAAAAACAGAAAACAAAGATACCGCCGGAAACGTCCGGTACTGCGCCCGCCATATTACCCCGGAAACGTACAATACACTGACCTTCTCCGTCTTTGACCACCTGAGATGCCCCCCTTTGTCCTACCAAGCCCAAGAACCTTAAAACATGCGTTCTGGGTCTGGCTTTACGTCTCCATCCTTAAGCGCCGGGCTACCGTGCGCAAAAAATAGCACCTTAATAGCCAGCGCTAGGCCGAAGTGCAGGGCGACCACAAGGATCAACAATACCTTACTGGTCTGGCGATCGGTGGCGCTTAGCACGGGGTACAGGTTTCGTAACAGGAAAGCGACCGAGACGCCGAAGCCAACACCGACAAAGACCCAGTTCAGGATTGAAATGGGCGACCAGCTGATGAGCGCCACGGGAATCCAGATCAAGTTGCCGTATCCATAGAGCGCCCAACACTCGAGTAGGTTGGCGCTCTCGGACCCGAAGTAACGGAGGGCGAGATACAGGACTACAGGAATCACGAAAGTGTAGCCATAGATGAGCCCAGCAGCGCCTATTTTTGGAGGGACCAAGGTTAGCGCATGCGTCACTCCAACGTTGTGAAAAGGGATCGTTCAAACACACCGCTCAACAAGCCGAAGTCATATGCAAACGCACTCCGACCCTCACGCGCCAAATAATCGCTGATCGTCCCGCCCAAGAACAAAATCAGGACCACCGTCGTGGCAATCCAAAACGGCCCATACAGGTCGGGGTTGCCCTCTAGCACATCGAGAAAATTCGCCCGCGGGAACAGGGCGGCGCCGCACCGCTGGAGCACCGATGTTGTGTCGACATCAAAAAACTGCGCATAGAAGGGCAATGTCCAGAGAAAGCGCTTCCCGCCAGCGCCGCCGCTTCCAGTGCCTGTGTTGGCGGTTGCAGGGAGGGGAAGCGATGGAGAGGTAGCCTTGTGGCCGCCGCGCGCGGAGCCGGTACCGAGGGCTGGAGAGGACTCGGAGAAGTTGGAGTTGTGGAATTCGAGGTCGTCTTGAAGATCGGTATGGCCAAGATCGCCCTACGGGAGTGCGTTCCTTGTTAGTTTAAGCGCATTGTTTTTGGCGGGGGGTTGAAGAACTATGAGAACCGGAGGAGGGCAAAGGCGACAACTGACTTCGTCGTCGACGTCTACGACGGCGTCATAGCCTGATCTTGACATCCTGTCTTTTCGTGCCTGATCAATCCGCTACTGGGCGACAAATAGGGACGTGGGGTGGTTGGTAGGCCCGTGTTCGTTGAGACTTCGAGACATGAAGCTCTTGTGGGAGCTGGTGGCAGCTGTTGCGTGGTCTGGACAGAAGTCGACCCACTTCTGTTTCGCGTCGTCACTTGCAGATTGATAGAGACACCCCTTGATGATGCGAATCGTATCACGTGACCCCTAATTCCTGAGCATCGCTTTCAATGTTTACAACTTTGCCTCAGCCTTTCATGGACATTCATGCAAATAAATTTTAGATGGTCAGGAGCCTTTAGCTATGGTCATCCGGAATGTACAGTCAGAATGCGTGCCGTGTACCCCCTGCCAACCCTTGCAGAACCATGCGATGCCGAAAACCAAAGACGCCAGACGACCGTGACCGATGAGAGTGACCGTTTATTTAAGCTTCTTCTTGGGGCGGAGCTGGTTGGTGTGGCCGCACTTGCGCTTACGGCAGTTGGTCGCACGAGGGGGGAGGCGAGCCTGGGACATGTTAGCCATCGAATGCGTTTCTGGTCTAGGAGTGGGTGCCGCCTCACATAGCACTTGCGGCAAATCATCTTCTCGCAGTTAAACTTCGAGGCAAGAGCCTTAAGGGAGGGCTCAATGATACCACCGCGGAGGCGGAGGACAAGGTGAAGGGTCGACTCCTGTGATCCTGTGTCAGCCTTGTTCAATCCAAAATCGTTTCCCCTGCTCCTTCCGCTGCCGTAACGTTGCCATAATCCAGCGCCGCGGGGATGAATGTATCTCCTTCAATATTTAAACCAATACGGTTCCCCCTCTTCATCACCCCCCTTACCCCCGGCTCTCGTTCACACCCCGCGGCTGCTATGGTCGTTTCGCGGATACGAGCGGAAATTCTGCGCGTGCAAACTGACCTTCTGAATGTTGTAATCAGAAAGAGTGCGGCCGTCCTCGAGTTGTTTGCCGGCAAAGATCAGGCGTTGCTGGTCCGGCGGGATGCCCTCCTTGTCCTGGATCTTCGACTTGACATTGTCGATGGTGTCCGAGGATTCGACCTCGAGGGTGATGGTCTTACCCGTGAGGGTCTTCACGAAGATCTGCACTGTCCATGGTAATAAACATTAGTATTTCGTCGAGTTTCATGGCGGCGATGGCATGGATGTGGCTCACTCTTGACCGATTTCCGTGGACTTGCTGGTGAGGATGACGGGAAAGTTCCAGTGAGCTGGAAATTTTGGTGGGGGTAAGAATCGGCTGCGACTGGGGGAGTAGGGTTTGTCGCCGGAATTTTGAGGCGCCCACATTTAATCCCGGTCGGCATCAAAATCCTGCGCACTGTCTTACCCTAACCCAACCCCAACCCTTACGGAACTATTTCCCCCAGCGACAAACAACGGGGATAGGAGTTTAACTCAAACCATATTTCGTACAGATTTCACTTTGAATTTCTACCTTGCACTCGATTGCCGCGACGGCACACGACGCTGTATGCCACCTCAATTATCCTTCTCCCCGTCACTCTTCCGCTCTTGATCGTCGTTTCTCTTGGGTGTGCCATGTAAGGAGTGTTTGCTCGAGAGTGTAAACCGCCCGAACGAGATTATATACCGAAAGCCCCGCAGCCTCAGCTGCGACTTCGTGCAGCCGCTTTGCCACACCCTCAAGCTCGTCCGTCTCCTTGTAAAACTGATAATCAGAACCCAACCGTTTGATCGGGCTGTTCGCGCTTTCCGAGTCTTGCACCGGCCGGACTCTTTTCGTAGCTCCGAGTACCCGCTTCGTTCTCTCCTCCACTGCTTCCCGAGACTTTTCAGGGATAGTTGCTAGGGGTACGACATCATGAAGCGGGAAGAGCCGGTGTAACTCAGTGTCATCTTGGACCGGTTAGCTGTGGTGCCTATTCCGCCTCTCGATGTTTTGGCTTACCCGCTACGTTTGTTTTGATCTGTGTCTCCTGAAACCAATTCAGTAGTTCAGTGATATCGTTTTTGTCCATGGACCAAACTTCCTGCGGGTCCATCTGCTCGTACTGTACCAGCCCGTGCCTTTTCTCCTCGTCCACGGCGAATTCTGATTCCCAAACCAACCAATCCATCTTAGTGCAGAGGGGGTCATCCGCACTTCGGGGAAATCTTGACACTGAGTCGGGGGGATAACAATACTTCGTGGCCACGACGATAGAGGCCATCAAGAGAACCTCCGGTATATCGATTAACCTGTGTCGTTTATGTGTTGTCTCCTGAGTCGGAAAAGAGAAACTTAATTTAGACAACCGGCATAGTTTCTGGGAGAAGGAGTGGATCTCGGCTGGGGCTGTCAGTTGATAGTGCTTCCTCCGGAATACCTGGAAGGCCGCGAACTTACGAGGAAGAGCCAAGTCTTGGATATATGAGAATAGCAAAGGCGGTGCTGGTATAGCAGGAAACACAAGCGCATGGTTTTCCTTATAACCTAACATTAAATCCATGATCGCATGGTGAAGCTCGCCACCATGGAACTTCGCATATCTCGTCAGGAGAGCGTGATGCGCCCAACCGGGCAAGCGATCCCGCCACTCTTTGGGGATATGATCAATCTGCAGCGGTTAGTGAGGGGCCATGATAGAAGAGGAGGACCTATAGAGAAGCTGTGCTCGAAGGGCGCACTCACCGCACTAAGAAAGGGTATTTGCCTATTCTTTGCCCACCGAAACAAGTCCCCAATTCTGACCGGCTCCTGCCGAGTGACACACCCCAAATACACCAAGGCCAGCGTATCCATGACCCCCGGGAGTGCCCATATGTCAGTCGACCAACTCTTTCTCTTCCTCGTCCACCCCATCCCCTTTACCGCCCCCCCGTCTCCTTGTTCATCGCTCGCGTCTGCCGACTGGGAACTGAACAGCATTAACCCCGCCTTCCCATCATCCACGTTACCGCCGACACCGCCGCCCCTATCGGCTCTGTCTCCCTTCCCGCCCTTTCTTGCCAGTCCCGGAAGCGCCCTTAGGCGCAACGCCCATAAGTCCTTCACGACCGCCTCTAATTCCGGGTGAAAGCCCTTCTGCTGCACCAACCAGAGCACCTGTTTGCGGATGAGAAGCTGCAAACACTCGAGAAACAATTCGCGAGCGGCGTTTCCCGTGAGGTGTTTGCGCTCGCCCCTGCGAGAGGCCTTTTTTTTCAGACGAGCGACGCGGCCGGTTTTGCCGAAGTTGTCGTCTTCGTCGACGTCGAATTGGATATAACCCTGTTGTTATGTGTGAGAAGAATGAATGGACAGAGTTCCGAATGCCCGCGAAAAAAAGAGAGAGAGAGAGAGAGAGATTTAAATGTCACTTGGTGCTGGCCGCAAGGTGAAATGATGGGTGGATAGGTACATGCCTCTACTTGATGGCCGTTCTCACAGTAGCGTCGGCCGTTTTCAAGATACCACCTCTTAGCAGGACATTCGGAGCACGTGTCGCCACGCGGGAACCGTTTATGGTAACGCGGCGCCATGCAATCCCGAAGGCTTCGTTAGATATGTCTTATTTTGTTTGGTGACGAGTGAAACCCAAAAGGGAACCACAATTGGGGTTTGAGCGACAGTCGAAATAGGGGTGCCCGTGCTGTTCCCGGACCTTGTGCCTGCGAGCCCGTACGAAAATCTAGACAACGGAAATTCTTCGATCAATACAAGAGGCAGGTAGGTGTCTAGAACAAAACATGTACTTTGGGTTAGACCAACCAGTGACGGCCTTATTTGCAGTTAGCGCTGGGGAGGGAGTTCTAGTTTGTGGTGTGTGGGGTCGGTACCTTTCGGTTTTTTTTTGGTTTTTTTTTGCAAGTCCCTTAGGTACTTAGGCTCTTTTTTGCATACCATGGTTTCTTGCACACCGTCACAACGCTATCGGCATGTTCATCTGTTTACAGGGAAATGGCCGATTGACGTGGACGACGAAACGGTTTTGTTTAATTCGTGAGATCATAAACTTTGCGGCCAACCGACGGCTTTTTCGGGCTCGGAGGAATGGGCCCGCACCGAAGAGTGACGCATCGGATAAACAAGTCTTCGATGGTAAACTACTAGGGAAGATCTCTGATCTGTACTGAGGTATGGAGTCCCTGGGGTGCACTACGGTACGGCTCCTTGTAGTCCCTGAAAACCACAATGGAACCTCAACCGACATATCCCCGCGGCCCGACAGGTGGGAATACAGTCACCTGGTGAAGTACACTGTGCCTCACATTCCGCTTCTTCCCTGGGCGCCGTTCACTCTCCAAGATGTGATCGCTTATTTGCTGCTGGTGTCCTCCTTGATATCCATAGCTTGCTCCTCCTTCATAGCGCTCACAACGGTAATGACTGTTGGAGGGTTAGTAATTCCATCGTCGCATCGAGGAATTATGCCAACATACTGTAATTCTTGTCTCCCGCGTCAAACAACTCTTGGATCTTGGTGCCAAGCTCACCGTCCGGCAACTTCACATCATTCTTTTCGCCGGCGTCAGAATACAAGTTGAGGAAACCATCATCGATGTCAATCTAGAGATGCCGTGTCAGCAAGCCTGTTCTGTGAATCATGGTAGAGTCACTCAGCGCGGAGTTGTAACGGATAGATTATTTTTACCAGTTGGTACTCGTTGCGCTTGACGTGAGGGACGTTCATGTTGTGGGTCGAAGGGGACAGATCCTCAAGTTTCTTGCCAGTGAAGATGTCGATGGCGGTAAGGTGGACCTTGGCGTGGCCGTGCTTGCCGGTTTTGGAGGTCGACATATCAACGATCTTGCACGGGCGGTTTTTGATAAGAACGTGGCCGTTCTTCCGCAGGGCAGAGCACTGCATGGGGTAGTATTCAGAGGCACCGGCATCACCACCGGCTTGGGTGTCGAACGCGTGCTCCTTTTCGCCATCGGGTTAGCATCAGTTCAGCACAGAATCGACGCCTCAAGACGCTGGCAGAGCCGTGCTCCGCAAGAATGGGAGAGGTGCCGTTCAAATTTGCGCTATCTAATTTTGACGCCGCGGTCCATCGCTCAGGGGAGTGCGGGGCGGTTTCTCATTGTTGTCCAAAGCGACCGCGGGCGTAGGGAAAACATGCGACTCACCTCAGACATATTGACGGCTTTCGGAAAAGATACTGGGTATTCGAAGAACAAAAAAAAACTGAGAAACGAATGCCCAGAAAGTTGTCGAATGGCCCAAAGGAGACGGGTGTGGGAAGTGCGAGGTCAGTGAGTGGCCAGAGAGGGGATGCCGGGAGAAATTTTGTGGTTTTTGAACGCCAGTTGAGAAGGGAAAAGGGCAACGTTTCCCCGCCATGCGCCCCTACCCTGTTCGGTTAATTCAAATTTCAGGTGGGGTCTGGTGCTCGCGGGCGCTTTGGTTGTTGCAGAACCCCGCTGGGACTCTCGAACCAATCACGGTTGGTTTCCAGCTGATTGATTTGTACCTACCCTCGCCGCTTGGACGTGGCAGTGGCCGAGAAAAGCATTAGGCTTGGTCAGATATGAGGCACCGAGCTTCTTCGAATGGATGCAAGGTGGGAAAGTCTAACCTTAATGACATGTTTGCAGCTGTGTACGCAGGTGGCTAACTTGGGCGCCCACAAATCCACATGTATGATTGGTCTTGCGAGAACTTATTATTCATCCTTCCACCAGGTCCTTCGCGCATGGTACTAGAACATGAGCTGCGAGGGTTTATGAGGTATCGTAGTGGCTTGAATACGTAGGAATTAAAGAAAATGACCTGTATTTTACCTCCGCCACTAATCTTATTTGAATATCCTTCGGCTCTTGACATAATGAGCAACTTTCCTCACCGTTCGTTTGACAGGTCAAGGCCATTTTACCTGGAGTTGGAATTATAGTACCCTTTACCATAGTATTCATAGAAACTTGGAGCAAATGTGACAAATGCGGAATCCTAGGCCCAGCGAGGGCGTCCCCATTTGTGCTCTTCGAAGCACGTTGACTTCGGCTGAGAGGAGGAACGGGCTCGGAGTTGGGACGGTTAGGGAGCTGCACTGAAGATGAAGTTGTTTGAAAGCCAGCAACCGAGGCCCAACATGATTTTCTAAAGCCTTTGTCACTTTACCATGTTCCGGAATATATTCTCCTAGCTAACAACCTGGATAGACTCATGGAGCAGTGGCAATTAACAACATGGATAAATTGAAAGAGGTTGGTACCTTCTGAGGTATCGAGGGAGTCCTTTGACGTTATCGATAAGGTTAAGTGAAGTCCAACCCGGGCGAGCCCATCCTGGCCCCACTCGAGCAGCAAGCCACCTGGGCAATCCAGTGCCCGTTGTCCGCCCTCCATACAAGTCTCGGGCGCGGTTTCTCGACAGGAACCAAACCGCAACCACGACACAAGATACACCTTGATAGAACGCAAATACGTCTATCGATAGAAGAGAGTGATGCACCATGTGGCTTGACCGCTTTGGTGGGCCGCACCCTGCAAACACGCCGCCGCCGAGCCAAAGCCGAACACAGTCGTCGCTACCCCGTCGCACATCGAGTGCGCGAGGACCGTACCTCACATCACAGAGACCGGGGCTTTCCCCAAGGGTCTCTTCGCTGTCTGTAACCTCGACGGATTCTTCGTCTTCCTTGCTTGGGCACCCAAAACGTGCCAATGGTTCGGCCTTGAAGCAGGCCACGAGTGTAGACTTCGGTTCTGACCCAGCGGCCATTTTGACCACAATTCTTGGGCCATTACCCGACCACGCTACTCTGGACGAAGAAAACCGGACAAGGAAGATTACAGACAATGGCCTCAATCTTGATTTTGAATTTAAAGGCCTCTCCTTGCGGGAGCTCGCCGATGGTGAGGCTGGCGGTGCCGTGGCAGGAGATGCATACCGGCCACAAACGGTGGAAGATTGTAGGTCATCCCGAATCTACTTGGCTGTCCCTCGTGTACTCATAGATTTGATTCATAATAGTCGAGAAGGATAAAGCCAAATTCGAAGACCTCCATCGATCCATCCGGGCATGTGACGACATTCTAAGCTCCGTGGAATCCAACCTTACTAGCTTTCGCAATGATCTCGCTGCCGTATCTGCCGATATCGAGACCCTCCAAGCCCGATCGACCGCCCTGAATGTTCGACTAGAAAATAGGAAGGCCGTCGAAAAGGCTCTCGGGCCGATCGTGGAGGAGTTGAGCGTCTCACCCGTGGTAGTATCCAAGATTTCGGAAGGCCACATCGACGAGGCGTGGGTGAAAACCTTGGCAGATCTAGACAAACGGACATCGGCGTTGAAGAAACCCTCGCAACAAACGACGGACAAAGCTCTTGCAGATGTGGGGCCGTTATTAGAAAAGCTGGTCATGAAGGTAGATATCTGTTTGATCTTCCGAGTGTTGGTCGGGGTCCTCATGCTGATGTGTGACTCGTCCACCAGGCCGTCGAGCGAATACGGGACTTCCTTGTTGCCCAAATAAAGGCACTCCGGTCTCCTAATATCAACGCTCAGATTATCCAGCAACAGAACTTTCTTAAGTTCAAAGACCTTTACTCATTCATTCACCGTCACCAGCCCGGTTTAGCTGGTGAAATTTGCCAGGCGTACCTCAACACCATGCGCTGGTACTATTTGAACCAATTTACTCGGTATCAAAAGGCGTTGGAGAAGCTTAAGCTTCATACACTCGACAAGAACGATGTGCTTGGCCACGAAGATACCTCAAGGAGGACTACGGTTCTCTCGGGCTCTAAAATTTCTAACGCACCCCACGACGCCTTCAATCTGGGAAGGAGAATCGATGTTCTCAAAGCCACTAACCAACTCGCCATATCCTCCTATCTAGCAGAAGAGGATCAATCCACACACTACCTCGAAGTTCCCTTCCGCCACTTCAATCTTGCTCTCATTGACAACGCTACTGCAGAGTATAGCTTTCTTGCGGCCTTCTTTAGCCCAGCGCTCTCGTTCACAGCCATTTCGCGACACTTCAATTACGTCTTCGACCCAATCTTTTCCCTCGGCCAAGCTTTCACCCGGCAAATTGTTGCCGACACATACGACGGACTTGGCGTCCTGCTGTGTGTACGCCTCAACCAACAGTTCGCCTTCGAACTACAGCGCCGCCGCGTACCCGCTGCTGACGGCTACATCAACGGCACCGCCATGACATTGTGGCCACGCCTACAGAGCGTCATGGACGCCCACTGCGAGTCGGTGCGGACGTTAACCGCGGCCCTACCCACACGCGCGGGGTCGGCGGCCAGCGCTAAGGCCGCCTCCGCCGCGCCACACGTGGTGATGCAACGCTTTGGCCAGCTGTTGCACGGGGTGCTAGCGCTGAGCGCTGAGGCGGGCGGCGATGATGAACCTGTGGTAGCCAGCCTGCGGCGGTTGCGGAACGAGGTTGAGGGGTTCCTGGCTAAGACAAGCCAGGCAAGCTTCGGGGCTGACAAGAGGAAGCGGGAGCGGTTCTTGTATAATAATTATAGTTTGGTTCTTACCATCATTAGCGACGCGAGCGGGAAATTGGCAGGCGAGGAGCAGGAACACTTTGAGTCGTTGAAGGCGAGCGCCCAGGAAGCCGGGTAAGGAGTGAAAACGGGCGTTACGGTTGGGTATGTATGTCTTCTCGGCGGTCGGCCACTGTACTACCCAGGGTAGTAAGTCTAAAGGGCATTTACATTACAGTTAAACGGCCACTTTCATCACAATAATAATCTTGTTCTGAATGGGATATTAATAGCCTCCGCTATGTCACTGGACACAGATATTCAATGTCCCCATTCCATGCACGACTCCGCCTAGCCTCATGCCTATATGTCTAGACAGCCGTTCGTCTACTCCCACTTCTCGCGAAATTAATCACCGGCCTACCTCCACCACCTCGCCACCCAACTCGTCGCCCATTCCAATCCAGCCGCCGCCGGGCTTGGTAACGCCGCCTTCCGTAATAACACCGCCAGTACGGCTACCAAGACTGTCATTCCGACTACCCCCGCAGGCCTCCTATTTTTCCACGCCCATATCGCCACCTTCTTTTTCCTCTCATCCCATTCCAGTTCCCGAACCTGTTTCTCAAACCATTCCCGGCCTTGCTCTACGCCGCGGCTCCTACCTTGCTCATTAGCACCACCAGCACAATCTGTGTCTCTGCCCGTCTTGAGCACACTCCATCTCGACACCCCTTTTCGCCATGCCGGTAGACTCTCCGGCGGCACCTGCCGCTCCAGCTCCACAGCGCGGGTGATCAGCCCTTCCACGTCCAAAGGCACCGGCAGCTTGGACAAGATACTGTGCAACATCTCGGGTTCGTCGGGCGGGGTATCGAACAACTCGGTGCGCCGGGCGCAGACGATGGCTGCAAACAAGTAGACGGTGAAGGCCGGGTCGCGGGCGAGCAGGACGTCGAAGAGGCGCGCGATCTCACCTTGGGTGGTCACGTCGTGTGCGTACATGGTGAGGGTTCCGGAGAGGGCGAAGAAGGGTTCTGTACCTGAGAGGTGGCGCCAGAGTTTGGGGTCGGCGCGGTGGAGGATTTGAGGGAGGAGGCGGAGTTGGGCGATGGCTGGGGCTAGGGACGGTAGCATGAAGTCGCGGATGTGGAAGAGTGAGAGATAGGTTAGAGAGCTGGCGTGGAGGCGGGGTGGGAGGGTGAGGAGGAGGACTTGGGCGATGTCGTGGTAGCCTTGGAAGTAGCTGAGGTACGGGTGGTGGCGGAGTACGGATATGATGAGATCGGACAGAAGGGTTTTGGCGCGGGAGAGTTGGGCTTCGGTTTGGTCTGGCAGACATTTAGGGGTGAATGATTTAAGTAGGAAGGGTTGGTAAGATACTAGAAGCCGACGTACGTTGTGGGTAGTAGATGAAGGCGCGGTTGACGTCAAGCTGGACTTGGTCTTCGTCTTTGTGGATCGGGAGCGAGTGCCATGACGAAGACTCCGCGTCTAGCTTCTCTGGGTCAGATGGCAGGCCGAGGAGAATGGGCCCTAATAAATTAGATTTTCCTAGCTCAAATAGATGGTGTCGTGGGAGGAGGCCACTTACACGCTTGTTGGCGGATACTGTCGAACAGTAAGCCTCCTGGTGACTCTGCCAGTGCTTTGAGGGCATCGATATCTCTTTGAGTGCATGCCTCAAGAATGGCATTCTTCTTGTCATTTATCGGTGAAGCAGCCCCTTCCGTCGGCGTTGCCTTCTCATCGAAACATGATTCATTGGATTGTCTCCCCATTTTCCACATTCAATTTTCGCCAGCTCCACGACTTAGGGTGCGATGTCGTCTTCCCCACCTCTGTAGGACGACTGGGAGGTGTTTTATGTATGAAAATCTTTAGCTGTGGGAATTCCTTAAGTTTCAAGTTTTCCTCAAAAATCGACTTGACGGCTGCCTGTGATATTTTGTCCACTCCCTACTCCTGTCTTTTTCTGCCGCGTGTCAATCCGCATCCAAATCCTGACAGGGAGTCCGAGAAAACGTGGCTGTATAATGTGATTATTTTCGGATGTGATACAAGCAACCTCGCGTGTTGTGTTGTAATGGCATCCGTCACGCGTCTTTCACGAAATGTTTTGCCTGTTGTGACATGTCTTGTTGAAGAAACACGTCTTCCACATTGGGCAGTCGCTAATAATGTGAGCTTCAGGGCCTTTGCCAAGACGTATGGAGCACCGAGGCACCGCAGCGAGGAAATGTGGGGGGTTTTCCACGTTGGAGAGGTTCCAGTTGTTGCAAACAAGGCCCTTGTTTCTTATTTTATTACACTAGATGTCGTCTTCAATTTTTCTTTTCTGGTAAACATACAAGACATACTAGGGACCTACGTAAAAACACCTGCGCGGGCACCCCCGAGATCGAACAGCTTCCAGTGCACTAGACGGGCTAGGACGGTGCTTTGCTGGGAGAGTTGTTGCCCCGCTTTTCATCCGTGGACCACTGCAGTTAAGGTTCCGGCCCAAGCACTCCGTCACGAGCGCTTCAGCACTTAGCATTACAGGTTTCCAAACCTGGAAAGCAAACAAATCAGCCTGACGCAAGCTTGAAGTTCTGAGCTGGAGAGAGCGTTTGTGTTTTTAAGGTACCAACAAACCATGCGAGCCTAAGCCTCCTTCACACCCAGAATTTCAGGACAGCTTAATGATCAGACCTGCAGTATTGTCTCCACAGTACCGGGATGCATCAGCTCACTGTTTTACATACCAAAGATCGGAATCTCGAACTGAAGAAAGGCATACATGCGCATTGACGGCAGGTACAAGTCTCTAAGCCTTTGCTGTTCCATAAACCGAAGTGGGATCTGGGGCCTTATCTGAGCGTTGGCCGCTCTCCCGATGCCTGAGGTCAACCAGTGTCACTCAGTGCTCTTACCCTCCCCATCGAACCGAACCCTCGAGTCCCCGTCTCCTCCCGCACAATTCAGAGTGTGCTCGTCGGTTACTCGGGTAGAGTTAGTGATGGGCATCGTGCGATCCACACTTCTTCGAGATCTGTGCCACCAAGCGACTCTTGCTTCGGACTTTCATTCCCGCGTCAACCTGCCCGACAAGGCAGTTCCCGTCTGTTAACTCATCGCATACTATGGCCTTCCAAACAAATATCTTTAGGGACGGCGAGTGGGTGACGGAAACGGTTAATCTCCAGGCTGTTTTGGAGTCGCAGAAACCGGGCGCAAAAGGCCCCACGAAGCAGGATCCCTTAAAACCACCACAATGTGGTCTTCTTACAACTACAGTGGCGGAGAGTGACCAGGTGAAACTGGTCTTACATGCAAGTCTACGGTCCGAAAAACATAGCGACGTTGTTCTTGTAGGGGTACGTCTTCTAAAAACCCGAGTCTATTCCGGAAGCCAACTTTGGGGAGTTGTCGGTCTCATACTGATGAGGTAAACGAGCTCGCAGGACACCTTTATCCAACTCTGTGAACTTGGGACAGACGGGCGTTTGCACCACACCATCCGAAAAAGTGATTTTGGATGCCGCATTCGGAATGCTTGTGTAGTCGGCACCCTCATGATTCCAGGGCTCGAAGGGGCCGCACGCCGCGATGGGACCTTTTCAACAGCAATCAAAACTGAGGAACGTCGTTCTCGTCCTTTCAGCCTTTTCCCGCCAAGTCAGCCTGCCACGACAGACACTCAGTTCCCCCCTCAATTCCTGGTTCTGGCCTTGGAAACCGGAGATTCTGTCTGCTTGTTCGTGCAATCGGGGCCTGATGGGGCACCAACCCTTGAGGCTTCACGCCTTCGAGGCCCCAGATACGGGAAGGGGCACGCCGGGTTCCACTTGGCCGTAAACCCAAGCTCACGCTACATGGCGATGGCTGGCCCCACGGACTCATTCACTGTTTACGAACTTGAAACCCATGACGAGCTTAACCGGCGGTACCTATCCGGAGAACGGCTCAATCCTGTGCGTTCCTTCCGCCTTCGCAGCGTCCGAGGCGTAATACACAAGATGGAGTTCTTGTACCCAAGAGCCGAAGACGAACATCACATTATCCTGTTGCTTGTCATCGTCCGCCGAGGGCGCTCAAAGACCGTTATCTATGAGTGGGCACTCGGAGACGATCTGAAGCACGTTCTTAGTGAAGAGAAGCAGGGCCACCGGATGCCCGTCGAGCACCAGATGCCCCTGATGTTGATACCCCTAAAGGTACAATCAGCTTTCATAGCCGTGTCTGCTGGGCATATCGCGGTATACACTGAGTGCTTGCATGGACCACCGAAGTTTGTCACGATGCTCTTGCCACCGCACCCTCCAACCGAACGTCATCGTGGTCATCAACAACCGCTAATGACAGCATGGACAAGGGCCATTCGTCGGCGACCTCATTCTGACCAGCAAGATTGGATTTATTTGGCTCGGGAGGATGGTGTTGTCTTCCTCTTGAGAGTTGACGAAGATGCCCAGCTAGAGAGTCACCCTTTAGGGCCGTTTTCTTGCAATATTTCCAGTGCCGCGACTTGCGTTTTTGAGGACAGCTCCGATATCCTCATCCTTGGAAGCGAGACAGGCCCAGGGGGGTACTGGAAGGTACGGAAATTCCACTAGCCCACCACGTTCTCCTCTGACAGGTTGTTTACAGATGGTCGCCAGAGGGAACGGGGAGTTTCTCGGGAGCTTACCAAACTGCTCGCCGGTGGTCGACTTCACAACAACCGATAATTTCACAGGATGGCATCGTGAAGCTCACCGAGACAAAAATATGGTTCCATGGAAGCAGGGGAGATTTCGAAATCCCGACCGCATTTTTGCGACGTCGGAAGGCGAAAATGGAGGCTCAATCACCGAGTTCCGGTATGGGTTGAAAGCAAGCATCGGGCTCGACCTTGACTATGGTCCTGGTATGAAACGAGTCTGGCTTCTGCGTTCTGGAGGCGACATCCCTTTATTTGATGGCTACATCCTTTTGGTCTCCTTGCCCGATTCGACTGAGGTTCTTCTACTATCGGAAGACTTCTCTAGTGCCCAACCCGCGGTTCCTTCGGCCATACCTTACGACTTGTCATCGACTACTCTTGATATGTGGAATGCCGTCGGTGTGACGGTACAGCTCACCCAGTGCAATGTGGTCATCACAAGTAATTATCGGAGGTGAGGATATCCACGTGGATTTAGGTATTTATTTTTCCATATCGTTCAAATTATTGACATTGGGACAGGGTTTCGTTTTCCTGGCAGTCTCTCCCTGGCCTTACCGATACTTCCGTTTCCGATGCCGCTGTTTCCCACGACCACATCGCCGTATCGACTCACACAGATGCGAAGTTTGAGGTCCACGTGTTTAAAATCGACACACGTACTTTTAGCCTTCATCATCTTCGGACGGTTAACGTCGAGGGGGAAATCACTTGCTTAGCTCTGGGTCACAATGGTACTGCGCTCGCGGGAGTTCGATTAAATTCACACACTTTTCTAGCCCGGATCTCGTCAGACCCTTTGACGGAAGGGTTCGAAATCATTAACCTTACCAAACGTGGGTGCCCCCTTTTCGCCCTTCAACAACGTCCTAAAGTTGTTCTTGGTGCGCTTTTTAGATTCCTGACATTTTGCAGGCTTAATTGGCGACGATAGCGAATCTGCACTCGGCACATCCTTGGTGCTTGACGGCATTGAGAGCATGATTGCGGGTAATGACGTTGTTCTTGCCGGAACTCGAAGTGGCGAAGTAGTGATGGTCAAGTACGGTGTCGACGGCACATCCGTAAAATTCGAAAGGTTTGGCACAACTGCCACAAACATCACTACTAGCAGCAGTACCAAGATCGGCGTGACAGATCCCACCATTCTCGCCTGTTGCGATAATACCCTAGTTTCGATTGGATTGCACCCAGAAAACGACTGTGGTGTGGCAGCCACTGGAACCAAAACCAAAGTCCGCGTGTGGCCAGTGGACGCCAGCAATTCGGGAGCCGCCTCACCACCGGTACAATACGCGACGACTGTGGATATGCCGTGTTCACCCGGGACTGTCCCAATCTTCATGGTATCCGGGACCAGATTGTTGCTCGCGGAGATGCGTACGACCCCTGGATCAGTGCACCGGAGCATTTCCGTTGACGGGGTGCCCAATCGAGTCATCTATTGCCCGTTCACACAGTGCCTTGTTGCCGCAGTGAATAAACCTTCTGGACCGACATTGAAGTTTATCGACCCGGACACCGGGGAAGATATCGGAGTGCCGACGGACAAACATAAGGTGCCACAGCAGTGCATCGCAGGCTTAGGGAAACAAGATGACCGAATCACAGGTTTAGCTGACTGGAACTACAAAAGGGATGGCCACGTCTGGAATTTCGTCTTAGTCACGACCAAGGGAGGCCGACTGATCGTGGTTACGGCCGAGAAAGTAGCGTCTCAGGACGGCAGCCCCACGGTGTACCGTTACTGGACTCGGTACCGACAAGAATTCAAGGAGCCCATCTACTCGGTCATCGGCTACGACGAGGGCCTGATTTTTTGTTGTGGTCACACTCTCCACTGGGAAGTGCTCGACATCCAAGAGAAACGACTTAAACCCCTCAAGTCCTTTGCCCTGGGGTCGCCGGCTACGGGGCTGCGGATTTCCAATGGCAAGCTCGTGGCTCTGACAAGCCGTGAGTCTCTTATTGTCCTCGATAATTGGGAAACAGAGGGGGAAGCCACCAAGCTTTCCCACATCGATCCTTGGCGGCGCAACGGCATTGATTCTATCGAGATTGCTGGCCCGCAACAACTCGTGGAGGCAATGGACGGAGTGGTGACGACCGGTGGGATTCACCTCCTGGCGGACCGGGAGGGCGGCGTAGCTGGGCTATGGGTGCCCTGGCAGACACCAGACAAGGAATGTGAGGTGGTGATGGAGGCTGAATTACCATCCTCGATTCGAAAGTTTCACCGGGGCCGGACAAGGCCTTACTGGGAACAAGGGCTTCGTGTGCCTCAGTACGGACGGCTCCCGGCCACCTTGGATGACGCCGAGATCCTCGGCGTCTCGCTGAGTGGTGCGATGTACCAATTTACACTGCTGAGCGTCGAGGCATGGCGGTTGCTACGGTTTATGCAGAACCTGGCAGGATCGTGCCCTGAGCTGAGCCCCGTTGTTGATCAAATTGGCGATTACGGCGGCGGTGTTGATCCATCCTCCCCCCCTTACGACGGTGATGCTAGTGGGCTGAATATGGAGCCGAAGTTGGCATATGGAATGGAAATGCACGTCGATGGGGATCTCTTGAAAAGATGTTCAGAGAAAAGGATGGTGGAGAGAATTATCGGCCCACACTTCGACAGGTTTACCGAGCTTTTGAGCGACGTTGTTGATGAGGAGAAGAGAAAGTGGTTGAAGGAGAAGGGGGGGAATGAGGCGTACTTTCGAGTTGCCTACGATATTCTGGAGTACTATTTCACCCGTGCTTTCTAACGCGGGGATGTAGGGAAGAAGGCTGGAAGACGTGGGATCTCTGTGTATGTGAGAGTGTTCTCCCAGGGTTGAGTGTGCCATGTCCCTTTCTATGTCCCGTGCATTCGCCGAAACGTTACCAAAGCCTCTCTACCTGCATCATGAGTACCTTTCCTTTCATTGCCTCATGACGACCGTGCGGGTGTACACGGATCGAGGTGCAGTTTCACTAGATACCGCGCCACAACGACTTACCTAACATGATTTCTCAGGGCATAAGCCCTGAAGCCTTAGCTAGCCTGGTTGGCAGAACATTCGGGGACCTGGACTCTACCGACGACTCGAACCCAGCCTTCGCGCTCAGGGTGGTCTCCGACATCATTCAACGACTCTACACCCCCGGCCATCGCCGCGATCTTGATCACGGCCCACTGTATCTGTAACGCCGCAAGCATCCGGTCTGCATACCGGACTTCTACCTTGATATAGAAGATGTCACCTGTTTCAACCAAGTGAGAAACCGAAGCTTTCTTGTTGAGTATCTTGATCAAAATCTGAACTAGCTCGGTCATCGCGGCATCACAATACCGGAACTTATAAAAGAATGAGAGGATTATCGGATTCCAGAACGCTAGTTAAGTAGTTATTTGAAGGCAAGGCAGAACCCAAGCTATAGGTATCCCCCACCGCCCCTCAACTTCCTCTGCCTGTGCCACGACAATGATGATGAAGGACCTTTATAATGTCGCCGCGTCGGGACCTTTCCACTTGAAAAAAAAGTCCCCACACTCC